AGATCTCAGCGTCAGCCAAGGCCCAGAGTTATGCAGTAGAGGAGCGTTCCTTGCGATACGTCAAACGGAGACCGGGAGTGAACGGCCATGTGGCCCCGTTTGCTCCGTTGCACCGTTTGTGCCTGCACGGGAGATGAACACGGCTAGCAACCTGCGATAGCCCTAAGCGGAGTAGTGCATTACTCCGGAGGCCTGGATTGGGGGAGAGTTGGGATGGACCAGGGTGTCGCGGAGGGGGACGAGATGCCTGGAGGGAACTGACCGGTTGTGTGGGGGTGGGGGTGTACACAATAATGGAGTGTTCGACAAATGACTAAGGTGATTGACGATACATACGATGAAAGCTCTCGGCAGCGAAGAAGACGGTGAAGGGATGGAGAACGGGAGTTGGATGATGTTTGGGTAGGGTTAGGATTTAGTTTGACTCGAGCCATCCCGGACGAAGATCCCATTGCTGGAGTGGCTGCTGACTCGCTGGCGGCGCACGGAGGACTTGCTTTTTCTCTTCTCGACATCAACTCCACGCCCGCTGTCGGCTCTTGCGCCAGAAGGCCGTTTTGAGTCGAAGTCCTCGCCCCGGGGGGACATCCAATGGATCGACGAGCAAAGCCCTTCTGTCGACCCTGCAGACGGAATGGCCTGGCGAAGTGGATGCTCGACTCCAAGCGAAAATCTCATAGCCTGCGCCTAACGCGGCCTGTTTCTGTTTCTCACAGATCATTCGCCACCTCCAACGGTTGCCCGATCGGGACGCTCCAGGCTCTTCGCGTGTCCGAAGCCGAACAATGAACAGTGAACAATGAACAATGAACAATGAATAATGAACCATCATCACGAACAGCCACCATCCCGGCAGATGCAAGTAGGCAAGGATCCTCGCTCGAATCACCCGCTGACATGCAATGTCTCGCGCCTGGGGCCCATCGAGAATCGGATTTGCACCTCGGAAGTAACCTTCCCCTGAGCTTGCTCCCATCCCCTCCTCTCGCAAATATAAAATGTCGTCACGTCTCCCTTTCTCCAAAGACCATATTTAACTGACTTATTGACTGTATCGCGATTATAAAAAATAAATAAATAAATCTACAGCCTTTCGATGGATTCTCTGTAGATACAGTACACACATGAAATACATGCACGACTCCGTAGGCTACGACAAGGGTATATCGTCGTGGCAGCACGAAAAATTATCAAAAAAAAAAAAAAAAAAAAAAAAAAAAAAAAAAAAAATTCGGTCTACAATCCATTAACAAAAACAAGAAAAAAAAAAAAGGAAAAAAGGAAAAATAAAATAAAATAAAACGCTAGATGCATCCGAATCCCATCGCTGAATTTCAACTCTTTCCATCCCAGTCCCAACCACATGAAATATTGCCGAATGTCGCAGTGGACATGAAGAGGTGTGGAGTCCGGTTGCTGTGCAGTCCTGGCTCCGTTTGAATAGGCGAAAGGAAAGAAAGGCTCCCGGCGCACAAAAATGCGCTACGAACAGTGCTTTAGACACGAATGTCGTCGAACAGCCGTGCTAACAAGGCGTAGCCTAGGACCATCAGGACTCCAACCCAAACCTTGTGCCGACGGAACCAGCTTTGACCGACATCACGGGCGACTTGCCCTCCCTCCATGACAGCCCCTATGCTTGCAGTGCTCCCCGCGGGCCGACGACGCAGCGCACTTGTCTCTGGAGCGCAGCTCGTGGCTGCGGCGTTGGGATCAGGGAGGATCTGGCCGGTGGCGACGTCAATACGGTTGTCTTTCATCCACTTCCAATTCTCCTCGTCCAGCTCGGGCCATTCTGCCCGAAACTTTTTCCCACCGTCTCCCGCTTTGATGTTTGCGATGCCTTTGATGGTCGACGTCACGCCGGGAACGGCATTAGAATGGGATCCCCCGCCCGTTGAATTCCACCATCGTGACCGTGCAGCGAGTAGTTTGCGTTCCGGATCAGATGCACTGACGCTTCCTGTCGTCATTTCCTCACTGGTCATGAAGGACAAGAGTCCTATCAAGATCGTCGAAACTTCCCACGCTGGGTTGAATGACTTGGGATGGAAATCGCTGATACTGAGACAGAGTCGAGAGGAGGGCTGGAACCGACCGCTCGGGGTGTGCATGCGGATGGCAGGCGGCGCAAATGGATAGTCTGGTGGGAACATCAACGTTCCCCAGTACTGGCCATTTTCATATGGTGTCTGCGGGGGACCTTGAAGGATGTAGTGCCATCTATGAAGCGATATGATTAGAGACCAGATTCGAGAGAAATGGGCGTTGGGAATTTCTCACTCTAGGATGTTTGACTCTGAGGGATGAGCAGTGATATAGGGCGGAGGGTTCTTTTGAATGTTTTGGTATTCGCGCGTCAACTGATAGAACAAAGTGTTAGCCTCTCCGTGATGGCCTTGCCTTTGGTGAACTGACCCGCTTAGTCGCCGCCTTGTTTGCCATGCCGGCAGATTGGACGAGGGGTTTCGGGGGTGGCTGTCAACAAACAGTTTCTGATTTTGGGAATGGAGACGAGATGTCCAATCTTTGCCCCAGAAAAATGAAAGACTGACAAAGGAGTGAATAGCGGCGGTTGTTCGATGAAGCGTGATGTAAATCCATCTTACTTGTAGCATCCCCGAAGAAGTTGGTCCTTACAGGGCTAAGAGGGCCGGTGTCACGTGAGCGGACAGGAAGTTATTGGGAACATCTGGTGGTGATGGCTCCAAGAGTGCGACTTTGCGCAGACATTGAGCCATTGACGGAGCCGAAATGGCGTCACCACTTCAAGATGACGACGGCGTATGTGTCACTTTGTTTTAATCTCTATTCTCGTTCCGACGGGACTGGTTCGATGCGCTGACGGCAGTCTGACCAAATAGATTTTCGAGCGGCTTCGGAAACAGAACGAAGATCCGAAAGTCTTGGAGGAACGGCAGCAGGCTGTGAATGAGAGGATACATACCATATATCAAAAAGCGCAAACGAGATTAGCAGAGCTGGTTAGAACTCCCGGATGTTTTACCCGCCTGATTGCTATGAAATACGGCCATTAAGATCTTACTTTCATACCCGCCTCTAGATTGATCAAAATTCCACCCTACCATGCACTATTTCGTCGGTCCAAGTACTAAATGCCTCGCATACTCGGAAAGGCTTTCTGGAGAAGGTCCTCAGTCCTCTGTTAAGCTCCAATAAGGACCATCCCTACACTCTCGCCGAAGCTCTCCAGGAAGTTGGCGCCTGCACTGATAAACTCCACAAGTTTGGTAAGTTGAGCCATTGGAAGCTCATATATCGCTGTAATCACCTGCTTTTGATATTAAATAATTCGGACTTCAGATATCTTTCAGCAGCCGATATCCGTATACCTCGACAAGCCCTCCCAGACTGACCCGTCCACCACACCGACCGACCTGGACGTTTACCTATCCGTCAAGGAGAGATCTCGATTTCTTCTCAAAACCGGCACGGATCTAGGAAACGCCGAGGGCTCCGCGTACGCAAACGCTCTATGGCGCAACATATTTGGCGGAGCGGAAACGCTAAACCTCAATGCCTCCTTGGGAACCCGAACAAGGTCGGCTTACCAAGCGACGTTTGAAACTCCTATCCTCAGTGACCCTGACTTTCGATTTGAAATCGGTGCCCTTGCAAGTGACACACAAAAGTCATGGGCTAGTCATGAGGAAGTGGTCAAGGGTGCATGGAGCAGACTCCGTTGGATGAGTGCCGCCGGTCATCGCCATGAGCTAGGATTGAATGGATTCTGGAGGCAGGTTACGGGCCTTGCAGGCAACGCCTCTCCGTCCGTGCGCGAAAATGCCGGCGACAGCGTGAAAACAAGCATTTCACACACTTGGACTAAGGATCAGCGAGACAATCCCATCCTGCCGACAAAGGGTTTCTACGCTAAAACATTAAGTGAACTAGCGGGATGGGGCCCCTTGAAAGGTGATGTCTCATTTTGGAAATCAGAGATAGAGACCCAGGCAGCGGTCCCCGTACCGATTCCAGGACTCAAGGGCGATAGCGGCATCAGTTTCACCACTGGCTTCCGTGCCGGCCTTATTTATCCGCTAGGCATGGACTCCAACTCCAAGCCCCAACTCTCTCGGATCAACGACCGATTCCAGCTAGGAGGTCCGACGGATGTACGAGGTTTCAGAATTTCAGGACTTGGTCCGCGCGAAGGTCCAGACGCGCTAGGCGGTGACGTTTACGCTGCCGGCAGTGCTAATTTGCTCTGTCCTCTTCCACGCGTCGGTGCTGACAAGCCTTTCCGGCTCCAAGCCTTTGTCAATGCCGGGCGGTTACTGGCTCTGAAGACACCGCAAGGTGCCTCTCCCACCTCTCCACAAGAGGTCAGAGAGAGCGTAGCTAGCACGCTTTCGGAGCTCGCAAATGGCCTTCCCAGCACGGCCGCCGGTGTCGGGCTGGTGTATGCTCACCCAGTGGCAAGGTTTGAGCTGAATTTCTCCTTGCCTCTTGTCTTACGAAAGGGGGAGGAGGGTAGGAAGGGGCTACAGCTTGGTATTGGAATCAGCTTCCTGTAGAATATGCTGTAATCTTGTACTTTAAAAAAAATACATGGCAAACCTAAATTCTTCCTGAAGGCTTTCCGTTACCGTTCTACCTTCAAATGCCGTGTCGGTGGTGTGTCGTCGAGATAAAGTCATAAACAGCGCCAGGGTTGCTACAAACAAGTTTTTAATAATTAGAAACAATAGAGCCAACAGCCTGTTGCTATTTCTATCGCAGCAACAAAAAGGGGGTTGCCTGCGTGCCTGAGCTGACTTGCTTTTCGAGTTTCCACCGTGGCACACATCACTTCACCAACAACCACACAAGTTCGTTCATCAAGCTTCGAACACCCGCTTCAAACCTGATTCCCACCACGCCATTTACCCTCAAAGCAACTGAACCATCTCATTTAGAATACATATCGCCGATACTCGCTCTCGCGATCCCCCTCGATCAACCGTCGCACTAGCTCCCTATAACCAACCTCGGCCGCAATGGCCCAATTCTACTCCCAGCAACCACAACAGCCCTACGGCGTTCCCCCCCAACAATCCGCACAGAACCTTCAATTCTACTCTACATCGTACTCATCAGTCTCCGGACACACCACACCGTCACAGGCAACATATGGCGGCTATGGCATGACATCTAGTTCCGCCCCCGCGTTCCCCGTCGGTGGTGGAGCAGGCGGCTACGGCGCTGGTGGTTACGGAGGCTCAGCGGCTGGTGTCAGTGGAAGGATGGGCGAGCAGGGTGGTTTGAGAATGGGATGGCTGGCAGCTTTTGGAACGGAAGGATATGAAGGAGAGCCACCCTTGTTGGAAGAACTGGGGGTCAATTTTGAGCATATAAGAACAAAGGTTGGTTGAGCTCAGTTGAGCTGTCTGGGAGCGCGAAGTCAAGTTTCGAAACCTGCTTTCGACCTCGACAATGGAATTACATGTCTTGCATTTTACCAATGCACCAAATCGCTGACCATCTATCAGACACTCACCGTCTTGAATCCCTTTGCCCACATCGATCAACACCTGATGGACGACAGCGACCTCTACGGTGCCCTCCTCTACATCCTACTTTACGGCACATTCCTCCTTCTCTCCGGTAAAGTGTTCTACGGCTACATCTACGGCGTCGCTGTCTTCGGCACCGTTGCCCTTCATGTCATTCTCAGCCTTATGTCTCCCACCCTCGACACCCCCAGTCCCACCGACGTCTCATCCGCCGACCCCAGCGGCTACCACCCACACCACAAACCAAATCCTAACGCAGGACATTTCTCATCGACGTTAACATTCCCTCGTTCCGCCAGCGTGCTGGGTTATTGCTTCCTTCCACTAGTGCTAACAAGCCTAGTGGGCATTCTCATTCCTATGGATACGATGTTCGGATATCTCCTCACCACCGCCGCCGTGGGGTGGTGTACGTATAGTAGTTCAGGAATGTTTTGCGCTGTTGCGAGGATGAGAGGCATGAGAGCTTTGGTGGCTTATCCGTTGGCGCTGTTTTACGTGGTGTTTGGGATTATGGGAATCTTCTCGTCGAGAGGAAGTGGTACTTTGGCCGCGACAACCGCTGGCACTTGAAGAAGAATTAAAAAAGGAGGGTGGTTTACCCACAGCATTTTCTTTTTTTCCTTTTTTTTTTTTTTTTTTGGTTGGGGGGGGGGGGGGGGGGGGGGGGGGGGGGTTGTCGATTTTATAGCGGGGAACGCATCGGTTTCTTCGAAAATTGGTCAGAGAATGTTTACCTCGGGTTCGCCGAGAATATGAGTCTCGCCGTGTTGTGATATGACGGACAAGAATCGATGGCGGACCAGCGAGATCGAAAAACAAAGGGGCATATTATAGGTAAATTCTGTTGGAGTTTTACAGGTGATGTTGGCGTGGATATATGTACGGATCTCCTATTATATGGTGTCCTTGCATCTGGTATTTCCGCGTATATGTATACCCAAATACTATGTGATAATGATATACTTGGACTTTGTACTCTATTTCTAATGCAAAGAGATATTTTTCGCCAGATGCCCAACATATCTAATGCAATATTTATGCAAACTGTCATATCATCATCACAAAAAATTCCATGCTGGGATATATCCGTAACTACCATTTCAAAGTGTGTGCTTGCCACTCAATTACTTCTGATCACCAAATTTCTCGCCTTTCTTCGGCGCCCACTTCTTTAACCAATCCTTTGCCCGATCAATATCACCGCCAGCTTCCTGAATCGCCGCAACGCCCCAGCCCAATTCGTAACCCGCCTCCGAAGCAAGTAACTCCGCCAATTTCCTCCTCGTCTGATTATTTTCATCAGAGCAGAAATACAAAGGCGAAGTATTCTCCAGATCTTGGCCGCCTACGGGAATCGAAACTGCGTTGATCAATGGCTTAACCAACGCCAGCGCCTCCTTCGCGGACACGCTGCTGATGCCCATGTTTGCCCGGCCAGTCTTGCAGTACTCGTTTCGACACCAGGATTTGCCGCAGCCACTAAGCATTTGGGACAAGTATCGCCTCTCTATGCGGCGCCGTAATGCTTTGCCTTCTGGATCGTACAAATCGACGTAAAGAGGGCCGAAGCAGACGTTGCATAGGCCTAGGGAATTGTCGGCTACTTTACCTCTTTTGACCGGGTCATCCAAGGTGCTGCAGCAGTTGGGATTATTGCATACTCGGGGTGGGGGGCGGGAAAGGCGTTCAAGGTCATGGTGGCGCAGATGGGTGTTCATGTCTCGGAGGCGGATAATTCTATTGCATAGATGGCACTCCGTCGTACGCGTGCCGTCGACGAATTCATGCGGTGTCAAGTTCGATAAAAGAACCTCGGGATCGAGGACGTCCGGGTCAGTGTCGCCCTTTTGTGGGACGACGAGGTGACAGAATTGGCAGAGAATAAGCTTCTCTGGACAAACTGTGGTGCGATGGTGAGCGAGGTCGGGCAAATTCCGGGCTTTATAATGACATTTCGAGCACGGCTCTTCTGTATGGAAGATAGTATCATGTTTTGCCTTACTATATGCATCATTTCCGTTGGCTTCATCATGAGGGCAATGCCAATGGCTCTGCCACTCTGCGGATCGTTTCTGGAAAACTTTTTGACATTTCGGGCATAATACATTATTCCGGAGACAAAAATTTTCGTGCAAGACTATGGTTGTTTTGGGGACCCACTGATGACAATTTAGGCATTGCTCGTCTTCAGTATTCTGGGAGCCAAACTGAGGGTCGGAAAGCCCTAGCTGCTCTGCCTTTGTAGACGCGCTAGTACGCAAGGAAAAGTTCCAGGCTTGACCTTCCTTGCCCACTCCCTCCTCCGGTGGGCGGGCAAATATCGAGATGTAGATCGCCTCCGCACCCTCAAGTTCAATATTAGTGGGTTGAATCTGAACGTGTTTCGGAAACTCGGTTGAGAAATCACCAAAGACGTGCTCATCTTCTCTAGGCCGATTTCTCTGCCGAGAAGAAAAGGGGCTAACGAAGAGGTCAATGTCGGTATTGTCCTCCGCATCCAACTCGATTTCAATGGGCTCTGAGCGGTCCCATTCCGGTAATTCATAGTCAACGTATTGGCCCACGACTATCTCGGCACTAAGCCGCTTCCCAAATTGTAATTTTCCACCTTTAGCCAAAGATTTGGTCCTCAGTTTTTCCCTGCGCCTTCTCTCTGACTCCAGAGCTTGCTCTTCGTCCAGGGGTTCTATGTCGACTTCCAAGTCCGTATCAACAACGCAGATGGCGTCACCCTCCGGTTGTACCTTGTCCACAAGGAGTTGAAATACCTCGTCAGGGCGCCCATGGACTGCCAATGACTCCCCGACGGTTAGAGTAGTAAAATTTGCTCCCAGATAACGCTCCAGCAGAGCTTTCCAATCGTCGATATCATATCCCGGTTCTAAGGGGCGTAATCGAACATACGTTCCCTTGGGAAGCTGTACGGCATGGATAGTAAGTCTGGGATGATCATGGCCCAATATTCGGCCACTGTCTTCAGCAGCATGCTCGCCTTGTCCAAGGTCCGATAAGCGGGGATGCGACTCGAGTTCCGGCTGGTGTATTCCAAGACTTTGAAGTAGGAAGGGGCTCAGGGCAACTTCGTTCTCTTCGGCGGAGAATTCGAGGATACCCGAATGAATGACGCGGCCATTTTTGGGGTTCACTATACGGAATGTGAGAGGGTACGGAAGCTCCCGACCTTGGTTGCGGCCTTCATTGTTGACGAAGGAGGTGGAGGGTGTATAACGGTTGAAGGATTCAAACACAGAAGGGTTATAGTCGCGTGAAGAGGACGGGGCGGGGAGAGCACTCAGAATGCTCTCCAGGGCTGAAGGAGGCAGACATATTTTATCACCACGGAGCTTCTTTGGGGAGCGATTCGGCGGCGCGACGAAGTAAGAAGCAGACCACTTCAGCGGGTTCTCCATGGGTTGGGCTCGCGCAGGCGTGTGCTATGAGGTGAGACAAAGGAAGGATTATAGAATCGGAAGGTATGAGCAGGGTTCCAGCCCGGCCATCATCTTCATCGACCGCTATGCTTTGCCAAAATCACCCTCGACAGCGATGCTGCGACAAACTTCCAGAAGCATCTCATCGCCAAGATGATGTAATCAGCGGCTCCGCTTATCGGCTGTTTGCTTTGTTTGCAATTCCTTACAAGTGTAAAGTAGAGATCACGTGAATCTATCAGAGCCAGGGCTTACCCCAGTGTATCCATTCAACGTCTTTATTGTGAACCTTCTTTCACTTCGGCGGCTTGTTAAATTCAATACAGAGCCTCTCACTAATTCCTAATTTTGGCTTAAACTGTTCCATGATTACAAATGTGTTTTCCTATGCTCGTCAAACAACACTTGTTGAACCTGTATTCCTAACATACGCATTAGCGGTTTTGGAGTGAACATAGCTAGCAATGTTCAGGTGCTGACCAAAACTAGGAAACCAAAGCAGTTATCACTTAATTTCTACAAATTGCGACCAGATCAAGGACAGCTGAGCCCGTAAAAATCCATTTTGCTAATTTTGCTTTTCTGGATCCCTGTTGAATCGCGAAATTAATACTTTGCATGATCTTGGTCATGATTTGATACAATCGTTCCCCCAAGATGGGCATAATGCCTCTCCGTATTTGGTATCTGAATATAGAAAGGTTTGACTGAGTGAGGTATGTATGAATGTTATGTATGTAAAAAAGTCAGCGCCTCTCCATCCGAAAGCAATAGAAGAAGCGCATAGCCCGAGGAACTCCTGTACCGAAATAAGAAGAATGGAGATGTATCTAGGTAGTAGCACCGAGACCGAACAAGCATCCGCTCCAATCGTGCTCCAACAAATGTTACTCTGCTCCCCCGTGACAAAACAAACCACACAGCCGAAATACCTATTCCACCCACGACGTCATGCTAATAATCCGTAAAAACGATAAGGCTAAAAAGGAAACGAAGGAAAAAAAAAAAAAAAAAAATTCAAGAACCTCTTAAGTCCGATTTGGAAACATCATGAGCGCGAATTGTCCGTAGAAGGAGTCATTGATTAAACGAGTATCGAGTGAACATTGACAGAGTCGGTAGAAAATGAATAGTCGTATCCGAGAGTGGAGAATAGCGTGGAGACAAAAGGCCGATGAAAAAAGCAGTAAAAGGAATCAAAGCGAAGAGACGATAAGAAGAAACGATGGGTATAGTGCGCGGGGGCATAATGGGCGAATCGCTCAATTCGGTGGCCCTTGATGAAAGAAACAAAAGAGTCAAGTCGAACGCGGGTTGATTGTTGGGATCTGGGTCTAACTTCGCGTTCGGTATTACCCCCCATTGGATATGGTGTAGAACGTGATATCTGGGCCAAATGCGGGTAGAAAGGACGGCCACTATTCGCTGGTGATGTTAATGACATCAACCCCTTTTACAGGGTTAGACCCTGCCACCACGTCTTGGTGTATTACACCAGTCGCACTAAGTGATATCAGTACTATCCCGCCGGCCGTTGATAGGGAGATTTGCCCAAAGCGTACCTTGGTCTGGGAACAGCCATCGTTGTGGTCTAGGCAAAATCCTCCTTGGCAGATTTCGCAGGTGCGAATAACCTCGATCATACAGCGAGTGCACTGGCAGGAGGAGTTTGATTAGAAAGTCGTGCATCCTATTAATGACATGCATGGAACTATAACTTACCGTGGGCCCGCACTCCCAGCAGTCTCTGGCAACACATTGCCTAGGATGCTGTCAAGATAGTCAGCTCACAGTTATCAAGGAGATGTGCAGAGTCTATGCTGTAAGGAAATCCGTGCCCGTCGCTAAGGTATTGTAGCGGCAGGGGCTGTGAGAAATGTAGAGATAGCGCTCCAGCAAAGGGCAACGAGGCATACTCTTCATTTCCACTTCATGTGGAAGGAGCCTGGGAAGTGAGAGCGAATATTCCAGCCTCCGGTCACGGATCGACGAGCTAATTTCGACATTCAATACAGAGACCATCAAATACCTTTAAAAATTCGCACTCCTTGGATTGTTCCATGCCAGCAAACATACCCGGCGGCTGATATGCAGTACCAGGGGTTCTGAGAATCTCAGGGTCTTGCAAGCAGTCGGAGCACCACCATCGGTTACATCGGCGACACAAGCGATTCCGGACGCAGTCTTCGCATTGCATGATCAGCGTAGGTGATTCATTCTTGTACACCGCGGGATTCTTGGCGACGGCGATCCGAGAAGAATGTAGTGGAGGGGGTGCAAGCAGTGGGAAATACTCTTCCGGAGAGTAGCCCCAGACAGCGGGGCCTTCAGGAGCAGTGCCACATCCTTCACATCCTCTTGGCCCAAGCGCGACGGTAGCAATTGCTGGTTGAAGGTATGAACCTATCCGCTTGGAATTTTCCCCAGTGAAGGAATTCGGATCATGTCTCGGGCTTCGGCAGAGAACGGCATCGAATGAGATTATTCTTTCACAGAGTTGCAATGTTTGGGCCCATCCATTGGTTATTGTGCCTTTGAGTACCTGACCAGAAGGCTTATACCATTCGTGGCGATGCTGAACATCCTTTTCCGAGTGATGAGGGTGATATGCGTGGTTTGTGTGGTGGCCAGTCTGGGCCAGGTCGGGCCGACGCCGCTTGCCAAGGGTCGTCTGGTGGCACGAAGGCTGATCAGAATCTTTCGGACTGAAATGGTAGATGCCCTTCAGTCTTGGCGTGCCCTTTGCGCGACCAGGTCTTACCGCATACTGCAGCGTCTGCATCAATTTACGTTCGTTCAAATTCAGACAGCCACGAATGGACAGGATGGAAACATTGAAACGATCGTTCAAAACAATTTCGGCGACTAAATCCGCTGGAACAGAAAGACCGTCCAATATCAAGGTGCGGACATCTTGGAGGATAGCTCTTCGTCCTAAGTCGTCGAAAATTCCTCGAAGTGGGCCGGAGTAGAACTCATCTTCAGTTAGAGACTCGTCGATGCGTTCATTTCTCCAAACGGTGCCTCCGCGATCGATGGGGCTGATAAGCGGGACTTGGGCACCACGAGACTGGGTCAAGTCCAGATGACGGAAGACGTAAGGCGTATCCATGACAAGAGATCTCATGGTCCTGTTGGTCGATGCCAGGGAGAGCAATGACGCGACTGACATGTACGGGGCCAGATGGTCGATCACAAGGGAATTCGACAAAATGTCCGCCAAGGCAGTACAGTTTCGAGATGGTTTTCGAGCAGTCATGCTGCTATAGCGCACAAAAGAATCATCTATCAAGGGCAGGAAAGAATGGTTGCTTTGCTTGCGTGAAGCACATCCAACCAAGTGGACTTTGTACGCTTCCATAGCACCAGCGGTGACGTTTTCGGCAACGGGAACCGTCGGTTCAGCTTGGACTTGCTGAAGCGCGGCCCTCGCCTTGACCAGTTCAGCCTCCAGGAGATCGATAGTAGACTGCAGGACAACCGGCATTGCGCTGGCGTTGATAGGGTTAATAGCCGTCAGTAGAGTAGCCCATAGCTCCCCCTGTGCCATATCACCCTTCTGTTCCAGCAACAAAGGCGAGCAGGGAGGTGAAGTGTAAGCAGCAGCTGCAAACCAACAACTGCCAGAGAGTTGAGCAGGAGCTTGTCAACTTTCTGGTTCTAACAAGACCAGTCTTCGTCACGTGTAAAAAAGTATCCGGATGGCTGTTGAAGTTAAAACTTTGGGCTCCAGGCCAAATGATGACAACAGACAGAGAAGAGGAGCCTAAAAATTAGAAAGAAAAGAAAAGAAAAGGGAAAAAAAAAAGGTTGTCAACAATTATGAAGTGGAAAAGGATGCTGAGGATCGTGTACGGAGTAGAAACAGTTGCAGAAGACGAGAGCCGAGAAGTTTGACTCAGGTGGCGACGCGATATTAAATCAGGGAGACTTTGGGGGGGAACAAAGCGAAATCTGGGGGAGTTTGCAAGAGAGCTGCAAAAAAGCAATATAAAGCTTGATGGGATGATAAGAGTAATAGCGGAGCGTAAGAAGAATTGGATCGTATTAGAAATTATGATTAACTACTGGCCTATGAACGAGGCGATGGTTGGGAAGCCAGAAAAGAGGTCACCTGTTGGTTGGCATCTGCTCCAGAAGGGAGGACAAAGACCCAAAACCTTTGCGGTGAGAGGAAAAGGGAATGTTCAGCAGAGAGGCCCAGGATCATGGGGCAGCAACAGTGGAAGCAACGTGGGTTCTCAACAATCAAGGGGAGCTCCAGCTCGGCATGCGACCAAGACTAACGCATGTATCAACTAGCTCGCTGGGCTAGTGAGCTGATGGCGGGATGGTTTCACTTGATGGTTGAATGGAAGGGGAGCTCCCTTGTCAAAATGGTGCAGCGGCAGTATTGGCCAGAATGCCGGCGTCGCGAGGATGCCCCATCTTGTCCGTATAAGTTACTCCGTACAGAGACACACATCGAGGCCATGGAGTCGTCCCGGACACACAGTTGGGATGCTCACGGGAGGCGTCTGTTCCCGCATAAACTTCAGCCTTCACATGCAACTACAAGGGCGCGACATGTAACTCATCTCAAGAGGCGAAATGCAGCAGAACGGGTCAGTTGCATCTCCCGCATCTTGAAATGACCGGCATAACCAAATAAGGCGACAAGACAAACCCACAGGGGCCGGCAGACACCGAACTCACTAAACCACCCAAGCGATCCCACACACCAGATGGGCCTGGGGTTCTCGGCGTGCATCCTTACTGTACATCATAATTTATACCGCTTCGCCTGCGCTGGGCGGACAGTTTGGCATCACGCTTGTTGAGACAGTGGGCAACGGGCTCCACCGCCAAACTGCCAACTGCCAACTGCCAACCATGGAGTCCGGAGAACCCCCTCCAGGATACATAATGTATACAGGGAAACCCGACTGATAATAGTAACAGGACCCCGACCTCCGTCAAGCTTTGCCTGATGTCCTCCCGTTCGCAGCTTGCGTGGACACTCTGTCAGCCCGACCGCCTGCTCTGCCCTGGCTTCCACACCCCCCCAAGGTGGCCGACCATTCATCATCAGCGCTGCGAGAGGCGTGCATAATTGATGGGTAGTGGCACGTCTGGATTGTGGTGTTACTTTTCATAATAGAAAATTGCTTTACTCTAGCCCGCAAGATGATTTAGATGATATTGTTCATTACTCATGTTTCAACGAGTCCTCATTTGCCGCAAAATTTAGAATCTCATCAGGATGCCGCTCGATTTTCATCCTAGCAACGAGATCGTAACCTTGAAACCCAAGAGGTGCCATGTGCATCATTTCATAATGTACAGTGAGAAGCCCGCTTGCCCCACAGATGGCCTCGTGAGGCAAAACGCATGTAATCCTGGTTCATTCTAGCTTTCGTGGCAGCTACTTATCTGGTTCTTTTCGGTCGATACTGAAATAACATAGCATCTCGCGCGGGGGGATAGGCATTATAATTGATCCTGTTCGCTTCAAATATACCATTCATGTACCACCTACGCTGTCTACTTCCAGAGTTTTCCAAGACTGACCTCCTTGTCGTCATGCTTGTTGAGGATCTTCGCTGTCGCAAGGTCGAAGTCTTCTTGCGTAACATGTACACGTCGCTCTCGTAGGGCATACATCCCTGCTTCGGTGCAAACTCCCTTGAGTTCTGCGCCTGAGCACCCGTTCATCTTCTCCGCTATCTTTGTCAGATTTATTCCACGGGTAAGGTTCATCGAGCGGGAGTGGATTCGGAGGATGTCTGCACGTGCCTCGACACTATATGAAGCCCCAGGTGGTGAGATAGATGCGAGAGGAGGAAATTTTCAAATATCTAGCGATCACTTACCTCGGTGGTGGGAACTCAATCTTTCTATCGATCCGTCCCGGTCGGAGAAGGGCAGGGTCAAGGATATCCAAGCGATTCGTCGCCATAATAACCTTAATGTTCTTTGTCGGCTCAAAACCATCTAATTGGTTGAGAAGTTCCAACATCGTTCTCTGTACCTCAGAATCACCTCCACTGCTCCCTTCCACACGACTCGATCCAATGCTATCGATTTCGTCCATAAATATGATGCTGGGTGCATGTTCTCTTGCCATGACAAACAGCTCTCGGACCATTCTACTCCCCTCACCAATATACTTCTGCACTAGCTCGGATCCACTGACGCGAATGAATTTGCAGTCCGTGTGGTGAGCAACCGCTCGAGCCAGAAGCGTTTTCCCAGTTCCTGGGGGCCCATATAACAGGACACCCTTTGGCTGGGCGATACCTAAGGATTCAAAGAGCTCGGGGTGCTTCAAACCAAGCTCGATCACTTCTTTAATCTCCTTGATTTGCTGGTCAAGACCTCCGATCATATCGTATGTACTATCCGGTACTTTTTCGACCATCATAAGGGAGACGAGGGGGTCAACGGACGAAGGTAGCATCTTCTCTAGCTTGTACGAGTCGGACATTAATGACACACGTTTGCCAACCGTAAGTTTTGCAATATCGACACCATCGGCAACATCGACGACTGCACCCTGTTAGCCTCTTGTAAAAGCGAAAACTCAATAGATGTGAACTCACCGTATTTGCCTTCTGGATGGACTTTGACCAAAACCTTTTTCGTCGACATCACCTTCACAACCTCACCGACGTACGAACCAGGCTGTTGCAATAAGCCCAATTCCTCCCGTAATAGCCGTACTCTCGAGTTGTAATCATTTCTCTGTGCTTCTAATCGTCTCAAAACAGCCTGGCCCTTGATGATTTCGAGCTTCATGCTCTCTATCTTGTTGCGGAAGTAGTTGTCAAGCGCCATTTTGACGACGATGCGGAAGGGTGATATGGGAGTTGGCTGAAGTAAAAGCGGCTATGCCAGCGACAGGAACCGAGAGAAGTGAAACTATGCCCGTCCTTTCTCTATAGCTGGCGAAGGAGAAGCGCGAAGTCGAATGGGAGCCCAAGAGGCGAATGTCAATGGAATGCTTGTTGTCCGCCTGTTGCTGGAAGCTTCAGGTCATGATTAGTCAACAAGAGCTTTGCCAGCGGCACACTAGCCACAGGCACTATTCTAGAAGCAGTTTGGCGCCTTGAGCTTCTGGCGTTCACATCCGAGCCTTGCGCATGTGTTTGTCCCGTTTGTTTATGGCTTGATCGACGTTCGCCGGCATGACCAGCAACCATCACGACGTGAAGGTCATGCGGGAGGTTTTACTGAAGGATTGCACCATGCATCCATGACGGATTCCTTTTGTGGGTAAACCAAGAAACTGTTTGTGCAACAGACCCCAAGACTGCCGGTTACGCTGTCTGGCGTCTATAAACACTTCGGTTTCGGCGTCTCCTCGACAACCCTGCCCACTGAGAGCCGCAGTTTAGCTACCATTGCCGGGCGTCTATCCACTCAGCTGGACTCGTTTCTCTTCAATGTTGAAGAATTAGTTGAGATCTTCTGTTACCGCCTCTGATATGCACAACTTGAAGCTTGCGTATGAATCAAATTCCCAGTCTGCAGACGTGGCTCGCGTCCTACTTCCTAGCTGAACTTAGCGTATTTCCAGGGCGAGACCATGGCTTCCCACAATGGTGACAGTGACGCATTGCGCGAGATTTCTGGTTCCTCTTCAGCATCCCCCACCGAAAGATATATCAGCGAAGGTCGTGGCAGCTCATCGGGAGAGGCGAGCATACCACGCCCAGGACCGTCCTATGGTGCGACTTTTTGATATCCATTTTTTCGCGACTTAATCACATTTGTTAGCTGATGGTTTTGAATCCAGGTACCATTGACCGGTCCCCATTGGCTGTACCGTTAGAAAGCGGGCCGGAGTATCAAAGCTTTCAAGCGTCATCAAGCGTCCCTGACTTCTTGCGAGGTCCAGGACTTGACCCTCAAAATCCCGAACGAACACCTAGAAAACCCCCCACAGTGCGACGTGCGTCGTCTAAACCCTACAGAGGTCAAGAATTTTCAGTTGATGACGACGTCTCCGAATATGAAGAAGATAACGCCTTACGGAAAGCATCTTCAAGGACTCCAGCCAGGCCGTATGGAACATTAAGGAGGAGGCTCAACCCGCAGTCACCTGTCATGCAGCAAGTCGAGTCCGGAGATGAGGACCAAGCGAACAATCAGGATGACAGAGATGATTCAGGATCGCCCGAAAACAACGGCGGTGATGACAATGGTGAAGAAGACGAGGGAAGTACTAGTGATGCCGAAAGCTTTACTCTCAAAGATCGTCAGCAGGCAATTAACCAAACCCACCCATTTGGCATTAGAATCTGGAAGCCTGCTCTATATAAGAAATTCCGCTCTGTTCAGAGAACTGCCGAAGGAGACATCCATTCTGCGCCTGGAGAAGGGGTAAATAACTTGCTTTTTATTGTCAACCTCTTGTGGACAATTCTTTTCGGGTGGTGGCTAGCTCTAGTTGCCTTGCTTGGCGCGTGCGCCTGCTTTTTGGTAGGTTTTATGCCCGACGCGGCCGCATATGGGAAAGTATTCTTTGGCCTTTCGGGGTACCTAGTGTACCCTTTCGGGTCTTTTGTCCGTCTTCAGTCCGATGAAAACTATGCTGAGGAAGATGAAGGTGAAGGCCGAAGCATCAGTGAGTACGAACAGTGGCAAAGTGGGGATCTAGAACACGGCAGGCTGTTTTTTGGTCCAGTGGGCCGTCGGTCACTAGTTGGTCGCCGAAGAAATAGCCTGGACTCCTCAGGAGAATATGAGAGTCTCCTTGGTCGTCCAGGAAGAGGCCAGCGATCCGACAGTCCAACTCATAAGAACAAAAGACGTTTCTTCGGCCGAGGGGAATGGACCTTGGGAAGAGCCATATTCTACAGTTTCTTTTATTTGCTTGTTGGACCCCTAATGCTCGTCGTGTCACTCACATGCTGGATGCTGGTTTTCTGGATACCAATGGGCCGTGTAATGATTATCCTACTGCACCATCTGCGTCGACATCCTCTGGCCGTCTCATTCCACTTGGACAGTACATACACGAGATCCCCTACGCACCCACCCTCGTCCATTCTTCTCTGCACATATCGAGCTGCCGGGCTCAAATACTGGAAATATACAGTTGACGGGACGAACATATTTTTCATCAACCTGCTAGGGGTTGTCGTTTTTTCCATTCTGGATTATTGGCTCCTCCACCGGACTCTTCAAATCGAGGCGTGGGTTACCAACACTGGCCTGATATTCATGCTCGCGCTTCTTTCTATTATTCCCTTGGCATACTTTATCGGACAGGCCGTAGCATCGATTTCTGCCCAGTCATCAATGGGTCTTGGTGCGGCTGTAAATGCCTTCTTCTCAACCGTTGTGGAGGTGTATCTTTACTGTGTTGCTCTCACCGAAGGAAAAGCCCGGCTTGTGGAAGGTAGCATTGTCGGCAGCATCTTCGCCGGAATTCTCTTTCTCCCAGGACTGTCCATGTGTTTTGGGGCCATCAAACGCAAAACTCAGCGATTTAATGTCAAATCAGCTGGTGTTACCTCAACGATGCTTTTGTTTGCTACTGTTGCTGCATTTGGTCCGACATTATTCTATCAGATATATGGAAGTGTAAGTCCATAAACATGTTGAAGTTTACCTTGCTGCGAAACTGATAGCTTATTTTTTAGCATGAACTCTACTGCCATCCATGCTCATCACCACGTCTACCAAGTGACAAAGACTGTCGTCGATGTTATTTCTCTGAACTCCCTTCCTTTAAGAATAAGTTCTTCATCCAAGCAGTGCAACCTTATTCTTGGTTTGCTGCTACATTGTTATTCCTCTGCTATGTCATTGGTCTTTGGTTTACCCTGCGCACACATGCTGCAGTAATTTGGTCTACTGAACTTGATGAAAAAAAGGTATCTCCTCCGCAAGAGCCTCCAGGGGCTCCCCAAAAAACACATGGTGCTGTTAATGGCCGACAGCCGCCTCAAGGACACAACACCAAGGGGTCTGTTCGAGACTCCCAGCTCTATGCTCGCATCCTGGGACAATCCCTAAAACAAGTCGGCCTATCACCCAAGGACGATGATGAAGGACTACAGCAACCCAAACAGCAGCCAGCTAGTGATGGACAAGCCTCTCTTCCTCATGTCGTACCCCCAAAGAGCAACGAACCCCACTCTCTTAATCTGAGATTACCAGGGCTATCTGAGGAGCAGAATGAAGTCTTCGTTCGCCAAGTTACCGAAGTAGCAGCGACAGCTGCAACCTTCGCCGCTCGTGATGCATCTCGACACCCAAGGAAGGCCTCGGTTACTGCTCATACTTCCGGACCACATGGACATAAGCCCGTTGTTGGCCAGCCTGGCAGTGCCCCTGAAGATATCAATGAAGCTGCAGTTTTCCATGAGCCACATCCACCAACCGGTGGGCACGATGCGCCCAACTGGAGCAAATTGAAAAGCTCCGTTATACTTCTCAGTGCTACACTATTATATGCAATTATAGCAGAAATCCTTGTCAATACGGTTGATGTGGTTCTTGAAAGCGTTGATGTAGATGAAAAGTTCCTTGGGATTACGCTCTTTTCACTCATTCCCAACACAACGGAATTTTTGGTAAACGCTCATGTTCCAATCCATTCGATATACGGAGGATTTACTGACCTACCCTGTGCACTGTGTAGAACGCTATTTCTTTCGCTATGAATGGCAATATCGCTCTCTCAATGGAAATCGGCTCCGCATACGCCCTTCAAGTCTGCCTTTTACAGATCCCCGCTCTCGTCTTATTCAGCGCTATCCACACCCGATTCTATGTTGATCCGTCTGAGCTCCTCAGCCATAGTTTTAAGTACGGCTCCTCCCTCCCAAAACAATAATTGTCTCTTTCTTCGAGTACTGCCCTACATCGCGTTTTATCTCACTAACATTCGAACTAAACAGTCTAATTTTCCCGCAATGGGACATGATTACCGTGATTCTTTGCGTTTTCCTGCTTTCGTATGTTTACGGCGAAGGAAAAAGCAATTATTTCAAAGGCTCTATTTTACTGCTTACGTATCTGTTTGTAATTATGGGGTTCTTCTTGACAAGGTATAATACCATGGAAGCCAACGGTGTTGATCGGTTCGATACCTTGGCTTTGGGGAGAGGGGCTGTACTACTTACCTCTCCGGGAAGTAAAGGAATGTGAGCTTTGCGTATCACAGAGGGCAAGCGGATGATATGATGGTGACATTGGTGAGGATAAGTTGTGTAGGGTGAACGTCTTGCTGCGGCGTGCTGACCGAGGCACTCTGTATATCTTTTGAGAAGGTTACCTTAAGACAAGGTGATGCACATGACCTTTTTTTTTTTTTTTTGGTGGGGGGGTTTACTATGGTCATATCCAAAGGGGCTTGTTCTGTATGATAGCTAATTTTTACTTTTAAGAGTCCGGTCTCAACAAAGACTTTTGGCGTTCATTTTCTAAGTATGCATTGTTTCGTTTTCTCATGGTCCCAAATTCGAGACTTCCATATAATGCTCTAAGACCACCAGTCCAAAGTCCTGATGATGCTAAGTACTCCAGCCTACGATTGCCGCATCCACATTCTTCCGGTATTCCTGTTGCTGGTAGCACTGCTCCAAAAACACTTTATACTTCACCTCTAGCAATGCTTTTTCAAACTTATCCTTTGTCGGATGCACTGCTTTACCAGGCTTGCTCATTCGGTCCATAATATCCCACAAGTCTTCAGTTTTACCGTCTTTATCCGCACTGGCAGCTTTAGCGCCAAGCATAGCAGCACCGTGACACACAGCTGCATGCACATATCGAGGTATCAACACGGGCATGTCACAAGCCGAAGCAATAAGCGACATAAGGATATCATTCTGGCACTGGGAGCCAGACATAAAAATGGACGTGATATTGTGACCAGTTTTGTTCATAGTCTCGACAATTTGCCGTGTCTGAAGGGCGATGAATTCTAGAGTGGCATAGTAGTAGAGAGCAAGGCCGCTGACTGACTTATCGCTCGATAAACCGATAACGGAGCCTGACATGGTGGGATCTGCAATTGGCGAACGGTTGCCGAAGAGGTCGCCGTAAAAGAAGAAATGACGACCCAAGTAAGAGACACTAGGAGCATTGGACTCCGCAACTAATTCTTTGAGATGTTCGTTGAGGTAATCGTAGATGTTTGTGTGATAGGACTCAGCGATCGAGAGCGCTTGATTGAATGCAGGATGGGTTTCGATAACGTGCTTGAGCAGTTCGCCAGTGGCTGATTGGCCACCTTCAGCCATCCAGTAGCCCGGGATAATCGTGTCGCGATATGGACCCCACACTCCAGGGACAAAGACCGGATTAGGTGACATGGCAAGATGGCATGTAGAGGTTCCAGCCACGGCAGCAAGTCGTGTGAACGCTTGAGTTTTGTCATTCTTTGCCGCATCGGAGCTGAGTAGATCAGCGCTCAGTTGAACCTTTGCACCAACGGTACCGATCCACCCAGCGTATGCATCAATGACACCACTTCCAACAGCGATTCCTGGAGGGAGACCGAGCTCACTCGCGGCCTTTTCACAGAGCGTACCAACCAACTCTCCAGCACTAAGATATTCTCCGTTCTATGCAGGTCGTTAGGCTGGAATTTACTATATTGTACGGAGTATATTGGCGGGTGCTTGGTCAGAAGGTAGAGGTAAATACTTACTTGGCCAATGACGCCGCCCATTCTCCTGAAATTGTCCTTTGTAAGGTCCTCCAGCCCGATGTCCTTCAGAAAATCTTCCTGCCACCCCTTCACGCTGCCATCCACACCGACAGGGACATATCCCTGCTTGCAGACTACACTGCAAAAGCTCCTCTTTTCATTTCCTGTGGCAAGGTGGGTCAAAGCATCGGCGAGATCGTAGAACTTGCACCGGTCGAAAAGCTCCTTCGGCATGTTATTTTTCAGCCATAGAACCTTAGGAATTTCCATCTCGATGGACATCTTCCCTCCCACATAGCGAAGCAAATTGTGGCCTGTAGCATTGATCTTTTCTGTCTCTTGGACGGGTCGATGGTCGAGCCACAGGATGATGTTGCGCTCGGTATCGAAATTGGGACCAGTCACGGACAGGGGCTCGTCGGTATCCTCTGCAAACACTGCTAGGGAGCAAGTGGCGTCGAATGCGATACCTTTGATTGATCCTGGGTTAATGTTGTGCTGACTTATAGCACGCTGGACTGAAATGCAGATGCAACGCCAGATGTCGGTTGTAGATTGTTCCTACGTTTCGATGATCAATCAGCATATGCCAGTATCAGGCGCTAGGTCACAAGTCTTGGAGAGAGAGAGTGCCATCATGACGATGAGCGGACACCTACATAGTATCCCTGCTGGGGCTGCCATAAACCAATGTTTTCTGAGGCTAAGCCGACGATGTCACCTTTATCATCGATGATGCAAGCGCGCGCGCTTCCAGTTCCCACGTCGACACCGATAAAGTGATCCATCTGGACACTGATCTCGTTACGAGGATCCATGCTCGCCTGCCTCGACGACGCCTGGCGAGAGGAGCGGCGGTAGGGGAGGGATGTTGTCATTTTGAAAGAGGGTGGGAGAGCAAGTTTTGTAGTCGAGTTTCGGGTCGATATTTGGCTCGGCAAGTGCCGCTGACGGAAGTGAAGTTGGAAATGTGCCGCGTGGACCGCTGGCTGCCAAGTGTGCCTGGAACTGCGATCGAATTGTTAGAGCGACTGTGTCCAACTAAGTCCATGATACATACGAGCTTTGAGCAACCTTGGGTCGACGGTCAGGAGGACGCGGCAGAGGGTGAGGTAATTCGCCCATGCAGCCCTCGCGGTCTTTGCGCTACGTACCTCTGGTAAGTTCACGTTTACTCTGTTCCAGCTCCAATGTCAGAACAACATCCAAAGCAGCGATGGACTTGACTGAGCAAATGATGGACGGATTTGCTTGCGTTGTATGTGTACTGAGACAGCTGCTTTGGCTGATTTTTGCCCAGAACAATGTCTTACCAAGGGCTTTTTAAAAAGGAATTTCTCTGTCTTTGTCTGCCAGGTCACCGAAGAGAGATTTGAGTGTATCAAACCCGGTGGATGCTTGCATCAGTATCCACACTTTCTGCAAAAGCTTATCTCGACCGACATCTACTGGAGGACTCCGTTTCCAAGAGCAGGGGCCCCCTCCCGGAGTTACCATGTCACAACGCATTCACTGCTCGACGAAGGGTCTGCATCAGTCGATGCGGCTGCGATGAAGCCCAAATCCGCCAGCGGAAATGGTGAATCCCAGCCCCTATGATGCGAGATAAGGCACTTCATTACACTGCATTGCGTTGTATCGAATGCCCAGTCAGGGCTCGTCACGCACACCGACATGTTATCTCAAACCAGTGCCCCAAGCCCAGATCTCCAGCGGCACTTCCCAATCCATCCTCTCCGGAGCTCGCGGCCGAACTCGAGGGCAGCTTGATGTGGACCATTCTCCACAAGCGAACCCTGCCACTTCAACTGATCAGCGGCACGAATGCGTTCAGGTGACCCACTGGCGGAGACCCGAGGCAAGGCTGGAACGCAGACAAGGCCAATCACGGCCATATCTTTTCCAGCGCCGACCATCGTGGCCGGGGAAGCGTGCGCGTTGGCTCCGTCAAAGTCCGCCCCAGAAAACATGCTTGGAGGCAAGATTAGATAAGATAATCCCGGCGACTTGTTTTGCCGGCGCCGTCCCCCCGGCCTAATTCCAATACAATACAATACGGTAAAATTCTGAAAATTTCGACAGCTAGACCAAAGCCGGAATAGCTAATGCAATATCATGCCTTTCCATTTTAAGACTAGCGCTTATTGGCCAAATATCGTAGAGACGGAATACACAGGAGGGAAGAGCTTCGCAGCTCTGATGTCGGATACAAGTCTGAGGGAGACTGGGAAGCCCACGAGCACCGCTGCCTTGAAACTTCCAAAGGATCTCGACAGCCAATTAGGCTGCCCGGTGATTAGTTAGAATGCACTGGCCTGAAGCGCTCTCGTTCCTCCTCATTTCCCTCCTCTCCTTCGTATCCTCCGTGGCGGCCTCAACTTCCACTTCACCCCAAAACACCGACATATTCTACTGGCCGCTCTCCGCATCCTCTCCCTCACAAGCCTCCCGGCTCGCAGAAGTTTCCTACGATCCCGTCACTCTCCAAACATCCGTCCGCTCATATACTCCACCCCAAAAACAGTCAAATGAGGACCTACTGCGCATTGGCCTATTCACCGATGCGTCACAGAAGCACTGGGTGGGAAGCTTAACGTCCTTTTCAGCATTCAACAACAGCGCAATCACTCCCAATCTAAGCTTATATCTCAGCCTAGATAATGAGGTTTATAGCGTCGCGGTTTCTGCTTCGGCCTTGACAGCTAGCGAAGGGAATCAGAATCTCAATGTCGAGATAGTCAGACCGACTCCCGCCCCCACACCGCATTTAAACAGACCCATTGTACTGAAGGAGGATGGAAAGGAAACCGAGGAGATTATTGAGAAATCATTTATACAAAAGTATGGACCTGCTCACCAGCTTTTTTTCCCCTTTATTCTACCACTTCAACTACGCTTCCTCTGTGCAAGTCTGACAAGTATCGTTTAGGTATTGGTGGGCTATCCCAATTGTATTGTTCTTGGTGATAGGGGGTGGAGGCGAGGCGAAATGAGCCAGGTCCTTCCATCTACATCACAAAAGGCGTGGATATAAACAGAATTCAAAAAAAGTTACCAATTGATCCTCTTGGGCATTAACTTGGTTCGATGGAGCTACAGATCTAGAACTCAGAGATACCACATACACACTGCAAAACGCAAAAACTCGTTCACTGGCTTCACCCTTCCAAGTCTTGTGATAGAAGACTCGACCAAAGCATTCTCCAGGCTTTGGACGGCAAACACTAGATGAATCTGTCAAGATCCGACTCCCCATCTGTCTCAACCTTAAATTTCTATCCGGAAGTTCAGAGATAATTGCTGAACCCTCAGCCAATTTTAGCTTCCTTTCGGCTGCCGTCTCATAGTTGAGCCCTCTCGCTCAATTTTTTTTAATTTTTATTTTTATTTTTATTTTTATTTTTTTGGATTTCTTCATGATTTCTTCAATATCTGCAAACTTCAAGTTTATCTTTCCTTTCTTGCATTTTGTGCTTCGTGGGGTCTCTATTCGACTAAGAGCTGCTGGATAACTTTCCTCTCGGGCAGATCGTCTGGCCTTGAATGAATTCCATTCTGTTGAATATGCGAGAGATTTCTCGACATACTACGCGGATAACTCATAAATCTAGAAGACATGAAATTCAAATTTTCTGGTGTGGTAAAGCATTCCGAAGCCTGCACGGGATATTTTCACCTGAGATAAATTTTATGCTCTCCGCGTCATGAAATCCTATGGCACTACTACATTTCTTCATTTTCTGTGAATGAGTATTGTTATTTGCGAGAAGAAACTGAACTACCTTTTCTCAAGCACAGATGCACTCTGTAGGTAGATGGAAACCCTCGAAATCCCCTTTCCCTTTACCAGTTGTACTGAGAGAGCTGGACAGTTAACTACTCCTCCGAAGATGAGAATAGACTAGCCCAAGGGCCGGTTGTTCGGGGTGGCTGGGTGTGGAAGCCACCCTACCCATTTTTTTTCATCTTCTGGTTTTTTCTTCACTTCGATGGAGTTTCCACTCCTCGAAAGTCGTCGTTAATGTTCTATCTCTTGTCCTTCCAGCCCCATCCCGAGTGTCGCGCCTGGATTTAGTTCTGGTTACTTTGCCACCGTCTGTACCATGAGGCTTCCATCCGTCCCAGGGTTGGTAGATATGATTTCGCCATCACCGTCGGCCACCCGCTCGACTGATCTCGTTGCTGGCAGAGTGTCAGATGCTCCCCTTCACTCGAATTACATCTGAATAGTGCCCACCTCTACGAAAGGCCAAACGTTTAAGATTTTGCAACGCGGGGCTGAGAAATTTTAGCTTTTCTAAAGCATGACTGCGTTCAACTTTTGACTCCGTCGTTTCCGCTGCAATAGCTTCTAGGGTCTTATCATCGAGATTCGTTACCACTTCAGGGTTGAAAATAAGAGGCAGTTTCTTGAGAATACATTGCTCAATGGCCAAAACCGCAAAATTGTCCACGACCGTTTTCATCGCAACCTACATGTGTAGGGTTATATTGAGATATTTGGATATGAGGGGGCTCCCATACTAACCTTGTAATAGGCTTCCATGTAGCATATCGCCTCCGATGCCGCGTACCGATCCATGTCTTGTTCTGTTTGCCGGAACAGGGCGGCCAAGAGGTTGTTTAGAGAAAAGTCTTTTCCTATGCGCCGATTCCCATCGAAATTTCCCAAAGCAAAGAAGTCACGTAAGCAAGTCTCAGTGTCTCTTTTGTTTCTCTTCTCACGAATCTTTTGGACATTATCTATGAAATAATGGTTATAAGTGATTGGGTGACCCTTTTTGTGGGGCTGGAGAATCTCCAGGATTTTTTTTTTCAAGGTGTCGGTGCAGCTCTCCATGGCTGGTGCTATGATTTCCATCTGAACAGCTTGCTGTGTCGTATCATCTGCACAATACGCTAGTGTGAGTTTGAGGAACTGCTGGGTCGCGTCTAATATCCTTTCAGCATAGCCTAGGATGATTTGCTCCCACTGACTTGCTTGTTCATAAAATAGATCACCGATTATCAGAGGATTAAATGTCCCGGGTAACTCCCTTCCCTTGCTTCGTTTCATTAGGGCATGGACTTCGCTGGTGAATTCGTCCCTTCTTATCTGCTGCGGAAAAGCTGAGTCGTCAGGCGTACTGTCGTCGTCCAAGATGGTTCGCTTGTGTCCCTTTTTCCGCATATCAGAGGCGAGCTCTCCTAGAATATTGCTCACGACTGCACGGAGGCGATGGCTATATCCTGTCTCAGAACTCGCATCACCAAAAAAATCGTCGCTATACACGCCGTCGATGGAAGCCTGCACTAGCGAAGTGAATAACTGGCTGATGCGAATCAAATGCAGCCACTGTTCGTTGACGGTGGACCGCGATGGACCAAGTCTTTCTAAGGTTCTCTCGCAGGTCTTGATGCCCTCTTCCACGTCTTTCCTCAAATCAGGTAGCTCGGAGATGATTTGATCTCTTAAGATGGCGCTCAGCCGGGGCTTCAACGCGCCAATACCCAGGATAGATGGTGGAAGCGAAGTCCACGCTCCTTCAGAGAAGAACTCCTTTTCCTTTTCGTCGCGTTCCTCGGCTGTGGAATCTCTTGTCTGATAGTCGCGATTTCGCAAAACGTGCCAACCAAGCCGAAAGACGATGTCTTCGTTGCTTGCTAGGTCAACAAAACTCTTTTCGTTTTCAGATCCACGGTGGAGCGTGTCCGGCTTTGTGATAATTCCAAGCGTCCGAAGCCCTTTTGGATCATGATTCCTCGCAAGTTTCGTGATAATCTGGTTGGCGAGGTCATTTTTGGCAGAAACCACCGCAAGAATAATGCTGCGGCGATTCTTCATGTATGAGTTTACGAGCGAAGATATCATGGCAACATCCGATGCTGAGTGCTGGCGCGTCTCAGAATGAACCACCCCCGGCAGGTCAACAAGAGTCAGGTGTGACTGATGGGGCCCACATATCTCAACCCGAAGTATGTCGTCGCTGATTGATCTCGCGTCCTTATCAAGGCCCATCGCCGTCTTTGCAGCCTCTATGACATTAGGAACATCCGCAACATCTGCAATAGGTGCACTGAATGCTTTTAGCTTCTGCTTTTCGTCATCTGGTCTCTCACTGCCAGGAATTATTTCCACTTTCGGCTTTTCTTCATTTCCCCGACGCAGAACAAGTTCAGTTGCGAAACGCGTGCAGAGGTTTTCTTTGGTTGGAAATCGAATGCCAGAGACGGCTTCGAGGACAGAACTCTTTCCGGATGATTGGTCGCCACAGACTATGAGTTGGAGTAGATGAACATAACGACCGATGCCCGCTGATCGAAGCGAGTCGATCACATTAAGTAGCTTCGCATGATCTTCGGATTGCAGAAGAATCTTCTGTGGTAAATCATTGACCCCATTCATCGTGACAACGATTAAAAAGACGATAGTATTTTTTAAGAAAGCAAGAACCTAGAATCAAGCGGGCAAGACCGGGCTATCTTTATAAAATCAATCATATATGGAGTTCTCGATATATGCAATGAATTTATCGACCTTTTTTTTGCTTTCGAAGTCCTTCCCTCCTCTTATAGAGGATGCGGGCCTACTTCTGACGAGTCAATATTTTATTTTGTTTTTTATTTTTATATTTATTTTTATTTTTATTTTCTTTTGCTCTTTTGGACTCATCGTCCGGCAGCAAGGGAAAGGAGCTGCGGCTCTGATGTGGGTATTCCCGTGATAAGCGACCCATGGAGGCGCGCCACGCTATTCCAACCATCATCGCGGACAGCCCAGTTTGAGATACATTGCAGGGCGCTGCCAATCGGAGCTGGGAGCAACGTACCGCGCGTTGCATGCGCTGAATCGGTCACGGAAAGATAGTCAAGCCCAAAAATGAGATGCAGGAACGAAAAGGTGTAATTCTAGCAATTAATGCCTCTGGGGTATTGTTCTCCTTCAAACTCCATACATACAATGCTTAACAGGATAAGGAACACCATCGATCAATGCACCCCCTCCTCCATGCCACGGTCCGGGGATTTCAAATCGATGGAAAAAATATTCAAGGAATCGAGCTTTGAAAAAGGATCTTTCTCTATTAGGATGAATCCAACCGCCTCTCAAGTATCAATCATTCCCACATCCTGTAGGTTGCTGGTACCGACTGCTGGACCAGTACCCTTACTTGTCTCCCCCATTGAAATCTTAGCATCCATATCCAGAAACTTCTTCACCTTAAAGCCCTTCCCAGCGGGGCCCAGATCCCACCTCATCAACCCCTTATCAGTCAAGGCAATAAGTTCATCCTCACTCTGCGAAAATTTCAAATTGAAACACACCGCGTCAGGTTGAAGAACAATCGGTTTTAACTCGACGAAACCGTGTTCTGATTTCATATTCTCCGGGTAATATTCCCATTCCTTTCCCTGCTGGCCTTCAATGATTACTTGGGGGTTCAGCGCCCAAATGTAGATCACGTTCCAGTTTGCGACGGCTATCCGTTTTCCCCGTGGCGAAGTGGCAACGAGTCCGGAGAGGGAGCTTTCAGTGTTCTGGTAGCCCCAAAGACGGGCCATGACAACCCACTGGTTGAAACGTCTGCCGCGGTCCAGGTTGGGCACATGTTGGCAGCGGGAAGAGCGACAACGAGCTTCTGAGCGAAGCAGGCAAGCAATGGTCCACTTTTCCGATTCATGACGTGCTATGCCGAGGGTGAGGTATTGCCAGCGGCACATTTGGCGGTATGAGTCTGCTTGGTAGGTTTCATGAGTACAGAAAAAGGGAATGCCGATGGAGAATCTAAGTAGTCTGTGGCCCAAGGTGACGTTGCAAGCGTTCTTCATCCAGCTGTGTCGTTGTTGAGCTGCGGTATCTAAAGCGAGCAAATCCCCGTATCTGTTGTATAGCGTAGATGACGGATGGTAATAAAGAACCTGAGACGCGTTATCATTCAGTTCAAGCCGTACGATGGGCGGTATGCATTGCAAAATGTTAGAGGCAGGGTCTGCATCTATGATAGGTTTAGAGCTGTACATTGCATCTATCAACTTTATTAGCATTTGATAGCGATCGGACGCCAAGCAGGTGACGCAAGCACGGCGTTCTCGAAAAGAAAAATTGCACAAACGGTCGTACTCACAGGTCCTTCCATCTTCCTCGACAGACGCGTCTTTAACTAAAGTATACATAAGCACCTGCCCCTGCAAGGGATACCGTTCATGCTGCCACGCTATGACTGCCATAGACGGATTCTGAACATCGATAGCGGTAGGGTGGAATCCTTCAACAGGCTGTAGCACTCCCACCGTAACCCGGGGCACCCTGGCAAATCCGGATATATCGGGATAAGTCACAAGGTGAAACTCGGCCTGCCGATAAGATTCCAGAGCTTCCTTCGCAAATGGGTGAGCGCGTCCGGCTTGACATGACTCTTCGATCGGCTCGTATTTCTGGAGAACGGCGAGAGATCCATCCCTGCAAAAGACCGTCTTGATTACCTCCACACGCCCAGGTTGATCGTACGGCACCTCGAGAATGCTTCGTAGCTTTGCCTCCTTGGACTGGATATGATAAAGCAGCACACGGCTGCCTCCCTTCTCGACCAGGGCAGCATTGGGATCCTCGCCCTCGCGCAACGCCGAAGTGCAATTGTCGATAATCCCACATTTGAAGATATAATTGGTCAAGTCAGAGTGGAAATTGGCACCATATAAGTGTTCCGCTGTGCGCGCCTTGAGGACGCGGAACAGCTCCTCGGTCTTCAGGTCATTGAGGGATGTCCTGGCGCCAGGAGTCCGCTTGAGGTGGTTCTTGATGACTTCACGACATGACGAAGCAATAGTGTATAGTGTCTGACATGTTGAAGAGAGTTGAAGGAAGCTTGGGGTGGAACAATGAAATAAGATGAGCTGCAGCAACTCGGGTGGAAGATCAAGGAGCTCCAATGGGCGCAGGCGATCCATGATGCTGGATGATGCTGGAGAGAAGTAGAAACACAAGCAAAAAGGGCTTAGACTCGTAGATAAATTCTCGAGGGTTGGAAGAAATAATAACAGGAGTAAGAGGACTAGTTGCCGGGCCGTGTGTCAAAAGCAATGCAAGTGATTGTTGACAGGTTGGATGTCACAGTCAGGCGGAATCTGAGGTGAAAATGGTGAGGTTGATCAAGCCACCTGCATCTCCATGCCACAATTAAATGCTGAGCCTTAGGAACTCCCCTCAGAGCTGAGCAGCTCCTCCTGGCCGTTCCCCCAATTTATAGGCTGACGGGAGTCTTGTTGATCGCTGGAGAGTTTCGCAGGCAGAAACAACCCGGGGTCCTGATTGGTGGGAGGCTCACCGCAGTGCCTAACGCTGGCTGAGCTCCCAGCGCCGCATCGGCCAGGCAACACACTCCGAGCCTGATGGGGCTTCTTCAAGAGAGCTGGGTTTTACAGCTGTGAAGCGCAAGGTTCCAAATTCTGATGTGGCAGTGAATTTTTGGTTTTTTTTTTTTTTGGAGCAACACTGGATGAGCGCGCAGAGTTTAGACACCCAAGTCTATCCGACTAATTAGCTAACAATACCTCGCAATCGTCCGAAAAGAATACTATTTAACTAGCCAGCTGTCCTGCTGCTAGCAAAGAACAGAAGCAAAAACATAGCAAAGAATGCTGAATACACTGTAAGGATTCTAGGTTCATAACGTCATCAGGTGGTGGACATTCGTCCCTCAGAATCAAACCCCACGTTGGGTTCCATGAGCATGCTGTAGGTAGTAGGTAGTAGGTAACAAGGCTGAACATAGGTCTTTTGATCCCACTTCCCCAAACACCACCAATCCTGCTTCCAGAAAGATGCAATACCTTTGCCAAAAGAACAAATCATTATGCTGAACACCGATCCTCCAATCTTTTAACCTGATTATTGTCAATTCTCTTTATTTTCCGGCTGGGACGCCAACCATTCTAGAATACTTTCATAGCATAATACAAACTGCCGTAGGCTTTGCACCATACTCAGTCGTTGGCAACGGAAATCTTCGACTGTGCTGGCTATCAAATCGAGGTCATCACGGTACACCCAGCCATCTTCACCTTCACCACGTCTCCTTTGCCGTTTGAGCATGTCAATAACACTGTCAATTGTACAGAAGGTGCCTGTTCGACCACAGCCTGCACTACAGTGGACGACGATCTTTCGTGGATCTGGAGGCTCGGGGTCCTGTATGCATTCCGGCCCTCTGCCATTACTGGCGTTTGAAAATTTGTTCGTCTCTTCAATGACTCGAAGGAGATGCGCCGGCCGGGAAGGGGTGCCGAAATCAGGCCAGTGCGAGTATTGGATCTGTGTGATTTCCCGTAAGGGCTCAAAAGGTAGAGATTCGTGGATTATGGTGAGGTGCCGGACGATCATATAGAGCTCCTCGAACGAACTCGGACCTGTTGACTCCCGCCGGCTATGTGTGCGTTTGTTTGGAGATAGCGGTGGGACATGTAGAGGGACTTTATATTCATTCATCAGTGTCACCCTAAATGGGCCATAAGCGTTTGATTGCCAATACGGATGGCACTTCAGTTGCAGCCCTTCCGACTCGGCAGTCAACATGACGATCAATCGAGCATCTTGCTCCCAAACGACGTGCCAAAAGTCCTTCAAACTCACCAGTTAGGACAGTTCCAGGAGGCCGAGGTCGGCCCGGTAAATGGGGACCGGGGGGGGAACTCACCTTGAATGTGCTTGGAAGCGGCGCCTGCGTGGCAATGTAAAGCTTGTTCGACCGACTGGCCTTCACGTAACTCGCATTTACATAGTCGCAGGACCCCTGGACGGTACTTCCCAATCTAACACGACAATGTTCATAGGGATAAATATTGTTATATCGATTCTTATTGCCCTGTTCAAGTCCTGCAATACGATAGGACGACTTTGAGCCTTGTGCTGTCGCGCTGCCGTATGTCCCGGAATCCGACAATGCTTCTTGCATGCGGCATTGCTCTGCTTTTTCAATCGCCAGAAATTTGTTGGATACTGATTTGCCATTGTCCTGAACATCAGCTGCCTTGGCGAGCCATGAAGGCAATGAGTTCCTCGCTCGCTCTGTCAGTGTTGATGGAAGCTTTATGGGTATTTGCCCAACTCCATTCACCAATTCAGTACTCTGGCGAATACTGTTGTACATTGGATTGAGAGAGGGTGTAGACGGGGGAATAAGACATCCTCCCGATATTGACGATGGTCCTGAAAATGATAGACTAATGGATAAAGGTTGCTTTGGTGGTTTCATAGGAGTTTCGTCTGGTTTTTTCTCGACTAAGTCCGGAAACTGGACGGAGAACTGCGAGAATCCTCCCCGCAAAATCATTGGTTCTCCACTCCATCCTTCGTTTGTGAATTTCTTTAGGACGTTTACCAGAGCAGACGCATCTTTGATAAGGGTTGTAGCCGCGTCGTACACGACAATCTGCGAGCTATTGTGCCAATTGGAGAATTTTTCTTTTTCGTCGTCACCTGCAAGGGTATCTTTAAGTTTCTCCAAATTGAATGACGGCCTCTTAAGTAAGGTTGTCGGAATGCACAAGTTCAGAGAACCTTTAATTCTACCCTGAGAATACTGTGGATAGGGGCGGATATCTAATACCAGAGTCACGTCCGACTTGGTGCTTAACAAATCTTTGCAGCATTGACTCGAAATCATCTTTACGCTACCATTGTCAACTGACGCCGGAGAGGTCTCGGATCGTTGAAGACTTGGTAGGCCCGAACCGTACGGGGAGAGCGCTGGCGCAGATGCCGTTGCTGGTAGGCTGCCCTGGTCGAATGGGCGTGATGGGCCAGGACGTGTGACATGGACTGTCGGTATTGGTGGTTGAAGTGGGCTAGATTTCCGGTCCTGGGGGGATTTCAGCTGGTGTCCTTCTTTTTGAATCAACTTTTGGCTTTCCCGTACTGGGGTTTGTTCAGCGTTACCAAACTGCCCCTTCCATGGCCACGCTGGGGGAGTGTAGAACGGTGTCGCCGCCACGCCGGAGGTTTTGTCACTATCATGGTGCTGTGTAGACAATGTACTCAAACTTTGCCAGCTCGCGGGGAGGATATTCGAGCCTGAAACGTCCGGCCCGGGTGTTGATTGGAAGGGCCTCTGACCCCTTGTATAGATGCTGGGATGTACCAGGGGTGTGGCATCTCTAGAGATCTGGGGGGGGAAATGAATATGAAATGTGCTAGTATCGCCGACTATGTTGAAGTAGCTGGGACTTGCGTCACGTAATGGCTGCGAATCGATATTATTGTTTCCAGCCCGGAAGGGCGTTGCAGCTTGGCCCACAGAAGGCGGTGTGGCAATTTCGTGCTTTCCGCTGGGTGTGGTCGAAGGGAAGCCTCCAGGGCTCCATGACCCTGAAGGCGAAGGTTTCGAAACTGTTGTCGTCGACATATCAGGTAATTCAGCATGTAGAGCCAGGCTTTATCTGCCGTATTCTCTACTAAGGAAGTATGCAAGGCTGATAATTCAGCGCTGTCGCCATACTTCCTTCCTTAAAACCAGGTACGTTGTAGTGACCGGGTGCGTGCAATCTTATATGGAGCGATCGCCCGGGTCCGGGTGAGTGAGGGCCTGGGTTTGAAATCGAGGAAACCGTGGAGGGAGGGCTTCAGGATATCGCTCAGAAGGAGATAACCAATCGTTTTAGGTTGCGGCTGGAATTTGTGGCCAACCGCGTCGAAAGATACTCGAGGTGTCTTTGCTTTTGTTTCCAGGGGGGAGGGGGGAAAGAATGAGTCTTGTGCGACAGTGAGGGGATTAGGTGGATACACAAAAAGCGATAACTGAGGATGGTGGCATGAGTTAGCAACGAAGGAGCGTCACAAAGGCATGGTGAAGTTATATAAAGGATGAAGAAGCAAGGACAATGGCTTGCCACGGGATGAGGGTTGAAGGAAGCCAAAAAATTAGATGATACATAGGGGGGTCGGTGTCAGCGGAGGAGGTGGTGGTGGTGGTGTGGGCGTGGAAGTTACTGTAGATCGTTTAGTGAACAAAGTTTAGTTTGCGGGTTGGCTATTATGACGTTATGCCGAAGGCCGCGCTTCGATGGCCAGGGCCTAGCCACTCTCGCCACTGACACCACCAACCGCCAACCACCAACGAACGAACGCAGGAACCAAGGCAGTGTGGGATACCGGGTACCTCCCAGGCACCACACGGTCGCAGTGCGAGCGGGTAATGGCAATATGGAAATGCAATCGTACCACAGAGCAGGCAGCTGGCTTGTCACGCGGGAGCCATCGCAGCCATTCTCTTCTGTCCTCACTTCCAAGTCGCTCTTCTTCGACCTACGAGGCACAAGCGCAATACGCAGCGGCAGTCGGCACGAAGGGACTGTACATTAAAAAAAAAGAAAAAGGGAAAAAGGGAAAAGACTTCGCCCCAACGCTCTTTTCTCGTTTTTCTCCGCACTCGTAGGTTCGAGAATCGAAATAGCAACTCCTTTGGCCTTCACGATATCGCGACGGTAGAAACCGGCAGACGGCGCCAACTGGAGCGAAGACAGACCGGCGGCGGGAAGAGATTTTCCTCCCAGCCGCGCGCGCAGAAAAAGGGGAAGGTTCCCTCCAGCGCAGCCGGTCAGTTACATAATCACAGCCGAGCCAGATTTGTCCTGAACTTGAACTTAGGTAATCGCCAAAAAGTCTATCCCAGTTGCTTCTCGCCCGCAAGCGGCGCTGCTCGATCGTTCTCGGCGGCGGATTCTTGCCGTACACGGAGCGCTTCGGCCCTTTGCTGGCTGATCCCATGATGAAGCTTCGGGTCCAGGCAAAAGCCACTACGGAGTACACTAAGTTACAACTACACCTTACTCTCGCCACATGCAGCCACTTTGGTTTTCGTCCAGCACACTCGGCAGAGCTATGTGCTTGATAGTGTGCCGTCGACTCCAACTCTCTTTTTAAAAGGCGGAGGACAGGTCAGAGTCTGGGGTTGCCGCGGTTTTGATGTATCCACCCCCAGAGTATGGAGTATGGAGCGTGGCTTGATTGTAACGAACCCCTTGCACTCCGTACGGGGCATTAGAACGGAGTACGGAGTATCCTCGAGGATCATCTGCATACCGCCCCCACGCACGGCATCATGGAAAAGAAAGCGCCCTGTGCCGAATTGATGGAAGAACAACGTTTGTACATTTTACTGGGCGATCCGCTCGACCTCTCCGCGAGGCGAGTGACGTAGTCGGAAGGCTCCGTCAGTCAAAAAGCAATGAAATGATTATTATCATTTCTGGGTCAGTGCGCGGTTGACTTGTCTTCAATTTCGGAACCAAGCCTCGAGCCAAACCTTCCAAGAGTTTGGAGATGTCTAGAACTTTGCCGCCACAAACCTACTTCCAGAGAGTCATATGTCGGGGCCTCTCGTTCAGAGACGTGAGCTTGACTTCAAATTACATTCCTCCGATGAGCATTCCTAGAATTATCTTGTCAGTCAAGTTAGGGAGGCCTGATGCGATAACCAACCAATACCCCTTGGCGATATGTAATCCAACTTCCAAAGAAACAGGGTAAAATCGCAGCCAGCATTGAGACATTGCACTTTCGACTCGGGTCGTTTGGTCAAAATATTCCCGCTAGTGAAAAGAAGGTCCTCCAAGAAATGCCCTCTTGGTATGGCGCATCTTCTTCGTCCACAGATCGGTGGCTTGACGTACTGAACCTTCAAAAAGGTACATGACGGGGCGGGAAGCTTCAGTTCAACCTTACCTTTCGGGCAGGTTTCTGGATCAACAGTTTCGCGGATTAACGTAAGGCCGTACACTGCGTGCAGAAAACCTTGGTTCATTGAGCGAATACTGGAAAAATTTGGGCAAATCTTAGACCAGTGGCGCAGTGGTTAGCGTTGTCCACTTATGTGTCTCCTGCCATAAGTTCACTTTTCGTGGCACGATACTCATGCCATGGACGGGTCCCGGGTTCGAATCCCGGTTGGTCTACTGGTTTATTTTTTATTCTTTTTTTATTATTATTTCGTTTCATTACATCTTCGTCTCGATCTCCGTCTATCGAGGTGCTATCTTCAGAGGAGGAAATTATATGCATTTCTGTCTCATTCGCAGGTATGAGCAATCAACCTGGTCACTTGGCGCGGCTGCCAGGGGTGAAAGCCTAAAAGGTCTCGCCGTCTAACCACGCAACAAACACCCCGTCCCTATCGCCTTCGAGAGCCAGAACTTGTTTGCAGGAGGAGAAGAGGCGGCCAGAACGATACTGTGAGGTTGGTTTCAGAACTAACCTTCTCTCTACAACCTTACCCCGGCTAGCTTCAAAGGCGCCTGTCTAGATTTTGAGATTATCGATTTGGTCTTGCAATATACAGCAGATCAGGTACATACATGCATCTTGAGCGTAGGCAGGTACCGCATATCATACACACCAACAAATCTTCATTCCAAGGAATTCAATCCTGCCAAGAGAAACCTACTAGCCCTGATTTATTCTCGTTGATCATGCCCGCTTCGAACAGGGAACTGCCAAATTCCGAGGTGCTTGCAAAGAGAGATAAGCTGCTCTCAGCTGACGCAATTGCAACGGCTGTGGTGTCGCGTGGCTTCGGATATTGTTGCACCGGGCCGCAAGAGCTTTGACGCCCTTGGAAGAAACAGCCTTGCTGAGTTTCTCACGGGATCCTTCGCCCATCTCCACAATTATGGCAATTGACAAAGCAAGCAGTTGTTATAATCGCCCTAAATGTTCCGGGTCGTGTGGAGCGGTAGTGAGAGGAGTGGCGGAATCTGGTATTCGAGTTCGCTCTTCAATTAACTGAGCCTACCATCGGGTTCTCCCTTCCATCGCTGCACTCGCTTTTGCTCCCAATTATCCAAATCTTTCGCCATTAGTCTCTAAAAAAAAAAGGGAAAGGGGAATAGTTAGCGTTTCAATTTCATCTCGAATTTAGGGAGAGCCTGGAATTCCCGGCATACGTAATATTCTTCTTTTTCACTGCCCAAAACTCTTCTCCGTGGATTCATTTTAATATCATTCTCCCCATCACCGTCGGGGCCCTTGATCCCAAGAGCCAATGCTTCTTGCTGGCTGACTTGCTGGACCTTCCGGTCATGCCGCTCGTACCGTAGAGCAGTTGCAGGAGTCAAAACAAAAGAGCCGGCAACCATCAGACTAAGGAACGGAAGACCAAATAGTAAAAATGGGTGCTTGGATAAATGTGCTCGGTACATTTGGCCGATCCGGTCGCCGAGGGTTGAACCTGCGGATGTCGACGGCCTGAACCGCTTTGTTTGGAAAACAGGCATGGTTATTGGGTCGGATTAATCGGACAACTGACTTAAATTGGAACTTATAGCACTTGCAATAAAGGGTCTTCCTAGGGAAATAGGTAATTGATGGTCAGTCCATAGATTGCCCTGTTGGTGTCTCCCGCTCGACCCCGAACTCATGGACAAGGCTCATGGAAAAAGAAACTATGGTCGGGTGATAGTAATTCCGTGGCCTAGCGAACTTTAACTGAAGCTTCCAGTCGCCCAGTAAACAATCGTGATCAGCCTTTGGTTGGTGAGCTGCCTGGAACACATCACTGAAGAGTGAGGTCGTTGTCGCTCAGGCTTCCTAAGGGGTTGGATCGAATAGTATTACTTGATACTGATCTGTGATTGTTTGAATCTTTAAGGCCTCAATTCTGAAGTTGCGCCTGCCACCATGTTTCAAGGACTTGGCCAGTCCTCTTCGGCTGGATCCCTCTTTACGACCACTGCGAACACTCAACAACCTGCGAAAAGAGGGCTATTCGATAGCCCAACTACATCGCAACCAGCCAAGCCATCCCCATTCGCAACTACGGGCACAAGTTTAGGTCTTGGAGCCGGGCCCGGCGCACCCCAATCCGCACCTGGGGCCGCAAGCATCTACTCCAGCGGCAATCCCAATCCCGCGGGAGCTACCAATGTCGCATCTACGCAGTCTACATTTGGCTCCTCGATACTGGGACAATCATTTGCACCAGGTGGCCAATCACAGCTGGGCCAGCCGGTAAACCCAGCGCTCGCAGGCCAGTCCGTCTTGTCCACCCAGACTACACAGCCCGCGTATTTCAGCAGTTTGTTGGAGCGTGGGAAGAAACGACCTCACCCATCGAGCCTCAAGACCACCCAAGTGGAGCTTCCAAATCTACAATTGGGTCTCGATGATATTCGAAGAACTGCTCGTGGCCTAGGGGTCAAAGAAGCAGCTGGCCGCCTGAGCGCTGATGCAAAACCGTGAGTAAAATCACCTTCAAAAATTTGATAAGGCTACATTTAACGGAAAATTGCACTGACGCTTTATCTACCTGTTGTCTAGGCACTACTCACTTACCGCATCGGGAATATCTCCGGGTCAGGTTTTGCATGATTTGAGAGAGTTGGATAAACAAGGACCGCCTCCCAACGTGATGAGAGACGATGAGCCCTTTGACCCGGATAATCAGAAGTTCCTACGACGGATGCAACAGCGTGGTCGGGATGTTATGATCGCCGATAGCTTTGCGAGAGTTCGACGGGATTTCGACGCATTTTTAGAGGAGAAGGTCAACTTGAACTGGGATGAGCAACGCCATAAGATCTTTGAGCACTTTGGTTTAGCTCCTAAGAGTGAAGCAAGCGGTGATCGTCTCGGAGAAACGACGCGCGACAGTGGCGCATTCGGGGCGTCAAAAAGTGTTAGATTTGGAGCAGATTTAGGTCAACGGCCGGCATCAAGCACAAGACGGAGCGTATTTGGACGTTCGGCTCTTTCAAAGTCTGTAATTGGGTCTACCATCAGCGGTGGTGATGTTGCACAGATATTTTCTCCTACCGCCTCGAGTTTGCAGGCTGCGGATACACGCTTCTTAAGGGAGAAAATGGGACATTTTGCAACAAAGGTTCAACGCCTCAATGAAGCAAGGTCTCAAGAGAAGGCGTTTCCTGTTCTGCACGAGTTTGCTGAGACTGAAAAACTGACAATATCCGACGTATGTTTATCACAATCCACAACCCCCCTTGCTGGCTCTATATTGACTCTTGGTTTAGGTTCCTCGCCAACTTTTCGAAGCCTATCAAGCATTAATAAGTATTACTGACGAAAATCCAAATATAGTTGATTTTGCGGAGCCAGGTGCAATAAAGGAGCGCCAGTTTTCGCAGGATTATCTGGATGAGAATGTGAACTCCAATGAATCAGTGCGTATGAGGAAAAGGATTGTGGAGGGCTCGAGAAGGTACTTGGAACAGGCGTTCTATAGGGAAATAGAGAATGCAATCGCCAAGAACCCCAGAGAAGCCCAATTAGGCGGAATCCCATCCATAACCAACAAAATTCGAGCCTACATTCGACTGAAGGCTGCACGGAAGGACCTTGCACCGGATGGAATAGAGCTGCAAATGGTCGACCAGGACTATTGTTGGGTGCTCATATTCTACCTCCTCCGGTGTGGGTTTGTCTCCGAGGCCGCTGAATACGTGAGCACGGACCAGGGGTTCCGGTCTATGGATTACAAGTTCGTTACTTATATGACGACCTATGCTCAGCAACGCCGCCTGCCTAGAGACCTACAACAGAAGATCAATGGAGAGTACCAACAACGACTCCGAAACGCCCCTGAGAATACCGTGGACCCGTATCGGATGGCTTGCTACAAGATCATTGGTCGATGTGATCTTAGCCAGAGGCGACTCGAGGGAATGAGCCAAGGAGTGGAAGATTGGATGTGGTTGCAGTTTACCTTGGCTCGAGAGGACAGTCGTGCTGAAGAAATCGCAGGCGATATGTTTGGATTGCAAGAGATCCAGCAGGATATCTCGGAAATCGGTCAGCGAATATTTGTAAAAGGCCAGGAGGCGGCTGGCGGATACGGGACCTACTTTTTGCTGCAGATCCTGGGTGGTATGTTTGAACATGCAGTATCTTATCTCGGAAACTATGCGCCTATTAACGCCGTCCACTTCGGAATTGCGCTGGACTATTACGGCCTGCTTCGCGTGTCAGACTACTATACTTCTGGCGAAGAACTGCGTAAGTTAATTTCTAGTTTGGACATTGAGGATTCTAGACGTTTGGCTAACTTTGTTATAGTGTCCTTCACTACGAAACAACTACCACAGATCAACTTTGCTTTCCTTATCACCCAATATACTCGGGAATTCCGCACAGGCAACGTCGAAGCTGCCGTTGACTATTTCACCTTGATCTGTTTGAATGCAGATCTTCCAGGAGAACTAGGGAAGTCGCAGGCATCAGTGTGCCATGAAGCGTTGCGGGAGTTTATTCTGGAAACTCGCGATTTTGCCAAATTACTTGGAGATATCAAATCGGACGGTACTAGAATCAGAGGCGCGATAGAGCAACGCTTGAAACTTATTAAACTTGACGACCAGGAAGAGTTTCTCAGAACAATCACAGTCCAGGCGGCTGCCGTTGCCGACGACAAAGGCCTCACTGCGGATGCGGTGCTCTTGTATCACTTGGCTGAAGATTATGATAATGTCGTGGTGATCCTCAACCGGTCTCTTTCGGATGCAGTGGCAGTGAATCTAGGTAGCGCGGCTCTGAGACTTCAGCAGCCTAAACCTGGTGCAGCTCAGCAAACACAGACAGATGGCCAGCAAGTCACCCCAGCCGAGGCCGCAAGTAGCTTCAGCCTTACTTCTGTCGAAGATCCAGTGACTCTTGCGCAGAATATGATTGGCCTCTATAATACCAATGCCATGTATTACCAGAAGATACATCCGATTAACCGTGAAGCATGCGGCATACTACTTCGCATGATGGATGCGAAGAGTAAAGTCGAAGCAGGGAAGTGGGCCCAAGCGCTCGATGTAAGATTCCCAATGCCACCCCCGAGATAAAATGTTTATGGCGTGTGATCCTAACTGCGTTGCCAGGATATCAACAATTTACAAATCCTGCCGCTAAGCGCTCGCGGATCTGTTGCGTATATTCGAAGTGCTGCACAGGCGTTTTCGGCTCTACCGGCCGTTATTGCACGGAACGGAGGTAATCTTATCATGTGGAGCATTACATGTATCAGCCGAGAGCGCGAAAGGTTACAACAGGGCGTGTATGAGAATGATATGCGGCAGAGCTTGGCAGACCAGCTTCTGAGCATGGCCAAGGATTTGATGGTGTTTGCAGGTATGATCAAATATAAGCTGCCGCCTGGTGTGTACGAAGCACTGGCGAAAGCAGCGGGCGACATGGCGGGGGTGTAGTGCATCGGTCCCAACTTATTCCCCATTGTCCATGACTTGATTTCTGGAGTAGCTCGAGTTCGCCGAAATAGAGCGTATTTGCTTGACTGGTTTAGCGGGAATATACGAGACATCTTGCATTTCAAGTTCTTTGCCTTATCTTCGAATCGGGTGGCCATTTCCACTCATCACGATTGTAGCTCTTTGAAGTGAATAGATTGCAATACAGCAGGAAACTACGACAAACAATAGCTGCTTACTGAGGACAGCTCAAGGTGTTTGGCGATCGCATTTCTCTTCTCCCCAAAGCGAGCTTTGGACGCATCATTTTCACTTCTCTCGCTGACAATTTTCTTTCCTCTCCTCCACATCTACCATCTCAATTCATTCTCACCCCATTCATTTTTTTTTTTTTTCTTAATTCACTATTTTGATTTGCCCACTCACCCTGCTTTTGTCCCTTTATTTGAACAGCCTGGCCTTGTGTCGTCATTACATTGCCAACTCACTTGCCCAAGCCTTGCACTACTGTCCTCTAGGCTATCGATCCTGCAGGGCGTCACCAAGAACCGACGAGCTGATTTGTCGACTCTGGCTTACTAATACCCGATTGCGGTGGAGGGGCAATTAGTCAGCGTGTTAGTTGCACCCACAATAATCAGGTTCCTTTCTTGCAGAATGCTGGACGAACGCTTGTTTACATGTCCACCAAAGCCTCAAAGGCCCATGCAGTCTAACATGCAATAGTCTTCGAGAACAAAATTTCTTTTCTCCGATCTCTCCTGATCTACAGCCGAAACTCAGGGTGTCGGAGTTGTGGCCCGCGTCATCCCCATCGTCACCTCCCGGTTCGGTACGCTTATCGTCTGGTGGAGCTAGAGAAAGCCGAGCACTGACATTAAAGATAGACATGGAAGCAGCTGCTAGCACAGAAAAGGAACCGGAAACCGGCCCACCGACGGCAGATGGGGATGTTGAGATGGGAAATGTCACCGCGGCTGCTGGAGACACTTCGGAAGACGAAGATTCAAAATTGCAGAGTGATATACAGGCGCAGCTCGCGGCGGAGACGCAAGATAGCGCCGCTGCACAGCCGTCCAACTCAACATCCGAAGAAACATCTCAAACAGGCTTGGTAGTCAGTGAAGCGACGGACCACGATAGCGCAAAATCTTACGAAGTGCCTCCGAACATTGCGCGTATCAGACAGGAGATGTTCGAACTGCGACAGCCGATTGAGTTGAGTCTGGAGGAGTACAACCTCTACTGGCCATTCATTGATAATGTGTGGGTGAAGCAGCGATCTAGCACGACGCGTGATAAAACTGCAACGTCAGACTACTATTGCTGTCGCCAGCGCAAACAGCCGGCCAGGCGCAATGAAGAAAAGGCACAAGGCCAGCCATATCCTGAGGGGAGAAGGAGGCAGAGAGCAGTGCGAGAGGGGCCTGTCTGCGGTTTTCAGATCAAAGTTGTCAAAACTGAGGGCACGTTTGCGTCCGTTACAATTTCCCGGCAAACTAATTGCAGTGCGAGTCATTCGCATGACTTGGACCACATGGATAAAGTCAAGCGCAATTCTGGATTATTGTCGTTTATAAAACAGGAGGCAGAGAAGGCATATATCCCAGCCTCAATCCTGGCGAAATTTCGTGAGGATCCAGATGCGTTAGCGGCTATCGGAGGCAGGTTCCTGACTGGGGTGGACGTGCGCAATATCTGCGCCAAATGGCGCGCTGCAAACCCCAACGCAGAACTGAAGACACATCAAGGCTACTTGTTTCAAAATGGAATCGGTGTCTACAAAGTTGGCTCTCGCCCAGCACGCCCGGGTGCCGCGCAAATTACGCCGCAACCCAAAATCACACTAACATCCCACGCCCCTGATGCACTCGCGTTCCCATCATTTTCATTGGAGTTTCTGCAACCATATCTTCCCACTCGGGAGGAGAACCGCAAGTTCCCACACGTTACACTGACCTATGCGCAGTCTATGGATGGGAAAATTTCTTTAGCGCCTGGTGTTCAGACGGTACTATCAGGGCCAGAATCCAAGCTAATGACGCATTATCTTCGTTCACGTCATGATGCGATATTGATTGGAGTTGGGACCGCTCTTGCTGACAATCCTGGACTGAACTGTCGCTTAGAAGGCGCCGGCGGTTATGGGGGCCTGGGCAAGATGTGGCAACCAAGGCCAGTGATAGTAGATCCCACTGGTCGGTGGCCGATTAACCCGGAATGTAGAATCCTAAAAACCGCGTTGGCTGGTAAGGGAAAGGCCCCCTGGGTCGTGGTCTCGCCATGCGCGAATATCTCGGCTGACCGAATCTTGCTTCTAAAGAAACATGGGGGTGATTTTCTAAGGATTTCGGAATTCAATCCATCCTGGCGTTTGCAATGGTCTACGATATTTGGGGCTTTAGCTGCTGAAGGCATCAACAGCATTATGGTTGAAGGAGGTGGAGTGGTTCTTAGTGAATTACTCAACCCAGAATATGAGGACTTCGTTGATTCCGTCATCGTTACTGTTGCCCCAACTTATCTAGGCCGTGGCGGCGTGGGTGTGGCCCCGGATTCTAAAAGAGATGAATACGGAAAGCCGAAAGTCTCGCTCAAACCAAAAGAACCGAAATGGCACGCGCTGGGTCAAGATGTGATCATGTGCAGCAAAGTACGGGTTCCTCCTCCTCCTCCACCAATCCTTCCAGGAATCGAAGATGCAGCCCTCGGGCTTTCGGGCGAGTGAAGAACCATGTCGCGTCGGTTCTCCTAAAATATCGCCAAGATATTGGGTGGACTGGTCCTTATCAGTCAAAGCAAACTACGCTTGGAGAATGTATGATTGTTGGGTTTACCTTGCCACGCCTCCAGGAACATTGCATACCTCGCTTGTCACGAAAAACGACCACCTCTTATGCTTCTCACATTCTTCTGCTAGCTTGTCGAGATCAAACAGCTCACCAATGGGACACCCCCACCCAGCAAGGAGGACTTCGTGCAATTTCAAATGTTCCGGGGGTGCTGGTAGAAGGAGAAAATGATCAGTATTCACTCTTTGTCAAGTCGGCCTTTGAGTATTTGGGAATTCCTACGGTAGGCTTCGAATGCGGGATGGTCACCAGCGACTGCCGAAAAATTCTCCCAGATCCACTCTAGCATGTCTTCTGTTTGCTCAACACCGATAAGTGAATGCATCTTTTGCTTTGCAAGCTCACTGAGTTCTGCAGTCGACAGCTTGTTGAATTCAAGCATATACCCTGTCTCATTATTAGCAATTATGGACTCCTGGTTTCAAGCGAACTGCTTGTCGATGTAAATGGGGTGAAGCTTGCCAACTCGGATGAAAAGAATGTCTCCGAATTTGATTTCTGTTCCCTGGGACTCCGCCACCGCCTTCAAATGTTTCAATGGTATGGGGCTTGTTTTGAAGATGTCAATGTCAATATTGTTCGCCAGTCGCCACTTGTGGTAGTCTAAGAGGATGCCACGGCCAACAATTCCCTTTTCCGCCCAGGCTAAATTGATATTGCAGTCAGCTAGGGAACTTTTCCAGGTTATATCAGCAGCCAAACGGACCTTGAACCCCATTCGCATTATTCTTATTGGGTCCGGCGATATCATCCATGGTGACGCCGTTATAGAATCTTTTCTCCTTTTGATATGCGACATGTCGCAGCCCATCCCCTTAAGGTGTCACTGATCGTCAGATTACCGGAGCGTCTTGGAAGAACTCCATCCGGTACTTGTCACCGGCAACGGGGCACCATAGGCTGGTGAACTTACATTGGCTGCTGCTCTGGGTATTAAATGTCCAAACATCATCGTAGACTATTCTCGGGGATCTCTGGACGATTTGCTTTTGAAAAACCTGTCGTCCAAACAAAGGAATGTCACCCTGTGCATCAAGAGGCCAATTCATGGAGACTCTGCCATAGGTTAGCTCGGCTTATATCACAGCTGAGTTGCCAACGCAGCGAAAGTACATATTCATGGAAGTGCATGTGTTCTAAAATTCACAATGCACTATATGCCACATATCATATCAGATAATATCCGATAACCAAAAAAAAAAAAAAAAAAAAAAAAAAGGAAAAAAAGAAAAAACAAATACATAAATAGAATTCCATTAATGAAAGCGAGCATGAGAATATCTGGTTGTTGATGGGGCAACAATCCGTTTCCCAACGTACCTAACTCCGCTTTGAATTTCCTTCGCCGCCTCCTTGACAGTTTCATTGGTCTGGCGATTCAAAAAACCTAGCTGGTCATCTTTGCCGTAAAGGCCCCATGCTGAGTAGGGCGGGTCGTCCTTGTTCAGCGGAAGATCAGAGAATTTGGGAAGATTTGCTGGGCGCCCGCTCATGGTGTTTATAGACTGAGGAACTCACGTTTCACGCTTCTAAGTAGAAGATAGAGCCAAGTAGTACCAGCTGGAGCAAGTGGCCGGTCTATGGGCTTTTATATTCCCCTCTATCTTTCGGCGAAGGGAAGAAGGGAAATGCGGGGAATACGCGGAGTGTGTTACCGAGGCGTTGAGCCGTGGGCTGCGGAGAGAGAGGAATGAATACTCGACACAAACTCTTGTATCTGAGGCATATTTCTTAGACTAGGTGAGGTGTACGTAGGGATGTCGATTCACCATATGTTCGATATTAGCGGAAGGGGTGGTTCATGATATCTACAGCGATGGGGTGGTTGTCGATCACATCAAATTCCTGAAAACCAACTTTCACCCATAACTTTGCGATACAAAGATTGTGAGGCTCATCGACTAACACTGATGCTTCTCTTCCATACGTACAACTGCTCATATCAATTACTTTTTTGGTCCCGATGATTTACGGAGCGTCATGAAGCCATTCGTTCACTTATCGATTAATCCTTCATACTGCTGAGCTCTGACTGACGGTAACTATCATGTGTTTTTTCAATATCATACTTGCCAAATAGAACATTGGCTATCGCCGTCTTCAGCTTGTCATACTTCATGAGACGGCGGCTCATTCGTAATACTGGCTACATGGGGATGCCGTTGAATGGATTGGTCGCCATAGGGTCATATCATTTCACTGTACATATTAAATACTTACCATGCCGTAAAAAATCGTAATTTCAAAGAGAAGTTAACAAGCAGCCTCCAAGGCCAAGCGGCTTCTCGACTGGGCTCGCAAGCTAAAAAGAAATGGGACCAGCCACGTATTTCAAACTAGCTGAAGCACTGAGAACCCTGATATAAACACTGTGTTCTTCGTAACGAGAGCTCCATCCCGGCCTCCAGAACGAAGAGAGCCCTTCGACGGACTCTTGAATTTCTCCGGGGTTGAATCCATTGGGGTCGCCGCTTTCATCAAGCCGCGGCGCCATTGGACCAGGACTACTCGATGAACATAACTGCGGTAGATGCCTTGTCCACGTTTGAATAGGATCAAAGAAGAAAGCATTTTCTCACCATATGCGTCCAAAGATGGATGATATAAGCAGAACCCCGGTTGCCAAAAACCCAAACAAGCTGCACTCCCCAAAACTGTCAAAAAAAAAAAAAAAAAAAAAAAAAAAACAACCACAACAGACACAAAAAATCCAAAATATCTCACAGACCATCAACCATTTACCTATTCTTCTTGTGTCTAAGGCTTCAGTTTTTGATTTTTGAGTCATATCCACACCTTTTCTTCCTTTCTCAAGAGCCTCCGCTTCATTTCCCACGCGGCCTTTGTTTACAATGGCGCCCCGGAAGGCCGCAGCGACCAGATCTTCGACGCGTATCAAAAGCGCCCCAACCACTACAACTGCCATCGTGCCAAAGAAGGCTGGCGTCAAGAAAGCGACTGCGGTCCCCACTGCTACGAAGAACCAGAAAGCGAGTGCAGCTGCTCTCAAGTCTACTAAAGCTGCCAGCACCAAGGCTACTGCTGCCAAGGATACAACCACCAAAGCTCCGCGCAAAGCAAAGGCTGATGAGGCCCCTGTTTCCAAGAAGCGCAAGGTTGTCTCTGAAGATGAAACCGAACCAAGGCCCAAGAAAGCTCGGGCTGCCAAAGAAGAAGTTCCCAAGCCGAAGAGGACTCGCGTCACAGCGTCGCCCGCTCTTAAACCTCCTAAGCCAAAAGTCGTGATTAACGAAGCCCCTACCGAAAAATTGAACATTTATGTCTTTGGCGAAGGCAGTTCTGGTGAACTCGGACTCGGAACCGCGAAGAATGCGGTTGACGTGAAAAGACCTCGTCTTAACCCACTTTTGCTGGCTGATACAATCGGTGTTGTCCAAATTGCGACCGGTGGGATGCATTGTGTTGCGCTTACCCACGACAACAAAATCTACACCTGGGGGGTCAATGATCAGGGTGCTTTGGGTCGTGACACCACCTGGGAGGGCAAGTTAAAGGATATCGACGACGCTGGCAGCGATTCTGACTCGGACGATGGAAGCGACAGCGGCATGAACCCCAAGGAGGCCACTCCAACTCCAATCCCGGCTGATTATTTCCCGGAAGGAACCATTTTTGTTGAGGTTGCTGCTGGAGATAGCTCTTCGTTCGCTCTCACTGATGATGGTTTTGTTTATGGTTGGGGTACATTCCGCGTAAGTTCTGCCTCTATCATTATGGTCTAGTGCCCCTATTAACGTTACATGTCTTCTAGGGAAATGAAGGCATTCTAGGTTTTGACGCCACCACCCGTGTTCAGACTACTCCTAAACTTATTCCATCTCTCAAGAAGATCAAACACATTGCTTGTGGTGATAACCACGCTCTCGCACTAGATACAAAAGGTGCCGTATTTGCTTGGGGTTCTGGACAGCAGAACCAACTTGGTCGTCGCATTGTTGAGCGTACCAAGCTGAACGGGCTTCACCCACGTGAATTCGGATTGCCCAAGAATATCACCTATATTGGCTGTGGATCGTTCCACTCTTTTGCGATTCACCAGACTGGCAAAGTTTACAGTTGGGGCTTGAATACCTATGGCGAAACTGGCATTCCTCAGGGTGCTGGATCCGACGAAGCAGTCATTTTGCACCCGGAGGTTGTGAAGTCTTTGAAGGATAAAAATGTTATCCAACTTTGCGGTGGTTCCCATCATTCTCTTGCTGTTACCAAAGATGGAGAGTGTCTTGTGTGGGGTCGCGTCGACGGCTTCCAGACCGGCTTGGATATCAAAAGTCTTCCTGATGATGCAGTTATTAAGGATGATAGAGATCGTGCCCGTATTCTCTCTGTCCCCACCGCTGTTCCTGGCATCGATGCCAAATTTGTTGCTGCAGGTGCGGATCATTCAATTGCTATTGCGAAAGATGGACGTGCCTGGACTTGGGGCTTTTCTGCAAATTACCAGACCGGCCAGGGCACTGATGACGATATCGAGGTTGCTACTGTCGTTGATAATACGGCTGTGAGAGGCAAGATGTTGAACTGGGCTGGTGCCGGTGGACAATATTCTGTTCTTGCTGGACCTGCAGTTACCATCAATGGCGTTGCTGCAAACGCTGATGCTCCGAATGGAAACGTTCAGGGAGCGAACTAGATTTCTCGACTCTTAAAGGTTTGATGGGTTTCTTTGCCTTCATTTTTTTCCTTCCTTTTTCGGATATCTCTTCCCTTGTTTCTTCGGGACTTGTTTTGACATCTGTTGATTGTTCGTGCTGCATGTTATTTGAATGGTTTATTTTATCTGGTTGAGTTGTCTCTTTAACGTATATCTCCTTTTGCTGCTTTAGTGTTTGCTGGTTGTCTTTGCTGTGAGTCCAGATAAAATGTTCTGGTTGGTTTGATTTGTTATTTCAAAGATTTTTTAATCCTCTTTCTTTTTCTTGTGATTCCAGAGGCCTTCTCACTGCAAGCTCTTTGAATTTCTTTCTTGCGTTTGCGCTGCGTTGCTATTTTTTTCTTGATGGTTGCGGTGCTTTGTTCCCTTGTCGTTAGTGTGCTCTAGAATCTGATTTGATTTTCTACTTTAAATTGGCGACTTTAGAAATTTCCTGCTTTCTATTGGGCGTCTACATGCTGCAAAAATGGATTTGATTCTGATTGATATATTTCGTATTTTGTGTTTCGTTGGGATTAGGAGTTACATTTAATTGAATAAGAGTATCCCAGCTCTCTTACAATCCGAATTCATTCAAAATATGTAATTCATCGTCGAAATCATCCGCAGCTGGGCGATTCGCTTCTAGGTGACCAGTTTTCGGTGCACGCGCAGGTGTATTTTCTGCCTCGGCGAGAAGGGCGTCTAAGTCGTCCTCTTCGTCCGCTGGGGGGGCGTTTGGCTTTAGTATTCCTAACCCATGGGCCGTATTTTGCATTGTGCTTTCTTGCTCTGCAAGAAATGTGTCGAGGTCATCTTCTTCGGGTACTTGTGAGGCTTGGACTGGAGGATCGATGTCCATGCCTTCATTTCCAGGGACGAAAAGATCATCATCGTCGTCGGCATTGTTCCTTAATGAGATTGCCTTGCCACCACCAAAGATGGGTATTTCTGAGTCGGAAAGACGCTTAGGGCTATGAGTGCTCTCTGCTTGATCGTTCCGATGAGCTTCCATAGCTGGAGCGCTCTGCTCCAGTGTTCGTTGAAAGATGGAAGGAATTGTTGGATCTGCCGTGTCTTTGTCGCCTCTATTATCGCTATTGGGGTCGAGGTAGGTGACATTACTGTCGTATAAATTTCGGCCGGGCTTGCCTTCATCAATCCACTCTTTCCGCATGACCTGCATGCGTTTTGTGTGGCCCAGCTTTTCAATGATTGACAGGCCGTCCGCGAACTTCGCGCGCGGGTATAGGTCGTCTAGCCAAAGCTGGTAGAAGTTCAGAAGACGTGCAACATCCGAAAACTATACCAAGTGCACATCGTCAGAAGGAGAGAAACGTGGCGTTGAGATAGGAAGAGAATAGGAAGTCAAACCTCGTGACGCTTTCCCTTAAACTTTAGCTTCGTTTTTGCAGATCTTCGTAGCTTAGGGATTCCCGCCTGGGAAAGTAGTCTATTTTGTAAGGGGTGAGCCGTTGAATAACCTTTGAGCGGATATATCATATGTATAATTTGCAGACGGGGGGTAAGCTGGACATACCGGTTTTCATCGAGCTTCACGGGTGGTGCTCTTTTCCTGGTGATTTTAATTTCTTCGAGGCCAATTAGGTCATCGTTCTTATTCTCCGTACTCCCCGTTCCCGTTCCAGAAGCCCTCCTGTCATTTTTCTCTTCTTCTGGATCGCGCAATAGCTCTTCGATCCCGGCATCGTAGTTAAAAAGGTCATCAAAGGCTGTGTCTTCCGCCATCGCGGCGACAAAAGGGGTATCGGGGGCGAGTTTTGTGACCACGAGAGATACGCAAGCTAATTGGGTTGATGTCGGTTAGACCTTATTGAATAGACGACCTTACACGCACATATAAGAGCAGCGCAACTCCGCAGTCGTTTGTCGCCGTTGTCCAGCATCGTGGTGGTTCCTCGTTTCTCGGATGACGCGACGCGTTAAGAGTAAACTCAATGACGATTGTTATTGGCTAGAATTTAAGTATTTTCCACCAATAGATATGCATTATACTCAACCAATCACAACGACGATAACGCGGCAATTAGCTTGTCACGTGGGCCAATATCCAACCTTACCCAATTGGCCGATCTCAAGCCGTCAAGGAACATCCGATTATTGCCAACGACAGCTGCTCAATTGCAGACAACTGGGGCAGTCTACTAAAGCAATTGCCTTTTCTAGTTCGACTTCAAAATGGCTGCTGACCATGGCAGGCCGCTTGTACCCCCCAAGCAACTTAGAACTGACTACCCGGTACGAATAGGATTGTTTTACCAATTGAAATGTTCGCATTGATGCGGGAGTGCTGACTTGTTTGCCATTATAGCTTATAGATTCTGATCCGTATGTTCTGCCTTTGTGGCGTGCCCCCCGTCGAGCGATATCTAACGATGCCAAATTTGCAGACATGTAAAACGAGTGTTCGGATATGCCAGAACGTCCGATTGGGCGCTGGGTGGTGCTACTGCCATCCTCGGCCCCCTCACATTTGCCATTATGGAGAGAGTACAGCCGGCTCACTCGGGTAAAATCAACTTCGCCAGATGTATGCGCTTGGCGGGTGGTATAGGATTGGTCGCCGGTGCTATTACAGTTTATCAGAGATCTTGCAGTGAGCTTCCTACTGAAAGCCTTCTCCTGGGAAATGGGTTGGAATTAATTGCGGCATATTGTGGCTAGATCGATTCTACGGACTTTCGGAGAATAAGAGAGAAGAAGAAATGGATATGAGAGAAATGGTTGATAAAGTGAAGAGAGGAGAGCCTCTATACGGAGAGTCCTCGCTGTCCCCTTACATGCAGGGTGTCGCTGCGAGAAATTCGCGATACTCGAGCTTGTTTATCCATGTCATTCCTTGGTTCAATGTTGTGAACCATAACCAGGTAAATATCCCGGATAATTCGTTATTGGGAGTGTTTGCTAACTACCAACTAAACAGCATGGTGTCGACACTGCGAAATACTACCGCCAAGCGGAGCGGGAACTAGAAGCCGAACGCATGCAGAAGGAGGGCCTTTAGAATGCGATTAGCTAAAGAGACATATTACACCTTTCTCTACTAAAAGCTCAGATTCCTCTGTGTACTTGTACATACCTTCATGGCTCGAAATGCTAGTTTTCCTTTGTTAAGGGCAATTGTGTTCGGTGTCAATGCAGGTGGTGAATTTTCACCCCACGTGCAACATCATGGTGTCTGAAAAGATGGTGCCAGTGACGTCGGCTCATCAGCGTCGTCAAGTTTCCTCTTCAATTCACGGTTGGACTTTGGCCGTGGATTGGGTGCTGGGGGGGGGGTGGATCAGTAACGGCTATGTGTAAACAAAAAGAGGTCTTCGGACCTTTTTCATTTTCTTGGATATAAAAACGGCGTAGGAGCATGATCGCCTCGTTGCGGAATATGCCGCCATACACTGTATATGGCGGATCAATTGCCCGGCTTTTGATTTTTATTTTTTAATCGTTAGCGTCAGAGCAAAAAAAAAAAAAAAAAAAGAGGAGGGGAGAGATTAAAGTCCTGACTCTGAATGCAAATTTAAAACTCCTCCAGTTCCCCCGAAGCGATCATTTACGCAGCCAAAGAAAACACGTCGGATATAATTTTGCCTCAGCAACGAGGCACACATGATACACGGTTCAACCGTCACGTAAAGATCCGTCGTCCGAAATATGGATCGTGGATAGGATCTCAAGGCCTCTTCAATGGCCAAGAACTCAGCATGTCTTGTCCCCTGCTCAGGATAAGTATGCGACTTCTCAAAGCAACATGCACGACGCATAGTCATACATACATTCAAAGACCTATTGGTGTCGTTCATTCCGCGGCCAATTACTTTGCCATCATGCACCAGGACGCAGCCAACGGGTGTTTCGCCTATCGCAAGAGCTTGCTCGGCCTTTCCACCTACATTAGTTCATATTTGCGCTGTCATGGCTGGATTTAAAAAAAAAGAAATTTAGATAAAATGTACCATTTGCAAAGCCTCTCTCATGAATTGCTCATGTGCCGGGTTGTCAGCGCTGGTATCCGCCATGGTCAAAGCTGAAGAACGGGACGGTTTCGCTTGTAGCCTCCCAGTCGTCATACGCCTTATACTTCTACTTGTATTTAATCTGTTCAGATGCCAGAAAAGCGACGTTTCTCGATATAACATGGATTTTGCTGGATAATATCGCCCATGCATTCCTGAAAATCGATGGAAGCGCTGCTTAGTCATGGTAGGTGCGGCTCAGCCTTATCGCGATTTCGCAGCGTCGAGTCCACCAAATTTAGAATATCAGGCTGGACAGCATCTCTCCCCACACGCCCAACCCCGCATCCTCTCTTGGTCGTTGTATTCTATTGTTTTCCTTTCTTTATTGACTGCTCTGCTTGAAGTTTTCCGCTTCTCGATGTAGCATGCGATGGAATCCACATGGCTGCACATAATGAAACGAAGCCGGGTCGGTCTGGACAGCATTCTGTGAGCAATCTTGGGGAGCCCGCCTCTTCACTCATTGCCGCTCACCTAGCACCTCACCTCGCGCCAGGGAGGAATGGGGATCATGGCATTGAGCGCGAAACATTTTCTCAATTGCGCCGAGAAATCTTTGATCAAGATGAAAACGGCCAGGTTAATCTTGATGACAACCTAAGTGATATCCATACTTTGATTTGCGTGGTCATCAAAGCTGGTCTTGAGCCGTTGCTTAAAAGACGGAAGGCCAATGTGCCAAAAGGGGATGTTCTCGGGCAAGTTGTGGATTGCCTCGATATCGTGCAAATGGCCATACAAAAGGCACCGCACGTTTTACGCGAGCCGTGCGATCCTGGCTTTCTGGGTCAGGATACTGCTGGGGCGCCTTTGTTTACCTGGATTATTCCTTTTCACCTAGCCTTTCTCTGTGCCTGGGATGAAAAAGCTGTGCGGGAAAAAATTTGTCGTGTGTTGTCCATTACTTATACTTGCCAGTTCAAGGCTAGCAGATCGTGGCACTCTTCTAGATCAATCATCTGGTTTCTTAGAGCATGTGTGATAGGTTAGTATTTGTTAGTGTGGTATAGCTATGGTATGGCTGCTGATGTCGCTTAGACCTGATTGTCTCTATCGAAAATACCGGCGCATCTGGTGGTCGTGAGGTTGCAATTACACCTCTCTACTTTCCGTCGTGGTCAAATGTATTCGCCAACTGCTTAGAGACACTCAATATCCCTCGGTCTGCAGTTACTCGACGACCACTTGGTAGTCTTTTCGTCGTCGCAAAGACATGTTTCCAAGTTTTAGAATCATTTTGCAGCCCCATTTCGACACCAGCGTTCCATTCACGTGCTTATTTTTTTCGAGAATGCATCCTATGGAATCTTCAATGCTATCAAAGATTATGGAAGTCGATTTTTATATGGTTTGAGTTGGCAGAAACCCAGCTGCAAGAGGAGCATGCCGTGAACCTTCTCACAGACTTGATTTTCCTCGCGAAACGATGTTTCTCATGCTCCCAACGGCTGGGTCTAGGTCTTGACGAGAGAGTTATGCGTGCGCTAGTCCAAAACGGCGCGGATATGTTATCATCGACCAAATTACAACGCAGCTTTGATCTACAACATGCTCTAAGCCAGCTGTTGAGTGAGGTTATGCGAGCGTCGCATAGCTGTCCCACAGCACACGAACTCATTGCAGAGCATTTCCTTGAAGATTTGGAGGAACTCACGTCAGATGCAGATAAGTTTGCAGCGTTGCATCAGTCCTTTCAGGTTGCGTTGCATCCACTGGTGTCCGTTCTCTCAAAGCACTGCTAATATCTTCAATAGCACGTAACTGTTAGGGTAGTGCAGGGGGACTATTATGCTCCCGGACCGTCATCTAAATTTCAACGGCGCACCTCTTCTCAGTCAGTCCTTCGTGCCCGGGAAAGTACTGTGATCAATGAACCTGTTCCACCCGAAAATGGGCTGAATCCTAGCACCCCCGACTCTGAGAGAGCTCGCAAACGCCCCCGCCTTATGGACATGGGAAAAAACAACAGCGTACTTGACATTCCACAGATAGTTACAAATGCTATCTGTACCATAGTAGGATCTTTACCCGTAAATAGACTCGAAGATATGGATCCTTCAATCATGTAAGTTGTTGTGTTGCTTGACCATCAATTTCTGCTAACCTTCATAGGGATGCCTTTCCTGACCTGTCCGCTAATGAGAAATGTGAAACTCTGCTTCATCTTGGTCACCTTGCTTGTGCCTTGTCTGGTAGTATAACTATTGAGGAGCGTATGGATGTACCTACTTCTATATATCGATGCGAAATTTGCGACAGTAGTGGTTGGAAAACCGCAAGTGCTATATGCAAACAAAGGCAGAGGTTTGACGAGTTACGCGCAACCCTGGCCAGTTTGATACCCACGCTCCGCAGGTCTGCAGAATGTCGGGTTGCGGGAATGCTAGCTCTGCAAAACATATTGATCCATGACTCGAAAAGTGAAGGCTCGCAACTGGGAGGGGCGCCATATGGAGAATTTTGCCTGCAATCTCTCTGTAGTTCCGTGCGAGAGCTCAGAATCGCTGCCGGGTAGGCATCACCCTATTCCAACATCGGTGATTCTCAATTCTGACCTTTGTTTAGGAAAACAATGGCCATCTTTTTAAGAGCGCCGCTCGATGAAGACGTTCGCCGGAATAATTTTGTTATAGCATTGAAGTACCTCCAACAGCTCCAAGAGAAGAATGAACTATCTGTACAGGAAACGTGTATTATGGTGCTACGGCGCATTGCAGAGTGAGTTGATATCTTGTGGAAATAAAGTTTCCCAGTGCGTTGACAATTTTAGGGTATCTGGTGATGAGGAAATGAATATTGTTCTTCTCCGTCTTCTGGAGTATTTGGGCCATACCAGCCCTTTTATTAGTGGAGTCGCATACACCGAGGTAAGTCTGTCTAAGCTTCTACTTTTTCTTTTGGCGTTCACTGATAGTTGAAGCTGTCGAAACTAGCCCAACACCTGGCACTTACTCCTGCCGCGCTTTTTCGACCCTTCTGGAGAACGTTATCAGTGCTAGTCATAAAGCATCTGCAGACAAGGCCGCATATGGCAGATCTTTTATGTGACTTAATCGGAATGAAAGTCGATAACTTTTTGCGACTAACAGAAGTACACATCTTGCCATATCTTGTTATGACCCGCAAGAAAGATATCATCGCCAGAATTGCGCGGACCTACGAGGACAAAACCGTTTTTCAACTTTGTACTAGTGGTGTCAACATTGCGGCTATCCTGTGTCTTTTATTGACTCAGGAGTTTTCCGACTTAGAAACCATGGTCCCAACTATTCTCTCTGAAGTGGCCCCAGGGTTTAAAGATCAAGATCTCGCGGCCCTGGTCAGAATGGAACCGATCTTAATTGCCTGTGAACTTCTAAAGGGAATTGGCGATTCCTCAGCAGGTGAAAAATCCAAGGTACGAAATCAAGACTAATTTACGAATTATCGCTAAGCTTTTCGCAGCACTACAAAGCTTTAGAGCTTGTAGCGTCGGTTACACCCCTCCTACCCGGCCAGGAGAGTTCTTCCGGGATAATTAATCCACTCACTGCCTTTCTGGAAGGGCATGTCCTTGGAATAATTACCGAATTCGCGAATGTGATTAACGATTTTCAGATACGACAGTCTATAGTAGAGAAAAAACGCAGTGTAATCGCGATAGGCCAAATGGTAAAAATAGCTGGCGCCAGCATCAGTATAGCCTTACCACAGGTCAGTATTGGGATAATCCGCTCCTTTGAAACCTTTGGCGTTGAACTAAAATTATATCTAGATATGTGCTTGCCTTCGTTCAGCTCTTGACATGGAAGAGTTACGGGAGCACGCCTTTTCTTCTTGGTGCACCATGGTCACCTTACTCGACGACATAGATGTTGAAGCTTTGATTGACCAAAGTTTTGCGATAATCGTAAAAAACTGGACAAAATTTCGGGCGCGGTCTCGGCAAAAAGCAATTGAGCTTGTTGAGCATATATTGGAAAACTGCCAGGAGCTTGTTGCAAATACATTTACCACCATGCCGTCTCTTGCGTCAATACCAGAAATGGCGAATCTCTCTAAAAAGATCTCGGATTTAAAAGAAGGAATGGACATCCGGAGCCAGTTCGAAACTTTTTGTCTTCGATGCCAGAACGAAAACCAAGTTGTTGTCGAGCAAGCACTTGAAGAGCTAGTTCCACAGCTGCGAAAACATGAAGAATTTATTCACCGAGCTGCAATCAACGAGCAGCCGAATCAAAATATTGCCGGCCGGCTGACACGGTCATTACTCGATTGTTGTGCGAAATTCAACCCGACGTCTGAAAATATCATGTTATTATCCGCCAAATGTCTCGGTATTATCGGGTGCCTCGACCCTAGCCGCATTGATCTGGTGAAAGAGAAAAAGGATATCCTCGTCCTCTCCAATTTCCAAAGAGCGGATGAGACGGTTGATTTTGCACTATTTTTCTTGCAGCATGTCCTGGTCGAAGCTTTCCTTTCTGCATCTAATACTCGATCACAGGGTTTTCTTGCCTATGCCATGCAATCACTCCTAAAATACTGCGGCTTGACTTCGGTGGTACCACCGCGTACTCAGGACCTTGAATCGGGGGAGATGTATCGACGCTGGCTGTCGCTTCCAGAATATGTGAGAAACACTCTGACGCCTTTCCTTAGCTCGAAATATACGGTGATCATAGGAGCTATCAGCACATCCTGCAACTATCCATTATTTTCGTCCAATATTAGCCACCCGGAGTGGCTTCGTACATTTGTGCTAGATCTGTTACAAAAAGGCAATGATACAAACACTAGGATGATTTTCAATATAAGCAGTCGGATTATTCGGAGTCAGGATATCTCTATTGCAGCTTTCCTTCTCCCGTTTGCTGCACTTAATGCCGCAATCAGTGACGACGATGAAATTCGACAATGCATACGAAAAGAACTCGCCAATGTCTTAGAATATACACTTCCGGAGCATAATCATCATATGCAAGAGAATATCTTGTTGTGCAGTGAGGTTCGTTTGGATTGGATTTGGCTGTGGCTGCTGCTAACCATATTATGTAGAGTGTATTCGGTGTGCTAGACTACTTGTCGCGCTGGGTACAAGGCAAAAAGCGAGAGCTTACAGGCTCCACTACAAGTCGTGATCGCAGAGAAACAATGGACGGACGCACGGTCCAGGTGAAACGGGTGGAAGCATTGCTATCTTCTATCCCGGCCGAAGTTATTTCTCGACGCGCTGTTGAGTGCAAATCTTACGCCCGGGCGCTCTTTCACTGGGAGCAGTACATTAGGCAGCAGAGGTCCAAAACGGTAACGGATTCTTCCGAGTTGGAGTCTCTTTATCAGAAGCTACAGGATATCTACACACAAATTGATGAACCAGATGGCATTGAAGGTATTTCCTCCCATCTCCATGTCCTTAATATCGATCAACAGATTCTCGAACACCGCAAAGCTGGGCGATGGGTTGCCGCCCAAACCTGGTACGAGCTTCAACTAAATAAGACACCGGAAGATATTGATGTTCAGATGAATTTGTTAACATGTTTGAAGGAGTCTGGGCAGCATGGTAAGCATCCTTAGCGGTATCATATAGCTAGTATTATGCTTACATTTTGATAGACGTCCTTCTAAACCAATTTGGTTCATTGAAAACCACCGAAGCCACGCTGCCAAAGATGCTGCCATTTGCCGTGGAGGCCTCGTGGGTAACCAGCAAATGGGACCGGTTGGAAACCTACCTTGCACAGCGCCCCAAACATGGAGTTGGGGATTTCACGATTGGTGTTGGGTCTGCGTTGGCTGCAATTCGCGCGAGAGATCAATCATTTAAGAACAAAATCAATGAGTTGCGCCTAAATGTTGCTAAAGGCCTGACATCAAATTCAGTTTCTTCGTTTCAAGCAAGCCATGATAGCATCTCAAAACTACATGTTCTTGCGGAGATGGAACTCCTAACCAATATGGAGTCCGAGTCTTCCCCCTCTCGCGAAACGCTATTTGATACTCTCGATCGAAGATTGGCGATTCTTGGGGGCTGCATTTCGGATAAGCAATATATTCTTGGTCTCAGACGAGCAATCATGGAATTACTGTGCGTACTGTTCCACATCCATGCTTGCTGCTTAGGCTTCATGAGAAGTATTATTTCTAGGTGGTTTTGGAGCTAACTCATGTTGATAAGGCCTCCATTCAATGAGCTGGATGTCGCCTCCATTTGGTTGATCATCTCCAGGCTCGCACGGAAAGCTAACTCTACAGAGCAAGCGTTCAACGCTGTCCTTCATGCCGCCCAATTGAAGGACAAATCTGCAACTATTGAATACGCCAGATTGTTGTGGAAGGAGGGTCATCATAGGAAAGCAATCAGAACTCTTGAAAGTGCTATTGCGGCTAACGCATTCGGATCCTTCGATAAAAGCCCCGGGGAAGATTTGACTGAGACTTCCACTGCAGACGATCAGCATAAACAGAACATGCTCACTGCGCGGGTAAGTTGAAACTGGAGATTGCGTGTAAAAGTTATCCTAATAGTCTCAGGCACATCTTCTCCTCGCTAGATGGATGGACAGCGCTGGTCAGACTCAATCAGAAGTCATAATTCAAAAGTATCGACAGGCTATCAAGTTTCATACAAGGTTGGTTGAATAACACAGCTCATGTAGCCGCATTTTTGTTGACAACTAGCCTCTAGATGGGAAAAGGCTCATTACTACCTTGGAAAGCATTATGCAAAGATATTGGATTCCGAAAAAGCCAAGCCTATTGGAAAAGAAGCTCAAATATAGTGCGTATACACCTTAATCCTTCTGTTCCTCTGTTAATCCGAAGGATAGCCTGAGTGGCGAAGCGGCCAAGTTGGTGATTGATAACTACCTACGATCCCTTGCCCATGGGAATAAGTATGTGTTCCAAAGTTTACCGAAGGCTCTAACATTGTGGCTTGAGCATGCATCCGCAGTGAACCTGCCATTTGATCCTAAAAGGGGGGATAACGAGTAGGTGGACCAAAAAATAGAAATTTTGCAAAATGCTAATGATTATACAAGGGAATTCCAAAAGCACAATATGACACAGCGCAAAAGAAGCCTCGATGACATGAATGCCCAGTTTCGCAAATATATCAACAGAATCCCGGCTGCACTGGTATGGTATTCTTCTCAAGCTGGCGAGTTCTTGGTAGCTAATGTTAGAAGTTATTTACCATTCTGCCACAAGTTGTCACACGCATATGCCACTCGAATAACACGGTCTACAACATTTTAACACAAATCGTGGTGAAGACGGTCCATGCGTTTCCTCAGCAGGGGTTGTGGACTCTTCTCGCGGTCTTGAAATCTTCCACGAAGGATCGCGCCTCTAGGGGGTTGGCCTGCATTCATAAAATAACCGTTAGTAATTTTCAGTTAGCTTTTAATACTTAACTTTACTGACGGGTCTCAGGAAACTGCAAAAAAGCAGAAAACAGATATCTCAGCAGCGGATATTCGGGTAATCATGAATCAGGGGCAGAAATTCTCGGACGAACTTTTGAAACTATGCGGTGCACCAGTCGAAGATAGGGTAATGAAAGTTAGTTTGGCTCGTCATTTGGGTTTTAATCATCGAGTGGCTCCTTGTCGACTTGTTATCCCTCTGGAAACGACCTTGACTCCTATCTTACCTGCGAGTCACGAGACAAACTTCTTAAAGACATTCCGAGCGTTTGCAAACGACCCAATAACTATCGAAAGTATGCTATGTGACCTTGTTCTAGCTGACATATCCAGTACTAACTCTCTTTGCAGCGGTGCTCGACGAAGGCCTTGTCCTTCTCTCAATGCAAAGACCACGGAAAATAAGCATTCGAGGCTCTGATGGCAAAGTATATAGCCTTCTCTGCAAACCGAAAGATGATCTCCGCAAAGATCAACGCCTGATGGAGTACAATACTATGATTAATCGATTCTTGAAGAGGGATTTAGAATCGAATAAGCGCCGCTTATATATCAAAACATATGCTGTTACGCCGCTGAACGAGCGGTGTGGCCTTATTGAATGGGTTGATGGGCTGCGGCCTTTGAGAGAGATCGTCACAAAGCTGCTGAAGGCGCGTGGCATTATGATAAATGTAAGCTTTCCGAAATCCGACGACGAGGACTCCCGGACTAAAACTAGGTCACAGTACACTGAGATCAAGCATTACTTGACGGAAACGTCCTCAAGCGATTCAAAGCTTGCGGCATTCTCGAAGCTCTTGACGAAGTAAATTACAGCTCTTGAAATGACCTTAGGGAATATATGCTTACATGACTGGCTAGGTATCCCCCCGTTTTGCATGAGTGGTTTGTTGAGATGTTCCCCGAACCGTCAGCATGGCTTACAGCCAGACTGAGATATACGAGATCCTGCGCTGTAATGTCTATGGTTGGTTCTTCATTAGGGTGAGTATCCGAGATTGTGTTGGTAGTCGTTGCATTTAGCTCATGCATTACAGGCTTGGGGACAGACACGGAGAAAATATTCTCTTCGAAGAAGGAACAGGAGAAATCCTTCATGTTGACTTCAACTGTCTTTTCGACAAGGTACGCTGTTTTTATCTGCTGTATTTTTCAGATGATGGTCTGCCTAACTTTCATATTTACCAGGGTTTGACACTCGAGATGCCCGAATTGGTACCGTTTCGACTCACTCATAATATGATTGATGCATTCGGAGCGTATGGATATAATGGTTGTTCTTCTCCAAACCGTCGTTAGCATAAAGAATTGTTCTCACTAATCAGTGCACGATGCCTTAGGTCCGTTTCGAAAGACCTGCGAGCTTACCCAGGGTCTACTACGCCAAAATGAAGACTCCCTAATGACCATTCTCGAAACATTCCTCCATGATCCGACGACAGATTTTATCGATAAGAAGGTAAGCCTCCCCTCCTTATCCGTAAATTATGAGCATGCTTGCTAACAAGCGGAATAGAAACGAACCAACCCACGCGTTCCTGATACCCCTGAGGCCGTTCTCGAGTTTGTCAGGAATAGACTTCGCGGCCTGTTACCAGGCGAATCTGTTCCCCTATCCGTTGGCGGACAGGTAGACGAGTTAATAATACAAGCAACAAGCATAAGGAATTTGGCAGCGATGTATATTGGATGGTGTGCTTTCTTCTAAGCGGACTGCATATATTCTTCACAAGAGTACATGATTTGTAGGAATTTTAGTCGAATAACGAACTAGCTACTAATGGCTGTGTACATGTGGGAGTGTTTGAAATACCATGAAGATTATTCCTTTTTTTTTCTTTTTTTTTTTTTCCCCCCTTGCTTCTTGCGATGTTCGAAATCTCCTGGTGTACAGAAGCCCCGGCTTGAAATAAGCTACTAACGCATGATACCAACCCAAACCTCTAGAAAGGAAGTAGAAAATCCCAGTCAAACTCCATTTGTCTCAAGCACTGTAAAATACGACTAAGCACTTTTCTTGAATCATCTCCGGCTGTATCTTGAGCGACTTGGGCTTCGACTCCTGTTGCTCAGGCTATCGTAACTTGAACCCCGTCTTCTTCGCCTAGGCGAATCATAGCTGTCTCTTCTACCTCTTCTTCGCGGTGGTGGAGTCGGTGATCGTGATGAATATAACGGAGATCTAGCCGGTGGTGGTGGCGACCTTGTACGCGATCTCGACCTCGATACAGACCTTGGGCGATACAAATCATGTCTGTCCATGCCTCGCGGCGCTCTGAATCGCCTACGTGGAGGAGATCGATACCGTGAAGGTGCTGGGTATACCGGTCGTCGAGGTTCGGGGCGCGTGGATATCCGTGCTGGAGGTGGTGAGCGGGAGAATGTGCGGCGGGGAAGAACGATGGAAACACTGAGGACGGCGCCGTCTAGTTGGCCTTCGTGCATGTGGGCGATTGCTGACTCGGCATCAGCGGCATCGTAATAGCATATATACGCTGTCCCGCGGTTTGTCATAACTGCCATGTCTGTTAACATTGAAAGGGCAAACCCAGCAAAAGGGCTACGGAAGAGCATACATTGGCGATTCATCGGTAAGTCAATGCTCTGAATGTCACCATAGGCACCGAATATTTCACGAAGGTGATCCTCATTCACGTTCTTGGTCAATTTCTCAACGACAATCTGAACACGACCGTCAGTGCTCATCTCAACCGAGATTTCCGCGGCTCGCGACGTTGCAAGAAAGTATTACCTTTGTGCTCCGTCTTGGCGGACTTGGGCTTCGTGAATAGCTCCTATCGCGATATCTTCCTCCATGTCTATCTCTGCTCGGGGTTCGGGACGAGTACGGGCTTCTGCTGTCTGTTCTCGATAGCGATCTGCCTCTTCCACGTCCATTGCGCCTGGGACTGGGGCTTCGAGACCGAGGTGTCAATGATCTCGTTCGCGACCGGGGAGTTCTAGAGCGTGAGCGCGAGCGCGAGCGTGCGCGAGGAGATGGTGAACGACGCGGTGAAGCTGATCGGGAGCGGCCAGAGGAGACAGATCTAGAGCGGTCTCGAGGAGGAGGGGAGCGGCTGCGCGAGGGCGAGATAGAGCGAGAAATAGAGCGTCGCGTCGGCATCTTCGCCGAAAGTAGAGCTCAAGAGGGTTTAAAATTCGAAGGAGGATTGGAAGCAAAAGTCGTGTTTCGCCTCAGCTGCTTTTGGCTTTGAGTAGCAACTAGCTAGGTTCTCTGCAGTTTGACGCTCCGTGCCAAGCTTTGCTTAAATTTAAGTCAGTCGACCGCGCTACGTCAAAACTGGGTTGCGTTGAAGCTTTGTGTCGAAGTTGTCGAGAGCTACTTTTAAACCCGGCCGATGGATGAAGAGTCGAGATGATGACGGCCGATGTATGAGTATATATATATATTTTGCCTCATTAAGCAAAGTGTCGAAGAGCATCTCAAAAGCGGCTCCTATGGCTCAGTTGGTAGAGCGCATCACTAGTAATGATGAGGTCCTCAGTTCGAATCTGAGTGGGAGCACTTGAAATTTCCTTTTTTTTAAAAGCTTTTCTTTTGAAGCCGAGATTAACGGCTGGCTTCTTCCTCTCACAATGGGAGGGAGGGCAATGAAACATCGGAGGCCTTGGGCCGAATTTTTTATCTGTGTGTCGACCCGAACTGCCAACTAATAAGGGCACCCCGTCCGCCCGTACGTGAGGCAGCACACGGCATCGCCATCAACAACCAACTACTTACTACCTGGCTACTTCTCGCTCCCGACGCAAACCCTCTACCCTTCCCACCCAGAACTCCAGTCACTTCAAATCACCAGCAGCACTCATGGCTCAGTTGGTAGAGCGCGTCACTAGTAGGACGAATCAATCCGTGATGACGAGGTCCAGAGTTCGACTCTCTGTGGGTGCAAAACTATCCATCATACAAGGGCAATTGGAACTCGTCCGATTCCACTTCTCCTTTTATTTTTTAATTTTTTTTCCTTTTCTTTTCTTTTTTGTTCCCTCCCTCTTTTTTGGAAAAAGCAGGCATAGTATTGCCGACATGACCATTCTTTTCTCATACCAAGTCTAGCACCATGAATTGTGCAGTCATACACGTCTTCTACTCCCTACACGCAAGCATAGAGCGCTTCATGCGGTAACGAACTCACAAGAATCACTCGATCTTTTTGTCCAAGGTCCGAATCCGACCCATTTGTATCACTAAGTACTCCGTGCGTTGTGGGGGGCACGCCAATAATAGACTGCCCGGAGTAATTTACTTGGGCTCCAGGCAAACCTTAACCCTACACATGAAATTGTCATAAGCTCATCAGTAGTTGACATATTATGCGCTGTTGTTGCAGTGCGGCCTTCATAACCCCAAGCTAACAACTCAAAAATAAATTTAGGCTCGTCTCCAACAGAACATGGAAGCTAAAGCATTGCGCCACCGACCCCATGGAGGTTCCGGTCCGCATGATATGGAGCACACGGGGGCCTATCTATTCCCAAATTCCTTGCTCCATCTATCGTACTCCCTGATTACCGCCGGGGATATCTGTTTTGGAACCTGTCCAAGCGCTTTCTCAAAATGCTCCCATTTTATCTTGCCCTCTTCACCAAGCTCCTCTTCTTCATCTAGCGCAGCATCTGCCGCCGTCTCACAAACATTCACCAATTCTGCTCCCGAGTATCCTTCGGTCCGCGATGCCAGTGCAATGGGGTCAACCTCGTCGTGAACCTCGGATTTACTGAACCAGATGTCGAGTATCTCCTTGCGAGCCTCCATGTCAGGCAGGCCAACATAGAGAATGTTATCTAATCTCCCCGGTCGCATTAATGCTGGATCTAGAGTCTCCGGCTTATTAGTCGCTGCCACAACGAGGACGTTCTTCAACTCCTCGATGCCATCCATTTCGTTGAGTAGAGTTGTGAGCACATTAATGCCACTCTGAGAGCCTGGTCCTCGCCGCCCGGCGATGGCGTCGATCTCGTCGAAAAAGATAATGCTGGGTCGGGCGGCTCGAGCCTTTCGGAATATTTCTCTCAGTGCCCTCTCGGATTCACCAACGTACATACTCAAGATTTCCGCACCCTTGACGGCCAAGAAGTTCAATCCGGCCTCGGTCGCGAGAGCCTTCACAGTTAGTGTCTTGGAGCAGCCTGGCGGCCCGTATAGTAGCACACCCTTCTTGCCGCTGACATTGAAACGCTTCATTCGCTCGGGATGCTGTAAAAGGGGTTATAAACTAAATGCAAACTTGGTATGGCAGAATTGAATCACGTACCCTCAGAGGCCGTTCTACAGCCTTCTGGAGATATCTCTTGATATCTCGCTGCCCGCCAATGTCCTTCCACCTTACTGCAGGCGTCTCCAAGAATACCTCCCTCATGGCCGTTGGCCGAGTTTCTTGTAATGCCAACGCTACATCTTCCTCCCGTATCTCAAGTGGAATCCTCGATGGTTCCTCCAGCTCCGGATTCTCAGCCGGAGCCTGATTTTGATCTAGCCCTGCCTCTTCCTTGACGGATTGGGAAAGCTGACGCGTCTGGGCTTTCCTACACGAAAGCTGCAGCAATGAAAACAGATCCGCACCAACGTAGCCATGTGTCTGAGCGGCTATTTTTGCCAGGAGATCATCACAAGGCTGATCAGCCGATCCTCGCAGCGCCCTAAGGATCTCGGCTCGATCATTTCCGGTTGGTACTGGTAATTCAATTTCAATTCCTAAACGATGTGGAGTTCTTAAGGTGTCATCCACGTCATTCGGATGTCTGGTGCATGCAACCACAAGGACATGATTATTCTGAAGTGAATCCAGGTTTTCGCACAGCACGGATGCCATGGACATAGCATCGTTCGAACCACGTCTTGGCGCAAGGAAGTCCAGCTGGTCTATAGCAATGAGGCTGGGCTGAGATTTGAGTGCCTCAGCGAATATTTTCCGAAGTTTAGCTTCCCCGTCCACCGTTGATCGGCCGATTATGGAGCTTTTCACGGTAAAGACGTTTCTCCATCCGGCGGCTTCAATTTTAGCTAACAGCGAAGTCTTCCCGGTTCCCTTCGAACCGTAAATGAGGATCCCACCGCTATTTTTAAAAAAAGGTGGCATATCAATCTTTTGTGCCTCCGCCGTAAAATCTCTCAGTCTCTCGTTGATCTGTTTGATCTGTGGACCGAGGCCGCCCAAACCAGACGAATCGACCTCAAGTCCAGACTTCGGCGTAGATACAAATTTCACGGATCCAATCTTCACTTTCGATTCTGAAGTGAAACGGGCAATGGTGTTTGCACTCCGCTCCCTTCCAGGATCAATCTCCACGACTTTGAAGGTCCTCCGGCACTTCTTAAGCTCGCATTCAAAAACCATATCTACGGCCAGGATCTCACACTTGGAAAGGGGGTGCTCCAGGGCCCATTCCCAGTACGGCTGATCTTTTTCGTCCAGCTTTACACATGTCGAAGTCACCGCCGGATCACTGCACTCTTCCAGACGAACGACGCCTATGTCCCTCAACGAGTCCTCGGCTCTGGTGACGGTCACCTTATCACCGAGTTTGAATCCGTATAGCGTCTGCAGGAGTTTTGATGTCTGGACGACATTGTCGTGTATCCTTTCAGGGGCGGACCAGGCAATTGCGGTCTTGGGAGGACCTCCATCGAGCCGCAGTTGACATGGTTCCCCTACTATGCAGTGGACCTGGAGAAGGGACGCTGGGGACATAAAAATCCGGAATGCATCCTTGGAGTCGTTCCTTGGCTGGCGTGCCACGGGGCGGACTGTGAATTTGGGCCCTTCTGCCATGTTGAGAGAAGCTTCGTAGTCTTCGGGGTAGTCGTAGAGGGGATTTGAACGGAAGAAGTCAACTTGGGGGATTTAAGATGGATTGTACCCTTTCAGACGCCAACAGGGCGCGTATGAAGCTACGCGCAGTCGTGTGCTGTCCAGGGAGACTTTTTGCTGGTGGTTGTTTGCTCTTTGGGGAGGGGGATTTAAGTTAGCTTTTTGTACGGTGGCGAAATCAAAACATCGGCAAGTCATCTCATCATCTCTTGTCGTGGATGAAGACGGGAAGAAAACACATTGGCAACGGATGCCAGGGTTCGGACAACAGTTGTCATTCTCTGGAGGTGCAATGTATCCTGGAGAATGCAGACATCCAATGAAGGGTTTTCCGCTGGTGGGGCACGCAACGACGAGTTTCTTTTTTGCTGGCTCGAGTGCGACACAAATTCCATCGCTTGTGTAAGCGGAAAGCAATGTCTTAGAAGGACCTTTTTGATGGAAATATCGAATGTAGCACTGCGTATGCATGTACAAACCTGCTAAACTGAGATATCCTCTTCGCAGGCGGATAGTGTAATGTAGCTACATAACTACGGAGTGACGAGCCGGCCGCAGATTGGATATAATCAAGCTCCAGAGTTTCAGTGGCTTCGGCCAACCTTCTCAATAGCCCCAAAAAAGCCTCTCCCCCCGGTTCACGATCGACCTTGGTGGTGGCCAGCAGCCATTGCACAGCATTGCAAGGAGACCTGTAGCTAAGCGAAAATGGCCGTGGTACGGATGACATCCATTCGCCTGCTGCTGCGTCCTCACATCTTCCCAAAGCCGACGGCCAGCCCATTCAGAAATCGCCCCTTGTCAACTGTCAACGTCAAGCAATCAAGGCCAATGTCGTTGGCTCCATCATCTTCCGGGCCATCTTCAAATCCCCGCATCCAATATTCAGAAGGATGCGACCCGTCCGTCGCCCAGCCGGAGCTCGAGGCATTGCTCAGCAAAGAAGCAGGCAGATGGGAGCTATGCCAAGATGCTCAAGGCATTAAGAGGGAATACAGGTTCAAATCATTTAAAAAGGCCTGGGTGCGTCTCTTCCGCTCCCTCGAAGGGATCTTTTCATGACCTTCTAGCATGGATGCAGGCTGGTTGGTTAATCTAGCCCCGTGTCACGGATAGGCCTTCATGTCGGCTGTCGCGGAACAATGCAGTGTCGAAAAACACCATCCTGAATGGACCAACGTATGTACCTCGACATTTTCATCCGGCCGCGAGGCTTTTCAATATCCGGCTTACTCTTCCTTCTCTATTTCCAGGTATATAACCGGGTTTCAATTACCTGGACCACCCACCGTCCACGCGGGCTTAGCCTCAAAGATCTGAGAATGGCCAGGTTCTGCGACGAGCAAGCATCCTTGCATGAGGAGATAGTGGTCCCTCCTCCGTTCCCCGAGCAGTCACAGTGACGGCGCCTAGCGCGTGGTAGCAAGACCCTATCAGATATGATTTGATCAATTTGAAAATGGGATTCTTCGACACTAACGATTTCATCATGTAGTTATTATTAAGTATACGGAATATCTATCTACATCATAGGTAACAGGGCGAAGCTAAGAAACAAGGTAGCTTGCTACAACGTAAGGTGCTGGAAAACAACATCCCCTGGAAAACCATGACTAGCCGCCTCGAGCAAAGGTTTTAGAAAAGTACAAGACAAGGTGGAATCATTATGAACGTATAAAAGAGCCGTTATCGCGAAAAGGGAGCACGACGGAATAAGAATCAAGAAAAAAGGATAATAAACGGCAAACTCCGCCTAGCACCCAAACATTAAAAGGTTTGTTAGTCGAAACGTGGTAATGGTAGAAGCTGCATCGATTAGAAACACTCTCCATTGCCGAAATTGAAGCGAAAGCGTGGTTCATTCGGGGTTTATTCTCAGTTTTTCACTCGGTCTTTTTCGCGACCTTTGACTTCTCTCTCCGGCGCTGGACAGCTTCGGGGCTATATTCGGTATCAAGGAGGTAGTCCCACCATCTGAAGCTGCTGGAGTAGTTCCCGACAAACTTTTCGTGGTGAAGGTCATGATGGTCAGCGCCCGCCCAGAAGGGGAGGAAGTGATGCAAGCTCCATGGGAACTCGTAACCGCTGTGCGCGTCAATGGCTTGGAACAATCGAAGGACGATCCAGATGTACATAGTCAGGATGTGGAGGTCGCCGGTGAATGCACACCACAAGATCGGGCATCCGACAGTGCCAAATCCGAGAGCCATGACTTCGATAGGAGAAGCGTATTCAGCGGCAAGTCCGAATGGGGCAGAGTACTGGTGATGGATCTTGTGCACGGATTTGTAGAGTGGCCCCCAGTGGAAGGCACGGTGAGAGAAATAATGCCATGTATCTTCGAGCACAAAGAATATAGCAATCTGATACATCATCTTCCAGATCGAGGGGAACGGGACACCGGTTGCAAGACCGAAATATTGAGCCATCGGGTGGAAGAGCCTGCCAAATCAATTAGCGATGAGTCGATGGAACGGCTATCCTAGGTCAATATACGTACCAAATCTGAGGCAACTCGACAGTAAAATGACTGAGGAGGACTAATTTCGCACAGTTCCATTGTTCCTGGATTGTTGGGATTTTGTTCTTGACGAGGCATCAGCTAGAGTTCGAGAGAATTTGCGTGCAATGACATTTTTGACTCACGTGCTGAATCTTCCAGCGGTTGAAATACTTTATTCTGTCGATGATGATCCAAGGTAGCGATCGGCCGAAGTAGACGACCTCGTGCATGACGAAGGACATGATGCCTGTCGCAAGGACATCATTCTGCATATAGGCGTACCACGCCGCCCATAGTCGTTCAGCGACGTTCAGATGAGTGTTGTACTTCGAGATCTCCTCGAACTGGCCCCAATAGGAGGTGGGAGGCGGCGAGAGAAGGGTGGTCGAGTTCCTGCAAAACAGGCGGTAAGTCAGACAGGGCCAGGGCCAGCGAGCAGAAGGGAGCAGAGCAACTCACATCTTGGTTGCCCGAATTGATCAGCGTAGCCAGCAGCGGAGGGGCAGGCCGGTGGAAGCGGAATCAACTGGTGATGGAGAGTGCTGTCTGCCAGTTGAGTTGTGCTCTTTGGGGGGGTTTGGCGGAAGAAATAAATAAAATCAGATAAAGAAGCCGGGAAGGGATTATTGGATTCTTGGGGGGAGTTTGGAAGTTTGGGAGTAAGGGGGTTCATTTCGGTACCGGCTTTGTCAGCCTGGCGGGGCCGCATGCGCAGCAGCCAATGGGACGCGAGGATTGCGTAAGGTACCCGGTATTGCAGTCGATCCGGAACCAAACACGCTGCGAGCCGGATCGTTCGACCAGGCGTGGCCTGATACCGTAATTACCAGCGCGTTATCTTCCAGCGCCAAGCCACAGGCTGAGATCACGTGCAATGTGGCCCAGGCCAATCAGTGGCGCTACGTCATCTGTTATCTGATCGAGCCATCACGGCTTTGCAGCTCAAATCCTCCGGAAACACCCTCCTTCTGTCGTTTCAGGCTCGATGTCCTGCTGAGATCGGGATTTGGTCTCGTCCAATTACCAGAATCACGGGTATATTTTATCCATGTGCATAACATGATCGACAGGGTTCTGGAATTGCCCCGGCTGTAACGCACGATTCAAATTTTTGGGTGTGGAAAATGTCACTCGTCGAGGAGTAAGCTTCTGGAACACCATGCCATCCTCCCACATCCCGCCAATCGGCCCAATACGGGGAAAACTTTCTGGTGCACAGTTCCATGTGGCTGATTCCAATTCATATCACATAGTCACGTACGACGTCTGGATCTCTACCTCGACAAGCTGCAATTACGAGCGTTGGACTCAGCGCAGCCGTCGAGCACGGACCAGGATGAGTCCATAAAAATAGCCCATCACCTATTCGCTCCGCCCGTTGCCGCGCTCGCCGGAATCGCGAGAGCTTTGTCGGCGGGATCTTCCTCCGGCCCGCTCTTGAAGCCCTCCAAACTTCTGGATCTGTTGCGCCAGGTCTGCCGGCTGAGGTCTGATCTGGAGCACAGCGAAGCCGAGTTGGATGATGGTTACGCCCCAGACCTCGTGTGGATGGTGGCGGCAAAGGCCACCGTTCAGGCATTCGCCATCGTGGTCAATGCGTTATTGGAAGAGACTGCTTCGCTGAGTGAGGGTATCTGGTACTGGGATGGTGTTCTGGGATCATACTTCAATAGTGGCCTGTATGCCATTCAGACCTCGCCATTACGATTCGGCAACAGGATCAAGGATATCTATCACCATGTCTGCCGGCTACGACCTCAGTCGCGCTTCGAATTAGACAGTTCAACCCTGTCAGCGCGCTGGGGCACGTTTTACCAGCTCGTGCGAGAGAGTGTGAGGCAGCAGAGCATGTCACAAGCCAAGCAGTTAATGCTGTCTCCCTTCCAGTTATGTAGGTCAGAGGCCAGGCGGAATAGGCGAAGCTTGAGGAAGATGCGGGAGTTGAATGCTTGTGCCGTCGGCCTCTTGATGGAAGAAGCCCTGCTGTTCGATTTCGACGAAGAGGATACCAATACCAACACTGCCAATGCCAATCCAGAGGACTGGCAAGATACTGTTTTCCGGACGACTCTACTCATACGAACTATTCTCAATAATGTTAATGATCTCAGCAATGATTTTAACGGATTTGAAGACAATGTGTTTGCCAGTGTTGATGCAGTCGACGCACCATTTATTGAAGAGAGCCACCAAAAGCCTTTGTTTGATCAAGCTTTCAGTGTCATCCAGCAGCTTATAGATATTTTGGAAGAACAATTGCCGCACCAACGGCTTTTGTCACGGGGTCTTACCCGTCAGTATGGGCGTCCTTCTCGGCTCGTTCGCTATTGGCTTCCTGCATCTGCATTTCTGTTCTCTTCCAGTACCATTCTGAATATATTGACAAATAGACGTGCAGAGTTGGTCACTTGGGTCCGAGAACTGGGAACTACAATGAAAGATTTCTGGGTGAACTGGGTCATTGAGCCCTTGAATCAACTGGTTGGAACAATACGCCATGACGAGAAGAGCGAAGTGGCCTTGATGAGCAAAGGCAGCCTGCAATCAGACTTTGCTAGCCTGGAGCGTATGGTTGTGGATTACGCCATCCGGCATCCTGAGCATGGACCCGACCGCGCGTTCACTCATGCTGAGCTCGAGCAAATCCGGTCAGGTGTCAGGGAAGGAGATCTCACTCTCGTCCTAAAGGCCTATGAGCGGGATTTGCAGACCCCTTTTATGGGTGCTGTCCGAGGGGACTTGATTACAACCTTGCTTATACAGATTCAGAAAACCAAGGTGGACGTCGAAGTTGCAATGAGTGGGATTGATTCTCTCCTCCAAAGCCAACAGCTAGTTTTTGCGTACGTTATTCTATCAGTTCAGGAGACAAACCTACTCTTATTCTAACCGCTGGTCTAGTTTCATCGGCCTGACTCCTGGTATCCTTGTCTCCTATTCGGCTATCACCTGGCTCACCAATGTTTTTGGTAGTCAGAAGGGACTACGACGGGGTAAGAGGCGTGAAGAAGCAAGACGGTCACTACGGTTAGTCCCTCTGTTAATCGACTAGAACCGCACATGACTAATTTCTCGTCGCGTTTAGAGCGGTCAATCGCATCCTGGCCTCTTCAGTGCCTACCCCAACGGGAGTATTATCTTATAAGGACCACGGCCTATTGATCTGCGAGGCGGAGATCCTTCGTCGAAGAGCATATGCAGTTTTACCTGGACACATATATCACGAGTTCCATGAGGACCTGACCGACCTTCTGAATGTTAGTTCTGGTATCGTCCAACAATTGAGGGTTTTAGAGCAAATCCGATGGGCGTATTCCCGATGGATCTGTTAGTAAAATGACGAAAATATCGCTTCACGTATCAAAGGAAAAAAAATAAAATAAAATGGCGCAGACAGAACTCAGATGTGGCATGCCCAACAGTTCATCCAGTTTTTAGGATTCAAGGTGTTTCTTATTCAAGCATTGCATGGCATGATGGTCGATAGCATATGTCCTTAGCAGGATCATTGTGGTGTTGATGTTGATGTAGATTTTTATCAGTCTATGTGCTACATATGTGCGTATGTATTTATGTACAGCATACTATACATATTTTTCACCGATGTGATAAACAATGCATGCTGGAGTTTAATGTTTTGGTCGCAGGCTATGTATTGCCACCACTGTCCATGCCCCCTAGCAGAGTAGCAGTTAGGATCAAGCCGCTGGTTGCTGGTAAAGCGCCCATGGCCACCCAGACTCTACAGTAGGAAGAAGCTTTCAGGGGGGAAAGACAACAAGCCGAAAGCTGCTACAGCTAGCTACAAGGTCATGTGACCGTCTCGAAACCGACCCAAATCCCAACGTCACAACCTTCAACTCAACCCTGTTGTCCTTGATAACCTCGCGGTCTCCGGAGAACATTTGGTCCCTTACAGATCTCCCGAGGTTTTCTGCTGTGGGACAATAAGTCAACCGTCCAACTGTCACTATTATCCTCCGTTACCGTTTCGATACTCTGCATTGTTGCCGAAGAACCCTACCAATCCTGCCTAGCTACCCGCCAACATTCCTCTGTGCCTATACTCCATTCCACCCTTACCCTGCTTGACATTTACATGTTTCAAAGCCGAAACCCCAACGCCATCCAGAAATTTCTCCGCGTACACCAGAGTTATCGCCAGTCTGAATAGTCACTGCGTGAAGGAGCAAAAGACTGGCTTCCAAAGTTTAACTGCTAGGATTTCCTTAGCCACAGGACCATTGGAAAGACTCGCCCGTCTCGCAATACGGGCCGACTGCATTGCTGCCTCACTCGCAGGCCGGATTTCCCCTGGCATATTGCGTTGCAGACCTCCCCTGTTCCGTCGCCGTATTTAATAGGCGACTTCCCTTCCTACCGTCATAACCCCGTTCTTGTTTCCTTCTCTTTGCCGCCATGGCTGGCACACGGAACTACGATTTTTTGGTATGCAGATAGCCTTCTCTAATATTTCTGTTTCTGTGGTTGGGCCTGCTTTGAATGCTAACAAGAACTGATCACATACAGATCAAGCTCCTGCTTATCGGAGACTCAGGAGTGGGTAAATCCTGCTGCCTGCTACGATTCAGCGAAGACTCATTTACACCTTCTTTCATCACCACAATTGGTATCGATTTCAAGATTCGCACCATAGACCTGGGAGGCAAGCGAGTGAAACTCCAAATATGGGATACAGCGGGTCAAGAGAGATTCCGGACAATCACAACGGCTTATTATCGCGGTGCGATGGGTATATTGCTTGTTTACGATGTTACAGATGAAAGATCTTTTAACAGTGAGTCGTGACTCTCCGACATTTATTTCCTCGACCGTCGGATCTGAGTTTCTGATCTATTTGTTGCTATAGATATTCGAACATGGTTCTCCAACGTTGAGCAACACGCTTCCGAGGGCGTACACAAGATGTTGATTGGAAACAAGTGTGACTGGGAAGAGAAACGAGCCGTATCTACCGAACAAGGCCAGCAGCTGGCTGATGAGCTAGGCATCCCCTTTTTGGAAGTTTCCGCGAAGAATAACATCAACGTCGACAAAGCATTTTACACCCTCGCTTCGGAGATAAAGAAGGTCATGGATACATCGAAGGCTGAGCAGTCTGCTTCACATAACGTCAGTATAGATCAAGGCACGGGGTCCGGGACTGGGCTCGCGAACAAGTGCTGTTAAATGGGTTGGGTGCTAGAGGGTGGGTTGAGAGAGCATTTGATGTCAGTTCCTTCCTCGCAGATGATTTGTCTGTATAATTTTATATCCTTCTTCTTTTTATCGCGTATGATTACCCCTGAAGAGACAAGACTTTATGCCCTGTGTCAGGTTGATCAGGTTGCCCGCCTTTTTTTTTACTTTTTTTGTGTCATTTGCCGCTTCATTCTGTCCCCTTCGTTATTTGTTTTTTATCTATGATGTTCCAAGGATGTGTCTCTTAGGTATGGATGTTTGCTGCTTTACCCTGATCGGGATAGATTACTGCTTCCAATGTTATGTCAGGCAAATGTTAAGAGTACCTGTGTGGCCTTGAATCAGGACCTGTTCTTTTGGATGGCACACAAGGGTCACGAGGGCGAAGAGTCCTTTTCATTACGGATATTTTAACTTAATGTGTTTATGGAATTGGTTCTAAACATGGCAGAGGTACCATCCTCGGTAGTCTGTGCCCAGGAGCAGTTCTGTGTTGGTCTGCATTTTCACGAGTCTTACACCTGAAGAATTTAAAACTCAATTGACTTCATTATCCGTGCCCCCAGCCAAAGGCCTTTTTAATATACTCCGTATGTATAAACATACATACACTCTATTATGATCAACAAGACGATAGCCCAAGGAGTAGAATAGGTTGTTCCGTCACCTTAATGGCCGCTATATAACACGGGGAAGGGGGACTTGCTTGCAGGCTACTCGCACTTGATGGATGAGCAGCGAGGGTGATCTTCCTATATATATAGCGCAGTTGCAGGAGTATCAGTGCTTCCAACGATCAGGAGGAAGAAGTCTCGAAACGCCTTTGTCCTGGCCAGACTATGAGTCTATATTCCTAAACTAATAGAAGGGGAGTCTTCGATATTACGGCAGTGTTTAAGGCCTTATAGGCAGGTGATTTAGGCTATAATGTCAGGACAAGTAGGTGATACTCTCATAGAGTCCATCCGATCTCTTAAATACGAGTACAGGCATACACTTGGAAGTGCATCGTGACCAGGCTTTAGGTTAAGCCGGCCCGCAGAGACTAGAGCCACCTGAATACCACCAGCATGCTTCTAGTACCTGTTCCGCTCATGTTCTCCCCATATTCAGAACACGTAACTGATCTGCATGTGCATATACATACATATACGGAGTACTCCGTACTCCGTACTTCGTGGTTGATTTGATGATCCCTCTCGGGACGCCTTTAAGTTATCTTATCTTATCAGTCCGGGACAATTTCCCGCAACCCTCGGGCGGGTATCCACGCCCACCAGAGCCTCGAGCCCTGTTCATGGATCAAGGTTCCTCAGCAAGCGTCAAAACCATCCAGACCGCACGTTGTTCTCTTTCGCCGTTGATTTTATTACACTCTCATTAATTCACCAACAAAGGCAAAGAAGGTTTAAATCTTCGAAGTAACGGCTCTGCGGCTGCCAATCGTTTATGGCGAGTCCATCATACAATGCCGTATTACGAGGCTATCGAAACTGGAATTTTTTGGGTTTCACAACCCTCTGCCGCTGATGCCCTATGTGGATGGTCGTTGCTTTACTACCCGTTCACACAGTCCGCCACCCCCAGCCTCTCGCAAAGAGTTCTGTAAGCTTCCTGAGGAGACTAAAATTGAATGTGTGACTAAATTTCCAATGCGGTGTTGCCTGCACCACTGACAAGGTGGCATTGTTGCGGACTGCAAAGTCGCTTTTAGGATAGCACTCAGCATAAGAGAGAGGGGGAGAGAGAGAACCACAACTCCCAGGTTGTTGCTGTAAATATTATTGTGCTTGCCCCAGTAGCCCAAATCGTCCTAGGGTGGCAGCATGGCAATTGCTATGTTGTATGGCCCTCTGTATGTCAACTATAGTGTGGATGATGCAGACCCTTTTCTCCGGTCAACCACGATTATTTGTGCGAGACAGTCTCATAAACCAACCCCTCTGATCTCTAAGGGAAAATTGATTACTACTTACTATGGCTCACACTCTCTTGAGCTATCTGTTAAGAACGGGGACCTGATTGAGTTGGTTCCTGGACCCTCCACGCATGAGCGTCAACAACAGGATTTCTCAGCGGGAGAGGAAACTCATTCTGAAACATATTATTTGATGAGGAATCAATTATGTATGCCCGCGATGTGGGTCTGGCTTGTTGATTTACATCCAAGGAATGTTGTGGTGGAGCGGGATAACAAAGCAAAAAAAAAAAAAAAAAAAAAAAAAAAAAAGTAATAAAAAACAGGGTCAGGAGGATCGTCCTTCTGGACTTTGAGTGGAATAAGGTTTCTCAGCACTGCAAGCCAGGCCTTGAACAAGAGCAGAAATCCCTACCTGGAACCTATATATCGCCATTGCTCCGGTCACACGAGGTATCGTGTCCGCTGGCCAAGTTCAAGGAATGGGTAAACTGGGATTATCGACCCCAGTTTGAAACTGAATATGCCCATACGGCGTCTTCGGTCACGCCGTATATGGAGATGTTATAGCATCCGGACAGGCCATATGTTTTCAAGGATGAAGTTTAGCATTGTTGAGTTGCTTAGGCCACAGTTTGGTTTGGATAGCTTCATTTCTTTTTCTTTTTCTTTTTCTTTTCTTTTTTTTTTTTTTGCGATGTTACCCTGCTAGATTCTAGAAAGATGTCCTCTACAGCAAGTGCCCGGCGGTTTCTGAAGCTCTGATCATCCCCTATATCTTCATCTAACAGACCTAGCTGTCCAGAAATGGGGCCGTCTGCGTCGCATCCATAATAATCATTGCAAACGGCCTGTAAGCCTCCAACAGGAAGGTGAACAAGTATGAATTTAAGCATGTTTCACCAGAGAGTATAGGGTACCTTACCTTACATATTACAGATACGCTACTCCGTACATTTTGAAGTAGATATCAATCGGAGCTGTCTGACAATTGTATCTGGGACATCCACATATAAATAAGGATGGCAATGTGTAGGAGTATGATATTGCTATATTTATCAATACCCGTCCCGGAACAAACACTCAACATGCAGTAGTGGTGGAGGGTCGCAGTTCGGTAATCCCGTAAATTTCGGCAACGGCCTCCGGTGCCAGGTCCGCACAAATCTTCTTGCTTCCGACGAGTTCTCAAACAAAATGCGCCAGTTGCCTATTCCATTCAGAATCTTGGCGTCTTCTTCAGAATCCAAGATCCTATGCGGCGTGGCGTTCGTTAGAGGGGAGATAGGCCTCAGCGTTTCAGCGAGGCGCCACGGTACTCTGCGATTTTCAGCATCCCAGTGAACGAAGGAGACGATATGCCGTGTGGATATATTGGGTATCTGGCGGGTGTCGAGGGATATTTGGACGGGGTATGTTCGGCGTTCCTTTTGCTTTTGGGCGAGGATGTTGTTGTGTGTCTTAATGACTTCTTGTAAATGGTCGCTGAATGGCGCAAGGTAAGCGAGCACTGATGGGTATTGCCAAGGGCTACTGATTGTGTAGTCTTGAAGTGTGAAGCCGCGAGAGCCGTGAACAGTATAGGCCGGCGGGAGTTGTAGTTTTGATTCAGACGTTATCGGTAGATGATGGCGAAGGAGGACTCGCAGATTGTGAATGCGAGCCTGGTATTCTTGTGCTGCGGCAGGAGTTGCAAAGATAAGAATCCAACCATGTTTACGACGGAGTGTTTGAGGGTCTCGTGCTGGGATGACTGTATAAATCGTTCAGCACGTAAAGTCAATTACGCAAAAGGTGGTATTCCTCACTTTCTTCCAGTCCGCCACCGCTTGTCCACCCTTCAATATGTTTTCCCGGGTCAAGGAGCCGCCTGAAATCACGTTCAACCAGAGAAATCGGCACAGCGGACAGTACCAAGGCAGTTTTATGTTTTCGTCGACTCTCAACAGGATCTGTGATCTGCAATTGGCCCAGTTCATCAATCTTGACACCTAGGTCCGTGCGTGGATCAGGAATCCTGGACAGCGAAAAGAGTTCGAATAGTTCGGACCGCTCCCGCGTCATGCGCTCGGGGTCATAACCCATCTTCGGTTCATCTTTCTGGTCATTGACGCCGGCGGTGTCTCGGCTCCTTTCGTTTCTGGATGCGGTTTCGTGGTGTATGGAGGATCCTGTGGGCGGTGAGGTTTGGCGCATGTCCGCAAACCCGCGAGGTATTGAGTAGATAGCCATAAAATTCCGTCGCGGGCTTTGCCATAATGAAAATAGCCCTGACGGTCGCAGCCGCTGCGTGGACATCCCTTGGTATGCGGCCCAAACCCAGGCACCGGGTTCTGCGATTCCTTGATCGATCTGCAATGATATTTCAGAGAGTGGGAATCGCTATCTTCGAACGCACCATAAAACCATTAATCTCAACGTTCCATGCTCATTAAGCTGCTTCTTGTTCAGTTCAATTGCTCAATCTCAATTTATCGTCTGATCGCGAAGTTACTTTGACTTTGAGCAAGCCACTGCAACCAATGTCGAGGAAATTGGCTAACCTGTTTAGGAATAGTTCAACTAACTTGTAGACTAATCTGTCTGATTAGGGATGTGGCTTTAACGTGGCTGGGTTTCGTACGCCGCGAGCAAGAAACTGCTGCCCAGAGCTCGGCCCGACCTTGCATAGCTAATTCAAAATCCGACCCACCAGGGAGGTCGCTTAAAGGCATACGGGCCATTTGCGCTCTATCACGTACATCGAACGTCACAGTTGCATTGCTTAATAAGGTAACCGACATCCAAGTGCTCCAGCTGCCATCAGCCTGACGCTATTTCATCCATCAATGTCCCCTTTGCATGTCTCATTACCCCCCCATCTCCCCACGTCATAATTCCCTTCATCCACCCAATCCCAGAATCCCACCACACCTGGCGTTCAGGATGAATCTTTTCGAGACTCTCCTCATCCAGACTGCCCATGGTTATATCGATCAGTGGTGAAATAGGCGATGACGCCGGTCTTTCGAAATAATAAGTCAGGGTTGTCCCACATCGGGAGCAAAAGCTCCGGGTGACGTCGCGAGACGATTTATAATGAGAAATATACGTCTCATGGCACACGGAAGATTTTCCGTCGGATGCGCAGGCTTCCAAAGTTGTGAGGTGAATGGCCGGTTTGGCTACATCTCCTCCAGCATCATTCTTGTGCAACGGAAGAACGGTCCATTCCACCCAATTGTGCGGGGAAATGCACCAGGCCTGCACGACGGTTCCCGCAGCATGGCGACAGTCTGAGCAATGATCGAAGCCAATTAATGGGAATGTGGTGGGAACGCGGGGCTGGCTTCGTCTGTCATCGTCGTGCTTGTGTTGCCCCGGGAGCGGTGGCAGGCGCGTGTCCACCGCTCCTGTGAGGATAGGACGATCCTCGCGTTGCGGAACGTTGATGGTGTAGCGAATGGCTTTGCAGAAGCATCCTCCTGTAAGGATAAACGGCTCGGACGGGGCATAAGCCATTGTGGTAGGTTATGGCAAAATGCGTTGCGGAGTTCCTTGCTATGCTGTGCTATGGCTTGAAGTGTTACTGTGGTCTTCAGCGCTGTTAGACAAAATTTCGTTTCTGACGCGAGTTATCGTCTTTTCTTTTTTTTTTGAAGTATTTGGTTGTCCAGGAAATATCGATATTTCCTGGTGAAATGTATCGATTTATATACCTGCTCCGACTTGTGGCTCGTATTGACCCCACTCATCCACATATGTACGACTGCTGCCTGGACTGAGTTTCGTCATGACAAAGCTTCTCTTTATTCAGTATATCCCGAGCAATAAAAATACACGGACTTTTTTGATTTTGTCAACGAATCCATTCAAGTTTCTCGCATGACCCCATCTTCTCGGCGTGCTGTCTAATTCTGTCCGGTATCCAGCCTGATTTGCAAGAGGAGGTCGAGGCCCCCCGCTTTGCCGTTTTGGAAGTGAAACATTTACCGGACCTGTGAGAGTATTGCAGGCATGCCGAATTGTCCACGCAAAGCGCCTTGCACTGATCCTCTGACGGTACATTGTGTTCCTCTTCTGAGAAGTTGTCCCAGTTATCCCGCGGGGACGACAGACCGGGCTGTATTAGGCGCGTAAACACATCTTGGTGGAGAAGAATCGAGCTGGTGTTCTAACCACGACTCAGCATTGTATATGCATATTTTAAGACATCGAGACTCACGTTTTTGAACCACTGTTGGCTGAATCTCCACATTATTTCCACGTCGCTTGGAGTCATATGATGATAAGAGACCACGGGATAACACCACGGCTCTGCAAAATGATTGAGATCCCATACTCTTGCTGTTTGCAGCATTGGCCATGACTTGGTAAGAGGGATACCGGCATCTGCCATGGCTTTCCCCAAAATTCCATCTCCTGCCCACTGATGTGCGGTGTAATCTTCCAGCTGTGTAGCTCTAGAAGCCCGATACTGCGAAAATTTCTCCATTGCTGAATTAGAAATGACGAATCCAGACCCGCCATAGCCAAATAATATGTTTCCTAACAGCATCTCTGTGCCCAGATAATACGGTTTTGAAGGATCGAACCTTTCAAGCCAAGCAAGGAGATTCTGCCAAACTATATATGTATCCGCTTCCATGAAAACAAACCATTTCGCATCCGGCCGAACTTCTAGCGCCTCGTCAATCATAGGGATGAATTTCCACTTATCGAGCTTCCACCCGGGATTGTTCGGTTTTCCGGACGGCCCGCTCACATCATCCATCATCAAGTCGCTTGGCCTTAATCCGTCCCTCCCTAACTTTTTGATTCTGTTGTAGAGTTCGAAGTCTGGATTGAAGCGTTTGACATCTTTACTGACAGTACGCAGGACATCGTAGGTCTGCACTCCTGAAATATCCTCCTCAAAGTCAGAAAATATAGCGAAGTGTGGCACGCAACTAAGTGTGGTCTCCAAATGAATGGGAACTTTCTCCAGAGCTTCTGTAACGCCGGTTTTCATGACGACCAATATATCTTCCATTCCTGGAACAGCATCGCAGCCGCTTTCGGTGATTTTGGGTGCATTTTTGATGAAGGGATGCTGAAGTAGATCATGGTAGGTCAATAGCTGATGAAGCAGAATAATAAAGGGAATGGGGGAAAGAATGAAAACCCAGCAACGCCAGCGGCCAAACCAATTGTAAATCGCCATTTGTTACATCGAAACTGATGAGTAGAGCGATAAACAATACCAAAGTAGACACACAAACATGAATTGAAAGGAAAAAAGGGAGGATGAAAATAAGAGTTGAAAAGGGGACGAGGGCCTGTAAGTGCAAGCCCGTTGGAAGCTTCGAATATACCAGTATGTTAATCATCTATTATCCCACATTCCACACCCCATTCAGGCCTCTAAGGGGGGAATGCCGTTGCAAGACCGAGCCAATCGGCTTTTATGCACCTTGCACGAGCTTATGGCTGTTCGGCTCACTGGGATGGTAGAACACATGTATTCATTCTCGATGTGGACATCCCATGCAGGTAGGCGGCAGCTCAAACAACCCAACACGGTTCCCTGCCGGAGTGGGGTGTCATCAACAACATGCATCTCCGATACAGCTGGAAGGGTTTGTCTTATGTCACCCTTTTGACCCCATGCACAGGAAGCCAACATGGGGGATATGCGAGACCGTTGTCATTCATACAGTGGTGAGCTGCGCGATTTGGGAATCACAAATCTCTGACCAATTCAGTAAACATGGGTTGCCGTTAGCCGTTCTTCTCCCAGAAAGATTCGGGGACATATCCGATCAACTTCCCGATGCCGTATCCCCTGTGCATTAACGCATTTTTCGGCGCAGATCGAATCATACCCAGGGTGAGTACGTATTCCTCGGTCCAGTCGACGCTGTTTCACAACATACGCACCGAAATTGAGCTAGGAGTGGGAGTACGGTCCCTGTATATAATGGTGTAGATCCTTGTAAGACCTCCTTTCCAGCGAAGTAAGAGATCGTCGATGGCGCAAGGAATGTGTAACTCAGCAAAGTACGGAGTAACCGTCAAGTACTCTGTACACATGCAGTTACATCGCCCTCTGCTCTGTATTCTGATAAGATGCTTGCCGTTATGTTCTGGCCTGCTGTAGGTTCTGGGAGCATGCGCATATTCCACTGGGATGATTTCACTGCCATGATTCTGTGGAGGATAGATCCGTGGTGGGAATCAAGGACCCTGGAGTTCTGAAGTGATGAGAACGTCAGCATGTTTACCGGTTAATTAACGTAAGCCTAGCGAGTTCACCAGCTCACGAGGAAGTTTCTCCGTCGTTAAGCAGTCAATTAACTAGCCAATGGCAGGATGGAGGCTAGCAGACTAGCGCATTCTCTTCAACGATCTTCGTTTTCTCCTTTGCTGGTTTCCTGTTACTTCGCCCGCTGATTTCTCCTCCTGAATTACAGAGGAATGTCAAAGTGTGTCATTCTAGTATGTGTGATGAAGCAATCCAGAAATTTATGACCAGTGACCAATAGGACGGGACAGTTACATGAATCAGTAGCTTGGATATTATTTGTTCATGACCTGTAACTTCATATACACATTTTGTTAGATTGGTGAAGCTAGAGCATCATGCACAATATTCTCCTATGTTGCTGCAGTATTTACCCTCTTTTCTACTTTTAGTACTGACTGCTTCAACCATTATCCTCTCGCGAACGCTCTCTTGATCCAAATACCATAAAGTATTAAAGGTCTAGCTAACCAATTTTAATCCCTTATTGATTATGTCTCGTAACTGTGACCACTGCCTAGTGAAGCCCTAACACATATTCTCTTTGAGAGAACTACTCACATTCACACTTCAAGATCATGTACCAATTTCTTCCTGTGTTCATGTAATTAAAACACTTTCCAAAATCATAGTGTAGACCCTAGGTACATTTAGGGCATCCATGGCTACTTAGACGAAGATTGCTCCATCCTCTCCAAAACATTGCCAACAAGAATCTTCATGGCAGGCTCTAACTTGGCAGACTGCTCACATGAAGGCTGGTACACCATCAACTCCGCAGTGGGTTCAGCCGGCTTTTCAGCTTCTCCTTTCTGAATTATGTTTAGTCTCTCAACCTGATTGCGAATTGGGGGACTGTGATTATACCTCTGCTACAAGCTGAGCAAAACAATTGTACACTGCGATGTATCTCGCTTTCTCACCTTCATGTTTCTGAAGGACCCGACTCGTAAACTCATCGACCGCATCCGCAAACTGCAGTTGGGATTAGCCAATCATGCCGTTCTGGATGGACGAGCGATGGAAGCTATATCGAGTTCCCCAAAGAACTCCCCGATCAAGGCATCAGGATGATTCGCATGATTTACCCTTCCGTTGCCCGAAGTCCTGAAACAGGTGTTTTCGACACGCAAACCATCCCTTCCTGTACGAGATGCGCGGACAGCACTCCGGGGCATTCTTCTTTCACGAATGCTACACGGATCCGCCAAATCTGGCTATCGGGCTAATTCAACTCGATCTGGATAGCGACAAGGATGTCCGAATCCGGGAATATGCTGACCCAGTAACGGGGAGCAGTCTGAATCTCCACATCGAGACCTGGAATGATAGTATCCTCTACTCGGGCAGTGCGATCTGGTTTGGAGCCGATTCAAACACTGATGAATTCCTGACAGGCTCGTATAATATGATGATAAGTTGGATTCTCTGAACGTCAAGTCTCACAGCAAAGAAGTGAAATTCCGGAACCACTTTGAGGAGATACCAACTTTAGTTGCCTGGCTACAGGAATTTCACCTAGCAAAAAAGGAAATTCCAAGCTAAGTGTCGAACCGAGGAAGATCACTCAGAGCAGATTCTGCTTGCGATTCGACACCTGGGGGAACGGAAACCTTCACGGTGCGGACGCATCATGGATCGTCTACCCTCGGAGCAAGCCCGACTGCTCGAGTGGAATCATTGGTTTTAGCTTTGATGAAGGAACGCTAGAGTCAAAGGAGGTCGATCTGGATATATGGCAACCGAAGAGGGTGTACGCTGCAATCAACTAAATCGACTCTGATTGTGAGCACAACTTGAGACTGAAAGTACGAACGGAGAAGAAAGGTGACAACAAGTTCCCGTTGCATGTTGAGACTTGGAGTAAGAGTATCTGCAACAAAATAGGACTTGCTTATCTGGCAGTTTGCAACTGATTCTGGCTGCATTCGCTAGCTACTAGCCAACAATACCAGGAATATCAGCCTGTAAATAGAATGCAGTGCGGTACGGGACTGAAGTAGAGAAGAATAAAAAGGTTTGCCAAATGGCATTGTCACGGTGATGGTCAGGATTTCAGTTGATTTGCGACTCAGGAGTAAATCATGCTAACTATGTACCATTCAAACGCGAGGCCCGTCCACATGATCCCGGAAACGGAGCACTCATGTAGTGACTCCATCTAGAGCACACCAGGAGCGCAGTAGATTCCTGCGCGTGACCTTGCCACCAAAGTTGTTAAAAATTGGGGCTTTTGGCTTGTAAAGGTGCCTGGAGTAGCGAAGCCGTTGGAAAAGGGTATCCTATTTTAATGGAGAGCATAATCGCATTCGCAACTCTCACGACTTCCGGGCTCGATTCTGGGCGCGGCATCTTGGGTGCGTGAGGCAGAGAGAAGCAGGAACACATATACCTGACCTTGCAAATTTTTAAATCCGACCCCGATACCCACACGTAACTTGGTGGATTTGGCCCGTGCGCCCTTGCAGTGCTTTGTTCTTGGATATAGAATTATTTACTCCGTGAGGTTAGTTGGTACCCGAGAGATGGAACCGCCAGGGAAACAAATTGAGCTGCACGCCAAGAAATAGAATATCACCTGACATAGGCTTTTGCATCCATCCGTTTTGTCGGAAATTCGTCGATTGGTATCTCCGGGCTATCTTGGCTCTTTCACAGGATACAGCAATTGATGATATTTTGCTTCACAAAGCTGCATCAGCCACAGAAGTGTTCAAGAGGATATCACTACTGTCTTCCTGTCATATTGTACCCGATCTTTGTTTTGCGATCATCATGGGAGTGCAGAGAAAGACCCGAAAGTTTGGCCAGGTTTGTCATTCCCTGTCAAAGTATCAAAAATTTGCGTCGCTAACAGATGTCAGGTCAAACGTGCCATTTCACTTCGTGATAGCCGACTGTATTCATCCCCTGCTTCTCTTGGAAAGTCCCAGTACCTTTGCTAATTGCCTTGGGTATAGAAAACAAAATCAGGCGAAGGAGGAAGCGAAAACCAAAAAGCCCTCCCAGGATGAAGTTATCCGCGAAATGTAGGATCCAGCAGTCATCTTTCCTGACGTGCCCCATGCTTTACTAATCAGAATCAATCTTTCAGCCCTCAGGTCTCTTCAGCCCTCTTCTTCCAGTATAACACCGCTCTCGCGCCTCCATATTCCGTCCTAGTAGATACCAACTTCCTTTCCCATACCGTTCAACACAAACTCGAACTCATACCGACCATGATGGACTGTCTCTATGCAAAATGCATCCCTGTCATCACTGACTGCGTTTTGGCTGAACTTGAGAAACTGGGACAGAAATACCGCCTGGCTCTGAGAATTGCCAAGGACCCGAGGTTCGAAAGAGTTAAATGCGATCACAAGGGGACATACGCGGATGACTGTATCGTCGATCGGGTTATCAAACATAGGATCTATATCGTGGCTACGAACGATCGCGACCTGAAAAGAAGGATTAGGTTCGTTATTCAATCACGAATCATCGTCTGGCGAGGTATACTAACATTGATCTCAGAAAAATTCCGGGTGTTCCCATAATGAGCGTTGCCAGAGCAAAATACGTCATTGAAAGACTTCCTGATGCTCCTGAGAAGTGAAATTGAGTGGAGTCTAATCATTACTTTATTCGATGACTCGCGCCCTGAGGATGTGAATTCATTTGTTGAGGATGCCGAAGCATTTCCTTGAGATGACGCCTAGTCTATGTTTTTGGTCTCTATCTAGAGACCACGAGCATCAGAACGGTGCTATTCGTGCGGATGACGAAAGAGGACATAATTGAGAGTCTGAGGAACCTCAGAGGCCACTACCTGTTTTCCCTAGAGGACTTGAAAAGAGGTACGCGATATGGCTACTCAGAGAGCCAAAGCAAAATTATGTACATATTTGAGCGCATCAAGCTCAAAAGCAGCACAGCAGTGCTGGCTAATTTTGAGTACGGGAGTACTGAGTTACGCTCGAAAATCAGAGATAATACAACAATGGCTCATATTAAATTACTCTAATAGATACCCCACATCTATCGCGGCTTGATTTACCATCATCAGCTATGATCGGAAATCACTGGTTACTCGAGAAAAGAAATCTCCGCCGGCCGTCAGAGCCTCAAGTTACTTCGTTTTATACTTGAAAACCCCGCAATCTGCATCTAGAGACGCGGATGCGACCAAACCAGGTCTTTGGCCTGAGTCTAATGTCAGCAAAGAGTCACGATCGTTGTTGGTTTTTGGCTGCTTACCATCGCAATCCGCTAAGAACATGGTCCGGAAGGCATCTTTGCATTCGATATGGCATTTCTCTTTAACATCCTTCGGCTCCCAGCTTAATTCAAGGGCCCAGGGTTTTGGGTTGAAGCTATTTTGGAATACCCAAAGGAATAACGGAAATCCTCGTTTCGCCTTCCTCTCTTCTCCATTGGTGGATACGTTCCACGTTAACTGCTTGTTCCTATCCTTATCAACGGCCTCGCAAAACTTGTGGCCGATTTGGTTGACTAGATTGACGAGGTAGATACGAGGGATTTTGCTTGGTGATTTGTTGTCGCATACAAGGTTTGGCTTCTTCCCTTCTGCTTTCGGCTTGGAGCTTTGCGGGTAAAAGTCGGGACATGCTGGGATGGAGAATTCTTTTATGTGCTGATCCTTGTATTCGAGCTCCTTATCGCCTAGCAAGCCATCGTCGCCTCCCCGTGTATGGAGAGGGACATATCTGGCCCTCTTGCCATCGCTATCCCTGGCGGTCTGCCCGGCTATTTGGGGTTCGGATTCTACCTTTTTGGAGCCTGGTGTAGGTAAATGAGGATAACTGCGTCTCTGGGTTAGCTATAGGAACCTCGGGAGGGTTTCATGATACGTACCGGTTTATTTGCTTCTCTACATATTTTGCGAGCGCAAAGAAGGCGTATGAATCGGCTAAAATTATCTGATTAGCTACCGTGCGGTGTCTATTTCGAGGTTAGGTGATCTCACCATTGCGCTGGGTATAGAAGCCTCCCTTATCCTTTTGAACCCAGTTCCTGAGGAGCTTTGCGTAGTAGGGACCATACGCGTAATTCGTCGCTGTCTTGTCACCTTCCTTAAATTTGATTTCAGCATCTTCCACGCTTGGAGTTTTGTCTTGTGGGTATATCAAACTGGCCATATGGACAGCTTCATGGAAGAACACCCGACCCCTATTATCCCAATGTTCGAGATTATCCTGAAGCCCCTTCGACTTGAATTTCCCCTCCGAAGTAGCATTGTTCGAAGACGGCAGGTCTTTGAAGAATTTATTGCAAAAGACGATCTTACTGAAGTCCCCTCTCGCATCGCCCCATGCAAAGAGTCTTCTATCTTCTCCATGGAGAGGCTGGCTGCCCTTTGAGCCGTCTGGTCAACTTGGACACTCTGTTTTGGCGTCCTTGTCCCCACAAATATTTTCTGGGTCATTGCTGCCGGCATTACCGCTACAACCAACCTGCCCAATAGTTAGCTGGTATTTCAAATTTGTTCTCTGAATGGGGAGGAATGGAACAGACTTCGGTCCAGAGGGACACTTAGGCCCCGGGATTGATAGCGGCTCCCATGACTACCAGTTCCTATGGATCCGCCCCATGGATTTGAAAGCCCCTATCAACCGCTCCAATCAGCTCCGCTGTCCCACACATCTTTGAACTGCCTATTACCTTGGATTTCTTCCTTTCGTTTGTCGGACACATTTCCATCTCCCTTGACCGGACCCCAAAAGTCTTTGGCGGCCTGATGGTTCCAATCGATATCAGCGAACACATCTGGTTGGTTGGCCAAATGGTCGAAATCACGATATGCTTCACTAATAGCGTTTTGTTCATCCGAGCTGCAGCCGTTCCACCCATAGAGCTGGGCTGGATGTGATAGTCTGATAGAAACATCGTTGATATCAGCGACCAGATTTGGATAAGGCGTAAATTTATCGTCCAAGGCGTTGGGGTCTTCGCGGCGTAGGACATGCCTGGCAAGAACGTGGGGAATGATTAATGAGTGTGCCAGGGAAGCCTTTACCAAGGCACCTGGTACGATATTTGGTGGGTACATGGCTACCATGACAAATGGTACTCCCCCTAGAAGATAAAAGAAGTTTCCGCTTCCCGATCCGGACAGCGTCACGGCTCACTGCAACGTTATACAAACAATATTAATTCCAGCCTAATTCAGAAACCTATTCCACAAAATGCACAATCTATTTACGCGTCTCTAAACAAGAATCATGACTTTATTACGAAGAAATCGCGTCAAATTGATATTTTCAACAGCGGATGGGACATTGGACCGGGCCTTAGCATATCAGCCTTCCGCTTATAAGCAGTGAACACCCTCCAGACTTCTGAGAACAGCAGTCCAATGTCCCATCCGCTGTTGAAAATATCAATTTGACGCGATTTCTTCGTAATAAAGTCATGATTCTTGTTTAGAGACGCGTAAATAGATTGTGCATTTTGTGGAATAGGTTTCTGAATTAGGCTGGAATTAATATTGTTTGTATAACGTTTGCAGTGAGCCGTGACGCTGTCCGGATCGGGAAGCGGAAGTCGGAAAATCCGAACTCCCGATGCGAAAGCTACCTACTTCTCAGCGGGTATTGCACACTAACATAGTTGGGGGGCCTTCTTATAGCTTGGAAGGAGGGAATGCTTGGAGTACTCGGACTTCAGTCCTTTTATATCTACAAAATAAAGGGGGGTTCGAATAAACCCATTTGTTTGGACCGGTTACAACGCACCAGAGCAATTTCCGGTGCACAGTGACCGTCGGTGACCTATTTCCGAGTCCCAACCTTTCGAGGTATAATGCTATCAGTTCTTGCAGCTTCCCCTGGTTGGAACAGGCGCAGTCCTCGCCTGTTCCGTGGCCTCAATCTTGCTAAGACAACCGAATATAGGGGCTGAGGCGTATTGACACTACCCTAGGCAATCTAGGTGCCAGAGATAGCTTGAGATGTGAAAGCAAAGCTGAACGATGCATCCCATACATTCGCAGCATCGCACTAGATGAACTCTCCAAAGGTTTCGATTCAGATACGTTTTCGTTACATTTCGGGGATTAAAGGTTTCTCAGAAGTACTCATTATTGGCCTGTTAGTAGTAATAGTTAAGGAATTATACCTATTTCTAATAATGGAGATGATGGCTATTTGACTTGACATGCGAAACTCTCGCTCGATCTGTTTCAGCGACTCGGCGGTGATACCGCATCTGGATCCCACCAACTTCTCTGTTTCATACCCCTTGTGACCAAGTATGCTCTGTCGTTGGGTCCCTCCTAGCTAACTACTTGATCCTCTACCATCATCTACCTTGCTGCGATGTTGGTTGAGAACCCATTCGTTTGCCTAGAAAGTCGTTTGTAACACCAGAATCCGCCCGCAAAGAAAATACAAAGAGGTAAGGGCATCCCTGCAGCCCGTAGTTTGTAGCGTTTCCGGATACGCTTTTCCAATAAGTGAGGAGGGCTCGAGTTCACTGCTGAAGCAATTGAAACATTTCTTTAAATTCTTATTACTAAGCATAGTCACGTGGTAATTTTTTTTTGGGGTCAAAATAAGCTGGTCCTTAGCGTGCTGCCGGATTTGCTGGGCGGCCTAGCGGGGCATGCTTGTCATACATAGCTAACCTAAATAGGTTTAACGTCTACCCACAGTTCTGGATGTTCTGGATCTTCCTGGGGCTCCCGTCCTCATCCCCTCTTTAGAAATCGTTTTGGTTATTGGTTTCATTTCCCACCTCATGCCGTCTAGTCCACTAACTGACTCTTGAACACGAGATCCTCCCTGCCAGTATTCCTACAGAGCTGAACCTTTCTCCTGTGTGAACACCTAAAACGATGGTCGGCTGATAACATATCACCTTGAACTGCCTGACACTTGTTATATCATATTGCCCCAAGAAATTTAAGGCATTGCTCCCTGCTCGATTTCTACCATGCTTGCCATACGCGATATCAGTGCGTGGGCCAAGCGTTGTTGGGAAGACTGGACAACTAAGGAACGCCCTACGTACTATGAGGTCCTGCGAGCCGGTGGAAATGCAGAAAACCTGCGGCTCCGGTTGGAGTTGTTCGTGATTGAAGTGAAAATAAAATTTCCCGAATATGCTACCGAGGCCACAGAACTCGTCGATCAAGTTCTCAAGGCTCTTCGTCATGACCATGGTGGACGTAGACCCGAAGATGTGTTTATAGTCTGGTTAAACAAGGAAGTACCCAATCGGGAATTTTTTGCTACACCTGAGCATGAACAGACCATGCTAAAGTTATGGGAGAGATGGTATGACACGGAACAACTGGAAAAAGAGTTCTGGGGCATAAGGCTGCATCATGAGAAAGGGGTACAATATGGATGGATGTACCTGACCGAGGAGCGCGTTTCACAAGGATTGCAATGCTTGCGGGAATGGCTCGAAGGGCGCCAGGCCAATCCAGCATGTTAAGTCATGGAAGGTCTTACCATTTGGAGGAAGACGGAGAAACAGAACCGTGCTCATCCACTTGGAATATGTATGACCTTTTCTCCATTATCATGGCTAATATTTACTGAGATGATGACTTCAAGGCAGTTTTTGGTAAGGGCATCTTTGCTTAGGACCTGGACTAACACCCGAAAAAAGACAACTCCAGATACCGAGAGCATTAACACTCTGAACAATCCTTTGAAATACTGGATGCAGGACTCCTAGCGCCGTGCAGCAAGAAGAAAAGCATCCTAGGATTTTTAGGCTGTTCGCCCATGAATACTCCGCTGCTTGCATTCACGGGTGGAGCGTCAAGAGAGATAGAAGAAGGGGAGAAGAGGGTGGAGAACAGGGGGTAGAAGAAAGGGGTAGAAGAAAGGTGTAGAGAAAAGGGTAGAAGGAGGGGATGGAGAACCAGACGGAGGACCAGTAAGAGTGCTAGGAGGAGGATTGGAAGAAGCAGTAGCTGTGTTTGCGGCGTCAATGGCGGCGACCACCAATTCCATGCGTGTTTCCAACGCCCAATTCTTTTCTCTATCCGAGAGAGAATTCCAAGCGAGCTCGCGGGGGGGGAATTTGGTGCCAAAGCAGCAAAAGGTAGTCGGCCCATGTTGAGGCCCCCAGCATTCCTCCGAGGAACAAGCGCAGGCTGTTAACGGAAAGGTATAAACTAGCCAGTGTTGTGCATAATGTGGACAGGATAGTTTTAAATTTGCCATGTCCGACACCCCCAAGGTCATACGTTGCCAAAGCAACATCCAGCACAGCCGAAACTAGGGAAAGCACACCGTGGAAAAACTTGGCTCGCGGTGTCGGCTTGCACCCGTCGTGCCGTAGTCTTCATAGTCACTGACTGCATAAGACTATAATGAATAATAATAATAATAATAATAACCCGTCATGCCACTGGAAGACTGCCGCTGTTATATTTGTTACTGCCCCTAGCAATACTAGGACAGTGGTGCCATCTTCTCCTTAAGGACACTTTCCAAAAGCGCCTCAGAGGTAAGCATGGCTATGGCTTGCAATACTCCCCAGCCAGTGAGGATGAAGAAACAGAAGTCTAATCTCCAAATTATTAGCTCTTCATAAGACAGTTATGCGAAGTCAGCCTTGCTTGCCGTAACTTGGTTCACTCGCCTTACTTCGTTGGGCGTCACAGAAGCTTCAACATATTTCTCGAGGTTCTTGGATTCCGTCCATATCCTGAGGTATGATGGGTCATTGCTTGGTCAAACACAGTAGATGTCAGTTTTTCAGTCAAAGGGATCATCAAGGTGATGAAGTACCTACATGTTTCCAGTTTCTGCCATTTCGCTTCTGGATTGGTCTTCTCTCTGGTTGCAAGCACTGAGTTAAGGTTCAGGAGGTGGATTTTCAACTGGTGAGTCAAGGTTCAGCTGGTGAATAAATGGAGAGAAGAAAAGAAGAGGAAAGAGAAGAATCAAGTTGTGGGTTTTTGAGCAGGAATCAGATCATGTGGTTGTGTCTCTACCCTAAAAAGGGAAAAAGTGAGAGGCGGAAAGTATGCCTCAGATATTCCTCAGATTGTGCAGGAGCCACAGCAAAACAAGAGCCATCTGGAAACCGCAGATTATTGGCAATCCATAATGGACCTTTTTGAATACGCTGATAGGGAATAGCCCTCAGCAGGTCATCTACCCACCACACTCCACCATCTGGCCGTTACGTATTCATGCAGAGTCTACTCCAACATTCTAACTTCTGCAAGCTCAATATCGTCGAGATCCGGGGGCTTCGCTTGACGCTCAGAGTTGGCAAAATTCTCTTCGCCGCATCTGCTTTCTTTGTGCTGACTATCGAAGCCCAATGTCTTCCCTTCGGATGCCATCAAAAGAAAGAGCCTCACCGTACATCATACCGTGAATGTAACTTTCCCCGAGCAACTGGTAGATTCCCTTCTTCCCCTGTTTCTCGCGAATCAAGAATGGAACTGCGCAACCGTTGAAAATGGCGACTCTGTCACCCGTACTTGCGGTTCCGGGAAACAGACCAGAGTATCCGCGTTTCGTGACGCCTGCGATTGCCGGTTGAAATTTCTCTGAGAATGTGAATGCGGTTACAACGTACGGCCAGAGTTTCTCTTTCATACGCTTGATGTCCTCCAGGGCCGTATCCTTGGAAGTTCGCCAGTCAGAGGACCCGAACCGCAGCTCCAGATACTTAGTCAACTGTTCATATGATGATTCAAAGGTATTATCCGTCGAGCCATCTTTGTGCTGAGGCGTGGCATCTCCGATTGGCGTTTTCCATATCATCTTACCGATATCATCCCCGGGGGAATTTGAAGCCCGCTTGCGAAAGAGGTCAAACACACTTTTAAGGTAGCGCAATGTGTCTTCCTCTTCGGAGTTATAGAGGCTGACTCCATCGATTGTGTCGACAATGTAGCCTCTAATGAGGAGCACCCTATCATCCTGGGGAGACACGAAGCTGCAGCAGACAGAAGAACCCGATGCAGAGAACGGTTTTCGAACAGCTTTCCACGAGGTAATAGTCTTTGGGAATGGTCTAGAAGTCCAGTCAGGGACCCATGAAGGAAGTTCCCCAGGTTTCGAACCACGTCCGGCACGGTATAGTAAATCTGCTGTTCTGCCTCGCTTGATGAACACTGTGGCGTATCTCAGGGCAACGCGCTCGAAAGTGGCGCTATAATCCGGGTCGAAAATCGGATCTTCAGCGTCTGAAGCTAGCCCACGTAGTGCAAATAATTTATCCCGCCGCAATGAAGCCTCCGTATGTTGGAAAAGTTCAAAGAGTGTCAAGAAATCGTGAGAGACCTGAATCTTACCGGTGGTTCGATATGCCATTCGGGCATTTCCGAGGTTCGGTATGGCGCTCGTATTTCGTAAGGCGGGGATGTTGAGTTCCAGGACGGACTTCTCTGCCTCTTCGATGCAATGTTGAACGGACCGATAAAGATCATCCCAGGGCATCTCTCGATCGCCACATGCAACTGTAAGATTACGAGCAAAGACAACTTCCTGTACAATCCACGCTCTGCGAAACCACGGCCGCCCGAGAAAGTCGCTTATGGCAACTAATGCAGTCTTGCTGACAGTGTGAATGCTCGATTGCAATGAACTCTGCGGGCCGGACTCGTCACTATGCGATAACTTTAATGCAAGCTGGGTGAGCATTTCCATCGCGATGTCGCTGTCATCCGACTTTTCCCCAAGCCACGCAAAGACACCCGTAGCGGACATGAAAATCCTCTGCATCATGGTAATTTGATGTTCTTTCTCTTTGCTGTTATCCTGATTAATGCAAATAGCATCTGCCCACAGGATAACTGGTGCCTTTGATTTGCGTATGCGATGTAATGCAAAGTACAGCGAAGCGGTCAGAGGAACCTTGCCGTCTGAAGTGTGTAATGTGTACGGCTTCAAGCTCGTCACCCAGGTGTAAGACAACGCAGTGAATGGGCCGCAGTCATTCAGTGGTACGTGAAATATTTCACCTCTCAGAGGTGCCCCAGGATCACCATCTAAAAGCCGCAATAACCGTATCTCGCTTTTGCTCGGGCATAATGGCTGATATCGGTATAAACAGTCTCCGTGGCTTTCGGAGATTGAAAATCGAATCTGGGATGGGATAGTTTCAAACTTTGCCCGATACTCATCGTTTTGAATTGATAATTCCAGCTGACCTCTAGCATACAGAGTCCAAGGGTCGATAAAAAAGGAGATTTTAGGAATGGTCTCAACGTTGAAGATCCTGACTAGGATGAAGACGTCAGCCCCGGGCGATGTTTGCTGATTTGAGAACCGGCGGCACTATAGGATCATGTCAGATAACGCACGAGCCCAGAAATGGAGACAGGAACGTTTGAAATCTCACCATCTCTAGCTTCGCTGAGTTAAATTGGAAAGGCTCATTTATGCCTCCCTTGGTAGTCTGAACCTCAATATGGTACGTTGAGTGGCTGTAAGCTAGTACGCCTGCGTGCTCAACAACCCTGTGAGTGAGAAACTCCGTGAAAGCGCTCGTCTTGTCTCGAAGTGTGAAAGTAGTCCAGCATCCCTCGGGATCATTAAATGGAGCATAGCCCGCCCGGCTCCGCAATGGACTAGTCCAATCGGTTTTAGGATTGTACGCATCGCGCAGATGGCTTTCGAGAAGTCTCGAAACCTGCATACGGCAATAGCTTGGTTAGTCATAGGTATTCGTGCGATTTCATATAATGTGATATTCGGACTGACAAGTAGTTCCCCAAGAAAACATAACTCTAATCGATCCTTAGGATTCAATGGCACGAACACCGTGCTTGTTCCCCCTTCACCAAAGTGTATTCGCGCGGGAAGACTTGTCAACTGCTGACCGTTTTCATCGCACAGATTATGTGGACTCGTAACAAAGATGACGTTGGCTACACGGCGGTTTGGATTTGGATCCTGGTCGTTTCTCATGAAACGGCGCAAGGCGCGGTCAGGCAGCCCGCGGTCCACCAACAAAGGCTCATCTACCAAATACAGATCATTTACCAAATACGGATCATGAACCTCATTTCGAGAGCTCGACTCATGGCGTAGTAGCTTGCGCACCGAGTTTTCGTCCAAGCCGCCTTTGTAACACGATGGAATAGGGACTGAACTGGCCTGTTTCATATATATCGGAAGAATGGGATTAGCGTCTTTTCTTCTGGTGGGTTGCCCAGAGGACTCGCTGGTAGGATTGATGTCATTTAAAGGCTTATTTGTCGACGTCTCCGAGGATGAAGTCCCATCACTTCTGGAAGAACTTTCCCACCGCTTCGACTGAATGGGTGCTGCACGAAGTTCTGGAGGTTGTTGAAACTGCGTGGAGGGCTCTCTGTTTGGTTCTAAGGGTTCTATGTACCCACGAAAAGAGTATGTAAGCGGACCTGTTCAATTGCCGGAATAAGTAAATATAACAGACTCACTTCCTATGAAGTTATGGACATCTCCCTCGGATCTTGGAGCTCCTCGACGGTCCAAAATCCTATGAAGATAATCTCTATCTTCATGGCTCAAAATTAATTGCAAGAATCCCTGGTGAGTTGGGTCTGTGATGGAACAGATAGCTGACAGCTGCTCCACCAACTCGAAAGGTAGAGATCTCAATCGAATATGCCGCTCTTCCAGGTATATTTTAATTGAGTCTCCGCAATTCTTCACATAAGCACCGCCTTGGTCAGGATGGCTTATTATTTCTGCACCGCTGCCTGGAAAAGGTGGCTTTAATATCCAATGCAGGATTACCTTATCCGTCTGATATACTTCAATATTTGATAGCATCTGAAGCAGCGCACTGCTCAAACTCTTCCCTGGTATCAAGCTACAATAAGGCCATGCATTAGTAAACTGGCGCCAAATTTAGTTTAAAGGCAACATGCACTGCAGCCTTGACCTCGGTACTCCAGGGCTGCAAGGACATACCGGGCAATGATTCCACCTTTGTTTCGGATTAAATTCGTGTACTGCTTGTGTAACAGTTCGGTTCCCTTGGAGCTGAGAACCTCTGTCGTTACGGATGATAATTTTCTCATTTTTAGGGGGTGTAACTTCATCAAATGTTCAAGTCCTTTGATCTCTTCGACGCTGAACGCAAGCAAGGGCACTCTGCCAGAGAAAGCACGCCGCAAGTGGTCACGATCAGCAATAAACCAGTTCTGATCGGAAATGCGACTCATATGGTATAGATCGTTAGTGCCATAGACCGGAAATATTTTTCTGTCAAAGCAATTGGATAAAAGGCGGGTTTCAGTGGCCCTCTCTTCACATAGCTTGTTTGCATCATGAAAAAGTCGCACTACATATGGGGCGGCTTCTTTTTCGCTTAGATTTTCGATCTCGGATAGGAGGTGTTCCAAAGTTGCATCTTTGACACCCAGAATCTCGCGGAAAAGTTTATAGATGTTATCTGGGTATAAATTTTTCAATCGGGGGGTTCGTATAAGGCTGCCTGGTCCGTTCCATACGCAGTTCTCGGGTGAAAGCCAAGTACCGGGCTTCTCTCCATCCGAAGATGGTATGAACACCAAACGATCTCCTTCAAAACGGCTCCTAGGATTGTGCCGTTCGTCAATTTCTAGGGAGAAGAAAAAAAAAAGGAGAAAGAAGGGGGGGGAAGAGAAATATCCTTACCTCACTAGTCGAGTTTTGTCCTGACGGTGGGCGTCCTGGATGTTGAGTTCAATTTGGATATTCAAGTAGAGCCCAAAAACTTGCTCTTTGGATGGGATACCAGCTTTCAACTTATTCAATGCGTGAATAAAAAACTTTATATCTCTCTTAATAGAGACACCCAAATGTTCTAGAAAGGACCAGCTTTCATGCTCAGGATCCGGGAGGTCAAGGAATGGCAAAGAGGTATTGCCGTCCACGGTGAGCACTTTGTCGGGGAGATATGTCTCCATGAGGGGATGCTGCCTACCACTAACGCATGCAACCTTTTGGGCCGCTAAGTACCGATATACTTCCTCGGTAGGTCGAAGACCCTTTTGTATCCATGTAGAGTAAACAGGCCATTTCTCCCTCAAGAGCAATAACCAGGTGGGCGAGGGGACATTCTCAGTTATGAATTTGAAATGAGACGAAAGACGCAGATTACCACGTTCGACAAGTCTTGGGAACTCCCAGATATCCAGGGAGTCGTGTAACCACTTTCTCCACCTCTTCTGGGTTCGCTCTTCTTCACCACACACCCTATCATAATCGGAATGCAAATACGGAACATCCTTGCAGTCCTTTAGCAGGCTCGTCGCAGAAAACGCGGAAGAAGAGTCGAGATAAACGGCAGATGAAACACAGAGATCTCCTCTATTTGTGGCAACGTATATGTTCGTATTATACCTCGAGATCCAACTGGTTTTGAAGAGGAAAGCCGCAAGCAAAATCAAGTCCCGGTGGGCGAGCGACAGGGCAGAAGCGAGGGTGGAGAGTTTGGAAACAACCTGTCTCTGGATCTTCTCAATATTAAACTCTTCGGCGCCAAGAAAGCTGTACAATTGCCTCCTATCCACGTTACTTGCGGCGTCTGGATGAATCTCCACTGAATCGAGACCACTTGGAACGGAAAGATCTGCAAGCGCTGAAGGAAAAAAAATTATTCCTGCACTCTCGCTTGCTGAGATCCATCGGCCATCACGTAGAGGAATAAGGGGAATGGAACGGAGCGTGTGACGGTACGCTCTTAACATATCCTCCCGGTTGAGTGCTTTGGAGAGTCGTATGTGCCACTCAGTGGCTTCTCTGCTGTGATTTTGGTATTGGTTGACAACAGATTTAACGTCGACAAGCAGGTCACGCAGGCTTAAATGACGCACACCGAGACATTGAAAAAGATCACTGTCTTCGTCGAAATATTTCCGTGACAAGTACCGGAAGGCGGTCCTGGAACATAGAGGAAGTGGGTCCCCGTTGGGGTCTCGAAAACGAGGAGGAACATAGAAAAGAGTTCCCGGTGTGGCCAGTTCGCCAGATTCTGATTCGAGTAACTTCCGCTGAGAAAGGGTGAATATTGTTTCTTCTGTCAAGGAAGTGAAAAAGTTCTCCTCAGGTATAATGGGGAGATACCTAGGCCAAATATAGCGGAAATAATCACTTTCTTGAAAGTAGTCAACTGCCTGTACGAATGCCTTTGGTATCAAGGACCGAAGCCGTTGGTTTTCAGCGGATGAACCGTTGATATCTTCACGGCTGGCAATCAGGGAAAACCGGCCCTGGACGAGAAACTAGAGATAACGTTACCACATGGTGGGGGAGCGCAGCTTCGGGATATGGAAAGTAAAGTTACCTTTAGGCCATAATCTCGGATTGGGAGAAAGGTATAAACGCACTGCGACTGAATAACGGGCTCCTGGTTGTTTTTAATCGGAAATGCCAGCAGAATCTCCGCCTTGTCCGTCGACCGTCCGCTAGGTACATATCGAATGACCACGAACTGCTGAGAAGAGTCACCATATCGTAGCGTGGTGACGTATTGGCCCGGTTTGTCGACATCTTTATCATCTTTTCTAGAAATGGTCCGTTCAAACGTGGTGCCATTGTCTTGCGCAATGCACACTTTTAATTCTCGAATTTGGTTGAGAAAAATCAGGATCTTAGGGTCGCACACTCGCATCTCCTTCAGTAGCTCGTCTCTAACCGACTTATTCAAAAGTCGAAGGAGCATAGAAGTACCACTAGCGGGAGCTTCTGCAGGAAATTGAGCCCACATTGGGGCAATCATACCGAGTCGCGTCGCGTTGTCGAATTTGAAAGAGTATTTGCCGGACGATATCCATACAACACTAGCTACCTTGAATACTGACTTGAACCCAATCCCTTTCTCGCCGATGCAGTCCATTCGGTCTGCACTAATTCCTTTCTGGCTTCCTCCAATCCGGCAGATGGAATCGACATCTTCAGGAGCGAACCCCAACTCATTACAGTCCACGCGCAGATGCATCTTCCTATAGCTTAGTGTTAGGCTAGGGCTGACGTCCCTTCGGTAGCGGTTATCATCCGCATTTTGGATAAGTTCCATCAAAAACCGAGTGTTCGTTTTGTATAATTGTTTGGCAAGGCTCGAGGACACCACCGTCAGCTCTTGTTCCGGGAGAAACACAACGTCGTAACTCACATAACCAAGGCATTTTCTAAATCCCGGCTGAGGTGATTGGAGAGACCGAGTCCCTTCTCATGTCGAATTCTCTCAATATGTTGTTGGGCATCCTCAGAGGAGATTTTCTGTAACCGCTCTATATATCTTATCTCGTTTCTAAGATCCATTCTCCGTCCCCACTTTCTCCAGAGTGTCGAAGGCCTGAAAGAAAACCAAGTCTTCCAGCGCTTCAGATACCTCCGAAGCTTGCAGCGGGAAAGGATCCGAAAAAACTGCTGAAGAGGCAGTGGGAGACGGAGAGGCATTGATATGAATGGATAACCCTCTCAATTCCTCAGACCGACAGAAGCCTTGGAAACCAGAGAGATACTCCAGTTCCTAGCCGGTATCCCATTGAGTCCCCCATAAATACGCAACCAAGACGATAGCTTGCGTGTCATCGATCGCGGGGTGGGGGGAAGCGGGGGCCGCAGCGGCCCCTTGAAGGGTGGAACAAACGACACGACATGTCAGTAGAACGCAACTGAGTTTGCATATGCAGCGATACCCAATGTACGAAGGGTGGCGAGTAATCAACCAAAATCACGACATGTCAGTAGAACGCAACTGAGTTTGCATATGTAGCGATACCCAATGTACGAAGGGTGGCGAGTAATCAACCAAAATCACGACATGTTACTGGCGATAGAGATGCTTTGGACAAGGACGCAGGATTTAAAATACAACTGGGTGCACTGGAGTGGCATAACTACCACTGGTCGGGCTGCATCCGGATTGGCTGCCTTAGACAGTTGCGACAAAATCAGCCTTCTCGGGCGTTGTCGTCATGTTGAGGGTTGAGACTGTTCGTAGTCAAGTTAACCACCGGGGTATCCCAATTTGATTGGATTCATTCCTGGTTGGCTCTGATTTCACATCCAATCGACCCGCCCACATCTTTCGGATAGTCACTCAACCTGAGTTCCGAAGAGCCGCATCGTGCAATGCCATTTCCGGGCCTTGCAGCGACTCCTTCATGGATTTATCACCACTTCAAGACGATCTTCCAAAGCGCTCATCGTTCCGTGGAAGACGTCCAACAGCGACCAATAATGTACATCCCAGCAAAGGTATGTCCTTTGACAACAGCTACTGAGACATTTCTTATAAACAGCTGACATTTCGCAAGATGGTGACTTCAGAGGCCCCGTTACACCCTAAGACACCGTCGGTCGGCTTGGAAGCTGCGGGCCTTGTTGCCCTTGCCGAGCTGACAACTATCCAGGAGAGGACTGCTTTATCGGGGACATCCTCCCTGCTGGACATATTTATCTTGGCTCCCGGTCTCCATGTACAGGAGAGAGCGGTTGAACTGAATACGGGGGAGTATCCAGCATGCGGTGCTCTCACTACAGGTTATGTCTTCCGCGTGGAGAATCCTGCAACTGTGTTCTACCTGCAAAGAGTCGGACGAACCGGAAAGTTGACTACTCTCAACGTCACAAGGTTAAACAGCGCCGCAAAGTGGCACCACAGACTAAAATCAGTCTTCATCTCACCCTCCAAAATGAACATTATTCCGGTCGTGACCTACTTCATGGCGGTCCTCTGGGGAATCGCAGGCTTGCTCCTGCTCATTTTATCCGAAGATTGGTGGGGAGTCGCCGTGGTGGGAATCCTTATGACAACACGCCTGATCAATTTTGTGGTGATTAGATGTCGAAGCGAGCTGACGTGGGCTGGGGCACCGGAGCCAGGCGAAGTGGGAGATCTGTTTATTCTGCTTAGCCAGGACCGTTGGATTCGAATACAAGGTCTTGTGGACGATCTGAAAGCAGTGACCTCTGGGAAATGGCTTCGGGATCAAACGACGGTGGAAAGCTGGCTTACTGCCATTGCCAAAGTCTGCGTGTACCTCGCCGCTGCATTGGCTAGCAATGTCACCCAGTTCGGCAAGATTATTCTTCTCAGTCTGTTCATTGGCTCAGCGGGCCTCCTGGGGCTGGCAAATTCAGCGACCCATGAGCTACACATGCATGGGCGCATGGTCAGAGTGACTGGCGAGCGCAGGAGTTACGGCCGACGCCTGGATCTTGCAAAGGAATTGACTGATGAAACAAAACGTGACGACTGGGCCGTGCGCATGGGACTCATTGTCAAAGATGAGCCAACAACTAACACGGTGAGAGTTGAAATGTAGTTAGAGCCAAGCGGAGTCTCGTCGGTGGGGTGTCTTTTCCAAAACACCAGGAACTCGGCGGGGTGGCTCCATTGTCATATCGCCTACTCCGTACTCTGCACACAGTTACTTCCCCGGCTGCTATTGTTCTCGTGGGAATACTGCCGCCATCGCACAAAGAATAATTTAGTGTGGATGGTTATTGCACCCGAGTGTTAGGGGTTTTTGGGGACAAGAACTTTGGTGTTGTTCGGGGTGGTGGGAAAGGATTAGGGAGGCCAATTTTCTTTGTTGCAGGCTCTGGGTTTAGGCTGCGGCCTTCCAATAATCAGCAGACTTTCCCTTTCATCATTTCTCTCAGTCTTGCATCTCCTGCTGTGTTTGTTCAAATATTTGAAGAATATCCAGCCCATTGGTATTTCTGAATAAATGTACAAGTCATTTTCATACAGTCTGGTATTACTTGTTGTAGGCACCTTTTTCCTTTTTTTTTTTTTTTTTCTGCGCTATTTGCTATGGGTGTACGGATTAACCGGCTTGATTATTTGCCTGCTGGTCCTGCGTCGTTGCCGGGTTCAGCAGTCTTGTACTCCATCTCAAAGGGACAAATGGGAAGATGCCCTGGGTGCGGTCAACGAAAAAGCCTCTTAAAAATTTTGACGATCGACGATATCCAGATCTAATACTGAGCAGAACCGCACATACTCCGTAGACCACCATGGATGCGGGCAGAGCTGGCCACGGAGACGGCGAAACAATATTCCTCAAACAAAAGGATCCAGCCCTGAGAAAGCTAACGACGTCACCGAGACAAGTACTCCGCATGGGGCAGTTGTTCCATTTGCCGAGGCCCAAGGCTGGCGATCGACAACCTAACTAGTTATCAATGACTGCATATGTACTCCGTAAGGAGCACTCCGTAAACTGCGCTCCATCGTGAGTTTAGTACTAATAATTCGATGGGAAACAAGTGGCCAATCCAAAGTTGCAACATCGCCGAAGTCGTGTCGACGATATACATTATAGCTACGGGCTACGAAGTACTTAGCTAGTACGGAGTATATATCTAGGTACCATTTGCGGGGTACTGCTCCCTTCCTTCATACTATCATGGCTGGAGAAGAGATTCCTCGGCGACCTTCCCGATCCTTGGTTGGCAAAGTGGCCGTCGTTACTGGCGCGGGATGTCTCGGTGACGGCATAGGTAATGGGCGGGCGACAGCGGTCCTCTTGGCTGAAGACGGAGCTGCTGTCATCTGCGTAGACACCAACCTTGAATGGGCCGAGAGGACGGTCGAGATGATAACAAAGGACTCGAAAGGGACGGGGTTGGCTTTCAAAGCCGACGTCAGCCAGGCAGAGGATTGCTTACGCGTCGTCGATCTCGCTGTCTCAGAATTCGGCCGGGTGGATGTCCTGGTGAATAATGTTGGCATTGGAGGACCTCGAGGAACCGCCGTTGATGTAGACATGGAAGAGTGGGCAAGGGGTCTGGAGGTTAACGTGTCGAGCATGGTGCTGATGGCCAAATATGTCATCCCTATAATGAAGAAGAATGAGGGCCCTGTTCGAGGGAGCATTGTCAACGTTGGCAGCGTCGCTGGCTTAAGAGGAGGGACGCCTCATTTGCTTTACCCGACAAGTAAAGGTGCAGTCGTGAATATGACTCGTGCGATGGCGGCACACCACGCCCCCGATGGGATTAGGGTTAATTGTGTTTGCCCAGGTAAGAATGGCGAGGCTCGAAATTTCTTCGGAATTTGCTAACTATATGATGCAGGTATGCTCTATACACCTATGATGTATGGGCCAGGGATGAGTGAGGAAGCGCGTGAGGCCCGGAAAGGAAGAAGCTTGCTAAAGACAGAAGGCAACGGATGGGATTGTGGGAGCGCAGTCCGGTTTTTAGCCGGAGGAGAGGCGAGGTGGATTACGGGCACCATATTAACTGTAGACGCGGGCGCAACAGCGGCTGTGGGTTCGGAACTGCCAAAGACTGCGAGCATCAATGCACCGGCATAATACAGCGAAGAGAAGTCCATCCTGACGTAGCACCGGCCTCCCCGATGTTGACAACATGGCGATTATCGTCTGTTTTGGTAATTTTTTTTTTTTGATTGGAATTCTCGCATGCCTGTCGCGTTCGTGATTTAACCAATTGGTGCCAAGATTCCGCACCTGGTGGGGCGGAAAAGTTGGCTTCGCGCGCGGCGGAAGCCCTGGTGACTAAGCTTCAGGTGGTGGAAGGCTGGCCGTGTACTCCGTACCTCACCGCAGGATACCAATGTTGTTATCTATGTCAACGGTATCAATTGTGGTCTCTTCTTAGTAAATTCTTTCAAGAATCCTTGCCAGAGCGGGGTTATACACGGATGGTTCGCCCAAGCTTCAGGAGATAAAATTTTCGATAACGCACTTCTTCCGCCAGTTTCTTTTTTCGCCTGTCCTTGCCCCATGTTGCTAGTGCGAATATAGTACGAATGGGAATCCCGCACCTGGCTAGGCACTTGCTGCCACACGCAGAAGTGGTATGGCTCGGCGACGCTGATGTCAACCCCAAAGATGGTCGACAGATCACTTCTGTGGTAATCGATGGACCTGCCTTAGTTTACCATGTGTATTACTCCTTGCTATCAAGGATGCCTCCGGGCTTGAATGCCGTCGCGGCGCAGCCTACGAGCAATGAAGTGAGCATTGGAGTCATGAGATTCCTTTTTCAGCTCATGGAACTGAATGTTGCGATGTTAGTGCCTATCGTTCTCTGGAATTCGCGCCGCTGTATACAATATCCATGGATGCTGAATTTTGACTAGAAAGAAAATTTGTTTTGACGGTGGCCTTCCTCTGTCAAAGCGAGATACGAGACTAGAGCGCCTTGAAATGTCTAGGCGAAAACTTGAGACTTTCAATGGGCTCTCAGACCGAGTGTTTAGGTCTCACCGCCTAAGACGACGCCCTCTGGACATCACTGCGCACATGGTCTTCAACAAAAGAGGTCCTCAAGCAGGACAGGGTGGTTTGCCGGAGAACCCATTTATGGTCCAAACGGTCATAGAGGACTTGAAGACAAGATGGAATGGTGATGCTGTTGCCCAGTATCTGCCTCACGCACACGATATCTCGCGGGGATCCGAATATATATGGGGAAACATCACAGAGTTGGTCCCCGGAGAAGCTGACAAATATTGTGCCCATGCAGCAAAGCAGTTCGGCGCGGCTGTGTTGACAGGAGATTCGGACCTGCTTGTCCACGATTTGGGCCAAAATGGGACCGTCATATTCTTCAGTTCGATCGAGTCTAATGAAAATGATGTCGAAAGTGGACCAATCCGGATTCGTGCGACGGAGATATGCCCGAAAAAAATAGCTAAGAACCTAGGGGTCAGTAGTGTCCAGAGATTTGCGTTCGAGTTGAAGAGGGATCCGTACTTGAGCCTGGGCAAAGTCGTCCAGCGGGCCAAAGAGAATATTGGCGGAGTAGAAAGCAATGATTCGTATATCTCGTTTGTTCAGGAATATGCGTCTTTGGAGCACCCGACGCGGCTAGATCAAAACATCCAGTTGCTTGATCCGAGAGTTTCAGAGCTCTATTTGCAATATATGTGTCCGGAATTCGGCGTTGAAAATGAACAGCCGGTAATATATCTCCCCATAATGGTTGAAAATCATTTCCGACGATGTGCATGGCGCGAAGGAAGCGAGATACGGGCCATTGCTTTTTCTATATTTAATCTTCTTGCTCCACCAGAGAACAGGAAAAATGTGGTTCTTGAGTACTCTCGACGTGGAACAAGAGTGGTTCCCACCTCTATCCACCTATTACAAGAACATGAGTTGCGGGATCAGGTGCCTGGGCTCTATGACAGGTTAAAGGCTGTTCTTGATAATTGCGGCGACTCTCTACTGCCTTGGAGGGTTTTCGCAATGCAAGAGGTCTTTTTGGGCAAGAATGAAGACACCTGGCCCAGCCCAGGCCGTATCAGCAAATTTCTTGAAACGGGTCGATGTGCAGAAACGATGGACTGGGAAGATATTCACCTAAATGCCCAAATACAATCTATTTTATACTCGCTAAGAATGTTGCGACAATCGTTGGAAGTCTCAGTTTTTCCTGGCGAACTCGGTTTACAGAGAGCAGTCATGCTTCTTCAGCTGCTGCGAAGCCTACCGCCAATGCGGGTCCTTTCACATTCTATGGGTGATATGTCGATGAGCGAACCCATCCCGAATGACCTGATCAAGAATGCAGTGGCTGTATTATTCTCTATCAGGGAGCAAAATGAAGGCCATTTTCCTGACGAGGACATCAATCCCAAAAATGCCAGTGACGATGACATAGATTGTGTCAAAAAAGCGAGAGATCGGAACGAAGAGCAGCCACCAAAACGGCTAAAAAAGACCAATAACCCATATGAGATGCTTGAAGGTATTGACTAAATTTTTGATACGCCCTAAAACAAACGCCAGCTGCCAAATTAACGTTATGATACCCATGGAGCCAGCCTGTCTATCAAACCAAAAACGGCCCCCCATATCATATAAGAATGGCCTGAACAGGCATAAGACATGTGCATACAAAATTCGTCTCTTATGAGCCACTATACAGTCCATTAATGCTTCAAGAAGGCCCATAGACCCATTAAACTTTCATCAAAAACCCAAAGTTTCCATAATTCATTTCCCAGTTTGAGGGTCCGGCTCCAGCCGAGGACTTACATCTCTCAAACTGCTCGCATTGTGGTCTTCAAAAGGGTTTTCCAACGGCTTTCCTGTATCTCCAAGCTTCAGTCCCTCCTGCGGCGGTCCTGGATCCCGACTGCGACTTCTCCCTCTTTCGGGCTCCTCGTCCGTCCTTGTGAGACCAGCATCATATCCCGCACTATCATATGGTTCCCGTCTCGGAGTCCTCCCAAAATCCTGTTCGTCATAGTGCCCATACGGTCCTGGAGCATGACCATATGGCCCATCCTCCAACGCACCCACCCTAGTATCCCACGCCTCGTCGTGATCCGCACCCGCGCCGCGGTATGGCCCCGGACCACCAGTCGTCGGTTCCTCATACGCACCGCGATACGTGCGCTTATTCCTCAACGACTCAATCTTGTCTTTTACCCACCCGACGACTCCACCGCGACGAGGAGACGGGAAACTGCTATCTCGATATGTAGCCGGGGCGGATGTGAACGGGATATATGATTTCCACGTGGGAGGTGGTAGGCCAGCGCGACGGGCGCGCACTTGTGTGTATATGACCCAGCCGATGCAGCCGATGACGGCGAAGAAGAGAATTAGGAGGAAGAAGAGCCCCCAGCGCATGGCGACGAGCGTGTGAGGGTTATAGTGTCACGAGTGAGGTAGGTGAGACGTAGAAAGCCCACTTTCGAATGGGCGCTCCGAAAAAGGGGTTGAAATCAGTGTGATGGTTGTCAATCGAGGGACAGGTCGGTAGAGACTCGGCCGCAGAAGATTCAAAGAGTCTCTCAATGTGCGCAACTTGAAGCAGCGGAGTTCGCGAGTTCGACTTTTTTCCCCCTAGGACCGCGCGTTTGTGTCTCGAAATTGTTAGGGAAATGGGTGTCAATGATGCTGCGTGACTTTAGGAACGAAATTACATGGGTCTTTTTTAATACGTAGGCCAGGAACGCAGGTTCAGCGTACTATTTCCGAATGTCTTTGACCTTCCTGTCTTTGATTAGCCTAAGACACGGGGCAGCCTTTATCCTGGTTTTGGGAAAATGCCGAAGAGCAAGAGACAGGTGGAGATGGGAGAACAGGGAGGAGAGCAGAGAGAGGAAAGAAAGTCGAGAATCCCCTCGATGACTGCAGAGTGGTAGAAATGATGGATGAGAGCCTTGTGAGAACATGCGACGGATTTGCTTGATTTCAAAGGATCGGCATTCGGGTGTGCATGTCGTTGATTCATCCAGGCCGTTGCGATCTGCCCTAAAGAGATTCACTAGCGGCTGCGCTCTCACCAACCAACTTCAGCCGCTTGGGCGGTGCATTTCCAGCCCACTTACATAAGACCCAACGTTGAGCGTGCGCCACTCTTAACTATGTGCTCCGTAGTTAGTTATGTAGTATCTTATGCAAATTACTCAATCCTCTTTGAATACGTTCCGCAAAGGTATGACAGGTTTTAGGTGCGTGAATGCAGAGAGAGTCTTTGACAGCGAGAACTATCTCGTGGACCTTAAAAATCCAACTATGCCTCGACAATACCCAACTAACTCGGCTAGCCTTCTTCCTTCTCTTTCCTGCTCAGCCTTCCACTCAACCATGGCTGTTTGCAAAGTCATAGCCCCACTAGCGATGCCACTGTCAATGTTCATATCATCCTCACTACTATCACCCTGAGACCGTGTAGCCTCAACGGCATCACAATGTACTCTCAAAAACACTGCCATCCATGTGTTCACCATCTCAAAGTCGCGCTTCTCTTTTAGCCGGGAGGTCAGTGCTGCTACAAACATGGCTAGCTCGTTTCCATATTCGCGATTAATAGGATCGAGGGACCGGATCTCCAGGTCAGCCTTGGCTGGCGAAAGTGACTTAAGATACTCGATGAAAGGAGAATAGTCGGCTGAGTCGCTGCCGGAGTGGAGGAGGGAGGTAAACTGGGATGTGTGCAAGGTGTCGCCGTGCAGCTTTTGTAGTTTTGCTATTCGCGATCGTTCGGTCCTAGTAGATCGAATTCGTTCTTCTTCAGCGCCATCTGTGGCGCCTCCAGACATCTGCTCTGCGAGATCCAGCTTTGGGAGGGTCGAAGGGAGAAAGAAGGGAGCCTTCTTGGGGGCCTTGGGTGCTTCTTTAGGCTTGTTGCGTTGCTAAGATAGTCGTTAGCGCCGTCTAATTATGGAGCGCAATATGAAGATGATGGGAGAAAAGGAGATCCTACCTTGATCAAATCGAGATGGAGCAATGTTTGCCATCTGTTTTTGGGAGTTATGCTCAGTGTCATCATATTGCTATCGAGTTGTTCAGTTGAGATGACCGGACCATCTTTCTCATTCGCGTTATCGTCCTCCCTGAATGCGGCTTCGATTGTAGCGACTCCGCCTTCTCCAGAGGCAGTAGGCGCAGCAATCTCAGCAATGGCGTCCTCATCAATGTGTCTAGTCGGAATGTGCATAAACAGGCTTTGATTGTTCCAAAGATTGATGCCCACCTCATCTGCATGAGCCGTTGCTAAAAACTCCCCGGTAGTCGAAAACGCGAGAGAAGTACATGTATTTTGCAGCCGAAAAGCATCGATAAGATGGCCTGTTGGCAAATCCCAGACTCTGATCACCGAATCCATTGAGGCGGCAATAATCCATCGTCCGTCATGAGAAATACAAAAATCGTTTACCTGACCCACACATCCCCAGAGCTCTCTCACAAGCTTTTTGGTCCCTATGTCAATAACGCGGATAGAGAGGTCATCACAACTAAAAGCAATCAAGTCACTGGAGCTGCTGTACCGAAGTCCGGTGATGGCGCACATGGGATACCAGTCGAGCTCGTGCTTAAGACGTCCGGTAAGCAGTTCCCAAAACTAACGAGTGTCGACCGTTAGCATGAGCAATAGCATTGTAAACGAACACACCTACCTTGACTTTGCCATCCAAGCCACAGCTGATAACCGTGGTGTTAAGGCCATCCACCATGATGCCAGTCACAGCTTTGGTATGCTTGTCCTGCCCCGACCGGGACGAGATTCTTCCTCCCGAAATATTCTCACCTTGCAGCTGCTGTAGCTTTACCCTCCTTGCTTGCGCGGGAGAGAGTTTTGCAGGAAACGATTGACGATGCATGCCGGACTGTAGGTTGTACATGTGAATTGAGCCACCGTCCGAGCCCACCAAAGCGAACGTTCCACAAGGCGAGACAGCAACACTCTTGACTTCCGTGCCATCGCCAGTTTCCAGTGCCCAGCGGCCAGCCTTCCTCTTCCCCCAGAGCCAGGTGCGTGCAAATTTATCCCCCTTGTGGCCTGTGACAACGCTCTCCCAACCAGTAGAATTCGTACTATCGGCATTTACGGATTGGGCGTTAGCCCATATGGGGCCGGCAGCAGCAGACCCCATACCTCCATCCCTGTTAAGAGAGCAAGCCATACATGTGATTTCAGGAGACTTCAAGGTCTCCGACCTTGCAACATATTCCCCGGGACCCTGAGCAGAAGCAATTTTCTTTGACTTGCTCTTGACCTTCCCCTGGGAGAGTTCGGCGTTTTGAGCATCCTTTCTCAGGCTCAACCCGTAAAGACTACGGTCTTCGCTGGCGCTGAGCAACCATTTTCCCGAAGTCTCCGATCCATCAGACCCTGGTGGTAAGAAAGCAATGGTAGTGATGGGGGCTGAATGTCCGGTCCTCGCGTGTAGAGGCCGTGGAATAGGAGAAAATGGCATCTCGTCAAATATCCAGGAACGAAGCGCATTGTCTGTTCCCGTGGATATTAAAACAGGCTGGCCACCAAGGAACTTAACCTTGTTAATGCCAGGTGGTCGACTTTTGCCGGAACTTTCATGAGCATCTCGTAAGACACCGGTTACCCGTCCGCCGTCGTTCAGATCCCACATAGTAATATCTCCGCTATCGCTTCCAGCGGTCGCCATTACCCCAGCCTTTCTTCCATCGTTTCCAGCTCCAAGGTCATCAGTCCGGAAAGAAATAGAATATACTGGGAGAGAAGTAGTGGTTGGAGAGCGCAATTGCAGGACCGGTTGGTCAGTTCGAATGTTATGAATGACCAGCGCACCGCTGCTGTAGGCAATAGCCATGAACGACAAAGCAGGGCTCGGTTCCATCGCCGTCACCATTCCAGCATCAGGGAAAGTGGGAAGTATCGTGTACAGCAGTTTCCCAGTTGACACATTCCATATATCCACGCCTCCATCACATCTACCAACAAATATCTTATTTAGATAAGTGGGCATGTTGCAGATTCTACCCGTCAAGACACGGCCCGTTGAGCTTGTCCGTTGTGTAGGAGGAGTCAGGGTAGTATAATGTTCGAGGCTGGTCGTTTTCCAAACCTGAATCGTCTTAGTCCCGCATCCTACGATCCAAGAGCCAAACACCATAAGCTCCTCGATGGGTTCGCTGAATCCGGCGGGAGGGTCAAGTTCCGCTATCTTTTTGCCCCGCTTGAACACCCACACGCCTCGGCGCTCATTGGGCAAAGAACCTCCCCATGCAGCGAATACACGATCCTTCCATGCATACGTCGCTGTGATCGTTGAAGGCGTCTGAGGACGAGTCAGGAACACCAGATTAAGGCCGCGACGAAGATCGTATGTCTGTAAGCTCTTGCCGACGGACGTGGTAATTTGAAATGTGGTTTTCCCCAGAGCGACAGAAGTAAACGGAACGGAAGTCGGAGACACCAGACCTAGCGTCTTCAGTCACAAGCTTGTCAGGTCATAGAACATCATTTGTAAAATGAGTGAGGGCCCGTTAGCTTACGCGAAATGGAGAGAATATTCTTGACCCAGCTGGATTAGCGGGTTCTGCTGCTTCAGCGGCATGCTGCTCAGGCACAACTTTCTGACGCTTCGCTAACGGAAGGCCGAACACGCCATCGTCAATTGAAGGCATGATTCTCAAAGGCCCCCAGACCGGCAGGCAAACGCAATTGCTGCAGTCAAAGTTGTGCGTCGCGAGTGCTCGCGAAGCTCCGGCTGGAAAACATCGAAGTCTTTTTTCAGCAGCCGATCGGTCTTGGCAATCGAACGCCCTAGACTCAAACAGGCTCTAGTGCGGCATCGATAAGATAAGATTCCCTGCAGGCTGGACGTTTCCCAGGAAAAAAATCGGGAATTTTGCCTCTGCGAATGCTGTGTTATCAGAGCCGAACCCGCTGCGATTAGCCATGGATTTCCTTGACACCTCACTGGCCATGGCATCTTGCTTTCGAATTCAAAGAACATCCCTGCCTGGGCAAGAATAAGGAAGTTTCCACGAGTCCTCCGCCTTTTCATCCCGCTTCACCGCCTTAAGCATTCCCCCAGCCCGAACGCCGCCAATATGGGTCTCACAGCTTAAGTCCGCTTTCGGAACCACAATTTTGACAGCCCAGATTCTCCCACGTACCTTCCGTAAGGCCCCCCGTCCCTTGGAGAAGAAACCGACAGATATTTTCAGCCCGATGCTTTTCATCAAGCCGTTTGCCAATCAAGTGGCGGGTCAATAGCGGAGATTGCGTATTAGAGCAGCAGATCTGACAGCAAACACACGTGGAGTAGTGGAGTTGGTGGCGGAACTGTGACTGAAACCCCTTCACTGCTGTAAGAAGGGTCCAGCGATCCAAACAGTTTTCCAGCCTAGATATAAATACTCTCAATCAGGAAGAAGGAATAGAACCGTCTGGCCTTTTAACTTTCCACAGCACCTACCATTGTTCCATCGGGGAGCACAGCCTTGCTGAGCAGTTGAGGGTCTGTTCTCTCTGAGATTGGCTGCTGCTGTCACCAAGACCCCCTAACCACCGCCTGTGGTTGCTACTGTTCTCCGAGCGTGCCCAAACGGCGATATCAAGATGGACAGCGACGACGTCACGGGCACGCAGCGCAACGTCCCGTTGGCAGTCAGCTTGGGTGCTCCGGGCGCGCCAGGTGTGCAGGGGGAACCTGCTGCCAAATCGGGTATGCAAGGAGCCCCTCCCGCCACATCGTCACGCGGTCTCGCTGCCTCCTCGTCGTCCTCCTCTTTGCTGTGCGACAACCCGCCAACGTCGACCGGAATCGCCACTCCTCCAGGGAACCGGGACCTACTGCCTTCAGACACCCTGGGCACAAGATCCCATTCCTCTGCTGGGATGATAGAACCAAGCAGCGTCGCTGGCAAGGGCGTTATCTCGAATGCTGCTCTGGAAGATCCCGCTCTTCATAAACCACAACGCATCGTTGCTGATCGTGAAGGCCACCGTGTTTCCTTTTCCTCACTCTACTCTCTCACTTCAAGCTTCTACTCTTCTGCAGCAGATAAGTATCCAAGCACTGCAGTATCCAGCATTGCTGGGTCCGTGAAGAGCAACATGGAGGACTCCACAAAGCAGCCATCAACGACTCTAGAGTCGGTGCGCGACTCCAAAGCACGCGTCGAGCCATCTTCTAGCTCCACTGATGCTGTGCCATCTACTTCCTCTGAATCGGGAGCTCAGGGTCCGTCTCTCTGAACCTCTTGTTGCTTCTTCTGATGAGTACTAAAACGGCCTCTAGCTCACGCTGCTTCCCCCCAACGATCTGAGGCCGGGGAAGCCCTGGCTACAAATTGGGTGTCCCGGCCTGGAAGATCTTCGAGCCGGACTCCACGGCGGTTCAGTGGCAGTACCGGGGCAAGCAGTATCAGTGAAGTGGAATGTAAGATTACCGTTTCTTCTCCCACGCTTATCTTCGTTTAGGCCCAAACTAACCGAATCGTTCCAACAGACAAACCCGCAACGATTGGAAAGATTGGTGTTTGTGCCCTGGATATTAAAGCTCGAAGCAAACCGAGTCAAAATATTCTTACAAGATTGCAATCGAACGGCGAATTCGAGGTTATTGTTTTCGGTGATAAGGTTATCCTTGATGAAGGTAGGAGCCACGTCATCTCTCAGTATCTCTGCGCTTTTACACCTGCTAACTGGTTTACTAGACGTGGAAAACTGGCCAGAATGGTAATTCAGCTCGTTATTCTTTAAGTACCTAATAACACCAGTACTAATTGCAATAGTGATTTCCTAATCGCCTTCTTCTCAGATGGATTTCCGTTGGACAAGGCGATTGCTTACGCAAATCTTCGGAAACCATTTTGCATCAATGACCTCCCAATGCAGGAAGTCCTCTGGGACCGCCGACTTTGCCTTCGCATCCTAGATCAAATGGGAGTCCCGACTCCAAAACGAGTCGAAGTAAACCGAGACGGTGGCCCCCGACTTGCTTCCCCCGAACTTGCTCAACATGTTTACAATTTAACCGGAGTGAAACTGGAAGGCCCGGACGATGGTACAGGTGGCGGGGCTCCTCGAACTCAAAGCGTTACCATGTCCGAGGATGGCGAATCCCTTATCGTGGACGGCAAGGCTTTTAGGAAACCATTCGTTGAGAAACCAGTCAGTGGTGAAGACCACAACATCCACATTTACTTCCCTGATGATCAGCACTATGGTGGAGGGGCACGTCGCCTCTTCCGAAAAGTCGGAAACAAAAGCTCAGAATATGATCCAGATCTGAAAATCCCGCGATCCATCACTGAGCCTGATGGGAGTTATCTCTACGAACAATTTCTCCGAGTTGATAACGCGGAAGATGTCAAAGCCTATACTGTTGGCCCCGATTTCTGCCATGCTGAAACCCGCAAGTCACCGGTAGTAGACGGTGTTGTGCGTCGCAATACCCATGGTAAAGAACTGAGGTACATTACAAAACTTACTAAAGAAGAAGCAACCATGGCTACCAAGATTTCGAACGGCTTTGGTCAAAAAATCTGCGGTTTTGACTTGCTTCGTGTGCGCGATAACTCCTATGTCATTGATGTCAACGGCTGGAGCTTTGTGAAGGATAACAATGATTACTATGATAAATGTGCGAAGATTCTTCGTGACATGTTCATCAAAGAAAAGCAGCGCCGTGATGGAGTATCGGAACCTTCCGGTATGCAATCGAGTGAAACCACTTCTCCGCAAAAGGGTAGTCCGGGCTCGCACCGCAGCGCATTCAAGAGTATCCTGAAATCCCCCAGCATGCTAGGTTTACATAACCACGGAAGTAAAGGGCATCCATCTGTTTCCGGTGACGGCACCTTGGATCGTCCACCAACGCTGGTCAGATCTGAACCTTGCGCTGCTTCCCATCAAGCTAAAAGTGTCTCTCCATGCAAGAACAGCACACCGCCGCCCGCCAATATAGTTACACCAAAAGACGCTAGCCATTCAAACTCGCAGGGTACACCACGGCCACCATCGAAACACTCCTGGAAGCTAAAAGGCATGGTGGCTGTGATTCGGCATGCGGATCGCACCCCAAAACAGAAATTTAAATTTACTTTCCATACCCAACCATTTATTGACTTGCTCAAAGGTCATCAGGAAGAAGTTGTGATTAAAGGAGAAACCGCATTGCGCAGCGTCTCAGATGCTGTCGATATTGCAATGAAGGAAGGAGTTGAGGATGTCGCGAAACTTAAGCTTCTCCGGGCGTCGCTGCATCATAAGGGTTCATGGCCGGGCACAAAGGTGCAAATTAAGCCAATGTTTCGCCGACGCACGGCAGAGGAAATGCGGAGGCACCAGGGCCCTACTGTTCCAGGACCCGAAAACCCAGTCGACAGTTCGTCTAATGTTGAAGCCGTCGTTGATGGTGAAGGAGAAAGTGAACGTCGTCCAGTGACGAGAAGCGATTCTATATCGGGACCGACATTTTCGCGTTTCTCTGCTGTGGAAAATGACCTGATTCTCGATAAATTGCAATTAGTGATTAAATGGGGCGGAGAACCAACACATGCGGCAAGATACCAATCTCAGGATGTGGGCCTTAATATGCGAGATGATTTGAAACTCATGAATAAAGAGTGCCTAAACGATGTCCGGATGTTTACCAGCTCTGAACGTCGAGTTAGTACAAGTGGTAAGTAGGTTCCGTCCAGTATCTTAATTTTCTGGTCTTAACAATAGCCTAGCCCAAATATTTGCGTCCGCTTTCCTCGATGTGAAAGAGTTGCCCGATGATTTCATTCAAGTAAGAAAAGATTTACTTGATGACTCTAATGCAGCCAAAGATGTCATGGACAAGGTGAAAAAGAAGCTGAAGCTTTTACTCCGTGAAGGGAACTCCGCGCCTCCCCAGTTTACTTGGCCTAAAGAGAATTTTCCGGAGCCTTCTGTTGTGCTATCCACCGTCGTTGAACTCATGAAATTTCACCGCAGTGTCATGCGCCACAATTTCAAACGTATTGAACAAGCTCAAAAAGCATCTGATGGTGATGCACCAAGTGACTCCCTCAATGTATCCGACATTCAAGGTCGTTGGTGCGCTGGAGAAGACTCGCAACTTTTTAAAGAGCGGTGGGAGAAGTTATTCAAAGAGTTCTGTGACACCGAAAAGGTTGATCCGAGCAAATTATCAGAGTTATATGACAGCATGAAGTTCGACGCTCTGCATAACCGCCAATTCCTCGAATGGGTTTTCCTGCCTACCGATGATTTTGTCTACGATGAGGAAGGACATGCTGGTTTAATGCAGCCTCTCGGATCCATCGAGGATTCTTATGATTCGTACTTTAAACTTTACCCCGGATCTACACCGTCAAAGCCAAAGATTGATAAACGACTCTCCAGACTGAAGCAGTTGTATAATCTCGCTAAAATCCTCTTTGATTTTGTCACCCCTCAGGAATACGGGATCGAAGATGAAGAGAAACTCGAAATCGGTTTATTAACTTCCCTGCCTCTCCTTCGTGAAATTGTGATGGATCTGGAAGAAGTACAGGCATCCCCCGATGCTAAATCCTTCTTCTATTTTACGAAGGAGTCGCACATCTACACTCTCCTCAACTGTATCCTCGAAGGAGGGATTCAGACAAAGATTGCTCGACGCGCCATTCCCGAACTGGATTACCTCTCACAGATTTGTTTTGAGTTGTACGAGTCCAGGGACAGCGAGTCAGAGAAATTCTCGTATTCTATTAGGATTTCGATTAGTCCTGGATGCCACACTTTTGACCCCCTAGATGTTCAGCTTGATTCGAGGCACGCAATCGGATGTGCTCCAAGAAGAAGTCTTACGGCTCATCAAGACTGGAAGAAAGTCATCGAGACCCTGAAGGCCAAATTCGATACGTTAGTAACCTTATTGTTTGCTCCTAGCCCTAACATGAGCTGACTATCACTTCTAGTGTCAAATTGCCCAAGTCCTTCATTGCCGTTAACCTCAGCGATAAGCACGCGGCAGCTAGACGCGGTGACGAAGAGACGAGTTAAATTGTTTTAGTATGTATCATACTGGGAGGCATTCCTGTGAAAGAAATTTCTTTGGTGTAGTGTCTGGTTGGGTTTGTTTTTGTCCTTTCCAAGATAGAGCTCTAATAGACGAGAATACGGTGGGAGCTACGTGAGCGGAGACTATGTTTATCGGTGTTTATTCGAAGATGTGTATCATTATCTTCCATAGCACAGTGCGTATTAATATTAGACGGTATCATTATTGTTTCTATTAGGCTTCGGCTCGGTTCTTTATTTTCAGGTGCTCCACAGGATAGCACCTGGGCATTGTGATCTTGTTGCATTTCGTGAAGTGGAGCTGATCCCTCAGTGGAGTCGGCGCATGGAGCAGTTTAGTTACGCAGTCATTTTTGTGACGCTCGTTGTTTATTCCTACGTACCAGGAGATATATCGTGGGATAGATAGAAGAGCTTGGCCCAGTATAATTTTGGGAGATAGAGCGACAAGCAAGCGACGAGATAAAATGTCTACATTTTCTCATGGTTCTATAGATGGAAGACCCGTTTCTTTTCGGTTGTCAGAACAGAGCAGCAGCATTGACTACGAGGACTTGGAGACCAAGCAGACATCATCGCTTCCCTTGAACAGCGTGATTGCCACGCTTCCCCCGGTGGAAGGTTCCGATGAGTCCACGGCCAGAATTCTATTTCTCGAACATGATAACCCGAACAACTTAGAGGTTAAGCTTAGATGCCTCGAAGTGTCGGAAATACCTGGTGCATTGTGGAAAAGTAACCAGCTTGTGCCGCCAGCGCATCTCGCCCTCCCTGCAGATGGTGATTCGAATGTGCATGTCGTGATATCCACACATTCGGGAACCCACGCAGCATCGTTGTTTTTCGAACATGCGCTAAAGCCTTTACTTTCGGCCATAAGCGTTACGGGTTACCATGTCCACAAGACTCAATCGACAAACAGCATTATTGAATTAAGCCAGGCTATTTTCTTGCCCAGGGCACAAGCCGGGACGGAGCAAACGATCATTCTACTTTCTGGGGATGGCGGGCTTGTGGATATCATCAAGGTGTTTTCGGGAGTGGATGAGAACGACAGCAGCCATGGGAAGAAGTTCGTACCACCGCGCATTTCTCTTATTCCGATGGGGACTGGGAATGCTACCGCAAATTCTACGGGATTGTTTAAGGATGCCACGTGGGGATTGTCGACCTTACTACGTGGAAAGCCACGGATGCTACCGCTGTTCCAGGCAAATTTCTCGCCTAGCTCAGCTTACCTTACTGATGAAGGACGACGGAAAGAGCCCCTAGTTAGCGAATTCGACAGGGAGAGATCCGCAGCAGAAGTCTACGGTGCAGTGGTCTTGAGTTGGGGAATGCACGCATCGTTAGTAGCGGATAGTGATACCAGCCACTATCGCAAGTTTGGTGCACAGAGATTCCAAATGGCAGCCAAAGAACTTCTCTATCCGTCCGATGGGAGTCCAACGCATCAATACTGCGGCCGTGTGACGCTCATCAAAAAGGATCCGGAATCTGGCCAAGCGAAGGAGCAAGTAATTGACAGGGAATGCCACATGTATGTCCTGGCCACGCTTGTCTCTCAGTTGGAGAAAGGGTTCACTATCTCCCCTTCATCGAAGCCGTTAGATGGACAGATGCATGTTGTTCATTTTAAACCATTAAGTCCCGATGAAGCCATGGGGCTGATGGCCAAGGCGTACCAGGGCGGGCAGCATGTGGAAGACGAACGGGTGGAGTATGATGCTGTTGAACGAGTAAGGATCCAATTTAATGAGGACGAGGAGACGTGGAGAAGGGTATGCGTGGACGGCAAGGTGGTTACTGTGGAGAAGGGTGGATGGTTGGAGGCTAAGAGGTCTGGCCGCCATCTATTGGATTTGATGGTTCCAACATTGGTGTGATTGACAAGCACACAATGTTGCTAGGGATAGTGAAGTGATCTGTATGGAGTACACCTGGTCAATGATGAAGGCTTCTTTTTTTTACGGAGTACTCCCTACATTGGGTGTCGCCGCTGCAGCCCGATTCGACAACTAACTTTATCACCTAATCAGACTAGTTACATGTAGTTTGGTTTTAAATGGGTTTGTGCAAATCTTGCTTTGGCAACCGACAGCTACTCTTGAATGAGGAGAAGCTCTTTGATCACAAGAGTAACCAACGAGACAATTCCCTAAATGTTACGTTTTCCTCACTGTGCATGTTGGCTTCTTTTACATTAGGAGGGGTGACTGATATCTAATTTGGCGCTTCCCAGGACTAATCATCCAATAAAATGAGGAATAAGAAACAGTGACAGTTAAGTGTGATTTTATTCCGTTGCTTGATTCCTCAGAGGACGTCAACAGTTGATATATTTTACTGAACATCAATGGGAATTTGGGTTTAAGATTTAGGCGATCGATAGTTATATCTCTGGAACTTAGGAAAATTTGCAAGAAAATAGCAGCATCAATCGTCATATGTTGCAAGGAAGAGGCCTAATCGCAGTCCAGCCATCCTAAGACCCTCCCGCGCTCTTATTTCAAAGATAGGTTGGTAGATGTTTTGTTTCTGTGCAAATAACAATGGGGAATACCCTACTTTTATATTCATCTGTTGCGTTGAGCGCGCCAATTAGCCACTACGAGTGGTCTCTTGTGATTGGGGTGGCAGCTTACTGCGGTCTCTTCTTATAGCAACCCGATAGTCACATCGCCCTTCACTCGAGCATACAGGTCAACCTCAGCTTCAATATCTAGTTCGATCTTGATCTTCAAGCTGCTGCTTTCGGAAGCTCTGGATTCTGGGCGGTCTCTGATGCGTGATTTCCGGAGGGTACCATTTTGCTGCGTGAGCTGCTGGTTGGTGTTATACGGGTATGCCTGTTCATGCTCGGATCCGACCTGAGATTGGACCTCGTAGGCGTCTGTGTTTGGCTCAACGCTATGGCATGCTGTAAGTAATGACGCAGAAACGGCCTCGAAAAGGAAGGGGGCTTACTTGGTGGCCATTCTGAACTGTCTCTGAGGAAGTGGTGTGGGAGGTTCTGAGTATGATTTCTTGAATAGGGATCCTTCGATTGACCTTTTTAGACGAAAGAATGCGTCCCAAAAGGTTGCAGTGACTACAAGGCTAAGAGGACGATTTCTTTTGTTGGCGATGATGATCGGTTGATCCTGATCCATTTGAGCAGAATTCGCAACTACTGTAGACTATATATACAGGAGCCCAAACAATGTATTAGGTGAGGTGTGCTCGGGAATAGGGAAACCGTGAATCAGAGATGAGACCAATATGACACCCAAATGAAGAGACGGAGTTGGGACAATGACAGCAAGGAGCGAATAGAATCAAACAGCTACCATACGTTAGTGAGGCAGGATGAGACGCAGAGTCGGTTAACGATCTGGTCCAGAACGGTGGATAAAAAGGGAGTAAAAGCTCTAGATTCAGCTTTCTCCGTTGCCTCAATCCTCAACCATCTTCTTGGTCGCTTCTACCCCCCAGGGCCACTGACAACTCACGATAACTGATAGCGGTACGGAGTATTGGGCTCGGAACGGGGGTTCCAGCTGCAGCGGGATGACGTCAGGGCGCTCCGTTGTGGCGCACGCCAAGACCTGGAGGGCATATGGGATGAAAGGAGCGTCACGTCGACCTCGACGACTGGAAGTTGCTGATCAAGATCCGAAGCGTTGCAAAGCCACTGACTCGGCCCATGAGGGAAACGTATTAGTGAATATTTGCGCGGAAATTTTTCGGGTTCGAATAACTCCCTCGAACGACTGCTAAGACAGGCGATATGCAACTTTAGACGTTGGATGAACCAGGCGTGTTTGACAATAGCGAGTTTCTCTCCTTCGAGTATTGGTTCGCTTCGATAAATATCATTACATAACATCAAGCTCTCCCATCGTCATTTTCTGGTCCACTGCATTCCCTTTCGTCTGAGGTACGCTTAAGTAAAACCAAGAGCTCCAGGGGAACGCGGAGATGGTGTTTGGTATTATAACAGCAGTTGCTGCTTGTCCCGCCATCGTGGGCACAACAGAAGCCATACGTTCCAGTCAGCGCAGCCAGAGAAGACAGGAGCATCGAAGCAGGAAAATGAACCTAATAGTTTCCTGCTCCGATCCCTCCAGAAAGAGTAAAGATGTCGATGGCTGCTTCGTGGTGTTGAGGAACCATAAGGTACGTATGGGCTACACACTCTGTGCTTGCGATTGACGCTCGCTCAACCATATCAGTTATGGATTGCATCCCGACCTTCCGATGGCGAGGCCAATGAGCCATCCGATGATGCCACTCGCTTCAAAGCCTCCCTCCACCAGTGTCATCATTTTGAAGGCTATTTCTTCCCACATCCCGAGCATAAATGGCGCAAAGGAGAGGGGTTGGTAAGCACCATAACCGCCGACCCGCCTCTTCTCAATTGGATCTATATTGATAAAGACACTTATGAAATGAAATATGGCAACAAAAAGGAATCCGAAGGGCATATGATGGGGCCATGGGATTGCACGCTTGTTGATCGACGGATGACATTCGACTGGTGGGAAGGTTTTGCAGTTGCAGAGGAGAAGGATGCGGACGGAAGAATGCTTGGATGGGCACTGTATTTTGACTGTGATGATGATGGGTTGAGGGAGAAGGTGCCCTTAGACAGAAGGGTGATGGAAGTGGAATTGATAAGACGAGAGATGAGAGTCCCACCGGTGACAGAGGAGGATGATCAGCAAAAGATCAAGACATAATTCGCATGCGGAATTGCTTTTAGAAAATCCTTCAGCCTCCGTTTTGTATGACAATTCTCCAGGATCTAGCTGTTGTCTGCTGTAGATGGAGCCGCTGAATTGAAAGGAAAGCAAGATGCGACCAACCATGGACTTTGCACTTTCTGGACACCATCCATTGCTGTCAAGATGCCAGAAAGCCAGGAAGCTAAACTATGGCCATGGCCAGGGCTGAGAACCGAGCGAGAGAGGCGAAACGAGCTGATGATTTGACCTGTTTTGTCCCGGATGTTCCGTTGAAGGTGGTGATTGGACGAAAAGGAGCTTGGACAGTGGCACTATGTGACTATACCCAAAAAGGAAAGGCCGGAATGGAACTTTTCGGTATTACGGATACAACCTTGGTCGAGGCGGAACTTGCAGGTGACCAAAGGCGTTGTTCACATGCTGCAGGGGACGCTTTGGCATCATTGCGGTCTGTGAATTTGTTCTGCTGGACTATCCTTCTTGCTGCAATCTTTCTTTGATGTGTTGTAGCTTTCTGTTCCTGAGCGCACTCACTTTTTGCGGATGACGTCCTTTCTCCTGGCAGCTGCCTTCAAGCTTTCCGCTCCGCACCCTGAAATCTTGGGCCTAGGCATGTCTACGCCTCTAACTTGTCTGAACCCCAGCCTATGAGGTCGAGAAGCGTCAATGCTCGTAACTCCGCGCACTTATCAGCTGTCTCAGACTCCAAACAAAGGACTATCCCTCACCCCAGAGAATTTTCCAACTTTTCGGACCCTTCGAGGGTGGAGTATTCCGCCAGAAGAGATTAGACGGGCAGCGGAGATGTTACTCATACACCATGTCGGGAGCGTGCGTATTGGGGAAGTTGTTCGGTGAGATTTTCCGCTTGCGGCCGCTTACATGCGGACTGATCGCGAATTCAGGGGTCATCGCTGACTTGTTTGCTTGCAATAGTTACACCCTTACGTATACCCCTTCGGCGGATCGGATACTTCCTTACCCTGCAGAATTATACGTTAAGATCAGGAATACTTCTGCAATTGCATTACGAGCGGCATATCTTCATGGACCCTATACTATCCACACATCCTGTTATCCGTCCACATTCGATCCTCATAACAAATTTGACAACCATCAGACGGATGGGATTCCACAGTTTGAGCCCCACCTCCAGCCGGGAGCAGCCTGGGATGCCACAATACCTGTGCCCGAGCGTGTTCGCAATGTAGCTCCCGCCAGACCTGGGGATTCCAGGTCACCAGACCAGAAAAGCATTTCTTGGATTGTCGAAATTTCCTCCCAGGTCGTGTTTTCGAATACCGCAAGCGTGACTTTTGAAGTGCTGGTCGGTCGTGATGCGAAATCCACTGAGCTGGGTGCTGCAAGCATCGCTGATTTACCCGCGCCGGGGAATCTTCGCGATCACAAACGGAGCCTAAAAGAAGGTAAAAGGGGACGCGCAGAGACGGTTAAAGGGGTGTATTCTGAATCCGTGAAGCTGAAGGTCGACGACACAGCGACTTTGTGGACCTCTCCCCGGTTTCCTTCTTTAGCAGATACAGATGCGCCGGAGAATCTCGGAACCGAGCATACGCACAATGCAAATCTGAACCCTTCGTCAAATACACCGAAGGGTCCCCATGGGATAATCACGAGAGCCAGGACACAGAAAAAGGTCCATTTTGTTGTCCTGACGCACGGCCTTCATAGTAATCTTGGTGCGGACATGTTGTTCATGAAAGAGAGCATAGATGCTGCTGCATCGCGGGCGCGCGAGGATCGAAAAAAGGCTAAACAGGAGAAAAGGAGGAACGCGGAGTCTTCCGCACAAATCCGCTCCGAAGAAAGCGGCAGTGATGACGAGGAAGAGGTCATTGTGAGAGGTTTTCCTGGCAATGCTGCACGGACAGAGAGAGGTATACAATATCTCGGGAAGCGGCTGGCCAAGTATGTCCTTTTGATGACATATCCTGATCAGCCATACCTTCCTATCAAACAGACGCGAAAGATGTCTCTCAGCCAAACGTTCGGCCTTAGTAAGGGTTCCGAGAGCCCAAAAGCCCATGCGTCTCACTCTGGAAGCACGATCTATCGCCGGGAGCCCGAACACAAGGATTTCGCATATCGAATAACAAGTATTAGCTTCATTGGTCATTCTCTTGGCGGCCTTGTTCAGACATATGCCATTGCTTATATTCAGAAACACTCCCCCGAATTCTTCGATATCATCAAACCGGTAAATTTCGTTGCACTGGCGTCCCCTTTCCTTGGACTCAGTAATGAGAACCCGATTTATGTCAAATTTGCTCTCGACTTTGGCCTCGTTGGTCGGACTGGGCAGGACCTTGGGCTATCGTGGAGTGCCCCATCGAAAATGCGAAGTGGCTGGGAAGCGATGATTGGAGGCCTGGGCAACGACGCAAATAAATCTCAGCGCAACCCAGATCCCGGGGCAAAGCCTCTCTTGAGAATTTTACCAAGTGGGCCAGCTCACCAGGTGTTGAAGAAGTTTAAGAACCGCACACTGTATTGCAATGTTGTCAATGATGGAATTGTTCCCCTGCGGACGTCTTGCTTATTGTTTCTGGACTGGAGAGGCCTGGATAGAGTGGAAAAGGCTAGAAGGGAAAACGGACTTGTTGGAACTGTAGCAGAATGGGGCTGGGCCGCGCTCACTGGTAGCTCTTCAAGCCAGCTGCGGTCTGGTCGTGCTGCCACAATTCCCGTCAATCAACACGTTCAAAGGGAGCTAGAGACCACCCCAAGTTCATCACAGCCCGATTCCAATTCTGACGATCAACGCCTTGAAACTACCCCTGAGCTTCCCGCGCCTAGTCAGTTCTTGAGTACTCAACAACTCCAGCAAGCAGATGGGCCACAGCCAGGAGCAAAATCCAACAAATCAGCATCGGCTCCTTCATCGCCCAATCCATTTAATGCCTTGATATCTTTTTTCAAGTTTCAGAAAGCTTCTCGAGAAACCAAGGCGACTAAGATTTATAGACGAAGCCAAACAATCCGAGCTACGCCTCCAGAAGACGCTGGCTCAGGGGCCTCAACCACACCAGCACAACCCCACAAACCCGGTAGGGCTCGCGGGGACTCGTTGTATGAGGATGGAGGGCTTTATGCTCCTCCAAAAACAACGTTATTTGAAGCGGCCGGGGACGTGATCAGCCCGCCCTTACCATCGTTAGGATACATTCTTGACCCCTCCTCTCGCCCAAGAACAATTTTCCACGACCGTGTCTACCATCCCGAAGACATTCCTCCGCCGCCACCCGCCAAGCCTCGGTCTATGTTCCGTACTTCGAGCTCCAACAGTAATATTAATGGCGCCGATGGTGGGACTGAGGTACCTCAACTTGGGACCAATTCGCAAGGATCTGGGATGAAAGTCGAAGAAAAGATCGCGAGAGCATACCATCGCGAAGTATCATGGCGTAAGGTTCTAGTACGATTAGAACCCGATGCCCATAACAATATCATCGTCCGACGCATGTTTGCAAATGCATATGGGTGGCCAGTAGTAAAACATCTCGTGGACACTCACTTTGCGTATACACAAGCTGCAACAACTGCAGATGACAAGGTGCGTAGCGAAGAAAGGGCATTGCCACTCAGTGCCACTGCTAGCGAGCACGGCGAAGAGGTTCGAGGTCAAACGGATAAACCCACCGATGTCCCGCGCCCGTGTTTCTGTCCCACACCCAATCGGGATATTAAGGATGATGATACGACGAACGCCAGCAGCGAGGAAAATGATACTGTTCCCGAAATGATTGCGCACTCACGCCTAAATAGCCCGAGAATAGGGAGTCCGAGAATGTGCTCCAGCCCTGTTCCCATGGAGGATGCCGACGAAGGATCCCACCGACCAGTTATTGCTTCTAGGGCCTCTTCGCTGCACTCAAAATTGTCGAGACAAAGCTCAGCGCAATGGACAGATAGGTACCTTGAAGACGGCGATGATGATGACTCTGATGAGGCGGAAATGTATGACGAGTTGAGAGGGAATGTCAGAAGACGAAGTTTGAGTAGTAGGAGCGATATTGCGGATAGTACCCTAGGAAATGCGAGTACGACAACCAAAGGTTAGGATGGAAGGATGGACAAGTGAGAAGCAAGACCAACTGGTTGAGATTAGATATATATACCCCTTTGAATTTCATTTTACGTATCTCCGACTACCATACGGGGTTTACGCTGCAGTAATACCCTTGTTCTGTTTTCTGCGCCTTGGATTCCACACCTACGCGCCTATACACACATCACATGCCCTTTACATAGAGAAGTTTGTTTCTATGTTTAGATCACTGAAATAATTTATTGAATTCGATTCCACAAGGTTCAGCTACGCTCGGAATGGAGTCTTGGTGTCTGTGACCAGCGGGTTAATAGAAAGAAATTAATTATTTCTTAATGGCGGTTTGGATTACCACTCTCGCATTTTAGCTAGATTCTAGGCTTGTATGCATTTTAATCAACAAATACTCGCCTATGAACTTCGAAGGGGGTTCCCCATAGGATATGAAAGAAAAGTATTCAAATAAGAGATAGGTCGCCGGGATATAGAGCATTTCGATACTGGAAACTGAATCATAATCGATAAATAAGTAAAACAAGGGAGAAAAAGAAGCTACGGAACTTAGTAGTTATAAAACATGGTATAGTAATAATTTAAAAGAGGTTGGTTTGGGCAGGCCCCCTGCAAAGATGTCGACGTAGAATGGATCTTATAAATACCTCCAAATATGGCGTGCATGCCATTCACTTCAGGTCATTATCTCATGTCGTTCAATCATGGTTAAAAAAAAACAAATAAATAAATCGTGGGTCAGGAAACAGGGTAGATTCCGGAAGGCCGGAAAAGCAGGATCAGTCGGAGATAGAAACGCCATGGATCGTTTAGATTCAAATTTCATTCCCTCCATCTCGATCGATTGAAGGGGATCGGGTGTCAAAGAATTTACCGGAAGGAAGGATATCGTGGCTAAGTGCGAAGAGGGCTGTTATCGGGGGAGCATGCCGAGGCCTAGTCTCCACTGTTGAGCTCGCGATGAGCTTGAAGGCATATCACGAGCAGTGGCTTGCTTGCGCCGTCGACGACGTCGAGCGGAATCGGGTGGCTGGGTTCGCATTCTAGGCGAACGTGGCACCTGATCTGGAGGCATCATGGGAGGATCGTCGGGTGGAAGATCAGTTCGAGTTATCCGGTCTTCTGGTGGAGGTGGGGTGTGGGTACCGGCAAATCTGCTGGGAAGATAGAAATCATCGTATATTGGAGGGAATGCGTCGTTCACGTCGGCAGGGTCAATATTAGTTGTGTACCTGTTGTTTGGGGAGTAGTCATAAGTGCTCCCGTCATCGTCGTCATCAAGACCGAGAACTTGCTGCAATCTTCTAGCAAGGACTTCATCTTGTCGCTCCTGCGCACGTCGCATGTCGAGCTCCTGCTGGTATCGAATAGGCGCTCGAACGTCTTCATTCCCTTGCTCATCCATCATCCTTCCCTGAGGGATATCCGGATAGGCCCCACCCCCAGGAGTATGATAATTAAACCACGGACAGTCGCATGTTTTCCACTTCGAGCCGCAAATTATGCAGAATTCAGCTGTGCAGCGGCATGTCATGTGGTTGCAGCCTTCTTTTAATTCCACCATCGCAGAACAGTTGTAACAACGCTTCCATCCAGACTCCTGGGCTATTTCATTGAACCTCTTCGTATCTTCGTCGTTCGGACAGTCCTTGGAACGATGCATTTTGCGGTTGCAGAGCACACAAACTTTGGTTTTGCATTTGCTGCATTTGCCGTATTTGCGCCCACAAGTAGGCCCATTGCTAGTATCTAGCTGGATGTTTTTTGGTTTTATCCATTCTCCACAGCCACGGGCCGGGCAGTATAGTCGGTTTTTGGTGGTATATTCCTGGTACTTTCGATTCCACGTATTTTTAAATTTTGAATCGAAAAGCCTATCAACGTGTTTAAGCGGAATATGATCGTCCGTACAGCATCGAGGAGGCATATGCTGTGGATCAGACACGGACATGGTAAAGATACGCTTGAGACACTTGTTGCACATGCGGTGTGAGCAGGCAAGTTTGGCGGACTTGCTGATAGGAACATCGTCAGACAAGCATGTCAGGCAAGTGATTCTACGGGCGCGTCAGTTTATTCGGACTCAAATGATAGAGAAATGCACGCACTTCTTTTCAACTGGAGGATGCGGATTGCCGAACAAGCTGCCTAGAAACCTGTAGTTCGAGTTACGCTTCCCTTCTACACTAGGTGGTTGCTTCAATGATGTGTTTTTCGAAGCTTCCTTCGTCTTTTGAGAACCGGGAGTAGGGTTATTAGAGGAGGTTTTTTTCTCCTTCGAGGAAGACGGGGGTTTTGTAGAGGACGTAGAGTGCCGATGGACAGACGCCGGTCTAGAACACACATATCAGCGTTATTCCGTGTAGAGGCACAAAACTTTATGCTGTATTGATTGACGCGCATACCTGGTCTTCGGAGTCTGCGACGCGCGCTGGGTTTTGGTTTCTGACGTAGTTCCTACACGGCTCCTTTCCGGAGTGCTGCCGGTGGCCGTGGTGCTCCTGCGGTGCCTGCGTTCTGCGCCTCCATGCATTTTGGATCGCGAGTCAGGGAGTTCCACCTCTCTTCCAGATCTTGTTCCTGATCGCGACTTTGTCCCTTCACTTTTATGATCCTCATCTTCCACAGCTCGGCTTTTGCGACTGTAATTTCTGTCCTCAGTATCTCTATAACGCCTACGCCTGCGATGTCGCGAATCCGACGCAGGTAAACTAATCTGAGACGCGGAATGCGAAGTCGTTGGCATTCTCCTCGGGGTTAATGCGACCTGCGTACGGAGTAAATTCGAGGTGAATACGGCGATCGAAGCGAAACTGTCGAGTAACTATATCAGGCAAGATTTGGCCGCGGGTTTGGGGCCGGATATTGCAATCATGTATGAGCAGTTCCCTTAGCCTACGCGATACAGCAAGGCTGCAGGTCGACAGAAATAAACCTCAACCACTGCCGACCCTCCATGATGGCTTGGAGGAATGAAAAGTCGATGTGTTCGCTTCGATTGGTAGGTATTTCGTTACTCCTTTCACTCCCTCAAATTCTTGTTTCTCTCGGTTTTGTCTTCACCGCAGATCGTGGCAGTTCTCGTTCCAGTTTCTTCGAAGGGTGTACTTATGAACCGGTTCACATGCAGCCGGTGCAGGGTTTGTGAAGTAGCCTCGTCTTCACCACGGCCAACTGTGCACAAAACAGTGACAGGCTAGAGATCAGCCGGCCGATGGATCTCCTATTGGTTACGACTAGCAATGCTTGGGCTTCTTTGCTTGTGTCTTTGCGTTGCCCACCATCTTCTGAGGGTTGGACACGGAAAACCAACAGTAACCAGCCAGCTGGCGGAGCTAAGATCCCTGGAAAATGGACTCCCTGAGCAGACAGCCTGATAGGCAAAGAATATGAGGGGTAATAGTCGCTGACCAGGCCGTAGTTTTGCGAGGCGGATTCGGCGAGAGCCCTTGCATGGATGGTTGAAATGGTGAGGCTGCTGTGGTCGCTCACACTAAGAAAAATTAAGAAGCTTAGGATTCAACCGCCGCCGTTATTATTGGACCTTTGATCACTGCAGTGCCGGAAATTCATTGGATGATGAAGGAGCTTCGCCGCGGATCAGATGCAGCGCCTCAAGTCCATGGGACTTGGTTGATTTACGGCATTGCCCCCGGCTTTAACATTACTAGTCATTCAACTTCATTCGTAAAGACAGGCAACCCAAGCTCAAACTGTCTGGGATTTGAGCAACGGGTTTCAAGAACGGAGCAATCTATCCAGGCAATTGGTTAACAAGTCTATTATTGCTTTTATTTGACATCATACTCTATGGATTTTATTACATGCGTAAATTGAGGGTCGAGTCACTACCGCCATCATTTCAAGAAATATATAAGTCGATTGAACTGCCCAGGGAGGCCGTCTCATGCGATTTCAGTCAATAACCACAGCCGATTTACTGGCCATAATCGAACTTCCCCTTGATTTGACCCCAGAACTCCTCCACGATCTCCTTCTGTCCTTCCCCATTCTTAGATGCGCGGATGGCCAAGTAGCGTCTTCCATCAACCGCTGCATTCCACCCGCCGGGATTGCCATCAACCATGATGCCGCCAGCTTCTGTGAGAATGACCCATCCAGCACATACGTCCCATGCCCAGCATCCTCCTTCCCAGTAAAGATCCATGTAGCCCGAAGCAACAGCGCACAGATTCAACGCGGCCGATCCCATGCTTCGCATCGAATGGACCATCGCCCCGCCTTCTTCCCGCGCCTTTCCGAGGGTCTCAAAGGTACGAATCTTCGTCTCCCAGTTGGTGCCGTGACGGTCAGATCCCCATTCCACGCCCACCAGAGCGCTAGACAGGCCCTTCAATGGCTCTATATTGTCTCCTTTCAGCGGCAACTTGGTTGTGCGGTTCAAAAAGGCTCCTTTTCCGCGGATGGCGCTATACAACGTTTTCGTAAAGGGATTGAAAACAACGCCGACAACTGGCTTCTTTTCAATCGCGAACCCAAGTGAAATACATGCGTTGGGAAAATTGTGGACAAAATTGACTGTGCCATCGATGGGATCGACGATGAATGTGGGCGCGTTGGTCAAGCGCATGCCGGGCTGATAGGTCTCTTCACCCATAAATCTGGATAATCATAGCGGGTACTCATGTCAACTTACTGCGCTCTTAGCCAGAGAAACGGGTAGGCAGCAAGCATACTCATAGTCAGGATATTTACTTCTTAACGCCTTGGAGACCATCTGCTCAACAGCACGGTCCGTTTCTGTGACGAGGTCGGAGCCTATAGCTACTGTTAGCATTCAAGGCCCAAACCCATCTTCATATGCAGTACACACTGTTCTTCTTTGACCCGACTGTGTTGACCAAGGGCTTTGCGCCTGTGATCATCTCCCCGGCTTGCTTCGCCAATTCGATAAAGCAATCATGGATCTCTTGAAGATTAGGAGAGATACTGGTACTAGTCGTCATTGTTATGTTTGATAACTTTCAAATCGCACTCTTCACGTCCTTTCTGTTTGAGGTTTAGAGCGAAGAAAGACAGGAAGGGGAAAAGAGGTCAAAGTGTCCAAGAGAGATAAATAACCAGAAGTGAATTCAAATTGGTTCAAGAAAAGATCCCAATTGTCATAAAAAAAGGTAGGGACGAAAGCACTTTTTATATGAACCCCCGGTCTATGGAGGTGAAGCCAATCAAAGCCACTAAATAACTACAAAAGTAAGGTTGATTAACCATGCAGGTGCCAATGCACTATGTCGTCAGCCTGCAATGATTCTATTGTGAATGAAAGCAAAAGAGAGTAGAAGGATGCGGTGAAGCAGAAAATGCAGTCAGCTACACGACAAGAAGAGATTCATTAGAGATTTCTTTGATGAGAGGTGAGTCTCGAAATGTTTCTCAGGATTGGTTTGATTTCTTGGCGGTGAACATCGTGCGATTGATCATCCTTCTCTTAGGGCACCATGAACGAGGTCTTCCCTGCACAACATGTGCCGGTTACATCTCCAGTCCCGCGACCTGGTGGCCTGTTCATTATTTGCAGGCCTGTACTCCGTAATCATGGAAGATAGTGGTTAGTGCCCGGCTCTGAGCAGTTGGATTCTCAAACTATGTAACCTTATTTTAAATAACGTGTCCTTCAGCAGTGGCTAGCTGGCAGACTAGTTGCAGAGGAGCTGTGCCCCCCAGGGACACGGAAAAAGGGAAAATTCAAGTCAACTTCTAAAATCATGCCTTGTCAAGTCCCTCTGGCTTGGCAAAATTCTATTCGCACGAGGAACCCATGCACAAGCAGACCTAATTAGCTTTAACATCCTGAGCATGAAGTGACTATTTCCTTGTCTCCGGACTACGGAGCACAATCTATATGTAGAAAAGTAACTGCCAAGAGCGCGAGGTTTTTCACGATGGAGATCACCTCCAAGGTCCCTGAGATCCGAGGAACAGGACGGGGCTGTTGAGGTTGCAATGATATTTAGCTTCAGCCACACGCGACAAAGTCAGGACAACAGGGACCAGAATACATTCAGCAGCAGAGTGAAACTGTCACAGAAATTGCAAGAGCAGGATTCTCCTTGAAAAGATAAATATCCCGAAAATACAACAGGCAATGAAAGTACGGAGTAACATATTTAGAATAAAACGGTCCGTCTCACACTATCCAGGCGGCTTCTGGCCGTGGACACTAACCCTGCATTAGCGTGTCAGCGAAAAGGTGATCCATTAAGTGGAAAAAGACAGAGGCCAGAAAATCTCACACATTGAAATACGCACGGACTTTGCTATCCTGAAGCCCGATTTTCATTTCAGCAAGAAAAAGCTTTACCTCGTCAACTGACCACTGTTTTCAGCATACCAAATTAGTCGCTGACGACATCTTGCTATGCAGGCAGTGCGCACCTTCAACACCCTCGTCAGAAGAGCCATTGCCCAGCCCTCGATGCCCTGGTCACACTGGAGCAGATTCCACTCTCCAAGTTCTTTCATATGCTTATCGCTACTCCATGTCCCGACGGGAAGCTTAAATCTCACTTCAGTCACGTTCTGGAAGCCCGCCTTTTCCATGTATCCTTTGGCGAGTTCCGCGATACGGAACGTCTTCCCTGTCATTTCCCCCATTCTGATGAACAGCTTAGACCAGACACTGAGAATATGGTGGTCCTTTAAGTTTCTTTCGTCGGACTGAAACTGGACGGACATCTCCAGTTGATCAAACCAACCTCCGGGTTTCAAATGCCTAGCCATGATAAGATTAGAAGGAGGCGCAAATGGATTCTAAGCCGGGTTGTCCGTACGAAAGGGTTCTCTGGTAGAACGCTGGCCAATCCCCAACGGAGCCATACAAAGTGCGGACATGAATCAAGTCAAAATGGTCTTGCGGGAACGTCCATTCAAGCGTTGCATCCTCGATCTCGAATCTAACATTTGGCGGAACGAAGGCCGGTTGTATGGGTGATAAATCGGTACCAATAACTTCGGCTGAAGGATATTCGTCGGCAAAGTCGCTAAAAATGAATTGTCAGGGCCGCGATTACTTTCCTTGAAAACAAATCTGCGTATACTTGCATTGCCCACTATTGAGACATACGTTAATGTATTGTACGGCACATATGTCAAAGCAGCATGAACGTACCACTCCAGTGCCGGTTCCAACATCGAGAACTCTCTATCTTGAACGTCAGCGCATGTTCAAGATTACAAACAACCTATAACTCGCTCACTTCGATGTCACGATCAACCGGTGCGAGAAGGAGCCTACCGTTCAGCATTAAGCGGAATATACGATGCCTATACTCCTAGTTAACTAGCCTTCTGTATATGTGTGCATACGCCACTAGTGGGGATTTGTACGCGAGCACGAGCTGTTCATTCTGTTGCTGATCGTTCGGTGCCCTAGAATCGGACGAACGGTCAGACAGCATAGATGTTTCCTTGAAGCCCCCCCATCATACCAGTATGCACCATTATTATAACCATGGTACCTTCGGCCATTTTCGAAGTGATCCTCAAATAATTCCAAACACAATGATGTCGTATCGCTCGCGCTTTATCGACCGCACAACAGTCCATGTTAATCACGGTACGATCTATGCTGTGCACAATGTTTTCTTACCAGTCCCCATAATCTGAGAACCCACAACAATCGGGGTCCTATTCTCCCTCCAGCTGTTAGCTAATCCCAGTCAGATTAAACTGCCTGCGTTAGGGGAAACCGTACGACGGGAATCCTAACTAAGCCAGAGGCTTGCGCGTGAGGTGCTGAACCTGAACCTGAACCTGAACCAGCCATTCCGACATCGACGCAAGATAGAAGGAGAAGGGAGGAGGCAAAAAGGAAAATATTTAAAGAGAGGGGCGGGAGGCGTTAGCTGTAAATAAAGACCGTACCACCAAATGGCATTTGATATCTCATATTCATTGTCATTCGGGGCAATGATTAGCCCTCCAATCGGGTCCTGATGTCCCTTGCGCAAGGGCGCACCAGTCAGGATGCATCATGCATGGCTGACCGCCCAAACACTGACAGCTAACTGAACAAAGAAGCCCAGGGTGCCGCTTGACGAAGGGTGTGACTTTTGCTAACACCTCCTGTTACCATGAGCGGAGAAACTGCATTATTGTCAGCAAACACGAATGTACATGCCTTCTTTTAAATGATTACCACGTGCATTCAATGCAAGAATCCTCAATCCGCGAAGACCCTCAAGTCACGGTCATCAAGTAATAGTAGATAGAGAAAACGTGGGGATTATGCTATTCCATGATCGGTGGGGTTAGGCCTGACCCAAATATCTAACCAAAATCGATGAAGTCAAACGCTGCAAAGGAAAAATAGGCCTGTTATGCCATAATATTGTATCCGGAAACCCTACAGGGTAATCTGTATTTACCTCCTCCCCAAAGATTCCGGCTCAACAGCCCCGGTGACTCGTTGGCGACTTCGAGACTCAGGAACGAAGTTGAACTTTTCAAATATAAAAACTCCTGAGGCTCCAATCTTTTCCTTCCCTTTACTTCGCTTCAACGCTCCGTGCCATTCTCTCTTCTTCAAACTGAATCATCGAAGAAAGCAGGAGGTCCTTTAGACATACACCGTCGCCGATATACAAGCCTCTTTGGTATCGATTACACATCTTTGTATACGAAATGAGAAATTTCGAGACCGACGTTGCTGCACGGGATCACCTAAGAAGCGCGTGGAGAGGGGGGACTTTCGAGTCTGCGCTGCCCATGACTTAGACCCAATTTTTGCAGACGCCTTACAATATTGGTCCCAAGAAGCTAGCCCAGAACTGAGCGTTTGTCTTCCCCATGAATTCCAGGGCTCTGAGGCTAAAAGAAGATGATGTAGGCTGTCTGGCAGCAAGGCCAGCAAAGAGAAGGAAAAAGAAAGAAAGGCAACCGACAAAGGTGTACCAGGGCACTTTCAGCCGTAACATAGAGAAATCTGATAATTGAGAGCCAAACGCTGCTGATTGATGACGAGACGTTTTCTTGATGGATGTTTAAGCCCAATTACTCCGTAAATAAAGAATGCCGACTCCGGGAAAAATGCCGAGCCTGGACTCGGCATTCTTTGTTTTGAGCAACTCTCATCTCCGCGCCACAATCCAATCGTGGATAATGGCCCGAGTGTTCACAGCCCTTCGTAGCACAAGAGCTGAGCGGGTAGGATCGCCAACCGGAGATCTCATGGATTTCTTCCTGGAGCCGCCTCTTTCGGGGGCGCGAAGTGGTCTTCCGGTGCGGCTGCACTACTTAAGTTAAACGCGGGCCGATGAGTCGGCAAAATAGAAACCGAGAGCGCGGGGACACTTTTTTCATTCTTTTGGCGGGCGGGAATTTGATCACTCCAGATTATCGATCCGCCAGCGAGCAACCCTTTCTCTCTGGTTGATGGTGTTTTGTTTACCATCTGTACGCGTCCATTCATTGCTATACTCCCAGCTAATTCACACCGCGCTCTAGCAATAACATGCCAACTGAATTGGAGGAGGTATATCAAACAACCAAAACCACGCCCCCCCCCCCTCTCTCCCTTCTCTCTCTCTCCCGGGGGATTTATTTCCTTAAGAAAGTGGCTTCGACTTATATTTTAATTGTAGCTCGTCGAGTTCCTTCATCATGGGAACTCGCAGATCAGACAGATCGGTAAATAGCTCCCCCGCGACATCCTTCGCCCTATTGTCCGTGAACGGCAATGCTGAACCGCCTTAGCATGCGAGCATCTCGTCGGATACTCTACGTCCCAACCCTCCCTCTTTAAACGGCAGCAACTGTTACCAATTCGTGATCTTAAATTGCTTGCAAGGGACTATGCTGTATGTCCGAGCTCGATCATTTGGGTGGGACATAACATAGCTGACACCTTTGCACTCCGAATAGCCCATCGCGAAGAATGCGTTCACCATGTTGGTTAATCTTTCAGGGGACGAAGAGGTTTTGAAGTTATTAACTGAGGATGATGGCTTTTTGGAGACATTGTTGGTAAAAGTAACCGTATGTAGGTTACTGCTTCTGCAGCTTTTCCCCCGGCCCCTCCCCCCCTGGGCGTGGTCTTTGGGCTGACGGTGTTTGAGCAACAGAACGTGAAGGAGCCAAATGCGAGTGAGATTACGATGCTTCTTGCCAACATGGCTAAGTCCGATAGCATGAAGCGAATAATTAGCCTAACCCGAGCCGTGCCATCCGGAGCCTCCAAGTCTTCGAAGGCGATGGATCAGTTAATGGACTGCTTCGTCAAGGGCAATGAAGGTGGACTCAACAAGTCAAATGATACAAACTACGATTACCTCGCCTATTTCTTCGCAGATATTTCAAAGCACGAAGAAGGCCGTGCGTACTTTATCACGGAGCAGGAATACGACTCAGTCATTCCGATTACAAAGCTCACCGTTTTCACAGAGCACCGTAGTCACATCCGAAGAAAAGGCGTGGCCTCAACTCTTAAAAACATTGCATTTGAGATTTCTGCACACCCGAGCTTGTTGTCAGAGTCGCAGATTAATATCCTACCGTATATTCTGCTACCTATTGCGGGACCGGAAGAATTCGATGATGATGAAAGTGCGGCAATGCTCCCGGATCTCCAGCTTCTGCCCCCAGACAAGGAGCGAGATAGCGACCCTGAAATCATCACCACACACTTGGAAACGCTATTACTGCTGACAACCACCAAAGAAGGAAGAAAAATAATGAGAGATGTTCAGGTGTATCCCTTGATCCGGGAATGCCATTCCCATATCGATGACCCAAAGGTGATGGAAGGGTGTGATCGATTGGTGCAAGTCCTTATGCGCGGCGAGGAAGGCGACGAAGATAAGGACGCAGAGGCGATGGAGAGAGCAAAGGCAAAAGCTTTAGAGGAGGCGCCTCGGGAAGACGACGAAGACAAAATTGTTGAAATTTTTTGAAAATAGCAATTAAAAAAGCTCCAATCCATGTGTGTTTATACTCTGTACGGAGTACGGAGTACTCCTAACAGAAAAGAAGTTCTCTTTACCTCCCTCGTAACAACCTCTCTCCTGCCAAGCACTGCGCATGCAAGTTGGTTCGGCTGATCCGCAGCGGCTAAATTTTTACCGTGTTCGCGTGGGGTTCCGCGTCGAAAGTCAATTGAACCGCTTCCGCTTCAACATCTAGTCGCGAGTACGGAGTAAACCACCACTCTGGGAGCTCAAACAAACCGAAACGTAGCAAAAGGGCAAGCGTTGGGATGAAAGGACGGCCGTCATGGGTACTCCGGGCCAATTGACATGGTAACTATGAAACCGCGCGCTCATCAACATTAAATCTACTTTTGGCTCTGTCAAGTGAACCTATTATCTAACGCGAACTCGCTGAAAAGGAATACATCTCGATTCCGATAACACACCCAGTAGTCCAGCCATGTATCGCCGAACTCCTTCGAACCGGGTACCACCCACCCGAGCTTATTCTACGCGTCGAGCGCGTGATTGAGGTTCCCATCATACTCGCATCGCGCCAATTTATAGGTGACACGGGACCTTCGGTATCATGCTCGTTAGTGGTACCAGGCTCGAGTGAAGAAGAGCGAATCCCGACACGCAAGACATATCGCATTTTCCTAAGCGATGGAGAGCTGGTTATCCAAGCGCTGTTAAAGCGGGAATTACACTACTTCGTGTCCACCGGTGAGGTTGTGCCGGGAGCGGTTCTTGGGCTGGAGAGATTTGAAATAAAGAAGGCGGAAAGGCTTTCTAGCGCTGATGTCCATGCGAAAGATAAAAGTGAAAGCTTAGGCCAGATTGTCTTCCTCGCAGTGGAAAGGTTTCGGGCGGTTGATGGAAGACTCAGACCTGACCAAAAAATTGGCGAGATCCAAATTGGGATGCCAATTCTGAAGGTAAAGATGGTGGCCAAAAAGCGAGACAGAGATGAGCTGGACGCCAGTGAGCCGTTGCGGCCAAAGAAGGCTAGGCTTCCTGATCCTGATCAAAAATCCGACACTTCGAAAGATATATCTCCGCCACCAAAAGCCCAAGTTCAGGACAGAATTTGCAAAACCGAAGAATTTTACGAGAGTATCCTGGACGATGCAGAAATGCTTGCTTCAGGCTTTCTTTTAGAAGACACACGCGAGCAATCGCCGGGACTTAGCGCTAGGGCATCGACTTGTGAAGCAGCTGAGGGTATAAGGCCCCAGACTCCTGGAGCAGCAGACGTCACCATGTTTCCTTTTGAAAGCACATGGCTGCCCCCCACCAAATCTCAGGCCAAAACACCCAATGCCCACGCACAGCCTATCCAATCTTTGTCCATTACTCGTCCCCTCAACCTCTTTCTTGTCCACGAGCTTCTCTATCCGCTTCGTGCCCTTCCAAAACGCAACTATATTGTTGACGTCTTCGGCGTAGTATCCTGGACCTCGCCCAACACCATAACTCGCCGCAACATGCCTCCCAAGCGCGATCTACGCATCGTAGATTCAAGTTTCACCTCCCATCCCCAGCGCAACCAGCACCCTAGTAATACCAAGTTAGAACTCGGTATATCGGTGAGCGTGTTTGTTGATGCGGAGCGATTCTGTCCACCCGTCGGAACAGTGGCATTATTCAGGAGTCTGAAGACCCACGAGTGGGAAGGTATAAGCTTGAATGCGTACGAAAAGGATTGCGGAGGCGGGAAGGAATGGTTTACTTGTGACAAACGGAAGCTCGAAGATGCTGGATACGATGTTGTGGGGATGAGGAAATGGTGGGAGCAATGGGATACAGAGAGGAAGAAGAAGCTTGAAGAAGACAGGCGCCGCTTTGAAGAAGTAGAAGCAAATAAACCCTCCTCATAACGCGGATATGAAGGTATCTCCGGAGGCAGGAAGATGATGGAATCATCGCAGCCCGTGTAACTGGGAACTGAAACTTGCAGGAATCCTATCCATTTCTATTTCAAGAAAACAAAATCATGTCGAAAATCTAATATTGACACTACTCTAATTTCATCTACCACTGTTGGTGTTAAACCTGAGGTAAACAATTTGCAGCCAACAGCAATTACTGGCCTGCAACAAGAGGGAAACTGTTTAGACAAGACCTGAACTGGACCAAACCAACAAGAACAACGTATCTTTTTTCTTTTTTGCTCTTTTCTTTTGAATATGAGGAAGGCATGTAGATGATTATGAAGGGAGGATAATGGGGGTTGGGATAAGTTGCAAAGTCCTTCTCTGGCACCAATTTCCACTGGCTTCGTCAAATCCTTATCTCCAATCTCATAATACCGTGCATTGCAAAAACATAATGATGTGACTTTCTATAAGGAAGCTCACAAAACAATGACCATGAACAGGTAATAAATATGAGCAATTTTCACAGATACTGATAATAACACAGAAACATAACAAACCAGACCAATCTGAAAAGAAAAAAAAAAAAAAAAAAAGGGTAGTTCGAGCAAAAAATATCAGGAACATCAACAATATTGTATTGAACTTAATCTGCAGGTTTGAGCGTAGCGGGGATCCGATCGTCGAAAATGTCTTCCCCAACTTCATCATTGTTGTTAGCCCATTCCCAGCCGAAACCAGGGACAAATTCTGCACAGTTCATAATCATATTCACACGTTCAAATTCGCGCCTAATGATAAAAACCGAGTCCTTGGAGATACTCTTTGCCAAGTTGTTGTTGGGGTTGAACGGATCTTCGATGGCGAGGAAGTTCCAGGTCCGAGTGCCGTCCTTGTTGAAAAAGCTGTAGTCCCAGCGCTTCGCCTCTTTGGAAATCAAATTTGGGTTGCGAATGGAGACAACGTCATTCTTCCAGTTAAACTTAGAATATCTAGTTGACCAGCGCCGGTTGCCCGATTCCACTGGGGAGTAGTAAGTGAAAAAGCCGCGGAGGAGTTCACCAGCTGACTGGCGGTTGGATGTCAGTACTCCCTTGCCAGCAACACGAGCAATTTCTTCAAAGTTATCCCAGAAGAATGTTTCATGTCCTTCGATCCATTCAAGATTCCGCATTCCAATGTTTGAAAGCTGCAGGTTGGGAATAACGGGTGGCGTTGCAACTTTCATCAAATAGTGAAGGAGCATGAGGATGTAGTTGAACGACGGCAAGGTGCCAGCCTTTGGATCATCGATCTGGCGAGCATGGGCCCAATACTTAATGAAAACACCCATTTCGTAGACTCGATCGTCACAAGCCCGATAGCATCGCAAAAGAGTCGTGGTTCGCATTTTCAAGGCAACGTTCTCGAAATGAATATTGTATAAAGGGATGCACTCGGAGGTTTCGTCCTCGCATTTCTCCTGGACAGTGAAGGCGATTGGCCCCTCCGGCTCCGTATACACGTTAAAACCTGCCGCAATATAAGCCGCCTTGAAAAGGCGTGGCAGCTCGGAGTCCAGGATGGAAGGGACACCTCTAGTGACAACAGTCAGGTCCATCTCGGAAGAAGGGATTGCAAAGCCAGAGCAGAAGCTGCCGAAACAATGCAATGCCACGGTAAAATCGCTTGTTGGTAGGCCTAGATCAGCCATACGTTCCCTGATAGCCCTAGCTGCAATCTTGACCAACTCAACCCGAGTGACCTCGCGTTCCTTTAATTGACCATCTGACATTTCCCACTGCGGAATGTGAGACCAAAGATATTCCATGTAGTCCGTCTTAGTCTTATTATATTGGATTCTGGCAACCATGGTGCGGCTGGTTTTGCGTGGAGGATCTAGGACGTCATGCTCAGCTGTAGGAGAAGGCCAATCGACATTGTAGCGAGCCAGCTCATACTTTTCAACGGTGGAAATCTTGGGCGGAGTAAATCTCCCAACGATGACCCGACGGACGATGGAATTCTGGGTGTCAAGCTGGGCACTTGCAAGCTGCAGACGAGCATGGATTTCGGGTGGGAGGTTCAGGAATTCTTTCTTTGAGGCTTCCGAAACGTAAGCAATGGTCCCACGCCCTCCCCATTCGGTAGTCTGCTCAGGCTTGGGAACACGGGCCAAGCGAGTCATTGCCATGTTGGACAAGTGTGGCAGAAATGCATCAATTCCAAAATATGATAGGAGAAAGAAAAATAAATAAATAAATAAATAAAAATAAAAGGCTTTGGAAACAAATTTTGGTTGATAAGAAGTAATTTCGTGCAGTTTTAAGCCTATTGCAGCAGAAAGGTGGTAACGATGAGTAGAAGAGAAAAGTTAGAAGGTGGCTGGGAAAGGGATAAAGAAAGACCACCACTGTGGGAATCTTGCCGAAGATATACCTGGGGTTGGAGGGTAGGGCTTCGACTGCCTTCAATAACACAAGAACGAGCACGCAATCCTCGATGTCAAAGGTTTCCTTGCGCTGACACAAGATTAGCTAAGTCCGTCGGCCGTCTCCGTGAGTCTGAAGTCCGAGCATCCTAAAATGCCTTGGTATAGGAAGGTATATCTCTAATGCGTTTCAATGTTTCGCTGCATACAATCCTGAGATACGTCTGATAGCCTTGGGTCAATGTAGAGAGTTGGTATCGTGTGCGGGTTTCCGCGCCACTACGTTCCAATCCTGAGCGATATCCATGATTCACCGTTGACCATAAGGGCGTGATTGGAGTCTTATTTTCCACGATTTGAAATAATAGCTTAATCAGGGCCCCTTCAGATTCATAGGGCATACGGGTATAGTGGCACAAGCTCCAATGTATGTACATCAAATAGAGTGTTTACTCCGGTTTTCCAGTCTCAACCACCCTGGCCTTGAGTATCAACGGAGAGGAAATAAACCTGGGAAACACGTCCGGGAGGAGTGTGGCATGGATATATAATCAGATCTCTCATAGCTCTGATAAGCCCTGGTTTGTTGCCACAGCGAATGCAAAAAAAAATTATGTACAGGGTACGGTCTTTTGGATTAGACCATGCTCCCGTTTCTGAGGATCTGAATCCCCTGTCATGTTGAGAACTAGGAGAATGATGATATTGTGCCATCAATGCACAGAAGCACATATCAACAAGGCCTATAACATATGTGCCAAAACAGCAGTGCTCCCTCTGTCCAAGAACGACCTGCCAGCCATCAAATGTAATCATATCTCTGTAGATATCTCTTAAAGCTGTGAAATTTGGACCTTGAGGTGATGAACTGACGTTGTGATTCATGGGGAATAGTTATTCCGTGCTGCTGAGCTTCGTATGCACTAGACCATTCTAGGTTAGTAGTTCAGGAAACTGCTTAGTAATTAAGGCATCTGACTAAGCTGCTCATCCTGAAGCGCTTCCGGCCCTGACCTCATTGCTGCTTCTGTTTTGCTCGTCCTGCTCAGCGCTGGCTCGGGGGATTCCTGGAGCATCTTCAACCATCCTGCTCAAGTGTTCTTCAGCAGCGCCTGAATCTGCATTCTATGCCTGGTCTACATTATTCTTTCTATTCATCAAACCGTCGTCCAGCATCAATCCTCAACTGACGGAGTACAATCTCATCCATTGGCCCTCTAGCAAAGCTCTCTAGGCTGTCCCAAGAGAGATCGAGTTCCACAGATAAAATATCACTATATTCTCTGGACTCTTGTCTTTCACATACTCGATTTCCTCTATCCCCATATCATGAGCTCGGTCCCGCCAAACGGGCCGCCCGGTCGAGTACCTCCAGCTGGTCGTGCTGGGCCTTTTATCAAGGTTCGCCGTCCAAAACCCGCAGACCCGCTAGTGCGTCCAAAAAAGAGACCGATTCCACGCTCTCAGGGTCTGGCGCCGGGTGGTGCCCCTGTTGCCAATGGACAACCACGCCCTTCGCCACAACTTCCTCCGAAACCTCAATCAAATACCTCCACCCCGAAGCCTCCTCCCATCCCTAGTGCAGATGATATGACTGTGAATGGCTTCAGCGGGCCCCTCCTTTGTCAGAATTACGTCGATTTTGCATTGGTCACTACCAAACGCGCTCTGAAGGAGGGCTTAAAACACCATGTCGCCAAATTCTTGTCGAAAAAGAATATTGATCCCAGAGACGAATCGCAGTTTACACGTCCAGTCCGACTCCAACGTCGTGACCCGAGAGCTACCACTGAGCCGCCGCCGATCGAAAGACAACAGAACGCGCAGAAGGGACGAGAAGGAAATCTAACTGAGGCCGAACGAGAAGCGTTAGAGGCCAAGAAGGCTGCTAGAGCCAAAGAACGCGAAGAGAATCTGGCACAAATTGCCCCTTCAGCTTCTGGTGGCCCTAAACGCACAAACGTCCCGAAACAGCGCATCCAGCAGGTGTTTAAATCGGAGATGACACCCGAGGAGATCGCGAAAGCTCGCGTAAAATACGAAGAAGCGCTCCCTTGGCACTTAGAAGACTTCGATAATAAGAATACCTGGGTTGGTAAATACGAGGCCGCCATGTCTGAGACCTATGCGATGTTTGTTCTAGAGAAGAATGGCAAGCTGCGGCTGGTTCCAATAGACAAGTGGTATAAATTTAGTGGGAAAAATCCTTTCAAAGCTCTTACCATTGAAGAAGCTGAAAAATACATGTCCAAGAAAATTAAAGATCCACGGTGGTTCATGGAAAAGGAGCAGGAGCGAAAGCAAGAGCGGGAATTAGCAGACTTTGCGAAACAACGTAAAGTTTATACGGGAAGAGTGGTGTCTTCTGGTGTTGGAGAAGGTGGCGAAGGCGATGATATGGACTTTGAGGAGGACAGATTTGCTGATGATGAGGAACATGTTGTGGTGGAAGAAGATGAGGAAGCCAAGCTGGCGGAGAAGCGTATCAAAAAAGACCAATTAAAGGCTAACGTATTCAATTTAAGGGATGAAAGGGATTATGAGGCCGAGGAGAATCAGGAGCGAAGAGAGAAAGAGGCGCTTAAGGAGTTTGGAAAGAAGGTTCGGAAAGCCCTCCAGCGGCGCGAAAAGAACTATGACTATAGTAGCGGGTCTGATGCCAATCCCTGGTCTGAAGATGAGGTTAGTTCGCTCTTTCGCACCATAGTATCCTTATCAAGTCATCCTTGTCTAATTATTTTAATCTAGAGTACGGACGAGTCTGAAGCCGAACGAATTAGAGCGGAGGACGAGAAGAAGGAAGGAGAAAAATCATCTGCGCCCCAAACAAAGGGTACAAGTACACCATCTGATCGGGGAAAATTCACAGATGCGTTGAAAAAGGGTCCCACGCAGCAAATGAAGAAACGCCCCGGTTCACCGAACGTTTCCGACGCCAGCGGCACGGATACTCCACGCAAGAAAGCCAAGAACAAACACATCGCCCAGCCATTGTCTACAACAGCCTCCAAACCTGGTTCGAGACCCATGTCTCCTGCACCGTCGACCACTACTTCCGCTACTCAACGAAAACAAGATGCCACAAAACCAGCTGGGAAGAAACGCATGCGGAGTGGAACCGGCGGTGCGGGCTCTGGTAGTGACGCAGAGCGAGGCGCCGCCTCCGGTGCAGAAGTGAGCGACAGCGCAGTAGCAAAGAAACTGAAAATCAATCCTCCCGGCGTGTCTTCGAAGAGGGGCACTCCAGCCGGTTCCCGCGCCGGTAGTCCTCCTGGTACGTTCATCATCATCGGCATTCCTTTCCCCTAGATTCCCTCCCATCGCCTATCTGTCTAGAAGTCCTAACAAAAATTCACCTCTTTCTAGTCCGCCCATCTACCCCCGCAACAGCCACAACTGTAGCCCCAGTCGGATCCTTCCCCACGCACGCCGAGGTCCACGCTGCCATTCCTCCTACCGGTATTTCATCGGGTGATCTGCTCAAACTCTTCCGTCACCGTCTAGGCGATATGAAAACCAACTATCCGAAATTCATCGCCATCGTCAAAGAGGTCGGCGTGTTCGCTAAGGAGGATAAATTACTGAGACCAGCGCCCAATTTCAAACCTTCTGGTTCTTGAAAAAGAGCATTAAAAAAAAAAAAAAAAAAAAATTAAAATTAAAATAAAATAAAAAGAGATAAATAGGAAAGATGCTTTATCTACTCCTTGCTTTAAAATGAACTTCCTTTGCGCTAATGGCTGGCATGGTGGACGCATCCTGCTATTAAGACATTTGTTTAAGGCCAATTCATGGACCAGTTATGCTATGATGTAATGTACGCATGTATTCGATTGATATACTCCGTACTATTGGGAGTTTGGGCGTTTTCACTTCGCAGAAAAGTAGCTAGTCACCATAAAGCTACCTTACCTATAATGCTCGAAAAGCCGATTGAACCACAGTCAAGATGGGAACAACTGTATTTTTAATGGATTAGCGGTTTTCACGGGATATTCCTATATGTATATTGAATTCTTGCTGAGCAATGATGAGGCTTTGAAAATCAGGGAACTCTTTATTTATCTATCTCAGAGCATGATCTCATTCTCATTACACAGGCGTTCTTCAACAGTTCAAAATCACATAGACACTTAATCAAACACAGTCAAAAAACATGTTCCAGATCAATGGCAAAAGGGGAGCATTCAGAAAAATAAAGCTGTAGGAAAGAAACATCGATAGCGCACATGTACCATAATTTTTGTATTAAGAAGCTCTATATTCATACGTAGTGCAGGGAATATTAAGAAAGGTGGAAAAAAAGGGGGTGTTGGGGCATGTAATCAAAAATTACGAAAGAACTGGACGTCTTTGATGCTTTTAATTCCTAGCGTCCAAGGGGTCTTCGTATTTGTCCCAGTTAGCCAATACATGGCCGATGCGAGGAGAGTTGGTAAGTCGGTACACATCCTCGAAGTACTCTTTGGTGATCTGGAAAGGACGTGCAGTGACGTTGGGAATGTATTTGCCGATCAACTTGCTGGGATCGATGGTGGACTTATTAATCTTCTTGAGCAAGAAAGATCTGAAAGGTTTCACGCCAGAGCGAAGGAAGGTACTGTGGAATGGCACGTCGATTCCCTTCAGAGGGATTGTAGCGAAACCACGCTCAAGGGTGAGTGGCTTAGGCTTTGCTTCGGTTTGTTTTCTGCATTCCTTGATGATTTCGACGAGATGGGCTTTGACGTCTTCCAGAGACATGGTCTTCATCAACGCTTGGATGTCGATCTTCTGAGCCTTGAGAACATTAAGGACATTCGTAAGGCAGTCAAGAGCTCGAAGCTGTAAAACTATTAGTGCACTAGCTCAGCAACACGGGAGTACAAGGTGGACAAAAACATACATCTCCAGCACAAACATATTGCATGTTGGCGACGTTATAGTTGACAATCTCCAGTAACCAGCCACACTCCTGAGAAATATTCTCAACCACGTACTGAAGAGCCTGCTCGTTGAATGTCGGAGAGATGCGGCTTGGATTGACAGCACACATGGAATAGTTGGATCGACCTTGCTCATCACGTTCGACAGCCACCTGCATGGTCAATCCGCGGTAGAACACAACGGACACCAAACTCTCGATGGGCATAACGTCAGCAAGGGCAGCAAGGGCAGAGTATTCGCCAAGGGAGTGTCCAGCAAATGAACTGTCACGCTGAACCAAACCCTTGGACCGCATATCCTCGAAACTGGCTTTTTCCATGAGGGTCAGAGCAGGCTGGGTGAATTGTGTCGCGGAGAGGAGGCCAGATGGCGACCTATACGTGTAAGAAGTTGACTGTTCATTAACTTCCTTGAAAATCTTCTCTGACTTGATCGTGCCATCAGCGTTAACCGATTCGAAAGTCATGGACATATAGTTCTGTCGTATTTTCTTTCCTCGTGGGCCACCAAAGTGAATGGTCAATTCACGCGGGTTATTTTTGACGATGTTGATGATAGAGAAACCATAATTCTCCAGGAAATGCTTGTCGGCGCGGTCCCAGACCTCTTGCGCAACAGGACTCGAGTTGTAGAGATCCATACCCATACCTTGCTCTTGAGAACCCTGGCCAGTAAATACATAAGCAGAGACGGGTTGCTCAACTTCAGCCTCACCAAGCAAGACCTTGTCTTCCGTTGCTTGGTTGCTCGTCTCGACCTTGATGATCTTTCGTCCGGCAATCATACCCACATGCTGAAGCTTGACAACAAGGTCATCATTGGGAAGAACCATACCAACAAGGGAGGCATGGAAGCTGCGAACACGACCAATATTGTTTTCAGCGGCCCAGGTTTCGACTAAACTTCGGACTGCAGCACTAGTATACATGCCATGTGTGATGGTCCCAGGCAGATTTGCGTAGCTAGAGAATACACGAGAAACGTGGATGGGATTGTAATCTCCCGAGACGCGTGCATAGGTTTCATTGGATGCAGGAGCTTTCAGGATAAGTGGTGTCTTGCCGCTAAGTGGGATGGGATTCTCGAAGTGAACGGGCTGCTCGATAGACTGGCCGTGGCGCTGCAAGTAGTCAATTACAGGATTTCCATGGGAAGTTCCAGCTTCGTATTCGACCGACGCAACCTGGATGATTTCCTTGGTTGGCAGTTCTAAGAGCACTTGACCCATTGTCTCAACGCTATGGAAGACAGTCTTGTTCTCGAATCGAACGGTACTCTGAAGGCGGAAAGTGAGAGTTTGCCCGAGAAGCTCCACATCAGGGTCATCAAGGCGGAACCATTCCTTAGACTGAAGAACCGCGACATCCTTGGTTGACGCCAGATGGACCTGCATAGGCACCTCCTCTTTGCGCTGGAATGTCGTCTCGTAATCGGTATACGTGCCTCTGTAAAGGAACTGACTCGTGACATGCATTATCGCCTGGCCATCTCGCTTGATTGTACCACAGACCTCAACCATCTTTCCGGAGTCTTGGTTGATAATCGCATTGATCTGAGCAGTAGTCTCCAAAACGTCGCCAACTTTGATTGGCTCCGCCCCAGGAACCATTCGAAAACCATTTGACAAATGCACCAACTTCAAAAGATCTCCATCAATGACGCGAGGGAAAATTGGCTTTGTGATTGCTTTCCATCCAACAACAATAGCGAAATCCATAGGAGCATATACCTCCTTGCCCGGGCGGTCAACAAAGGCTTCACCAGTATTCCCGACAGCATGCACGAAGTCAGCAATATCCTTGGTGACCACGGTTGTGGATCCTCCATCAAACACGCTGGTAGCAGGCGTAGCAAATGGAACAGATTTCTCGGCAAACCAAATACGATAATAGAACTCCTTGATGCGATCATTGCGGCCTTCCATTATCTCTCTGATCGGTGCATAGCCAGTTTCCGGATGATAAACGAATTGGAACACCAGTGGAACAACGCCATTTTCGGCCGTCCTTCCCTCGTAGAGCGTCAGAGAGATCTCATTTTTATTGCTCATCCGGACTTCAACGGTTTTCACTAATTTACCAGACTGGGAGGGTTCTCGAACGCTGATAACCGTCTTCTGTGGCGTATCCGGGTTGGCAATTTCAATATACATTCCACGTGTAGGAGCAAGAAGGCGCTTCATTGGGTTAGATTGGAAGCGATGGCCTTGGATGAACACCTCGGCGGTGAAAAAGGCGTGTCTCCAGGAATACGCTTTTCCGGCAAGGAGATGGAGCCAACGCTCAAGATCAGGCAGATTTGCAGAAGGAGAGGAAGATAGCCTGTAAGAAATCTTTGTCGAGTCTTCGGAAACGGTCAGGCCGTCGATGTCACGGTCATCCTCGTTTTCAAGAAGCAAGCGACCGCCGAAATATTCCACAACAGGGACGTTAGATTCTTCTCCGCGATAGACATCGCGGATGAGACCCTTGATGTGATTGCGGTGAATACCCTCAAGAATGTCTTTAACCGGCTCGTCGACGCTATTCGAGTATTTGGCCGCCATCGGGCCTTGCAAGATACAAACGCGGCCGACATCTTGACCCACGACAGCCTCAAGATCTTCAGACTGCCAGAGGGAATCCTTCTTGAACCAGAACTCAAAGTTTTCATCGAGTGCAGGGACAAATGGGACTGGCTTTTGACCTCGTCTTTGACAGAGCAGCAAGAAATGTTGCACATCTTGGGCGCTAATGAGTTGGGAGGAAGCCTCGGGGTATGCCTTGAGAATATCATTAACAGCGGGGTATGGCTTATCGAGTTGAGAGTAAGATTGAAGCAGAGATGCTTGTCCTTCGGTAGATGTGAACCGTTCTTCGACACGACGGATAAAGTCGCCGGTGAGGCGTTTCAAAGAGTCATCAATCCATCGTGACTGGTGCTTCACATACATCAGATCAACCATACGGTGGACGACCTCCGCATAAGTCATATCTTCAAGATCGACGGTATTTCCGGAGGAGTCACGACCGAACCAAACCTTCTGGAAGTCGTCATTCAACTTTTTGATGATGTAGTCGCGATTCTTCTTAAGTTCGGGAAGACGCTTGGCTTTGTCCAGAGCAAAGATTCTCTTGTCCATCTCAGCCCAGAGCAAAACACCACGAGTTGCAAGCTTGTGGATTGGTTCGCCCATCTCAGATCGCACCGTGATGACACCGCCAGCAGGGCCATTATAGGTCTTCTCCCACTCACTGTCATCGACACCCGGGGCAGCAGCAATAGCTTCCTTCGCCGCCTTAGAGGTGTGTGCTTCCTTCGCTGTCATCATACGACTGCCAAACATGCATCCATCAAAGGGCATGGAAGGATAGCCGAACTGTCTAGACCAAGTACCGGTCAAATATGGGTAAGTATCTTCAGCGCCACCAAAGCCGCTACCGGCAACTAATACTATATTATCACATCGACGGATACGGCTGTACATCTGCAAGATCGGCTGGTGGAAATCCTCAAAGGAATGGTGACCACCGCCGCGACCACCAGTCCATTGTAGAATAACTGGGAAAGTTGGGTTGGCTTTGGCGATATTAATGACCTGCTGGATAGCCTCCATGGAACCGGGCTTGAAGCCAATGTGTTTGATACCAAGGGTCTCGATATATTCGTTTGCGACTTCAATAGATGGAACACCGGCACCAATCGTGAGACCTTCAATTGGGACTCCATCAGCGCGGAGTTTGCCGATCAAGGGTATCTGCCAACCCATCGCACGGGGATTGACGTAAATTAAGTTAACAGTGATACCACGGCCGGGAGGAATTGCTTTCTCGATTTTGTGCAAAGCCTCTGTCATAGTTTTGGCATTGTAATAACCGCCCCCAGCAAGCTCAATCTGGTAACCAGCGGTCATGGTGGCAGCAACGAAATCCCACGGGACGGTGGTGGGTGTCATACCAGCAACCATGACAGGCGGAACACCCAGAAGCCTACTCATCTTGGTGTCGACAAACGTTTGACCGACAGAGGTTTTGACCAAACGAGGACCAAATTCTTTGACCCAATTTACCGCATATTTCACCGCGTGCTCCTCATCTCGATCAAAGAGCTCAGGTTTATAGCCAACTTCAGCGTTTGTACCGTCCATGGATCCTGCGAGAATGACTCGAACTCCGGTACCATCCTTGTTGCGGTTGGTCAAAACCCCAAGACCTGAAATACCGCCAGGACCGAAGTCAACGATATGAGTAGCATTCTCGAATACGGTGGCGTTCTCCCAGTTCACAGGGTCACTTGTGATCATGCGAACCAGCGCGGGAACAACATCTTTATCCCCACTTTGCCGCAAGTCAACACCTGTATTGGTATCGTAAACAGGAATGCGAAGTGAGCTTGCGGGGATTTGGATGTCCTCGAGGTCTTCTGCAATAATATCGAAAGCGGAGGTGAGGTACTTGCTGTGGAATGGCGCCGTAATGGGCAAAAATCTGTTGACAAAGCGGACTTTGCGCTGGGTGAAGGGCACCCGGTTTTGATCCAATCCAGTGGGGGCTTTGACTTTTCGGAGTCGCAAGTTCAAACCGTAGAGGGAAATTGGAGGACCGGTAACGACGAAATTCCGGGCGCTATTAACCAGAGAGATGGCAATGTGGCGGTCTTTGGGCAGGTGCTGATTAGTCGCATCGATGTGCTCTTGAACGGCTGCGCGGGGCAAGTCACGAATGGACAGCATAGGTGTTGGGACTCCTTCTCCGTGTTCAATCGAGTCTTGGAGGGTAGAAGGAGCCAATGACGTCCGTGGATAAGCCTGCTGGCTACGCAATCCAATCCAGAATAGCATCGTCAAGGCATTCTTGGCGGCCTTTCCAAAAGACTCCCATGTCGTTGCGGTTGCAATTACCGCAGCCGTGACGATACCCTGAGAGTGACCGGTGGTACCGCTGAACCGTTCCAAGATCTCACCAGGCTGCTTGCCCATTGCCTTGCAGGTGGCCATGTAATGAGCAAGTTGCACCAAACCGATCAACGGGAGACTGACGGGTGCTGACACAAGGTAATCAGTATCTGGCTGAGTGTCACGATCGTGAAGCCACCGCAGGATGTCCATTCCTTTCGAGTACTGTTTGATCGCGTCGGGGTCCCGAGCCAAGGTTTGAAGTAGCTCAGCCGATGACGAAATCAAATCTTCCACGAAAGAAGGATAGGTAGAATAGATTTCCCGAAGTTCGTCGAAATACTCTTCGATGTTGCCTTGTCCGCCGTACACACTGTACAATGTTGCAGTACCATCAGCGGCAGCCCTGAGTAAAGCTGACTCGTGAGGTTTTGTGGGCCTGGCTGCAGACGCGCGGGCCGCGTAGTAAGCCTCGACGACCAGCAGCTTTTTGGCGGTGATACCCGGCAGAGAGCCAGCGACGGCATGCACGTCGTTTCCTCGCATGAACGCCCGCTCGAATTCGTTCAGAGCCAGCTTAAGCAGGTCTATGTATGAGCCTTGGGCGTCATCTTCGCCTTCCTCCACCTGTCGCGCAACGAAACCGAGATATCTAGCGACGAGTTCAGGAACAGAAGATGGCTCATCATCCTGGGCGAGCTCGTCTGTGGGTTCAGGGAGGGACGCGGAGAACGCATCTTTGAGCTGTGATGCATGGAAGTGGAGGGAGGTTGGGACGAGAAAGGAGAATTCGAGAGACCCGTGGGAGAGGAAAAGAGGCCTCAGGGACTGCGAGGAGCGGGGTGTGTTGATGCCCGTCTGCGGGCCCGTAGAAGTGCCGTACATGGTTTAAAAGTTTTAAGAATAGAAGCGCCGTCGAGGTATCTCTATATCATCTAGGGTTGCCGGTCAGCAAAGGGAGAAAAAAATAAAACAAAAAGCAAAAAGAAAAGAAAAGAAAAGAAAAGAAAAGGGTCCATCAGAGAAGCATTGTCGTGCTGAGCATTTCGCTAGGCAGCTGCAGTCTGCTGAAGAAGGGTCAGGGAGTCCACATACCAACTGTTGTTGAAGCAAGCACGCCAGCACCTCGATTTGGCTGGGGAGGTCCTCACAGTCAAGTGAGAATCAGTCGAAGCCGTAAGAATAACCACCAGAGGCCGGGATAGAGAGCGATGTTGCGTGGGTGTGAGGGGTGAGATGTCGTTGGGAGGGAAGAAAGGGATGTGACCGTGGTGGTGGTGGTGAGGGATGTGGTTGTTGGTTGCGGTTGAGGTCTTGGTGGTGGTGGACCGGGGCGGAGAAGGGCAATTGCAACTATTAAATTCCTATCTTGCAGCAAGAACGAAGCAGAGAAGCGAAGGAAAGCAGAAAGAGACGAAGACGGCGGAAGAGAGCAGCAGAGGTGGGAGATGAGGAGGGAATGAGGGACGACCGGTCCGTGTGCCCGAACAAGCAGCTCGCTCCTTGGGTCCTGACAAGCACAACAAATTTTTGTTTTTTCACCGCGCTGGAGGGCCTTTTTTTTTTTTTTTTTTTTTTGGGCAAATTGGAGCTTGGTCGGGCTGGGGGCAGTGGTCTGGGTCCCTGGCGGTGCCGAGCGCCCGCAAGGTTGGTTGAGTTCAAGGCAGCTCTGATACGGCCTAGCGCCGTACCGTTGACCCCAAAGAATTCAAAACGGTTGGGCGGGAGCGACGGACGCGCGCTTACATTACCGTACCGATACCGTCCCCTGCTGCGGCTTCACGTACTGTACCTTAGGAGTAATGACGTAACTTTGATCAAGGCACGGAGTACTCCGTCGACGAGGAATAAAAATAGTCGAAAAAGGAATTCAACACGAGAGAAAGGATCTCAGGGGTCGACCTGAACTCGGGCTGAAGGATTGGGGCTGGATCGCACATTTAGCCGGAAACGGAGAATTGTTCGCACGGGCAGTGCTGGGTGAGTGTCTGCGGTCGCGGTCGCACCGTAACTCACAGACGGGACTAACTCCCTCGTGTCCGCGATCTGGCTCCCATGATTGGTGTCCCGGCAACGGAAACATTCCTGCAGCCGCAGCCAGTGAGGGACGGGGGTCACCGCCCTGATGCCGCACTGGCGTCGCCGGAAGCTCCCAACCAAGGCCCACCAACTCGCCCCTTACGACCCGAATACCAAAAGTTACGCCGGCGCAGGCACACAGACCCAGCCAGAGATAAGATAAAAAAAAAGAGTTTCTGCTCGCCGGATAGATTACGACGTCCTGACCGTACGGAAAGTTACCAGCCTGGCTCCCCCCCCGGATCTGCGTATCAGCTCCTCGACGGGCATTTTTTTTCTTTACCTTGAAATTTCCATGGGCGAAGGCCTCATCAAACTCCCCAACATATCCTGCTCACCACCAGCTCTCTCAAGCGGGCGGACACTAACATCAGACGACATCACCAGGGCTCCTCTTTTTTTTTTTTTCTGTTGTTTTTTTGCTGCTTGTCAGTTTGACAGGCTTCAATTCGGATTAGTGATCCCTTTCCTGTCATCATCGGTCGTTTTCTGCCGTCCCAATTCCGTCTCTCTCACCTTCCCGAAGAAAAGAACACCTCTCGTCTTGCACGGTGGTGTCCATCTGGTGAATCGTGCATCCTCTCATCCTCGCCCTCAAAGCTGTTTGACGCCTCACAGCATTAAAATCATACAAACTTTATTTACTCCTCTACCTCTCTCCATTGCGCTCGAATCTCCGCCCTCCTCTATCCGTCTAATCCTTACACATAATCACGAGAACCCCACGAGCGACTTCTACACCACATCTTCATCATGAGGCCCGAAGTTGAGCAGGAGCTCGCCCACACGCTCCTTGTTGAGCTTCTTGCATATCAGTTTGCTTCCCCTGTGAGATGGATCGAGACCCAGGATGTTATCCTCGCCGAGAAGAGAACAGAGCGTATTGTCGAGATTGGCCCGGCCGATACTCTCGGGGGAATGGCAAGGCGCACAATCGCCTCGAAATACGAAGCCTATGACGCCGCAACATCCGTCCAGCGACAGATTCTCTGCTACAACAAGGACGCGAAGGAGATCTATTACGATGTTGACCCTGTGGAGGAAGAACCGGAGGCCCCCGTCGCTGACTCCACACCGGCTCCGGCAGCTGTTGCTGCCATTCCTGCACAGGCTGCTGCCTCTGCACCATCACCCCCACCACCAAGTGCCGGGCCTGCTGCGGCAGTCGCTGATGCTCCAGTCTCGGCCCTTGACATAGTGAGAGCTTTGGTGGCACAAAAGTTGAAGAAAGCTCTCCTCGACATTCCACCTACCAAGGCCATCAAGGATTTGGTTGGAGGTAAGCTGCATATCACTCTCAATGCACTCCCTGTTTCCGTGGCTGACGCCGAGACTCGGCAGGTAAATCTACTCTTCAGAACGAGATCCTTGGTGACCTAGGCAAAGAATTTGGCTCGACGCCAGAGAGACCAGAAGATACCCCAATAGATGAGCTCTCTTCTGCACTCCAGGCCACATTCAATGGTCAGCTTGGCAAGCAATCCACCTCACTCGTGGCCAGATTGGTGTCTTCAAAGATGCCTGGTGGATTCAATATCACTGCCGTCCGGAAATATCTCGAGACCAGATGGGGACTGGGACAAGGCCGCCAGGATGGCGTCTTGCTGCTTGCACTAACCATGGAGCCTGCTTTGCGTCTCGGCTCAGAAAAAGACGCGAAAGCATATCTCGATGACGTCGCCAACAAATACGCCTCGATCCAGGGCATCAGCCTTTCCACTGCCAGCGCCGGTAACGATTCCGCCGCTGGAGCCGGTGGAATGATGATGGATCCCGCCGCTATCGATGCGTTGACCAAAGATCAGAGAGCGCTCTTCAAGCAGCAACTCGAAATTATAGCGCGCTATTTGAAGATGGATCTACGGGCGGGTGACAAGGCGCATCTTGCTTCACAACAGTATCAATCTACCCTTCACGCTCAGTTGGATCTGTGGCAAGCTGAGCATGGCGATATTTATGCCTCCGGCATCCAACCATCTTTCGACCCCTTGAAGGCACGTGTTTATGATTCATCCTGGAACTGGGCACGGCAAGACGCTCTTAACATGTATTTTGACATCATCTTCGGCCGCCTGAAGGTTGTGGATCGAGAAATCGTCAGCCAATGTATCCGCATCATGAATCGTTCCAACCCCCTCCTTCTCGATTTCATGCAGTATCACATTGATCACTGCCCGACGGAACGCGGCGAGACGTACAAATTGGCAAAAGAACTCGGGCAGCAGCTCATTGAGAACTGCAAAGAAGTCCTGAATGCGGACCCGGTTTACAAGGATGTTGCGATCCCAACCGGCCCACAGACTATTATTGACTCCCGCGGTAACATCAATTATGAAGAAGTCCCTCGTCCAAGCGTCCGGAAACTTGAACATTATGTAGCGCAGATGGCTGAAGGTGGTCCGATCACCGAATATAGCAATCGCACAAAGGTCCAGAATGACCTGCGGAATGTGTACAAACTCATCCGCAAGCAGCACAAATTATCCAAGTCATCTCAGCTTCAATTCAATGCTTTATACCGGGAGGTTCTTCGTGCCTTGGCCATGAATGAAAATCAGATCATCCCTCCGGAGAATGGGCACTCAAAGAAAGGCAACCGCAGTGGCTCGCGCTCGCCAGTTAATGGAGGGCCCACGAAACCGGGCAAGATTGAGACGATTCCTTTCCTGCATTTGAGGAGGAAGAAGGCTCACGGTTGGGAATATAGTAAGAAGCTAACCGGCGTTTACCTTGATGGATTGGAGTCTGCTGCTCGTTCTGGCCTTACTTTTAGTGGGAAAAATGCACTGATTACCGGTGCTGGTGCTGGTTCCATCGGTGCAGCACTGCTTCAAGGTTTAATCAGTGGCGGAGCTAAGGTTGTCGTCACAACCAGTCGCTTCAGCCGTGAGGTCACAGAATATTACCAGGCAATGTACACCCGCTACGGCGCTCGAGGTTCTCAATTGGTGGTCGTTCCTTTCAACCAGGGCAGTAAGCAAGACGTTGAGGCTCTAGTGGACTATGTCTACGACACAAAGAATGGTTTGGGCTGGGACCTTGATATCATCGTGCCGTTTGCCGCCATTTCGGAGAATGGACGCGAAATCGATAGCATCGATTCCAAGTCAGAATTGGCGCACCGTCTCATGTTGACGAATATTTACCGCTTGATCGGTTCCGTCAAGACGCAGAAACAAGAACGAGGATTCTCCACACGTCCCGCACAGGTTATTTTACCCCTTTCGCCTAACCATGGAATTTTTGGAAACGACGGTCTCTACTCTGAGTCCAAGTTGGGCTTGGAAACCCTGTTCAATCGCTGGTACTCTGAGAATTGGGCTGATTATCTCACCATTTGTGGTGCTGTGATCGGATGGACACGTTCCACCGGTATCATGAACGCGAACGACACGATCGCTGAAGGCGTTGAGAAGCTTGGTGTTCGAACATTCTCGCAGCAAGAAATGGCCTTCAATTTATTGGGATTGATGGCACCTGCTATCGTCGATCTCTGCCAGAGCAACCCCGTGTTTGCAGATTTGAACGGTGGTTTCCAATGCATTCCCGACCTGAACGCCCTTATGGGCAAACTCCGAAGCGAGATGATTGAGACAAGCGCCGTCCGGCAGGCAGTTATCAAAGAGACCGCCTTGGAGAACAAGGTCGTCAACGGCGAGGACAGCGAAGCTCTTTACAAGAAGGTTGTGACCGAACCCAGAGCTAATATCAAGTTTGAATTCCCAGCTCTGCCAGAATGGAAGGATTTGGAGCCAATCAACCAGGACCTCAAGGGCATGGTCAACTTGGACAAAGTTGTCGTCGTGACCGGTTTCGCTGAAATCGGTCCATGGGGTAACTCCAGAACGCGTTGGGAGATGGAGGCCTATGGCAGGTTCTCTTTGGAAGGATGTGTCGAAATGGCTTGGATTATGGGCCTTATCAAGAATCATAACGGACCTATCAAGGGACAGCCATACTCCGGATGGGTTGACGCGAAGACCGGTGAGCCGGTGAGTGACAAGGACGTCAAGGCTAAGTATGAAAAATACATCCTTGAACACTCCGGTATCCGCCTCATCGAACCTGAACTCTTCGAAGGCTACGATCCGAATAAGAAGCAACTTCTTGAGGAAGTCGTTCTCCAGGAGGATCTAGAAACCTTTGAGGCTTCCAAGGAGACCGCTGAAGAATTCAAGCGCGAGCACGGCGACAAGGTCGAAATTTTTGAGATCCAGGAGTCCGGCGAATATACGGTCCGCTTGCTCAAGGGCGCGACCCTCCTCATCCCCAAGGCCTTGAAATTCGACCGTCTTGTTGCAGGTCAGATCCCAACTGGATGGAATCCCAAGAATTACGGCATTCCCGATGATATTATCAGCCAGGTCGACCCCGTTACCCTGTACGTTCTGGTGTGCACAGTCGAGACCCTCCTCGCCTCCGGAATTACGGATCCCTATGAATTCTACAAATATGTCCATGTTTCTGAACTTGGTAACTGCATTGGCTCCGGCATTGGTGGTTCCCGGGCTCTCAGGGGCATGTACAAGGATCGCTACCTGGATAAGGCTCTTCAGAAGGACATTCTCCAAGAGTCTTTCATCAATACTATGAGCGCATGGGTAAACATGTTGCTTCTCTCCTCCAGCGGTCCAATCAAGACTCCAGTCGGTGCTTGTGCAACTGCTGTCGAGTCCATTGACATTGGTTACGAGACCATTGTTGAAGGCAAGGCTCGAGTCTGCTTCGTCGGTGGGTTCGACGACTTCCAGGAAGAAGGGTCGTACGAATTCGCCAACATGAAAGCCACAAGCAACGCTGAATCTGAATTTGCTCTTGGAAGAACTCCCCAAGAGATGTCTCGCCCCACCACCACAACTCGTGCCGGTTTCATGGAATCCCAGGGATGTGGCATGCAGCTAATCATGAGTGCACAGCTTGCTCTGGATATGGGTGTCCCTATCTACGGCATCCTTGCCCTGACCACCACGGCTACTGACAAGATTGGTCGATCTGTGCCTGCTCCAGGCCAGGGTGTTTTGACCACCGCTCGAGAGAACCCCGGCAAGTTCCCGTCACCACTTCTGGATATCAAGTACCGTCGACGACAACTCGAACTTCGACGTACGCAAATCAAGCAGTGGCAAGAGTCGGAACTCCTCTATCTCCAGGAGGAAGTCGACGCGATGAAGGCACAGGCTACTGAGCCGTTCAACGAGAAGGAGTATCTGCAAGAGCGTGTGGAGCATATCCAGCGCGAGGCGATTCGACAAGAGAAGGATGCTCAATTTGCCCTTGGCAACAATTTCTGGAAGCAAGATTCTCGGATCGCTCCACTTCGTGGAGCTCTTGCAACTTGGGGCCTTACGATTGACGATTTGGATGTCGCTTCGTTCCATGGAACATCTACCGTCGCCAACGATAAGAATGAGTGCGACGTCTTGTGCAAGCAGATGCAGCACCTCGGTAGAAAGAAGGGCAACGCTCTTCTTGGTATCTTCCAGAAGTACCTGACTGGTCATCCAAAGGGTGCTGCTGGTGGCTTTATGTTCAACGGCTGCTTACAGGTTTTGAATTCCGGTCTTGTTCCCGGTAACCGAAACGCGGACAATATCGACAAGATTATGGAGAAGTTCGACTACGTCGTGTACCCCAGTCGAAGCATTCAAACCGATGGCATCAAGGCATTCTCCGTAACGTCGTTTGGCTTCGGCCAAAAGGGTGCTCAGGCCATTGGTATCCACCCCAAGTACCTTTTCGCCGCCCTAGACCAGGCTCAATACGCTGCGTACAAAGTGAAGGTTGAGGCCCGACAGAAGAAGGCGTATAGATACTTCCACAACGGCTTGATCAACAACAGCCTGTTTGTTGCCAAGGACAAATCGCCATACGATGATACTCTCGAGTCGAAGGTTCTTCTGAATCCGGATGCTCGTGTGGCTTTGAACGAGAAAACGTCGCAGTTGACTTACCCAACCAAGGCTCCTGTACACAAGACAGATCAGAACACCAAGGACATGGTCGAGTATTTGGCCAAGGCTACAGTGACAGCCAACACACGCGTTGGCGTTGATGTCGAAAGCATCGAAGCGATTAACCTCGAGAACGACACGTTCATTCAGCGCAACTTCACTGAAGCCGAGCAGAAGTACTGCCGTCAAGCCGCTTCACCCCAAGCGTCCTTCGCGGGGCGGTGGAGTGCAAAGGAGGCGGTGTTCAAGTCCCTTGGCGTATGTGGAAAAGGTGCTGGAGCAGCATTGAAGGATATTGAAATCATCAACGATACCAACGGAACCCCTGTTGTCACGGTGAGTTAATCCCAGAGCAAGATCTCACCTTGTCGCGTCCTGTTATGTGTACTAACTTGTCTCCCTAGCTCCACGGTGATGCCGCGGCGGCCGCTAAGCAGGCTGGAGTGGTAGGCGTTACTGTCAGCATTAGCCACAGTGATTCTCAGGCTGTAGCTGTCGCACAGGCTACTGTCAACTAAAATTTGGGACTCAGAACCTTATTTTTGTGGTAGTCGTTAGATGTGAATTGTTTTTCCACCACATAGCTCTTGATTTCCTCCCAACCCGAAACTTGCTTTACAACGATCAAGATCGCAGAATACTTGTTGCTTCTTTTTTTTTTTTTTTTTTCTGTGGTCTTGTGTGTTTTCTTTTTACAGCCCTATTAATTTCAATGATAATAATTTCCTTTTCTTTCTTTCCCATGTTTACTCTTGCATGATTGTTCCTAATTCTTCTGTGTTTGTTTATCCCCTGTATGTTGATGCTGAAAAAGTTGCCCTGTTACGTTAAGAGATGTCCCTGAGATTCCCAATGCATTAATATGTGTGATGATTCAATTCCATGCCGAAACATCTTCTACAATTCCCGGTTATGTGAGTAGATAGATGCAAGACACCAAAGTCCGCCTTCGTCAGAAGTCAATTCTGAGATATTTACAAACATCAAGGCCGGGGTATGGAGCAGTCACTCTCTTCTCCGGCGATTTCTTAGTCGGACAGCGCTTCGGGCTGCCTCGCTCGCCGTAAATGGCATGAATGACGTCAGGAACCGTTTAGTCCCAATTAGGTATAGCCCGATCCCTCTCAAACCTTACATAAGCCGCTCCCTTGCGATATCGGAAATTAACCACCAATAGGGTGCGGCTCTGAGCCGCTCGGCATGTCGCTTGCTGTTTTCCCGGCGCCAGCTTAAATCGCCGAAGTGGGATAATCGATGCCGAAGCTATGCGCGCGGGGTGAAGTTGTGATTTGGAGAAATGACTGATATCTGAAGCTGGGGAACGCCGCCGAAGACGGAGAGATGCTTGGAGACAGTTGGGGAATACATAAGAAGCCTTTTGGAGCAAAAAGAAGACGTCGATTTGGTTATAGTTTTGTTTGTGTTGATTTTGTTAAAAGTAAATTTGCTGAGTAGCAGCCATCTGGACATACATACCTACAGAGGATACGTGAACTATCTGTCCCTTTTTTTACTTTTCATTTTTATTCTTGAAAGGCAGACAGATAGATAAACAAAGAGGTGATCCAGATAAGAGAGGTCGGATTAGTGGACAAGGATGTCTTCCAAAACATACAACATTCTTACCCTCCCCGGAGACGGGATCGGTCCCGAAATCATGGCTGAAGCTATCAAGGTTCTCCAGGCTTTCTCCTCGCCTAATCTCCGCTTCAACCTGCGTAACGAACTCATCGGCGGCTGCAGCATCGATGCCCATGGCACACCCATTACGGACGCAGTCAAACAGGCCGCTCTCGAATCCGATGCCGTTCTATTTGCTTCCGTCGGTGGACCAAAGTGGGACTCTTCCCGAAGAGGTTTGGAGGGTCCAGAGGGTGGCTTGTTGCAGCTCAGAAAGGTGCTGGATGTCTATGGCAACCTGAGACCGTGCAGCACGGACGTATGCGCGAGTGTGAGTCGGGAATTCAGCCCGTATCGGACAGAAGTCGTTGAGGGTGTGGACTTCGTAGTTTTAAGAGAAAACTGCGGCGGGGCGTATTTCGGGAAGAAAGTTGAAGATGAGGACTATGGTGGGTTCTACAAGTTTTCTCTTTTTTTTTTTTTTTTTTTTTTTTTTTTTTGGGGCGGTTTAGAGAGCCAATACTGATTTTGTTTGTCCGGCAGCGATGGATGAATGGGGCTACTCAACTCAAGAAGTCCAGAGGATTGCCCGTCTCGCAGCCCACGTCGCCCTCAGACACGACCCTCCTTGGCCCGTTATCTCCATGGATAAGGCCAACGTCCTCGCATCTTCCCGTCTCTGGCGCCGCGTCGTGGAAAAGACACTCACCACCGAATTTCCACAAGTCAAATTCTCCCATCAGCTCGCTGACTCTGCTTCACTCATCATGGCTACGAATCCACGGTCGTTGAATGGTGTACTCCTAGCCGATAACACTTTCGGTGACATGCTCTCCGATCAGGCTGGGTCGATCGTTGGTAGTTTGGGGGTCCTACCAAGTGCTAGTTTGAGCGGTATTCCCGGCGAGGAGAGAAAAGACGGCAAGAAGTCATACGCATTATACGAGCCAACGCATGGCTCTGCGCCAACGTGAGTGAATTGCGACCTTTGGATGATCAACACCGCTAGGAAAGCTAACAGACTCGATTAATGTAGGATCGCCGGCAAAAACGTGGCAAACCCACTCGCCATGATTCTCTGCGTTGCAATGATGTTCCGGTACTCATTCAACATGGAACCTGAGGCAAAGGCCATCGAGAATGCTGTCACGGCCACATTGGAGGCTGGCGTTCGCACACCTGACCTTGGAGGAAAGGCGGGAACCACCGACGTCGGTAATGCTATTGTGGCCCACATCAAAAAATCTTTGAGTATATAAAGATGCTCGAATGGCCAAAAGGGAGGAAAGAAAAATTAAAAAGATAAAGCTTCAAAATATTTTTTTAATGAGATGTATACTACATATACCTTATGGATAATGAAATTTGTCCTCGAGAAAGATCATACCTTTCGTGGTGACACCGAGTATATTCAGTTCGGATTCTTCTGTTCAAGAAGCTCTTTGCATATCGGACAATTAAGTGCCCAGGACAGGTATCGGGGTATAATTCCCTGCTGCCAATACCAACACAATTAATCTTTCTTCGCACTGGTGACTGGTGCACGAGCCAAAGGACCCCAGTTCGGTCGCGGGTTGGTTTGATAACGGATGAGACGCTTCTTGTGATGCGCATCCATGGCCTTTCTACCGAGACTTTCGTCAAATACTATATCCAACGTACTCGGATCAGGCCGTTCCAGCGAAGATTCACCGGTTTTGTTAGTTATTGCTCCCTGTTCGCCATTCTCCGGTCCAGTCTTCTCTGTCCGCAGTCGACACACACCGGATCGATAAAGAGCAGCCTCAATCTTCGTGGTTAAGTCCGAGAGGTCCTTTCCAGCTTCAACAGCACTCAGTATATCACGTTTAAGTGATCTTAACCCGGCACCTTCGCCGTCGATGCCAAGCTTTTCTCTACCTCTCCTCATAATCCCCTCACCGGGGCTTCCTTCATTAATGGCCCCTTCTTTGACAGGAGATTTTTGGCGTACCCATTCACGCATTATCTCCCAGATCACACTCCATGGCGCATCGGTACGGATTGAGCCAGGCTTGGCGTGGCTGCGGGTTGATTTGTAGCCGAGGTGGCGAAGAGCGCCACGAAGCGAGTTCTCGGGCATAGTCTGGGTGTGAAGAACTTTGGAAATGGCGCTAGTTATAAAAAAGAACGGGTACGGCTCAATTTGAGCCGGGTCAACTCGTGGAATGAGTAAAGAAGGAGCTGTATTGCTGTCAAGGTCATTGGTGGACGATTCTGGCTCAGGGGTAGGTTCTTTCGATGACCCTCCAAGATTCAAATCTTCTTCAAGAGCAGTGGTCAACATCCCTTCTATGCGACCAAACGTTGGATATGTCTCCCGATCGGCTCCTCCAAGTAAATCAAGAATCCGTTGGACGAAATGAGGGTTATGCAGCGGTCCCGCCCACATTGGGCCAGCAAGGTGAGTCCTGAATCCGCAATGTTCACAGTTAGGGGACACAATCGGAGCTTGGCTCAGGCGATAAACGTAAAACGGATTACCGTTTTTCCCCTCCTTTTGCCGGGTATATGAAAGGCGCTGCGTTGACCAGGCTCCGCAACCGCTATCGCAATTATACACAACCATCGACTTTCCAGCAGTGAACTTCACCTCAGAAGGAGATCTGTGGACACGAACAAACAATCTCGCGTAGAAATCGATAGAAAGAGAAAGCAACGGCTCGATTGCAATACCGTACTTCGCAGCGCTAGTCGCTAGAGCATGCAAGATCAGACGTAAGCCACCTTCGTGCGAGTGGACTCCCTTAATCGGGATGCCACCGTAAAGGGCATATGCCTTCTCCGGATATCCAGTAGCCGCAAAAACTCCAGCGTCTGTACAAGTAACGCACAACATTCCTCCATCGGTGACAGCTTGCACAGCCGCGTCCATGAATGGCGCTGCTGTCCCATAAGGATCGAGATCAACCACGTCGAACTTACCGAAATACGAACCATCTTTATGCGGCTTCTGAGGGCCGAGGATGCTATACATGTATGAGCATGCGTCTCCGTTGTTTGGCCGAACGATATCATCTACTCTGTTATGTTTGATGTTGTTCTTCATCGACGCAATTGCGAGCGCAGAGAGATCGTTTGCCACCACTTGGGTCGCAAATGGAATTTCTTTAGCATAACGAAGTGCTCGTAAGCCCGTTGCGGATAATGCGTCGAGAATGGTGAAGGATGGTGTCCATGGTGTCTCGTTATTCTCTGGAGCATTGGGCTGCTCTTGCTCAGCGACGGAGGGAGCAACCTCCGAGACCGCTGGTGCAGGTATATCCGATCTCTCATCGACGCACGATTTCTTGCTTCCCGTTCCAGTATCCCCGTCAAGCGCTTCCCGTTTTCTTTTTTTCCCCTTGCAGTGACTGTCCCGCCGCTTCAGCTTCTTTTCGTGTTTCTCGGTCTTCATGGCAATGGCATGCTCTCCATACGCACGAATCGCTAACACGCTTAGGTCCCGGTTAAACTGTTGAATGGGATTGTAGAAAACAGCCGGCCTATCTTTATCTTCAGTAGGCCTGTTTTTCCGCTCTTTTTCGGACGAAGACGTGGACTGTCGAGGAACAAGGATATACGCAAGACCCTCTTTCACGGTTTCATATTCTTTGTCGCCATGCCGTACGATCTGCCCTACCTGAGGGATGGATGACAATGTGCCGATTGAGGGGCCCTGCGAAGCCATTCTGCGTGTGGACTGTCCGCTGACGAAACGTTGAAGAGGCACGATGCTTTCACGGTAGATTGGGGTAGGAATATTTGGCAAGATCAGTGTCCTAGGCGACCATATTATATGAACTAACGGCTGTGGGATCGAATTGAGTCGAAACATTGGCTGCCTGCCCTCAACATCCTAGAGCTGATCTCAATGCAAAATTTGGTTTAATTCTTGATCGCTTTTTAGAGTTCCGGCTCAAACTCTTAACGGCGCACAGACCACCTCGCATACCAATACGCCTTGACCGCATGTCGGTTAACCTTTGACCACTCCGGCTCTTGACATGTAATATGTACAAGTTGATAGCTGGCACTACGGGAACGTCAATGATATGAAAATATGAACCATTCGAACCTCTTACCTTTCCCTATGCTCTTGCTCGGATTATGAAATGTCAGCTTGTTGATATTGTTTGTGGGAGAGCGCAGCCAATATAAGTTGCAAATATAGCAAACATCAAAAGAGCCAATCAAAGTATCAGAATTTTGATAGGGTGTCAGGTGAAAGTACCACTAGCCACAATGTTATTCTCATAGTAAAGAACTCTTGTGAAGGGGGACGACTATCTGGACTGGTTTCATAGAGCAAGCCCTCTCCAGCTTCATTGACCCAGTCTTCTATAGAGTTGGCAGCAAAATATCAGTACGGTAAAGTCATGGCTAGGAACACATCTGATACTGTGTCATGGCATCATGGGGTTATGCACTTTTTTCCGTGTCTGAGAAGAATTTTAAGTTCCTGATGTCTTGCTAAACACAAAGCTCCCACATGACAGTGTTGTTGTACGTGAGGGAACAGCGCACTGGTCTAGCACCTAATCAGATTAAGTGAGTGGCTTACCTAGTTGCTTAACAGCTTGTGTCTGATAGGTAAGTTATTGTCAAAGGGTAAGTACCTGTAGCACAAGACCATATTAAAAATAAAGGTGAATAAAAGCGTATGCTGCAAAGAGATATCAAGCATGGAACCAAGTAGAGACAAAAAGCAGCAAGCTAAGAAGGAAGCCAAGAAAAGGCTCAGAAGCCTGAAGAACAAACTAGATAAGGAAGGACAGGCCTGTAGGTGTGAGGATCTTCAAGGAGAGAACCTTCTAGGAAGGCCTGCCAAAATAGGAAGGCGGATTCGCCTGTTCTGCCCTCGGTGCCAAGCCGTCAGGACCTGCTTGTGAGGTCTTGAGGGTTGGTAACTGGGAAAAGTCAAACAGCTCCATAAGGCTGTCCAGTGAAGACTTTGAATGTCCTCAGGGCTTGGATCAATGTGGATTCCGACAGTTAAAGCTCCGAGAAACCCGCAGAAGAACCCCGAAAAAGAGATGTTCTGTCCTGAGGACCTTGTTAGCACCACAAAACAGTCAAGCCCTGCACTTCAGATCTCATCACTTGCAACTACAGTCTACCTATCTCACTGGGGAGAGGAATCGTGAATTATTTCATACCAGTATGGAGTCCATTATTGACATTTGACATACATCATGCCATGTTTTCTTTGAGGATGTCGTGAGGCTTATGGCAAGCTGATATTGCCTAAAGGGGGCCATCATCCATTTAAGAGAAAACAATCTGCGAATTTTGGGTGCTGCTTCAAAGAGGAGTTTTTTGATATACTGACTCGTTCAGCGGCTCCACAGATTTCTTTTGATGTTGATACCCAGTTGATATCACTAGCCAAGCAGTGCTAAGGCCCAGATATAATATTCTTCTCATAATATTATTCTGTTTGTGATGTCCGGCTCCACCAATGTTGATGTCTAGCTAACATAGCTTTTCAGGTGATATTGAGGTGCCATGAGATTTTAGGGCGAGAAAAAAAGCTAACCACTATGCCACTAGGCCAAAAGAGAACATTCTCTGGTGGCCCTAGCCACTAGACGGTAGCTAAGGCCTACACTGGTCTGACACAGAACTCTTTGGCAGTGGCATTGTGTTGTGTCCTAACATTGAGAACTGATGATATTCCTGGGTAGGCCGGAGATCACTGTCACTCCCGGGAGCGACCCAAAGAACGAACTCTACCTCAACTCCATCCTAGCGTTCGGTCGACAAGTGCTCTGGACAGGTTTACGCATGCCTCTCTCATACCTTCCGCTGTGGTGTCGGAGATTGGTGAAGTGGGAGCCTCCGTGGACAACCGATGTGCTCGTGATGCTGCTGCACTTCGTGTACTGTGGAGTTCTACCATCACATTCGAAAACCAACTGCTTCCAGACCCACGTTATCACCAATGAATTATCAATTGGAAGTGCTCAACTATCGCTGCTGATTTTCTTTCCAACCAACTCGGACTCCATTGAGGGGTACATTTCGTGAGACTCCCGCTCAGTCCGAAATCCTTGACCCAAACGCACAGACTTCACGTTTGGTAGGTACTGGCCAAGAGCTGCTTGGTTTCATTCTGGCTTGAATCCCGGTTACGGAATCCTTGTATGGGACCGAGGCTTTGCCACTGTTCATCAATGGAGTCTGACGTCGGGGTCTCAGAGAATCGGCCAAGGGGGGCAACACCATTGGAACTTGCTACGTTCCACATGAAGAGCGCCACGATCGATAGTGGTGTCGGGAGCGGTCACACCGAGCCTGCTAGCAGCTCTGGAAGCCTTCAAATGGCCTACAAAGTTATCTTGGATGATTCAATGAGCTGGCTGGAGTTCCTCAGTCATTGACCAAATTTTTTCCTGCTGTTTACCACAGTAATTAATCTTGTTGTGGCCATTGCTCTTTTCTCGAAGTGGTTTGATACTTGTGTGATCTTGTATTTGTTTTTGGTGGCCATTTTGCTTTTGTTCTGCTCATTTGGCTCGGCCAAGCTCCGGGATGTACAACGACGGTATCTTGAGGCTGGCTGGCCAAAACGCTGTCAATGTATGTACGTACAACAGCGGGGGTCTTGAGGCTGGCTGATCAAGACACTGTCGATGTATATACATACAACGGCAGGTGTTTTGAAAGTGGCTAGCTGTCAAGGCCACTCGAGAGGTGATTCACCCATGACAAACAGGGGTTCGCGATGCTGAACAGCCATTGCCACTTTGTTGTCAAACGTCAACCTTGCTCAATATCCTTCCTTTTTCTTTCAGTTGTTAACCCCTATTGGAGGTGTCTTGAGCAATATCACTTGAGAACTGACATTGGCATGCTTTTTCCGCGCTTTTACGCACTTCTCCCCGATCTTCCATGCCCCCCACCATCAATCGTCGGAGAAATCTGTGGCAAAGTTAGCTAAAAGAGAAGAATATAAATAGTGCCCATTTCCCAAGGCTATCCATTTCCTTTAACAACACCATATCTCTTTACATTTCTCCATTTGAAGCCAAGAAGGTTCTCTTCTAAATCCAGTTCAGTTTTGCCAACATCAGCTTTAAAGTTGCTATCCAACAATATGGTTGCTGTTAACACGGTTGAATTCTACCCCGAAAAAGATTATGGAGGTGCAGCTGTAGCCTCCGAACTCAACAAAGTCGAGCACCTCGCCTTAGGGACTAAATATTTGTCCTACCATCTCGGAAGCGGGACTAAGTTACTTGTGTGGAATCACAGTAACTACTACGACCAGGAGCAATGGGTTAGCGACAAGTCTAGCCTCCCAGCAGGCAAGCAGTGCTATAAAGTCCTCGCGGGCGCCACGAGGGTTATTGGCTTTAGATTCAAGGATGCCACCGGGGGTGCCCAGAAAGCCTACTCTCTTACCTTGAATATCCACGACATTGGTCAAGTCACCTTATATTCCAACGAGTCCGACCAATTCGCGATCGCTGGTACCATGCCGCAAGATGGTCCGCCCGTGACGACTGCCGTGTATGTCCGAGATATGAGGACAGGAATCTACATTGTTCAGGGATCTATCTATTTCAAATGGGATAGTGACCGCCAAAAAGTTGTGATTGCAGACGAACTGAATTGGCCGAAGCAGCTGAAGCATGAAGAAGATGGCAATGACGACTTTACTATTACTTTGATTTCGAAGGATCCATAATAAGTTACGATAATGGTTTCTCTGAGATTGGAATACGGCAATGGATGTGGGAATGCGGTGATGTTGAAAGGACGGGGTTCTTATTTCATGTCTACGCTCTCTTTTGCTAGCTGTGCACTTAATGTTATCTGATATCAGAATGAAAACGTATACTCTCTGGCTCGGTGACCGCATTGTGGAAGGTACGCGGAGGAAGGCTCAACTGTCCAAGTGCTAAATCTCTGCTGCCTATGTCTGTAATGTTTGATGGAAACTCGCTAGATTCTACGCGTGTCTCGGTCCTAGTACAACCCAGGTCTAGTGGAGAGGGCAGTGGCAAACCTTCATCATCCTCAATGGACTATTGGTTCGCCCGGTGCTATCGACTGAACATTTTGATCCACGATCGCTTCCGGACTATGCCCCCTTATGGACATCCGTTGACTAAATATGGCATCGATTTGCGAATCACATCGTATCCACCTGGTTATCGCATTTGGAGATTCTATATTCTGTTAGAATCAAGGCAATAGATTAACCACCCGATGATATGATACCACCATAGGCCACTTGAAGCCATCCCACTATAGGAAATACATTTTGCGCGAGCGAACGTCCAGGAGTATAGCCTGATTGCAAAAGTAGTTCATAAAGTGTTGGAAGAGCAGGATACGAGAGGCTTCTGAACATTCTGCCCAAAATTAGACACCGCCACGTCTCCATGGTAAATGGGATATCGCTTCTTAGACACGAGGTATTTCTACTCGTGTTTTATCCCAGCGTATGTGATCTTGTTGTTACGCATTCCTTTGTACTTGAAAAATAGAGAAATGCAGCGATCTATTGGCACGGCGGATTGAGGTTGTGGACTAGAACATCCACACGAGACGAGCCATATTTCTAATTCTCCCACGCCTCCTTTCTCCAACACGGGTCACCTTTCAGCGAGAAAGCAGCAATGTCATTTCTCTTGGTATATCCAGCGTTTCGACGCAATGTTCAGGTCAGTGACACGGCCGGAGAAAAGCGGTCAATATGGTTACAAGTAGCTCGCAGAAAGTAGGGACCCAGCCATCGTTAAACTCCTCGATAATTTATCGAAGAAAGATTGACTATTTTCTCAGTCAGCTAGTGGAAAAGATGGTTGAAAGAACATTGACAAAACAAGGACCTGCCGCGGCAAAGGTTGCGAAACAGGAGGCAGAGGAGCGCAAAGGGAAAAATGATGCTTCCATGCGTGAGGCAAATAATCAAAAACCGCAAGGAGGTAGTAAAGAAGAAGGAAAGGAATAGGTTTGGGGTTTCCAGGTAAGGAGCATGTTTGTGTTTATATGAAGCGTCGAATCTCATAAACTATTAGGAGGGATCGAATGCCTCTTGAAGCTTGTCTAGATATGCCTTTCTGTCGGTAATCTTTTGGACTGGCAAGTCAGATGCATCTCGTGACCAATACTTATGCATCATGAGGAAGAAGTTGCTGTCTTGGAAATGGCCTTTCTCGAAGATCGGTTGGATATGCTTATAAAAAATGGAATGCAGCCCTGTTGGGCTTCGGAGGGCGAGGATATACCAGAAAGTGCCGGATTCCCAGCATTTATTCATTATCGATGAGCAGTTGAAATCCTTCTCCGAGTGATGTTCAAGTATCCGCGCATGAGATATATCTCTTTCCTCTTCTGTAAAAATTTGCATGAACTCCTGCCGAAGCGCATTGTAAGCCTCGGGGTCAATCACGTCCACGGCTTGGCTGGTGAGCCAATATGGAAGCTGCATAAACTCAAGAGGCTGTGAAGCAGCCCATTCCAGATCTATGATGTATTCAATATTCCAATTCTTATCAACGAGGATGTTACTCGCATGCATATCAGTTAATTGAAAAATGAATGGCCCGCTGTTGAGTCCTTGCTCAAAAAGCTCCTGGGACACAGCGCGCAGTGTTGTAAGTGCGGACATCTGCATTACGCAGTCAATGAAGTCGTTGGCGGCATTTTATTCGTGGCGTAGCCGGCTGTCATGGCACGATAATAAGGCATTGACGTAAGAGTCAACAGTAGGGAATGTCTGACCTCGATTTATGTCAATGGGTATATTCTCATTCTCTAGGTCTTGTAGCTCCATGGTAATTGGTCGGTTGGTTAGCTGTAGAAAGCCCTGGTCGTCGACCACAAATGATCGTATCCTTGGGAGAGGAATGCGGCTCAAGGTGAGCATAATTCGGGATAGATCTGGGAAGAGATTATTTCGCAAGTGTATATTGCTGCAGAGGGCATTCCAGGTATTTGAGAGCATCACGCCATCCTCTCTTTTTATGTATTCCACAATAACGTACGGGCCGATCTCGCTTAGATTAAAGTTCCGTCGAGGAATGTAAGCAGACTGAATGGAAAGCCCTAGCAAGGAACGCAGCTTACATCGAAGATGATGGAACACACGTCGGAACAGTGATAAATGGTCTACTGCAGTAAACTGGTCATGTTAACTCAGGTCAACTGGTCTTATCAAGCGTGGACCTACATGTCGGCCCTTTGACAGAACAAAACCATAGAGATGAGGAATAGGTACGCTTGGGCACTCCCTCCGAAGCCAGGCATATGTTCCCGCCTCACAGCAGACATTCTCATCACTGTTTCCAGGGCGAGCATATTCACCGACTCTGTAGGGAAGAGGTAATCGGACAAGGACACGATTTGCCGGTGTGGTCACGGGGGACGCAGAGATTGAAACTTCCATGCATCCATTCGCCCCTTGGAGCAGCAATACATGATGCTGAATCCTTCAAACCGAGGTGATTGACAACAAGAGCCTCAACCTGGCTGCAATTCTGCTGAATGTAGCTGAAGAACTTGTTCCGTTCTGGCCAGTATGTCAGCTTGTGGAGGACATTGATTTCTTTCTTTTCAGCTTCGGAATAGGTGATCTCTCCCCGGAGAAGACGACGGGCACGAGACATAAATCAATAGAACAACACAATATTCCAAATAAATGCCCTATACAACACCTCTTCACCAGCTAGTCAATGGGAGATTTGCTTGCGGAAGAAACCCCAGGAAGTCAGTGTGAAGCTGCCCCTGGTGCCAAGCTTTGCCAAGCCTTTTCGCGTCCCAAGAAGTTAAACTTTGCCAACAACTTTCTGTGTTGATTATCTTGTCTCTTCTGACACATAGTTCGGAGTAGTTAAACTACAGTACCTCAAAAACTAAGTTCTAAGTAGCTTTCTGAGGTCACCGCTCTATTAAGGCTACTATCAACACAAAGCTGCCGAGAGGCTATTTTCAGATGTTTAACTTGATGATCAAGAAAAGGGTATTTGGTTGCCATCCTTAGTCACACTACAGAGTACAGGGTAATCATCTCATGCGAGACATCTTCTGAATGGTGAATTAGTAGCAAACTTGGCAAAATTTCAGTAGATAGTTTCCAGATGAGTGTATTTGATTCATAAGCAGGATTGCTTCTCAAAAGTTGCGTGCAGCATGAGGCTTCATGTATCACAGGACGGTATTCATGCCTTACACCGGTCTTATAGTATCAAAATAAATTTAGTTCGATGAAAATATTTGCCATTGCTTCCCCTTGATTCTTTCAATGACTTTCAGACGCACTACCATTTGTGGCCTAACGGATAGGTCCATCATATCGAGCTGTGTCCCGATCACTGGAGGTCTCGCCTCTTATAGTATTTAAAATCACTTAAATGATAGTCCTCAAGGAAAATACAGGTAGAATCCTGGTAAAGAGTGCCAAAAGTATTTCGTATCAATCAACGATGACAGGTCATGCATATATCCCGCGGGCCATATCGGCAGCACTTGGTTCCGTCACATTCATAGAAATCCCGTCCGTCTCCACCGGGGCCATATTTCACAACCTGAGTCTCACAGCCGCAGTATTGTCCCGGTTTTGTACCGGGTGCACATCTACAACCCGTTTTGCAGGATCTAGCGTCCAGTCGATCGGGGGTGACGGATGCAGTGACGAGAGTAAGCGCGCTGGCAATGACCGCGATGACGGTGAGGCGCATGGTGAAGCCGTAGGAAGAGCTTTTCGGTTCGAGGTATTCGGGGATTTCAAGTCTTGTAAAGGTGGTTGTAGGAAAACGGTATGCTTGAGGGCCCTTCAAACGCCGAGTTAGCGCCTGCTTCTGGATATTTTGCGGGAGTTGACTTACTGCTCTGGAGCCGGGAAGGTCAAGGAGAGGCAGCGAGCTTGAAGCTTGAAAATTCTCTCAGTCTGACTTGCCATCGGAGCGGAACAGCACCCGCTTTATATATCTTTGTTGTTTGCTCGCCATTCTGCTCTGCGGCTCTGCGACTCTGAGAGCTCCACCTGACGCTCTTTGTCAGAGCCTCGGCCTCCTCCCTCTCACACTTTAGCATTTCCTCGTGGTCCAGGATCTCAGCTCGCTGGTGACAAGAATCAAGATCGTCTACCACTTCATTGGTGGGTAAAAGAATATAAATCTCACTACATCCGCCTCGGGAACGAGGTATTTGTCAGTGAGTCCACAGCTGACATGCTTGAAGCCAAAATGCCAAAAATTGATCGACAATTTGGAAATGAATGCCCTCCAAACGTCCATCTAGTATCCCTGTGAGTGTGACGGCAAGGACCAATGCCCCAGCGCACACGAACCGAAATTTCACAAACCCGCTAGTTTGGGGAGGAAGTTGATTGACAATTCATTGATCAGCAACCTCGAGAGAAGTTAGCTGCAGCAAGACAGACCTAACCCTTGACTCTGAACAAGCGGTGGCCGCAATGATTTAAAGGAGCTTATGCTTGAACTCCGCGTCCAATACTCCGTAAATCTCCACTTTCGCATTAGGTTACCTCACTAGGGTTAGCGCGTAATGGAAGTATTCCAAAAAGTAACTAGTGTACGGTGTGGTGTATCCTATCTTCGACCGAGACGGGCAGAATCGACCAGGAAGAGCTGAGAGAAAATTTTCTGTCGCAGAACATCACTCGACAGAAGCAGATTGATCCGGTCGGGCGATATAAGGGCCTCAATGGCTCTGAAATGATAAACGGCAGAATCCATGTCCGCGTCGGATGGGCCTCCACTTTGGACCCCCGCTGAGCAGTTTCCCCTACGACGAGATGGAAAGGGCGAAACGATCTTCTATCTCATAGGTCTGTGGAACAACAGTGGCAAAGAAAGCGGGCAAGTCAGAAGGGTTGCAGGTTGGTATGTCGAAGACGGAAAATCTGGAACCCCTGAATGCGGGTGTAGGAGTCAATTATGATACCAACGCCCAGTCTACAGAAGACTGGACTATGGAATCTGATAAAACATCAGAGGAGATGGGCAAAAATTAACAAAGCAGCATCAAAGTTATATCTTCTTACTCTTGAGCCTTAGTAACGGGAACTTTGTCTAGAACCTGGTGGGCAGCTGTCTTCATGAAGCCAGAAAATCCCCAGTTGCTGGATGCACTTGAGCTTTCTCTGAGGCAGTAACTCTTTTGCATTGGCGGATGGCCTTTAGGAGCTATGGGGATGTTTGAAAAGCCACCTTCTCTCTGGTGGTGTCCCTACAATGCACCTTGAGGTCCTCTGTCTTTTGCAGCCACCCAAAGGGGAATGAGTCTGACGAGTAGGAGAGGTACAGAGTAAAAAGTTCCATCATGAGCCAGCCAACCTTCTCCGGGTGATCCAGTGGATACCTTTCTGACTGCATGACAGGATGCCAATGGAAAATATCTGCTGCTTTTTACTCTGATGGATAGCTGTTGTCTTTTGATGTGTTGATGAAGGCGTGAAGAGCAGCAGCAGGCACCCAGCACGTGACTCACCACCAATGGGAAGCAGTGACGCACCCGGCCATCGGTAGCCATGATTGACACCAGAAATAAGAAGAAGAACCAACACGCTCAGATAATCAAGACAGTCTGTTCATCAAGTAGATATCATGAATAGTGGGCGGGAAAGATAGCCCTGCCTCAGATACTGTTGGGAACAAAGAGGAAGAGAGGCGCCCAGCTTTTTTCTCCCCCAGGAGAGAAGACAAAAAGTGGTCTCTGCCACATTTTGAGGGAAGGTGGAAGTACTGGGCGAGCAAAGAGTGGATTCATCTTCCAGTCACCCTCCAAAATAGGTCAAGGGAAGTCATGATGCAGTCACCCCAATGAATCAACCAATCTGAGGAAGAAACAAAAAGATGGGAAGCATGACACTGACGGGGGGTAGAGGAACTGATCAACACTTCCATTCTCAGGGGTAGCAACACTGGCTTGTGTTTCTGGATGAGATGTAATGAACTGATTCACTATGAGTTTTTTTGAGCAGCGGACAGCCGCAAGAAGAGCTTCTGGAGGATAGTATCAAGTCAAATTCTTGATCGAACTTGTATTCTTGAGATTATCTCTCCTGAATCCACAGATAACTCATGGCGTGAAACACAGTTCTCCTTCAGGGAACATGACTGTGGGCACAAGATGCTCCATGCTGTTATCGACTTTCCTGTGTTTATGAGCTACACGAGTTTAGCCTCGCAACATTAGCTTTCGCTTTCAGCTGACCAAATATGGCCCAAGCAGCGGGATCTGGGAATATATGTTATCCCAAGTTTTAGCTTCCCATCCGGACCCAAGACCACCTCTTCCAACCACTCCCAGCCCTCCTGAAAGCCAGAGGGCTGTTCCAGCGACTGTAATTCCCGCGATGATCCATCTTCGCCGTTTCTGCCTATGCAACCTTTCAACCTGTTGTGGGTTTCCAAGAAAGCCCGCGGTGGCACCACGGCGTTTTTCCATTGCCCTGTCCAAAGTAGCCATTTCCCTCCAGCCCATCCAATGAGCCCAACCACCGACAAAGTGCCACACGCCGATTCCCACAAATGCAACGTACCATGCCCCCACTGTCCAGGGGGATCTGGCAACTCCGTGGGCTACATAACCCAGTCCAACACTAGAGCTGCCTCCATCGACGTACCACGGTCCAATACGGTTTACAAGGACATGTAGTCCTAAAAACGGCACGAAAAAATATCCCAGCTTTGCTTGAATGCTTGATCTATTGGACCTTCTCAGTGCTTTGCGTTGCTGGCGTGTCTCCGCGCCATAGAGCCTCGCACATCGGGATTGACGGACGAATCGGAGGGCGATTCCCGAAGCAATGTGTGCAAGAATGGGCACCGTAAGTAAAGCCGGTTCAAGGACAGGAGCTTGATATATTGGGCGGGTGAGAAGCAGGTAGGTTTCGCTGGCTTCGATCGACTGAGTAGCAAGAGGTATTAAAGAGGTATTGACAAGGTGCAGCCCAAAAAATATCGACGGAGGGTAGGTGGAGTATCTTTGAACTTGGGACACTAAATTCTCCCGAGAGTCCGTCAGCTTTAAATCCCGGTCCCTTTCAACTCGTGGAGGATGAAGAATCATACACCAATATTCCCAACTACGGCCGCTTAAACCCAACTGCGTCCCCGCGACTTGTCCACTTTGCGAAGCATCGACGCTATTTTCCGGTGGTTTCGGAGTGTACAGTCCGTTTTCAAGCGCAGATAACACTTCTTCGTCGGGGACCGGCTCTAACTCGTGGAGATACGGCGAGGAATCTTCTGGCTCGCCCATTGTGAAAGCAGAATTGTTCTTACTCGAATGCGAGTATCATGCGTAAGATGCAGCCGGGTACATCATCCACATAAGCAAACGCCCGGTTCCCTGCGCCCAGAGAGACTATAGGTAACTTGTAACGGGATATGTAGGGCTCGGGAGAGCTCCTAGCACGCTCGTCTCTTTGTAACCAGGTTGCCAAGTACGTCCTGGGCTACCACAAACTCCAATGACAGTCCTGACAGGCTACTCCGAAGTACAAAGCTTAATTTAGGGCACCGATCGTGCTTTGCAGGTCTCCGTTCACTCTTTCAAGATTGCTGGAGAATGACGGATGGAATCCAAGGTTGGTTTTGGTTTTAGTCATCCACCGTCCCCGCCGCCTATTGGGCAGCTATGCGGGATTTCGCTAGCCTTTAAAGAGGCTAGTGCTGCATGTATATTACATGCATCCTTTCAAGTTCATGATTTAATGTCCGGCTCAGCTCCTCCTAGCATGTTCTAGGGGTCCCCTGAGCCTGATTTTACAGTGCTGTATACCCAAAGGAACTCAGTGCTTTGCCTAGGTGATCTCATCTCTGTTGACGGCCTCAAATTGCCCAAGAAGCCTGGTGTTAATCATGAATTTGGCAGCCTTGATTGTGAGTTTTGGCATGTTAAGGATCTTCTTCAGATCCTCTTCTCTGTCTGGCCCACCATGCTCCTGGCCAAACATCTCTTTCCTTAGCTGGGTATACCTGCGGCAAGCTAACAGAATGCGGCGGCCTGTCTGAAGATACCCAATGTTTCATTAAAAGATCTCGAGACAGTCTAGAGGGAACAGAGAAGACATTATTTCTCAACTTCATTCGGTTCATGCACAAGTGGCTGCCTGAAGAGCGAAGGACTGCCAAAGAACTTCTTGACGATCCTTGGTTGAATGGGCAACTGGACTGAAGGTAGGAAGCTGAAGAGTGTAGGCACTGGGTCCATAGCAAGAGAGGAGGAAGAATCACGCGGCGAGATCGTAGACATCGTGGTAGGGAGCAACAGCTTGCTGACGCAGGAATCTCTTAGGAAACTCTTAAACCTCCTGCATTCCCTGCGCAGGTTGAGAGAGGGGCTCTGTTGGGATCTCTCTTTTTGACCAATGAGAGACATTGTTGAGACGCTGCTGCAAGGAAAGCCGGTTGCAAGGCCGATGATGCACATCAGCGGATCACACAAGTAGGCATGATTTGGATGACTCATGAGTCCCATTGACATCCTTCCTCAACTTGTCTTGCCCGGGACGGAGGTGGGCGAGTAGGACGGACAGGCAGGCTGACGGAACGGCCGGGAACTTCACATGGTGGCAGAGCAAGAGCTACAAATAGGCTGCATTCCATCCATCACACTAAAAAGCCAGGCTCTAAGATATGACTATAGGGAAATTTCCTTGCTTTTCCTTTGTCTGAATACGTCTCGCACTAAGAAAGGCTCAGGCACCACCTGCTACGTGAACTCCAATCATATTCCTTTGCCTTCACCTGGTTTCCTGCCCCCAGGAGAAGCCTGAACAATGTTGTTCCATCCCATTTGTTGCCTGCTTCCTGGGAATCACATACCACTCCTTGTTGCTGAATGATCCATCATCCCGCTGGTAGTGGCTGATATGGTCGACCTTATGGAACATGTCACACAGCTTACTAGCACTATGTTTACATCTACCAATGTGTGTGAACTGTACAAAGAGCGCAGAAGCTGCAATGGACATTATGCTGATGACATTGCTCAATGGAATCAATTCATTGGTGTGTGATGAGTGGGATGGACAACTTCAAAGCCTGCTTAAATCTGCTCTTGTGAGTCAGCAAATACTGGGGTAAAGTGAAGATCCTCCATTATAGTTGGCATGCTTGTGGTGAGAAATATTGCAAAACATTGGGCGCCCCTGCGAATCGAGATTCCTGATGGGATGAGGCAAAGGTTAAAATTAACCAACTGGTTCTCTGAAGAATGAATACCCCAGGCTCGCGATGTATCTGCCAGGACCCCAATCCCATCAGTCAAGCTGCTCCCGAAAATTTGGGAGACTGGACGCGCCAAGACATGAGGCGCAATGATCCAGCGCAAGTGGAGCTCTTGGTTGCAGAACTCACTGTAGATGAGTTGCCTTATGGTTACAGTTTTGACAAGATTTGGCCTCCTTGTTCGTGCAAGTTTTGCGGCATCCACAAGGCTATAAAGACCTGAGTCACTCCCCAAGAAAGATCTTGGTCTTGTTCAACATAAATCAGTCCTTTACAGCACTGAGGACGAACAGCTATCTGCTGATGGCTTGAGGGGCAACTGGGGGAGCAATGGCCAAGAGAATAACTAGGAGCGTGATGGCCGGGAGGGTGATCAGACGGTGAACAAGCAAGTGACCCAGGGAGCGATCGAGAGGAAATTGTTCAAGAGAGTGAGCAGGTGAGTGGCTCAAGGAGTGATCAAGACAGCAATGGCCAGGGGGGCGACCAGGAGAACGGCCAGGAGAGTGACCCAGGGAGCAATCAAGAGGAAAGCATTCGAGTAGGCTGGTGTTGTTGCAACTCTCAGAGTCAAATGTCTGGTCCGCTATGGGGCTGTTAGATTGGTGTTTTGGTCATATTTCTCGGGGTTCAACATCTGTTACACTGCGCGGATCACAGCAGGGTTGAACGTCTAGTCCGCCACGTAGTGTTTTGACCATAATGTTCGGGGTTAAACGTCTGGGGCTCCGCGGTAGATACGCGTCTATCGGGAGAGGGTGGGCTTCTAATTTGTTGCTCCTGGGAATCCCAGTGTGTGTCTGTTTGCTGACTCTCATTCCTTCTCGCGCCGCCATCCGCAGTGGCGGCATCGTAGAGGGCAGGTGTCTCCCATGCAGACGGAGCATAGAGCCACTTATTCGTGCTCGTATATTTGAAGCCGGCGGTTGCTGTATTTCAGGTAGTGAGTTCTAGGCGTCCCTTGAAGGTACACTAGAATGGGCCCTGCATTTTGTCCTTCCGCATCAATCCTCCTTCATTTGCTCCGGTCAAGGGCAATTCCCTCTTCATGACTGGCATGAGTATCTGGAACATCATGGATCAGTTGCCTTTGTACCCAAAAAAGGATCACTATATTACACTCAAAGGCCATAATTTTCATAAGCTCTTTTAGCAACACCCTAATTTACTTTGTACTCCGTAGGGGACAATCCATTTGTTGTCAAGGTTTTCGATAAATTTGAATTGTGATACTTTATATATAATACAATGTTGAACGCCGGGCGCCTCGCTACCAAACCGAACAACAAAGAGAAAGAAACGAAATTGAAGCGGGGGCAATGGCAGAATCTAACTGACCGGCACGCTGTGTGCGCCTCTACAACCCGCGAAACAGCCTGTCGGTCGTCGAGGATCATAATAGCCTCCTCCCGCGGTCAAATCATCTCCACCATAGTCTTCATCTGTATCACTTTCCACATCGCCGCCAGATCTTTTCAAATCGGTTCCACTCTTTGTTCGTGACGTATTTTCAAGTCCAGGGCACTCCAGCTCGTCCTCATCATCATCCCCCAAAACATTCTTCTTTATCAAACTTGGCCCCGTCGTCGCCGCACCCCCACCTCCACTGGAACCAGTATTCCCCCCCGAAACAACTGTAAATGAACTCTTAAACCCTCCTTTCTTAAACCCCCCACCACCGCTGCCTCCGCCGCCAGCGCCTCCCTTCCCGCCAACCGCGGTTTGGGCCGTACCAACAACAACTAGTCCGGCCTCAGCATCGGCCTTGCGTTCTGCTCTTCGCGCTCTTTCTGCGGCATTGGGGTCACGCGATAATTGCTTCAAGTCACGTAGGCGCTTTTTATGCTGGTGGTCGTATGAGGAGATGTGAGCTTCGTATTCTGGATGGCGGGAGTATGATTTGTTGCAGAGGGTGCAGGTAAAAGAGGTCAATGCGGAGCGGGCAGAGTCGGTCTGCGAGTATATACATAGTTAGAATATTCGCTGTTTTCTGCCGCAAAGAGTATGAAGGAGAGGTTTACCTTGGGAGCCGGATTGGTGAAGCCGCGCTGCATGGGAGAATGAGTAATCGCAATTCTTGTCTAAGCTAGAACCAAAAGGATAGTCCATAATAACTCACTGGTGGCATATTGACTGTTGAGCGACGATTTTGGAGGAGTTACGAAGTACAGACTGGCTACAAAGAGCATGCCGAGCTCCGATGTTGTTTCAAGCGGGTCAGCCCTATGATGATTATGTCAGCCGCTCGGATGCTTGGCATCAGGAGTCTGCCCATTACGCACTTCCCTCTACTCCGTACTTCGCAGAAGACCAGCAATTGGCAAAATGGGTAGAACCTGATGACTATTTCAGGTCATAGAGCTGCAGCCTTAAATGCATTCCATGGGTCTTCAAATACTGCATGGTGTGACGGTATAAATTTCTAGTTATACATTGGAAAAGGTTTCAAGGAAAAGACGGGAGCTAAAAGAGAGCAATGCTGCATAATAAACGTGGGTTATCAGTCAATACATTTTGTAAAAGGTGGAAAGAGGAAAAAGAATAGTGGCAGCATAGCCCAAAAAACTCAGAAAGTGGTATCAGCCGTAATCTTATACACGAAGGAGTTTGGCGGCTTGCGATAGAATAGTATCTTCCTGGGGGAAGCTCATCTCCTCCAGTTTCAATGCATATGGGGTGGGAACCTCCGCGCCGGTAACTCGGATGGCAGGTGCTTGGAGATAGTCGAATCCATATTCCATAGTCAAGGCTAAGATCTCTGACGCAACACCAAACATGGGAAAGCCAGATTCAACAGCCATCAGATGGCCAGTCTTCTTCACGGATTTTATCACTGTTTCAATGTCAAGCGGCTTAACCGATCGCAAGTTGATGACTTCGGCTTCGACTCCGTATTTGCTCTTGAGCTGAGACGCAACGTTGAGAGATAGACCAACACATCGGGACAATGTTACTATGGTCAGGTCCTTTCCTGGTCGCTCAATCTTGGCCTTTCCGATGGGAAGGACAAAGTCATCTTTCTGAGCAGCTTCGCTCATAGGGAAAACTTGGCCGTACATAAGCCTAGAGCATGTTAGTTTTGACTGCTGTTAAAGCCGGTGGGAGCCGCTAAAAGCAAACATACTCGTTTTCAAGGAAGACAACGGGGTTAGGATCGCGAATTGCTGCTTTCAAAAGCCCTTTTGCGTCTTCTGAGCTCCAAGGTGCGAGAACCTTCAATCCAGGTATGCTTCCATACCAGGCGGCGTAATCTTGGGAGTGCTGGGCGGCAACACCGGCAGCGAAGCCATTGGGTCCTCTGAATGTGATATTGCAGGGCTGGATACCTCCAGACATGTAGTGAGTTTTCGCCGCAGAGTTGATGATCTGGTCGATCGCTTGCATGGCAAAGTTGAAGGTCATGAATTCGCACTATGGTCAACCAGGAGTTAGAAAGAGCTTGGAGAAGGCAAAATATGAATATATTTATTCAATCCAATCTTTGAATTTCCTTACCACTGGGTGCAAACCAGCCAACGCAGCTCCTACAGCCAATCCAGCGAAGCCAGCCTCTGTAATCGGGGTGTCAATCACACGCTTATCGCCAAAGCGGTCCAAAAGGCCTTTTGTCACTTTGTACCTGTGAAAGAGTCAGCCATGACTGTATATTGAATGGATACATGTGCTCTAGTAAGCCCAGGCCGGGATACTACGTACGCTCCATTATATTGCGCAACCTCTTCTCCGAGAATAAAGACCTTGTCGTTAGAAGCCAGTTCCTCGGCCAATGCTTCATTTAAAGCATCTCTGACCGCAACTTCTTTCACGCCGGTCGCATCGGCATAAGTTCGCTTTTGGTGTAGGGATTGCGTGCAAACTGTTGGTTGAAACGTTGAACGGAGCGGAGCGGAGCACAAGCGGGAAGATAGTAATCTGGAAGCTGGCCGGAAGAGTCTGTGAGCCGCCATTGCGAAGACAAAGAGTGGCGAGAACCCGGAAAGTATGGAAATTGTATAAGACTCGGATTGACAGAGAGTAAAGGAGGGTTGAATAGAGGTGCAATCAACGAGAACGGATTAAAGCGCAAAGAAACTGTCCTTTCACAGGCGAGCTTGGCCTGAACTCCGTCGTTGACAACTAACTTAACCACCAACGACTTTCTTTGGGGTTGGCCGGCGCTGCTTTTGGCTTAGCTTCTTGTTGGGTGATCCCAAACTTTAATCCGCGCCAAGAATACACTGTACTGTATTTCCGTCCGTACGATATCATCGATACAGCTGCTCAGCGCTTCGTTGCCTGCCGAACCAGCAATGCTGGTGGGAAAACACCACCATCGATCCTCGCTTTCGCGTCTTCTCGCATGACAACAGCGTATACTAGAAGGTGAGAGACTAACCTGCATGAGAAGTTTGTAGGGCAACGATTCTTCTCTGTTAAGCTTTCATCGAGAAGCAATTGTGGGGCACGTTGACGGACTAAAAATTTGTCGAAGATACATAGGCTACAAGCAGCTTCGAGCCTGGGAGACAGGCACGAATTCCGGGCTCAATACACAGCCCCCGAAGTATGTTTGCATTTGACGAGCTTTGAATCAGCTGCAAAGCTACCTTTTTTTTTTTTTTTTTTTTTTTTTTTTTTTTTTTTCCAGAACCAAGTCCGAGCACCTGGATTATACAAACGAAAGCGTCTGGGAAGGATGATCATGAGGATGTGGACGATCCTACCGAACATTCCACCAGGCCCCGGCAGAGAAGCATGATATGAAGAAGATGTGGTCCAACTTGATTTCCATACATTTCGCAATTTCAAAGGTACTTTTCATTGTAGGGGAGGGATCAATTAGTCCTCGAATCCAGCTGCTAGAACTCTGTCCACCGGGTCTATATGACATATCCGCTTGTTGAATATCATGTGCGGCCCGCTCTTGGTGAATATAAAAGAAAATGACGCTTCTATTTAATCGAAGGTTGAGAGGGTTTCTGCGAGCATTCAATCCTCAGCAAAACCCGCTTTACCATATTCAAGCGACGAGTATCGTGTTAAGCCAAATGTCGAGGTCGAGTCACCCCGTGCCGAGCTACATAGCTAAATGATCCAAATATAACTGACATCTCAGAGATTATGTGCAAACGTGAGGACGAGAAATACATTTTCCGATCAGCAGCAGATCGAAAGTTGTATGAGAGATATGGTTCGACACCGAGCGTTAGATTAGTTTAGTTAACTAGTCGGCAAGCTGCTGCATCGGAGCTAGATTTGCCGATTCCCGAGCGCCGCCAGTTTTGGCGCGAGCACTGATAGAGCTGCAAATGGCGCCATCCCCAAACATCGAGCGTCATCCTCGGTGCAGACTCTCCGACCTCATGAACTAAGAACTAAGTCCCCGTTCGGCATGTTTAAATATGCTTAAATCCCTTACCGCTGTGCTTGTGGGGCTTGCTGGGTCCGTCCTCGGGACCCAGCCGAACGCACCAGATCCCATTCCCGCACCCTTGCGAAACCTGACATGGGGCCAGTTGAACTTCCTTCACACGACAGATACTCATGGCTGGCTAGCAGGGCATTTGAATGAGTGAGATATCCAAGTTCAACCATCCAAGCGCCGACGCTGAACGCTTTCTAAACAGGGCTCAATACGGTGCAGACTGGGGAGACTATGTGTCGTTCGCGGCCCATATGCGGAAGAAGGCCGAGGCGGCCGGAACAGACCTCCTACTTATTGATACAGGAGATAGAATAGAAGGAAATGGGTTGTATGACGCGTCAGACCCGAAGGGGCGATATACTGCAGATATATTCAAGTCTCAAGACATTGACGTTCTGTGTTCTGGGAACCACGAACTCTACAAACGACAGTCCTCCGAGGACGAATATTTCATCACCGTTCCCAATTTTAAAGGACACTACATCTCCTCAAATATCGACATAATTGATCCAAGGACTGGTGATATTGTACCATTGGCTCCCAGGTTCAAGAAGTTCACCACACAAATGCAAGGAATCCGAATTGTAGCATTTGGATTCCTTTTCAATTTCAAAGATAATTTTAACAATACCGTTGTGCAGCCTGTGGAAGAGACTGTCAAACAGGAATGGTTCCATGAAGCCATCCAGGATAAAGAGGTAGATCTCTTTCTAGTCATCGGACATGTCCCCGTTCAGTCAAAGGAATATGACACCATTTTCAAAGCAATTCGAGGTGCTAACTGGGATGTACCAATTCAATTTTTCGGAGGACACTTCCACATTCGAGATTATGTCAAATACGATGAAAAATCATACGGCTTAGCGAGTGGTCGCTTCATGGAAACAATCGGCTTCATGTCAATCAGCGGTCTCTCGGCTGGAGGCAAAAGGTCTTCTGAATCTTTATCATTCAACCGAAGATATATAGATAACAATCTTTGGTCATTCCACTATCACTCGAGCCATAACGAAACGACTTTTCCCACGGAAAAGGGAAATGCCGTCTCTGAAATGATCTTGAAAGCCCGCCGTGCTCTCAACCTTGACAGGATCTACGGCTGCAGCCCCGAAAATCTGTGGATGTCTCGAGCTAAGTATCCTTCGCAAAGCAGTATATACACATGGCTAGAGGAGAAAGTACTCCCGGACACTCTCCGTGGCGACAGACCAGCAATGGCCATTCTGAACACTGGAGCCATTCGGTTCGACTTGTTTAAGGGGAGAGTCACCGAAGAGTCAGCCTACAACCTATCACCTTTTACGGGGGGTTTTCGCTTCACCAAAAATGTGCCTTATGACAAATCTATCAAAATCTTAGAAGTCTTGAATAAGGCACCGCGCATTTTCTCTCAACAACCAGGCGTTCCATCCTCAGCTTTACTCGTTTCACCTGAACAATTGGCTACTTCCGGTGACATTAAAAGTCCATTACGACATAATCAGGTCCCTTTTGAAGTTTCAGACTTTTCATCTCATGAAATGGATTTAATACCCGGTTACACAACTCAGGACGCCGCCGGAAATGATGGAGACGACACAATACACTCTCCAATATGTTTCTACCGCTTGCCGAATTGTATACAAGCGTTCATTCCCGTGGTAAAGGAAGAGAAGCGTACTGTGAAGCCCGATACCGTGGATCTAGTATACTTGGAGTTCATCGAGCCGTTTATCGATGTAGCAGCCAAATTTGTCGGGTTGGATTTTGATGTCAAGAGGGACACGGCGGAATACAAACCTGGCTCGAGCCTAAGATCGATTATTGTTGACTGGGTCGAGCACAATTGGAAGTGTGAAGGATGATGCTGACATTACGACGCCACTCTATTCAGCCTTGGATGTTCGTAGCCACTCGTTCTGCTTTTCAGACGCCTAATAGTTACACCAGTGGTAATAGACCAGATGCATCCCAATGCTAGGTTATTCTTAGAATTTAGAGCAGCGGCTAAATGCAAAGACAATATTTGGCTCCTTAACACCTAGTAACGACGTTCATATTCGAAATTACATCGGGACCCGATATGACCCATTCCATGCAGCTATGATACCTGTAATTTACATGGACCAACAACAATCAAAAGATATAGATTCGCCTTCTAGTCTCCCTCATACACAAGCACTCCCTTCCCACTTCTAAACCCAGTCAAAGTTCCCTGAACCTCTTGCGCTAAATCTTCTCCCTTCGTGTCTCGCGTCCACTTGATCTCCTGGACAGGAATATCCTTGAATTTACCGTCTCGAGTCATCCGAAGAATATCTCTAATCGTATTCTCTTTCAACGTAGGGTTTTGATTTCCCCATTGCGACACCCAGAAGCCCTGGAAGTTGATGTTCTTGAAGATCAAAAGGCCGGAAGGAAGGCTGAGAGGTTTCTTTGCCATCGCGCCATATGTAACAACTCGCGAGTTTGGCGCTAGGACTTTAGCAAGAGCGGTAGCACTATCACCCCCTACGCAGTTCAACGCGAGACGGATAGGCTCCTTACCCTTCCGGGTTGCCTCTTGGGTGATCTCACGCAGCTTAGAAGAAGAAAGAAGCTCTGACTCGGTAATAACGACTGTTGCTCCAAGGGACCGAAGATCATCCTTTAGAGCTTCGGTCTCGGGCTCTGTTTTTCTTTCGCGGACCACGTTTATTGTTTTGATACCCCATTCACGCGCTAGTTGGATCACTGCCCGTCCGACACCAGAGTTTGCGCCGTTTTGAATAAGCCACTCCTCACCACTACGCATCCAATCCCACTCGCAGAAGTCTTTAATCATCCGGTAAGCAGTGACAGGATTCACACCAACAGTACCCACTTGTAAGGGTGTTAATCCAGTGTTATCGACCTTGAGGAGCTCTGATTCATCAAACTGGGCGTGTGTGCGCCATGTCCCCATTCCTGTGCGTTTCATAATAACCCAGTCTCCTTTCTTGATATTTTTTACACCCGCACCAGTGGAAAGGACTTCGAAGGCTCCTTCGTTGCCAGGAACAGCATGTGGCTCCGGCGTGCTAAGCTCTGTGGTAAAACGTGGTTTGATAGGGTAAACTCCTTGAATTTGGTTAATATCGGCGGGATTTAGGGGAGCTGTGAGGAGGCGGACTGTGCATTGAGTATCGTGGGGCGGGGAGATGGAGTACGAGTGTAGGCTGCGCGAATAGCCGTCAACCACGACGTCAATTGGCAAGAACAAAATATTAAAGCATGTAGACAAACCTGAGAACATCCTTTGGTTCACCGAATTTAGAAAATACAAGGGCTTTGGACTGCGTATACCCGAAGGCAGAGATGTATCGTCGTCGGTCGAAGTTGACTGTGATGGGGGAATTCCGGGAGCACGACAGCACCTGCCGACCTAAAGGCAGGCGAACAGCAGGCCTCACCAATATCATCCTGAGTCACCAATGAAGCACTCTCAATCCGCAACCATTCAACTGAAGCAACAATCGGCGGTTGTTGTCTGACAGGCTTGGTTGATGTGCATCAAAAATGCAAGCTGATGTCGGAGTGCATTATTGTTTGGCCGAGGTCCGGCCGTGTGATCCCGATTATGATGTCATCCCAAGCTTCCAGCAAAAATCAGTTAACGGTTCCAGGGATACACAAGTCTCACAAGGATACTTTGTAGAGGAGGAGTTTCGTCGGATCGACATTCCTGAAAAGCCACTGGATACTTTTCAGCAGACTGAAGTTACAGACTAAGTTATTTGGCCCTGAACAATCCACATGTGTTGGGAACTAGAATCTCCATGGCAGGCACACTTCATTTACTAGGAACATATGATGAGGCCATGAAGGTGCATCAGAGGTGCTTGAGCAGCAGAGGAAAACACCTGGGTATAAACACCCAAACATCATCAAGACCGAGCGTGTTACAATCCGAGCTGTGTTAAGATTCGTCTTCAAGACAAAGCTAGGATGTGCAGGATGGAAGGTAAATCCTATCCATGAATCTAAAAGTGTATGCACAAGAATGTAAGGGCTCTTATATTTGACATCCTAGCTGATATCCAAGGGACCAGTGTCAGTAGAAGTTTTGACTCTTGTTAAAACCTTAGATGTTGTTGATGTGGAAGAAACTCAAGTTAGAGATGGGCCATGAGCGCAAGGGATGTTGGGCTGAGTGTTCCAATGCTAGATACCCCTACTCCTTAGATCATTTCCATATCCATTCACCCCAAAATAAAAAAAAAAGAAAATTGATGGATGATCATATCCCTTCGTACAAACACACAGAAATCTCTTTGCGTTCATCAACGCACCGATTAACTTCGCCAAGTATCACAGCCACAGAGTCAAGCAATGGCGAAGCTTTCTTACAACCCAAAAAGACATCACTCCTTGCGATAAGGCGTTTTCAGGAAATGACTGCTCATATACTGACAGAACCGGGCCTTCAATCTTGTCCATCCTGAACCTCCATGCCCGCGGTTCAACAGCGACAGCCCTCCCGGATACTTTTTCGACCGTAATCATAACCTCATCGATGCTGATGTGGCTATATAATAGTCCGTCTAAGAGCACCCAGTGGTCACACCTGCGCGAGAACAGTCCCTCGTATCCTGTATTATCGGCATCCGCTGGTACGACTTCAACTACCAATCGGAACGAAACATCGATGCAACTTCTCTGGGATCCAGGACATATCGAATCCCTCGTGAGCTGTGTCGGAAACAAACGGACTCTTGCGATGTCCGAAGAGTTTCTGGAGCCAGCAAGGGTTTTCAATATTTCAATGACATCCGTACCATTAGTATTCCAGCTAGAAATGCCAATTCCATGGTGTTTGTCATTTGCGTCCAGGACGATTGATGAATTCACGCCAGAGGCGCGATATGTCCCTGCAAAGTTCATCTGCGCCTGTCTCCTAGCTTCCTTCTCCAAGGCAGGAATCAATTGTGATGTCATAACCGAGGCAATGGGATAGAGTGGGCTTGGGCCGGGAGCCGCAACTAGGATGGTGAAACCCACATTGTGATCCGGCAGTAAAAAGAGCAGAGACTTGTAGGATCCAACACTCCCACTCTTCGAGTACATGTCGATCACGCGAGGAGAATCGACACGAAAAATCTCCCACGGAGCACCCACTGAGTAAGAAGTCGACCCAGTGTGCGTCATCGGTTTCATCCAACGACGCGTGTCAGTTGCGGAGAGCAGAGTAGCGTTTAGAATGGCCCGGCCCAACCGAGATAGATCATTAGCCGTAGAATAAGCATTGATCCCCCTGGGACTGAATTAGCTGCCGAACATACGAATTTGGGAATCCAAGGATGAGCTTACGGCGCCTCTAGCCCAAAAGAAACGTTCCAGAAGGAACTGAGAGGACTCACTGGGACGATTCCCCAGGAATGATTTTTAGGTTGGAGAAGACTAGTTCGCGACAGGCCCAGCGGGACAAACACAGATTCATTCATCATATCCTCTAGTGGCCTACCTTTGATCTGTTCCAGGGCCAAGCCTAAGAGGGTAAACGCCGTGTTAGAGTAAATAGGAGCGCTGAAAGGAGGATAAACTGGATGGCGAAGTAATACTTCATCCAACAGCGCTACCGTTCAAAAGTAAGCACGTGGACATTCGAATCATATTCCATGTAATATATGGTATAACTCACCCTTTCTCGAGCATGGAGCATTTTGGGGTGAATATCCACACGACAATGCATCTTCTCCATCTAATGGAGGGAATGACCCTTCGGGAATGTGTGATGATTCAATGGTGGGCGCCAGGTCCCCGAAAGTAGCTATATACGGTGTTAGAAAAATATGACTCCGTAAAGCAGGCGATTTCATTGGTACCAGCACGGAGAATCCCAGCCAGGTGAGTCGCTAGGGCTCCGAGAGTAATATCGTTCCACTGTACGGTGTCGGTCTCGACCCCTTTTGGGACAGCCGCAAGCTCCGGGATATACTTTGTGATCTTTTCATCGAGTACTTCAAATCCAGACTCAATAAGCAAAACATATACAGTGAGCAGTTTGGTAATGCTGGCTATGCGGTATATTGTGTCTCCGTCCAGTCCCTCCGCCGGCAGGGTTCCATTGAACTGGCTCGCAACATGATGGTACTCCCAGATCGGCGCTTCGTCCTCGACGGTAAATATATTCAAAGAAAACGACGACTCAGCTCCATTAATCGTGGACGATTCCAACGCCTCTCCGAGTCTCCGAGATAGTCTATCTAGGTCGTTCTTGAAGGTTTGACTTGAAGGCAAGTCCGTTGGACGGGGAAATGCTGGGCCAAGTAAGGCGCAGTCCCTGGGTTTCCCCCCGGCCGAGACACCATACAATAAGAGTAAAGGGGCGCAAAGACCTAGGAGGACTCTCATGGCAACACTCCTTAAAGACTGCGCCCGACAACTGGGGAGACGACCGTAGGCGACGAAGCAGGAAATCTCTCCCCTCGGTCCACGTTCTTATACTCAGTTTTAAGATTTTGATAGCGCATCAGGCAAGGAGACCAAATATCTCAAAAATAGCAATGTACGGAGTAATCGACGGGAATATGGGAGGAAGAGGGGCAAGATAAATAATTCACGCGTTACCATTGTTGCTGGAATCGAGTAACTAACGGGCCTGGGTGGCGTGCAAATCACATATATATGGCAATCCCAAATCCATAGTTCCATTCTCTGTGGAGTGCGTAGGAAGATCGGAAGCATCGGAATCGGTCTCCCAGCATCCACACCGACAGCTGCCTTGCACGTTTGCAGAAGACCAGGACAGGACAGGAGAGAACAGAACGGTAGGGAGCACAGTATCCAGAGGCTCTCTGGCTTCTGCAAATGAATGCGTACCCCGTATGGAGTACTCGCCCTCTCTTAACGAATCCACCGGGGTGATCGGCAAATTTGTATTTAAATTCAGCCATCTCCGCTGAGCCCGCTCAACCGAGATGGGGAAATAACTAATTTAGTCCACATCCATTGTCCCGTCGCCCTATCGGCGTTGAGTTGCCCACTGCACTTCAAAGAATGCAGAATTGCAGGGTCTGGCGGTTTAGGCTGCACCTGATTTGCTTCTGCGGGCTCGAATTCGTGCGCCGTTCGTTTCCGGCGGGGAGAGTCCTTCGTCACCCTTTAAGCTTACTTTTAAGGTCGGAGGGTGGTTTGTGGAGATGGTTGATTGGTTGACTCGTGGGCGAGAGTTGGTTCAATCACTCCGGCTGGTGGTTTTGCAGCTCTCTGGTTGGTAACTAGTCAACCACTCCCTACGGTGCGTGTGCGGGGTTATAAATATTAATTAACTAGCCGTCTCTCGCAGTCGGAGTATCGAGAAAACGCCGTTTCCGTCAAAAGTGAACTCTTTACCTCCAAACCGTGTTCTACATAAACCATCAGAGAGCTTTTTCATATAGACTGCATATCAACCGTTTATGAAAAAAATTCACTACCATTAAAACACCATGGATGCGGCAGATCTATGTAATAATCTTCTAGTTTTGCTTTAGAGCTATCAGTGAGACAATCCTCAGTGACGTGGGCTATCGGACTAAATCGCTGCAACAAGCATATCGAGATCCTTTATCCTATACCTTGTTTGTCCAAGGCACACCCCGAATTCTGAACTTATTTACGGCCGGTTTGTCCTCTCACCCAGAATGGACCACTCCGCAACAGTGGCTCCAGTACCGTTACCGGCTTTAATCTCAGCATCCCCAAGACCCTGGTTCCCACTAATCAGGAGTGTCGCGAACTTCGTCACTGGCACCGGTGAACTCAGAGTGACATTTGTAGTATTGCCCTTGTAGCGCATAATTTTATTCAGGTCCGTCACGTTTGGCTTGTAGGGATCGGACACGGCTATCTCAGAAAGATCAGCTACAACGATGGAGCCTGGTGGGCTCTCAGCAAAGATATCTACCGCGGGCGGTAGTGGAAAATCGTGCAGCAGGACTTTGGCATTTTGGGGAGGCGCTTGGGCCCAATCAAATCCAAATCCAGAAATGCTGGAGGAGAGCGCAGACTCTGGGAAGGTAACGGTAAGTGAAGCCGTCATATTGGCACGGGTGGGCTGCCATTTGGTCGATGCCGCCCCGTCGACCGCAGCGATGGGGAATTGGCCAGGTAAGTATTCATGTGGGGAGCTGACGGGTTGGCACTGCACGAGATTTCCAGGAAATGTATCGATAGAGCCAATCTGACGGTTCTGAATAACTAAATCTCCAGACGGTGGCAAGGAGTATACTGTCACATTGCTTTCGGGGCCGACATGGACCGGGATGGGTGCATCTGCAAAGCGTTGGTCAGCCGTTGGTCGGGCAGTTCTATGTTGCGCACGTCGGATTGTCGTATGTGTATAATTTGATTCAGCTTTAATCGGCCAACCATGCCAATAGAACGTTCGATAATTAATATGCGGAATTTGTGGAGGTAGGTTTGGATCGATGTGAAGGACGGAATCAGGCAGAAGGCGGTAACCGAGATATCCAAACAGAACAACTTGATTCGCGCCACCTTTTCCAGTCAAAAATGGAAAAGCAGGATGAGTGCCCCCGTTGGTTAACCAGTCATCAACCAACTGCTCCGAGAATTGGAAGAAAGGGGCTCGAACGTATGGGCTAAACGAGTATTGCGCATAGGTGTATGCGGAGCAGCCCGATGGAGATACCTCGTTTGCGACGATGGAGAAAATCGCGTATGTCATGGCTGGACCGTCTGGTGATTGCTTCGCGGCGTACTGCAGATTCCTGTTAGAATCTTAACACTAAAAGAACATAAGCACCAAAAAGAGACTACATACATAGTCCAAATCTAGTAGCGCATTCTCTGGCGAGTAATTTTCGGTATACCGCAGAGGAAAAGTATTAAGAACGATATCTGCCTGCTTAACCTGGGTGCTCCCGTTCATTGTTGTATATTCCAATGTGATACTAGAGCTAGGATCCCTAGATATAAGAACGTTCTCTGCCATATCATTCCATGTCTGATTTTGTTCAAGTCCAAACATTTGACGAAAGCTGTTCGCATATATCAGGGTAGATGCAATCATCGGCATGGTAAAGCCACCAGCATCGACGTGATTAGCGTATTCATCCTGGAAATAGGCTTGATTAGCAAACATCAAACGTAAATATTTCGTAGTGTAAATTTCATACTGGATCCGTCATATTCGTAAGAGTCCATTTCGACCCGTTTCTCTCCAAGACATCGGCAAATAGGGTAGCGATCGAGTTATAGAGAGGAAAAAGGTCCGACTTAAAATATTCCGTATCTCCAGTCGTAACCCAATTGTTGATGAGCTGCAGCCCAATATCTCCATTGAGATGATATTGGTAATCGAAACAGGGACCTGTTCCCGTGCAATTTCCGAAGCGCCCACTGGTCCAGGAATAAATAGCAGCATCCGGGGAGATATGCGTCCGGTTCTTTGACGAAGTGAAAGCGGTCTGAGCATTTGCTAAGGCTTGTCCGTATTTATCAACCCGGTAGTTGGTAAAGGACTGAGCCGCTTCGGGGAACGCGGGTACAAATCCTGGCTGCATCCAGATATCTGCATCCCAAAAGACAAGTCCTGCGTAAGAATCTGAAGTCAATCCACCAACAGCCATACTTCCTCTATTTATTGGGGCATCGTTGACAGCTTTCCTTGCATTCGTACTGACTGTCGTCTGAAGTAGGTAATAAGGGTTGGCTACTGCTGTTATCGCAGATTCTATAATGTGATTGTCCAGCGGCAAGTGACCTGTATCCGGCAAAGAGAAACTATCAACAGAATCATCCGGGAACACAGTCGCCCATTCGTCGATATGGGACCTTAGGGACGTTTCAAATCCATTGTTCAGTGCCTTGGCACAAGAATCTTTGGCCACCAGCCGAGGGTCTGCAAATCCGTCTGTCGAAGTGGCTCCCACAAATTTTGTTACCCCCGTTGTTACCCCAGCTCTTAATCTGACACTCACAGCCTGCGCAATTGTCGAGTCGTTTCTCCGAATATAAGGCTTATCGGTGATAAGAGAGAGGGTAGACATGTCTACCTCATCTGTGCCTGCCATTTGAGCATAGATATAGGCGGTAACGTTGCTAATACCGTCAGGCCGGACAGACGAGTAAATAGCCTGCCCGTCAGTTCCGGAACCAGCAAATTGGGTGCGAACAGCAGAGTAACCGTCCAATATGTTAACGACTGTCGCATCTATATTAGTCGATGGGGTGATCTCCATATGAACGACTGCTTGGTTGACGTGTAGTTTATGGGCAAATAGTTGGTAGGCGATATCAAAGCTGTCATTACGGCCCGCAGGGGTCCACTTATATTTCCAAGTTAAAGTCCCCGCCTTCATGTCCAACGTGGAAACAAAGTCTGAAATTGTACTGTTCTCCACAGATGCGTCCAGATACCCGTCCTGCCCGAGGTCTAAGATCATTCCGCTCCAATGTGGAACGCCGCTGATGACGCTTTCGCCTCCATATTGATTCATCCAGGGGAAGTTAGTACCATTTGTTTCGGGTTGTAGGTCATGAAATCCGGAAATCGTCGCAAAAGTCTGCCGTCGAGAGAAAAGAGGCCATCCATTGATCACGTCGCCGTTGACTGGCACGTCCAGCTCAAAAAAAGGCCCCACTGCGGCAACGCTGATACCCAAGTAACCGTTTGCGATCGAGCCACGGGATTGATAGTGACCTTGGTCAAGGACCGTTGTCGTTAACCTCCAGTTTGTATTGTCCCAGGTTACCCCACTGAATTTTGTCGGGTAGATGGGAGCCTGGATATTCGATTCCCGCTTGTCTAAACGTTGGGATAGAATATTGCGGTCTAATATCTTCGAAGCCTTGGAGCCATGGGAATGAGCAACACCAAGAACCTGGCCAGCGAAAAGGAGACCAGCAAAGAGAGTCTGTTGTAGATTAGCCTGTCAGCGTCCTGGGAATGGAATCCTCCTTAAACTTACATTTGTAAACATTATTGCGATAGTTGACCCCAAAGTGCTATTAGTCCTTCAAAGCACCATTCTAGGAACGTCCGATTTTCGATCTAAACAACAAGGGTATCACAAATTCTGTATCACAAGCAAAGTGCAATTTCTGGCGGAAAATTATATGCATAATACTGAAGGATACCTTCAGGCACCCGTTCCAATAATCTGGCACAGGAAGGCCCCAGTTGCCGGTCTATGAAAAATTCAGCCAGAGATGTGATGACAAGGCGAGGGTTTCGTTTCAAAATTCTTGGGCAAAATGTTGTAACCAGCCGTATATCTATCATCAAATCCGCTTTGTTGAGCGTGAGATCTAAAATAGGGGCGAAAGAACGGAGAACTTCGACAGAGCCTTCAAGGAAGAAACCACAATACTACCTCGTGTTGCTACGCCATGAAAAGGGACCAGCTGTCTTCCGGATGTCGAAGCTGTGAGTGGGGGGTGCGGGTTGATTATGTGTGCTCGCCCGGAATATCAGCATGGATTGTACGACCCTCGGCCACGGGGGATGCTCAACCTCGTGGACAGCAGTGATCGATTGATCGATATTATTGTTGCGGACGGCCACGCCGAAAGGTTCTGTGAGAATGCTTTTAATAATCTTTTTTTTTTTCTCCAGGTGGTCGAGGGTCCATGGTACTGGTCGGAGAATGTATGTACATTTTCCAATCCATTATGCGTCATCGGTACATCGCTGGTTGAACGGCCTGAAAAGCGGGGAGCACGTTCGAGAGCTCCGAGCCACACGGGAGAGCGCGCCCTTCCCCTGCACTTGCAGTGTGATAATCCATGGCACCTGTCATCGTGCGCGGTGATCGGCATCAATGGGGAGCTTAACTTCACTCAAGACTGTGGACATCTTCATGCTTTGACGCAGGCAAGCACCCATCCAACAAGAAAGAAAAGTCTGCTCTCTGCAAATGCCCTCCCCCCTGAAGCCGAACGTTGTACCACGGACGCTGGGCGCTTCAAGTCTGGAGAAACCTCGTTGGAATAAGGTTGTCTGGTGCCAAGGAACTGCCAAGAGCTGGTGACGCAAGAGGCTGCTGTCGGTCTCGAGGAATCTCCAGTCGACCAGAGAGAAAGGAGCTCGAAACAAACCTGTAAATCAGCAGGAAGCTGGGCCATATCCTCCATACCTTCAAATGCCAGAGGAGATATGAGTTCAACAAGTTACTTTTAACTGAACTCGGACCAGCACTACCTGCTGGCTGATTCACGGGACCTAAAGAGTGCTTGGATTGAGTCAGGGGGGAAGTCAAATATGAAAGTCTGCTCGGTCCAGAAGCAGCGCCTGAAGGCATCACGAGCGCACATGATTGGCGCAGCATCCAACTTTCATACCAAGTAGTTATTAGGTGAATACCAGCACCGTCTCTTCAAGATACAAGGCGAACAGGCAACTGATGCAGGTTCTCGGCCATACCTTGGGGTCGGTTATCTGATAAATCGATATAGGTTACGGAGTACTCCCTCTGATATTGTGATGGTCATCGAATTTAGGGATACCTTCTTATGTTTCCTATCGGTTACAGTGCACTGCAAACGGAGTGCAACAACTCCTCGCTGGTAGACGTATATCACACTTCAAGGCCATCATCAGAGTCTAGCGACGATATTCCACTGAACTTCTCCCGGAACACCATCAATTGAGAATCTGTCATATGACTTACCACTCATAATCTTGTTCAGGACATGGTCACGGATCTCGTCATGCACAGAATGGCTGGGAGGTGCCGAGACCTTTATCCAGTGTAGGAGTAGCTGGTACCAAGGCTCGCCTCTTTAAACATGTCACTTCCACTTATAGGATGCAGAACCGCAGCTTTTATCGGCATCCGGCGTGCAAAAAATTTCGGTGGATCACGTAGCCTCAAGCCCAGAGCTCTTTCTTCTAGTGAAGATGATTTTGATCGAGAAAACTTCTGGCACGAGCTGGGCCATCAGTTTAGTCCCTGAGATGAACAGGCTGCCGGGAGAAGAGGAAAAAGTAGATTAAAGGTTGCATTTATAAATATTCAACATTAGCATCATTTAAGGGACTGGTTGAATGCCTGCACCAACATTTTGTGTGTTTATGTGGGAGATAGGGGCTTTTTGCTTCGAGCACTTTTCTAGAGAGTGTTGCTCGGCTACGCATAAACTAAAACTCTCCAAGTTGCCTAGCTGATGCCGCATGTAGCGTGAAGATGGGAATGCCTTAAGACTTGGTCATCTAATTTCTTTCGAAAACTTTGGAATAGCTCCCGGAATAATGCTTGGCGTGATAACGGATAATGTAGCGAAATCTATATTATCTCTAACATTGGGATGTTTTGGTGCCCCACGGACAGGAGGAACAAAATCCATCGCTCGATAGCCAACAACGAAGCAAGCAAGTCCGTTCCTAGGTCTGGTGTCGATAAACCGGGACCCAAACGTCACGATGTAGCTGTACATGAATGCTATTCACATCAATGAATATCTCCATGTAGAGACAACACTTGCGACCTCAAATTTATGTTCTGGTGCTCTTGAATGATGCATTACAAGTAGCACGTGGTACGATGGAGGTTCTAACCCGAACCCATAATTCATCGTTAGATGGCGGTCGTATGTAATAAAGTGTAAACTCGAACTACGGGCGCAAAGCCACGTTCGAATCCAGGCTAGTAATTTCTACAGCACAGCGTGAAGCGTGGGATATATAGTAGACCTACCTGTCGATTCTCGGGTAAAAGGGTGGCGGGGGATTTTATCTGGAAATGGGTAAAGCACACCCAAACTTTATATGAGAAAGGGCGCAAACGGTGGCCCGTTCGAGAGCTTGCCACTCATAGAGGTGACTCTTGATTATTCAAAACCACCTGCATTGGGTTCGATATCCATTGGTGTCGATGTCCGCAGGGAGGTACGCGGTGCAGCACCGGCCGCACCTCGCGAGGCCTGGTTAGATAGAGCACGTTCGCCAACAAAATTATTCTCTGTCCAATTGGTTTTGCAAAAAGGGCAGGTTTCGGCTCTCTGCAGGCGAAAGAAATTTTGAACACACATATTGTGTAAGCGTGCTGGACATTGACGCTGAGAACACCGTTGGCCCTATGTTAAAATTAGTCGCCAATTTAACTATTTGAACCCGCAGACTATTGCCGCCTGATAATGATATAAAACCTACCACAGTTATCAAATCCTTGCAGGCAAAGCAAAACTTTATTTTGTCATGCCTTCGTCCATTATCCTGTTCGTCTTCATCCACATCATCATTATAAGATTCAATGAGCCATGTTCGCAGCTCCATCAGTGCGCGTGGTGTCAAGGAATAATTGCCCTTGCGGCTCTTTTCAAACCACCCTTCGTCGACTAATCTCTGCAACATATCTTCTGCTTCCCTCATACTCAATGGCTGCGCATTGCCTCCCTGTGTTGCACTCTGAGATTCTCGCCGACTATTATTGTTGGAAACTTTTGCCAATTGCACAGCTTTGATAGCGGACACTACCATAGCTTCCTCGCGTAATGTGTTATTTGTCTCAAACATGGCGTCGAGAAGTCGCTTCACGTACGCGATTTCATCCGCCGTGTAGGTGGTCGCAAGCTGCATGAGAGGATCACTGGTGGTGTTAACTAGAGCATAGACTCGAGTATGATTCGTCTGATGCACTGAATTGCGAATCTCGAAGTCGAAAGGTGAAATAGCAGTGTTAATTGAGGAAATGTAATTTGATAGATCGGCTTGGGTGACATCTTCCGGTAGTACTTCTCGGCCGTCTACATAAACGAATGTTAGATGTGGGATATATTGTCATCGGAAACATCTAAAAAATTAAAAAAAAAATAAATATAAAAATAAAAAATAAATAAATAAATAACTGCCATACCTTTGACAGAGAGGATAGCTGCTAAAATAGGTTTTGCTTCGTTAAGAGTCATGGTGGATCGAGCCATCAAAGCCTGCAAAAATGCCCGATGGCTGTTATCATAATTTTCATCTCCAGCGACTGGCATGGATGCAGTATTCAATTGTTTCTCGTATAATACCCTCAATGAGGCTGGCTAATGTGGTCGAAGTTGAGCGTTGAGCTATTATGGTTTTCTGTCAGACGTGAGAAGTTCAATTCATGCTGGAACTTTAAATCAATCTGACAACGCGTTGCGACGCGATCCCGTTGCCCCTCAACTTTCGTGTAGCTTGAACTCCATGCGGAGTATTCAACTTGGAAGCGCAACACTGCTGCCCAGGGACTGTGTGAAGAAAGTGAGATCGATGGACATGTCTACTGATTAATTCTATTTCATTATGTTTATTATGACCGATGATACTGAGATTAGATTATTGGGTTCAAAGAGCACCAAGTGTTGCCGTCTGTGAAAACACACCGAAGGCAGGTGGTACGAACTCCTGGTTATAGGCGACTAGAGATCAGCCCGGCCTCTGCATTAAGGCCTAACTGTCCAACATCTGCACTTGCTTTTTTGCCAGTCACCATGTCTGAAACAACCTTCCCTGTCCCCAGCGAGAGCGCAATCCCCCAGGGACCATGGCCCGTAGCAATGAAAACATTCCCAGGGAACCTAACATCGGAGTCGAGCTGCTTATCCTCAATTCTACCAATGATCGGCCTTCCACTCTCTGTCCAGGGACGGAAACAGAGAGCTTCTCGTACGACTTCAAGATCATTGATGTTGTCTGCCTCGCTCTGCAGGTTGGCAGCGATACCAGGATTGGCCCGCCCCATCAACATCACCGCCGCCCGTTTCACTCTGTCTGACTTCTCCTTCTCCATAATCCTGTGTGAGTCTGTCGCCACCTCAGGGAGCGGAATATCGAGGCTATTCAAGCCGGCGATGTAAATCTCAGCGTTATGGCGGGAAAAAATCTCTGGAGCGAAACCACAAGATTTCGGGTGAGTAGTGAAGATGGCGTGGCATTTGCCGCCGTATCTCTCTCGTTCGTGCTCCAAGGTATGCCGAGGTGACCGAAACACGAGTGAATAACCGGATAGAGCCCCAACGGGGATTCTCGTGTTTGATTTCGGAAATAATGTTTTAAAAACCCTGGGTGTCCACGCTCCAGCCGTGAGAATAAGATTTTCGCATGGGACACTCAATTCTCCCTTTGTGTCAAGGCGTTGCAGAACTAGTTTTGCAGATGCACCGTTCTTGGAAATTGCGACTGGGTGGGCGGGATAATGAACTCGAACGCCTCTCTCGAGACATTTTCTTATAAGAAACTGGCAGAGCCGTAGAGGATCACTAATATTAGGAGATTAGCTCCATATTCCGGTGCGGAAACCGCCATAGTTAAGGTAAACTGACACTTGAGCGACGCTGCCATTGTTACTTATCTTTTCGATGGTTCCCCCCCTTTGTTCCGTCAACCACAATGGAGAGGGAACGCCATCGTCAGCAGCTGCTTCGTCTCTTACTGCTACCTCCGCTCTGCTTGCGCCGCGGCGGAGCCAATCGTCTCCTCGTTTAGTCTTTTTCCCATCTTTTCCAACAACCTGCAAACTGAGTGCAGAGCTCGTCATATAACCCCATCTTTCAGCTCCCTGATTATCTTCCGCAAGCTGACGATGTAGATTAAACGACAATTCGCCCAGTGGTGCAATTTCGGGCGAGAACCAATCTTTGGCGATGAACCCTGCGGCAAAACCAGATGCAGAGGCGAACAGTTCCGCGGAAGAGTCGATAATGTGAATCTCTTTCGGCCTTGGCGATCTCTGAGGGTCTGAAAGGTAATACGCAGTTGAGACACCAATTATCCCTCCACCAACAATGACTGTTGACATGACCGCGTTTGTTCAACAGAAGTCTTCAATTGATCACTTTCCGTTTGAGAATGCGAGTCCTCTCTGACCATCAATCAAGTGCAAAAGCCCAGAGTGTTCTCAGCAATATATAGCAACGGGCTCAGAACCAAGGGAAACGCGCAGCAGAAAATCATCTGCTTTGACCTTGGTCAACTGACGTACAAGTGTCATTACCGTGCATGATAAAAGCCCAGCTATCCAGTCGTTCGACTGATAAGAATTCTGGCCAGCGCAGGTCTCGCTCAAGCTCGATAAATGGTTCCACTTAGAGAGTCAATTCCCGTGGAAATGAATGGATAATGGCGGACAAAGGTTGCACAATGGGGGGTCTAGAAGCTTTTCCGTTGCGCCCTTTGGTCATCGGCGACCAGCACAGCACCTGGCTGTCCCCGCGCGTGGGGAATATCAGGGTGAAAAGTTGGTGCGGGGAGTTGACCCGGCGGAAAACTTCCACCGATGTCGGCTTTCCATTTTGCGAACCGGAATCGAAAATTATCAAGCTTTGAAAATATATGGTACGTAAGCTAACACCTCTCTTCCCAAGGTCAGGAATCACTGTTTGGCAGAAGCAGGAAAAGCCTAACTTGGCTTGAAGTGTAAGGTATGGTGGGTAAAAAAAAAAAGGGATTCTCAAAATTTCCGACCACGCTGCGATTCGAACGCAGAATCGCTGGTGGGTTCAGTAACCGAAAACCAGCGCCTTAACCATTAGGCCACGCGGCCGTTCCGTGGGGGGAATGGGTGTGGAGCAATGCTCCAGGACTTTCATTCCGCCTTGTTCTACTCCGTACTCCGATCTGTAAAAAGGGCTAGATAGATATCATTGACGTATGAACCGAGACGGCTAAATGTGCGTTAAATGCTGGCAATATTTTGTGTTTGGGGTTTTAATCCCGCTTCCTGTTCGACGCTTTACTGGCCAGCAACTGATCATCAAACCGTATCCATGGCGAATAACAATGGTTGCTCGCAACTCATCTAGGTGTCGGTTGGTGCACTAATTGTCAGCGCAAATGGCTCCAGGGAGATATGGTGCAGGAACCAGACTCCTGATCAGGGTTGGTAATGCCCCGGCCATAAAAACCGTAACCCTGTCTAGGAGGTTGGGAGTATATTGGCATATCAAGTCTTGAGACCCATTGGCAAACATGCTATCTGTGGAGTCATAGGTATTGAATCACTGTATTCTTCTCTGCACGTTTGTAGGGTCATCGGTGATTAACCTCAAATTTGAGCCAGTGTAGCCCTTTATCGCATGTGCAAATTAGTCACACCCTGTTAACTCTCCAATATTCCAAACTACACAGCATATTAAGGAGCACATTGGAGCAACAAAAGTGAGATGTGCGACGTAGATGCATCGCGGAGCCATCCAAGCAACTTCTGCGGCAGATCCCAAGGCGAGTTTAACTACTAAACCCTAGATGGCTTAGCGCCTTCACCGGGGGGCCGCCTCCAGGTCCCGGAACTCCAACCCCTTGAGGGGTTCACCATCCGCCGTGATGCAGCTTCTCACACCAATCAACACGCGAACGTTCTCAAAATGAAATTTGCAACTGGCCGGACTATTATTCTTACTGGAGCTTCCCGAGGCGAGTTTTAGAGCACTTGTCCCGGCTAGGAAAAATGGTTTCATGTAGTTCTAATCAATGGCATTACAGGAATCGGGTGGGAAATAGCTCGTTGCCTCTTGAGTTCGCCGCTGTCCAGCAATGTTGTAGCGATTGCTCGCTCCGAGCAACCGCTCTTGAAGCTCAAGGAGCAGTATGGGCGGCAAGTTGAGATTGTGTGCGGCGACGCGACGGAGCGCGGCATAGCCGACAAAGCGGTCAAGGCAGCTCTTACGGCCTTTGGCAGGATAGATGGCCTAATTGTCAACCACGGGGTCGTGGCTCCCGTGACTAAAGTGGTAGAGTCTGATATGGAAGCATGGAAGAAAGGGTTTGACATTAATTTTTTCAGCGCGGTTGAATTTGTAAGTTGCAGGGAATATATATTCTACTAAGCTGATTTCTAATGCCAGCCAGGTCAAAGCAGCGCTTCCGCATATCCGCATATCAAGAGGAAACATCATCTTCACTTCCTCGGGCGCTGCTACATCGGCTGTAATCGGATGGGGCTTCTATGGCGCAAGCAAGGCTGCTATGAACCATTTCAATGCTACTTTAGCAAAGGAAGAGCCTGAAGTCACTTGTATTGCGATCCGCCCAGGCATGGTGGACACGCAGATGCAGGAAGAACTAAGATCCGAACATATAGATGTACTCGGTCCCAATGATGGGCAGAGATTCATCACTGCGCACAAGGAAGGGAAGCTACTGCCACCCGAAAAGCCGGGTCACGTAATTGCCAAGCTCGCGGTTAGCGCCCCTCGCGAGCTCTCTGGCCAATTCCTAACGTAAGTACAGTTTATTCCTGTAGCAGTATCCATCAAAGCTGACTCGAGTAGTTGGAATTCGGAAGAATTGAAGGATTACCAGGATGATGCATGACGCTAAGGAACTAAGGACCAATTGATGAGGTTAGCATTATCCTCGACGAACTACAAAATACAGCAGGTATCGTATATTAGAGCCATAGAATGCATCAGTCGAAAGGTTAAATGGATACATGTAGCTAAGCATCAGATGCAAAGAGCACCTTCATATTTAGCATGGAGTGATGTTTTTTTTCATCATTTTGCCAGGACTCGAATCTCGAAGTGAACAATGTAATAATGGCAAGACATACCTACTTAAGGAAGTAAAAGAGCAAGCGTTGTTATGAATGATACTCTGCTGTCAGGGTCAATTCAAATCCATCGGGGAATCCACGATCAAAAGAGACCCCAAGACTTGTGTCGATGAGGCAACAGGCAAATATATAGTCTTCCGCTGTTTGAATTGAATAATTGGCAAACATTTGTTCATCATATCAAACAATCCACGAAGGCTTGCACATTCCTTTTACAGCAATGTATTTACAGGACGCAAAACGAGAAGAGGAACCTAAGTTTTGGCTTGAGTCAGAATTGATTCAACTCCAAAGAGCGGCGTAAGAGGCAGAAGTTATGACAAGGGAGCATTATCAGAAAGTCCGTTTGGCTTGGACAGGTAAATCACCACATGGGCAGTGCCCACTGTATGATAGGGGCGACAACAAGGTTCATCATGGTAGAAAGATGGAAGGAGATAGCAAACAAGAAATGATTCACTCACATTTTACATCACACCAGAGTCTTTAAGGTGTTTGCTGCTTCCGCCATGTTATTTCACATTCCTGGGCGGAGGGTTTTCTTGGGAAAAGAAACAAGAGAAAAACAGAAGCTGGAAGTTCTCTGTGGAAGTTGAATTTAAAGGCATCGCGAAAAAGCTTAACTTAGTTAGTTTATGTTGTTTGCTTGACTGACTAAGCAGAGTTTGACTTATCGCGTAATCACGTGATATCGACTCCCGTGCTGGCTACGGAGTACTTAGGCATAAATAGCAGGCGAACGTGCTCGTCATCCTTGGGCGTATTTGTAATTCCTTTGGTGTGACGATATAGTATTTGGGTTGCGGACCATCCATATTCACTATGTCTGATAGAGAGTTTACCAGTAAGTCAAGTATCCCGGTATCTCTTTTCTGTCAAGCGCCGACGTGACTGATGGAGGTGTAGGTAACGATGACCTCTCACTCCCTAAAGGTACGGTTTCTCCCAGTCCTCAATAAACGGTGTAGTTTATTCCTCGCGAGGTCAAATTTTCCAAGAAGTTCTCCCTTTTCCTGAGCTTTATCTACATTCTGAGTCTGACGGCTATGATTTGAATGTAGCTACGGTTCAAAAGATCATAACCGAGATCCTGCCCCCATCGTCAGGGCAAAACTTCGCCAAAGATGCGCGGGATCTTCTTATCGAGTGCTGTGTCGAGTTCATAACTCTGATCTCGTCCGAAGCAAATGAAATTAGCGAAAAGGAAGCCAAAAAGACGATTGCTTGCGAACACATTGAGAAAGCGCTTACGGATCTTGGATTTGGAGATTATGTGCCCGATGTATTGGCCGTGGCGGAGGAGCACAAAGAGCAGTTGAAGGTTCGTTCAAACTTTCGCTTCCGCGTGGCAGGGATGACGATAGTTCTTTCTTCGCACAGTGGATGGAATCTTACTGACCCTTGTCACTTATCTATAGTCCCGCGAGAGGCGGACAAACAAAATCGAGCAGAGCGGGATGTCTGAGGAACAACTTTATCAATTACAGCAAGAGCTTTTCAGGTCGGCTGGTGAGAAATATCATGCAGGTAGTTAAAGGTTCTTGGAGGTTTCCCTTTGCGGCGTTCGGCATTGGCTTCGATTACTTCAATACGAGGTCCTGGATGCCAGGAATGGGTAACTATGGCGTTTTGATTTGAGACTTTCGTGGGCTATGCATGGGCATGGGACACTTCAAACACATTTCAGCCGATAGGTTTGGTTTTCTATATGGAGACTTATGAGACATGATTTTAATGCGTGATGCACTGGATTTTCTACTTTCTTTCTCATAATTTCATATTTTACGGAGAGAGCTATCACCCAAATTTACAGGGCTCCCGTCAACTGTATATAAAAATTGCACTCCGTACGGAGTACATCGCAGACCAATTCTTAACCCCCTCAATCCGTTCGTTCGAAGGACAGCGGCATACAAGACGCAAACATGGATATATCCCTATGATATGATAACCACTTGAATTGCTCCATTGAACTCCGTACGCAGAGCTCCGAAGTTCTGGGCAGACGTGATGGCGAAGTTGCTGGAGGATTCGCTTAGTCAGCCGAAGATAAGGAATCTCCCACGCGTTTCTGGCAGGCGCTTCAGCCCATGACCCGCAAGCCCTCTCTAGTGATCGATCGTCAACATGCCGTCTTTCAAAGATGAACATATCCTGGTAAGGATGGAACGGATGCGCCTCCTTTGGATGGATTCCTAGCTGTTGACACTACCTGGCTCTCACGTACAGACCGCTAACAATCGCATTTGTTCTAGATTATTGCGCCAGGGTCGCAAACTACCCTGGCGCAATTGGGGCTTCCGGACTCGTTCACGCCGGCGAAGTTTCGTTTTCCGACTCGCATGTTCCCAGCTGAAAAGAAGGGAGAATGGGAGCCATTTAAGATACGTCAAAAGGTTATCACCGTTAAAAAGACTACCCCTAAGGACTCCGCCACTCGCAATGATGCCGCCGCTCCTACTACAGGAACCTCCAATGCCGCCGAGAAATCAGAGGATACCGAAATGAAAGATGCCGCCGACGGTGTGCAACAACCAGCAAAGGAACAGGACACGCGGCCCGAACTAGTGGAGGTGGAGGAAGAGCAGGTCGTTTACGAAGAGGATCCAACATCAGATGAAGGAGCCGTCTACCCCATACGCGGTGGTGCCGTTGTCGATTGGACGTGCTTTTTCGCCTTGTTAACACATATCTATAATACGCTGAGCCCTCCATTCCATACTCCGATTATGCTCATCGCGGAGCCGGTCTGGACCCTACGCGACCGTGAGACACTCACACAGTTTATATTTGAAAAGTTTAAGACGCCGGCATTTTGCTTGATGGATTCTGCCGTGGCTGTATGCTATGCCTATGGAACCCCGAATGCCACGGTTGTTGATATTGGTCACGAAAAGGCGGATGTGACGGCTGTTACAGATTTCATGGCCAGCGAATATGGAAGGGGAATCGCATTAGCAGGCTGCGGTGGCGATGCCATGACTAGCCGCCTTTTTGAGTTGCTGCAGTCTCAAGGGTTTACTCGAGAAATGTGTGAGCAGCTAAAAAGGAGCAATATATGCGAAATTCTTCCAACCGGGACTCCCCTGCCGACAAGTGGACAGGACCGGGAACCGGCCAAAGCTCCGCCACCGTCTGCTCCTGGAAAGGGCCCGGATATCGCTCGAAATGTTGGCAATGGTGATGCTGACGATGATGAGGGTATTCTCGATGTGGCTGCCATCGTGAGTGGGAATACGAGTGAGTACCTAGCAAAAAGAGAGAGAGAAAAGGCAGAGAAAGCCGCTACCCGGAAAGGACACGGAGATTCAAGTGCCACTACGAAACAAGTGCGTCTTCCGAATTCCAAAAAAGAGAAGGCGACTTTCCAATTTCAAGAGTACAAACCCGTTGAATCCAGAGATGAGAGTGGCCAGAAAACAAAGCAGTTCGTTTTACACAAACGAGACGTCGAAGTCGGGACTGAAAGGTTCTTGGCTACAACTCCAAGCGACACCAAGGCTAGCGAACACGGCTCCTATAGCATTCTCGACACGCTCGCAGCGCAGATACATCATACAATTCATTCTGTCTCCGACACGTCGAAGCGAAGCGAATTATGGGATTCCATGATCATCCTTGGAAATGGAAGCAAAATACGAGGTTTGTATTGCCTCCTCCCCACAAACTCAGCGCATTTATTAGCGGATCTCAATGAGCAACATGAATGCTAACCCTACGCTACAGGATTCCCCCAAGCACTTGTTTCCACAATAACGCAGAAATACGTGCTATCGCCTTCAGGCACCATATTCACTTCCGAAATCCCGTCTGCACTCTCCACTCCTCTTCCCACAGGAGGCACAAATACCCCCGCACACCAACCGAACCCTAGTCCACTCCTACACCCCGCTGCCCATGGAGTAAACCCTCTTCTTGTTGCTGCTACTCACGCAAATAACCCGATTGCCCCTAATCACCTAAATCCAAGTATGAACAACCCCTCAGACCCGAACGCTTCTGCGCACCACAGGTCAACAGGGCATTCCCAAACCCCGACTTCCGTCAAACTTCTCAGGCCACCGGAGTACTTTCCGGAATGGAAAGATCAAGGAAGTGGTGGGAGCTCCGCGGCGTCAATGGCAGCAAATAACGTCCCTGCTTCTGGAGGAGCTGTAACGGGTGTAGCGACTAGCTCTAACAACGTTGGTATGGAGGAGGCAACATTCTTGGGAGCGCAGGTCGCTGCAAAAGTTATATTCGTCATTGACCAGGGTTTGACAAAAGGATTCCTGAGTCGTGTTGAGTACAATGATGCAGGGCCCACTGCGATTCACGACTACTCGGTATAAAAGTTATTTCGACTCTACGAATGCTTCTTGAGCTCCCAGACGATACTATACGGATGATTTGGGTCCCTTTTTCCCCCATATCGCGTTGTTTTTGATGGCTTCAGATTGTGTTTAGATTACGGGAGCAATAAAAGATGCAAAGGATGGTTGGAGTTGGGTTTGCAACCTGTATTTCTCCTAGTCAGCGTTCTATCAATACACCACCATAGCTTAAATCCCCCTTGAGGTGCAGTTCAGTGTTTGCCTATGTATCCTGTTTCGCTGGCGCATTTTTTTCGCGGAGCTTAGTGGAGATCAGATAACGATGGCGCTAATCCTATTTGGGAATCACTTATCACACATCGCAAAAATGTTTATCAATCCCACCTGAAATTCTGTAGATTCGAATCACAGCGCCGCCTAACACAGGGGTGGAATAAAACAAGTCAGGAATTCATAACGTTGCTGTTTTCTTACGCAAAATCTGCTGCAGAAAAACTACAAATCTCCTGATACTAAGAGTCACTTCCGATACTAATGCGATAAGGAGCACCCTATATCAAAAAATACGCCCAATCCAGCTACGAGATTTCCATATCCATGCCTCGGACAACAGCTGCGCGGCCGTCGACCGCGGCCGCTGAGCGGCGACATGTTCCCCTCGCCGATGATATTCTTAATGCGGGCCATCTCCGCACCAAAAAAGCTAACAAGCGCAAATCTCGACATGACGACGATGCTGAAGCCGATGATCACTATATTGACGCCAAATCCTCCAGGAAGATTCTCCAGATCGGTCAGGATTTAGCTGAGGAAGAAGCTGCCGAAGAGCGCGCCGCGGCTGCAGCTAGGCGCCCTGCTGCTACTAATTCAGCGTTCGATTTTGAGTCGCGATTTGGAAGAGATCTTGAAGAAGGTTCCGATGAAGAAGAGTTTGGAAAGTTCGGAGAAGAGGAGGACCAGTGGGAAGATGAGGGAGAGGTAGAAGAGATTGTACGTTATTCTCCGGTTTTATCAACCCGCGGGTCTCATTTTTTTCTATAGTGTGGAAAAGGCTGACGATAATTGTGTTTTCTAGGAAGTTGATCCGAATGACCTTGAGATGTTCCACAAGTTCGTTGGCCGCGACGATGAAGATCCTATTTTTAACCCTAGACAGCCTGGTGAGGAGGAAGAAGGGGAGGGCACGAATTTAGCAGATCTTATCTTAGAAAAGATCGCTGCATACGAGGCAAAACAATCGGGTCAGCCACAGATAATTGGTGGAGGTTTGCCGGAAGATGCGGTGCAGCTGCCAGCCAAAGCAGTAGAAGTATATGAAAAGTACGTATGAACCTTATCTAACTCTTCGTAGCCCACGTCGTTGTATTAACCAACGGTATTTAGAGTCGGCTTCCTCCTTTCACGATATAAGTCCGGCCCTCTCCCGAAACCCTTCAAAATCCTGCCCACGTTACCTCACTGGGATACATTGCTCGACATTACACAACCTGACAAGTGGACTTCAAACTCGATATACGCAGCGACTCGGATTTTCATATCTGCCAAACCGCACATCGCACAGCATTTTATCTCCGTTGTGCTTTTGGACCGAGTACGGGAAGAAATCCGTGAAAACAAAAAGCTCCATGTGCACATCTATAACGCACTCAAGAAAGCTCTCTACAAACCTGCTTGTTTCTTCAAGGGATTTCTCTTCCCACTTGTCGCCGGAGGCACGTGCACCCTAAGGGAAGCCCATATTGTATCCAGTGTGATTGCTCGCGTGTCCATTCCCGTCCTTCACTCCGCCGCCGCACTCCTTCGTCTTTGCGAAATTTCAGCAGAGCAAACCTCTACATCACTCACATCTGAGGGAACGGGCGCTACAAATATTTTTATTCGCGTATTTCTGCAGAAGAAATATGCCCTACCATATAAAGTAATTGACGCTCTCGTATTTCACTTCCTCCGTTTCCGTGCCGTCCAGCCACAGGAAACCGATGGCGACACAGATATGAACGATCCCTCGGCAGCCAAAGCACACAAATTACCCGTTTTATGGCACCAGTCTCTCCTCGTCTTTGCCCAGAGGTATAGAAATGATATCACAGAGGACCAGCGCGAGGCACTATTAGACCTACTGCTTGTTGCAGGACATAAAGACATTGGCCCAGAGGTGAGACGAGAGCTGTTAGCAGGTAGAGGGAGGGGCGTCATGGCTCCAGAATTGCAGCAACAAAATAATGGGGGAGATGATACAATGGATGTGACCATGTGAATACATTTATCTCGAGTAATACTCGGCAACAAGGGTTTGGTCTTGGTTTCACTGTGCTTAGCATTTTGGTATAGCTCTGATTTTAGAGCGCTTTATGTGCATCGGCGTCCTTTTCCTAGTTCCTTAAAAAATATGAATGGACCATATTAATTTGACGAGGCTATGAAATATGCACGGGTTTGCAAGTACAGATACCTCCCGTGGATCCCTAGCATCCGCTTCTCATGACTTTTTGTATCTATCGGTCCCATCAATATGGCTTTTCGTGGCCTTTGGAAAGGATATTGAGCACAGTCGGGAATTTTATGCCACTCGCTATACTCTATGCCCTTTCAACTATCCACCGGTGCTGGTGTCCCACCAGCTCCATCTATTTGCATTCGGATATCGCCCGCCACAGACTGCGCTCTCGGCGTTCCCGTCGCAGTGCCAGGCGCGGTACCATTTCCTGTTCCACCTCCAGCGATATTCTTCAACCCAGCCAAAGCGTCGGTTACACTCCAGCCCATAAACATAGCTTCAATCTCATCCACAATATCAGCCACCACATCCTCCACGATTTGATCATTGAATCTCTCCCCGAACGGCTTAGCATCTGGGAAATCCTGTATCGGCGGACCAACCCACCATGGTTCTTCAAATCGGCATTCTACCGCTCCGCCGTTATGGCAGCTCACCATGGGATAATACCCGATCATCCCGTCATCTGCGTTTTCTCTTTCGCCGATCCCAAGATTGTTCGACAGCTGGGTGGCGCGTGAAGCCGGTGGGAGGAAGGCATAGAGGTTAGTGAACGGAGTACCCATTCGGACTCCATTCTTGTAAATTGTTATGCTAGATCCGGGAAGAGTGCGTAGAGAAGGGTCCTCTGCGTTTCCGGGTGATGGTGGGCCGTATGTTGGTGTTTCTTTGAGGTTAAAAGCATAGTCTCGGAGGTGTTTGGACGGGAAGATGTGACTCTGTTGGTAAAGGAAGTCTGATTTCAGGTGGAAAGGTATGCGATCCCGAATAAAATTGATGGAGGCTGGTTGGGATGCGCAATTGCTGTGTGATGAAGGATCAGATCCGTCGCCGTCCACTGCCGGGTCATACGTGCCGGCCACGACTTTCTTGTGTAGGCCCAGCGGTGGCAGTGTGATTAGCATTCCTATCACGTCTCCTTCATTTATAGCTTCATCCTTGGGAAAGAAATACTCGCATCTCATGCGGTTCACAACCTCGCCGTTAACGTCCCGGATTCCGTATCCGTAGCAATCCACGCCAACGTTGACATCTAAGTCTGCCTCCCGACGCGCAAACCCCAGCCTTACGTTACCCCGAGGCGACGGACCGGGAAGAGCATTTTTACTCGGGACAATACCGCTAATAACCCGAGCTTCGTAGTAATAAGTGCCTTCACGCGCGCAAATATTGGCGCGGGCTGAATGCCACGGGTCGTTTGTGCTAACCGCTAACCCACTTTTTGTAAATGCAATTGATGAAGGAGAGTCTTCAAAGCTGAATCTCGAGTGATATGGAGGGACATCGGTCTGGCGGTAGAGGATATGTGGGAATCCAGGGTCCGCGACCGCGTAGGTGTATCTAAACCCGTTCCGGTTGCTCACTCTGGACGAGCAAAAAATATGTTAGTCGAATAGTGCCCTTAGCATATTAATTACTCCTCGCTAAAACTCTGGTACTCACTTGTCTGCAACCTCGAAAAAAGGCCAGGACTGCTTTAGCACGTCGGAATGCCTGGTGAAGACGGGGTTCAGCTGTCGCGGTCTTGGGGGCAATACGTCAATTGATCGTGGGTCTGCTAGTGGAATGGGCATGGACATCGATAGTTCAGACGATGGAATTGCTGTGCTGGAAGCCGACGAGGTCACCTTCTTGCTGTAAGAAAGGCTGCCATCGTCCAGCTCCTGTCTCTTTGCGCCACGTTTCTCGCGGCCGCCACCGTCGCGTTTGGATCGTTTACCTTTTCCATTGGTGGGTGCAGTGCTAGTTGCCATGTTCAATGATTTAAATTAAGGCAGTAGAGATTAGTAGATCAGTTCGGGGCCACGCATGGCTAAATGCAGCTCGAAGCAAGATATGATGGTTGAGCAGCTCGTCCTTTTGTTATCGCGGCCTGATAAGATAACTGGTTAGCTCTACCTCCCAAGCACAGGCACTGTACGGACTACTCCGTAGCAGCATTGCCAAACAACTTTTTTGTAATTTCAATGCATTTATTGAGGCTAGGTAAGTAAAAGTGAATTTGAAACGATGTTGATAATGAAAGCGGAAATTACAAAAGCAGGCTGCTTCTAGCCTTATGAAGTGCCAACACGCTTGAAACATTATGTCGCTTACTATTTTACACAGGAATGGATCTATAACTACATACTAGGACGGAGTACTCCGTACCGTCCTATTCTATATTCATCTTCTCGAGTGTGTTCCCGACATCCAAGACTAGCTGGTCATCTCCAAACTGCCCAATGACCTGTATACCGATAGGACTCTCCTGCTCACGATCTCCAGGAGTAACAGGGACACTCAAAGCAGGAAGACCTGCCAAGCTAGCCGGGACGGTAAAGACATCGTTGGTGTACGCTTCAGTCGGCGCAGCATTCTCTAGGGAGCTTAGGAGAGGAGGAGGTGACGGAGCAGTCGGGCAGACAAGAACATCTACCTTCTCAGCCGTATCACCGTCGGATTCCAGGGCTTTAGGGTGAGACGTAAGGTTTGCCTGGAGCAATGGATTGTGAAGACGGAACACTTTATTGAAGTCCGATTGGACCAGTCGCCGGACCTTTTGGGCTTGGATAAAGTAGTTATCTATCGCTTCAGCGCTGAGAGAAAACGCGCCTAGAACGATGCGTCGCTTAACCTCGGGTCCGAAGCCTGAACCGCGGTTCCTTGCGTAAAGATATCCTCCTGTATTATCCGGGGAATCAAGGTCACGGGTACCATAGCGGACACCGTCGTATTTGGCAAGGTTAGAAGATGCTTCAGCTGGCGCGAGCACGTAGTATGCGGACAATGCTTGTTTTGTTGCGGGAAGAGAAACGGGATGAACGGTGTGACCTTGATTTTTCAGATGCTGGATCGATTTACGCCACGTTTCGCGAACAAAAGGGTCTAGTTCGAGAATATTATACTCTATGGGAACGCCAATGCGCAATCTTTCGCTCCGCGTTTTCGAGGTACTCCCAATTATTTCGTCGATACGAGAACGAGTAGCCTTGGAGATACTGGTTGGATCTCGATGGTCATAGCGATTTAACACTCCTATCGCATACATTAGAGAGAATAGTAGAAAATAGTTGTATATTTGAACCTTACCGAAAACTTGACTAACCGTGGAGGTATTTGCTCCAATTATCCCAACCGTATCAAGGGAATTCGCGTACGCCACCACTCCCCACCTCGATAATAACCCATACGAGGGCTTGAAACCAACAGTTCCCGTATAAGCAGCTGGCAAGCGAACAGAACCCCCCGTATCAGTTCCTAGTGCTCTAGCAAGGGTTTAGCGACGGTGGAACATAGAGAGGCAGGAGCCGGACATACGCGTAACACTGTTCGGTAGCTACAGCAATCGCACTACCTCCAGAGCTCCCACCCGCGGATACATGGCCCAAGTCATCCGCACGAAGCCCTTTCACTGGCCCAAAATGAGAGTATGTAGAGTGTGACCTGAAATTCCATCAACCATTGCACATCGTGCCGAAGCAGGGTGTAGCGGCATACCCCATTCCAAACTCATCCAGATTAGTTTTCCCGGCAACAATAGCACCAGATTCCTCTAGAAGCTCCACCACTGTGGCATTGAACGGGCTCGTGAAGTTTTCGAGGATCGCAGAGGCACATGTCGTTCGAACATCACGAGTGCAGATGTTATCTTTAATGGCGATGAGTTTTCCGTCTAATGATGACTTCGGCGCGCCTATAACCTCCAAAAATGAATATTAAGCTCATTATCACCGCCCTGATATGCCATAGCTTCGCACCTCGCTTCCGCCGAGCATCGGCGTCTTTCACACGTTCTATCCATGATCCGACTCGATCGAGCGGCGTTACGAAGGCATTGAGGCTCGCAAAGGCCTTTTGGTTAACAAGACATCTTTCCGCTTCCCGTAGAAGGGACATTTATGCCGCTGCAGCGAGAGAAGGGCCGGATGAATATCCACCTGTCATGAGAATATACAGACCGACCGAACGAGACGGGAAACCTCCCTTTGGAAATGGATGCTTGCCGACGTCATGTGATCTACAGTTTAGTCAGTTCCGCAGAGCGGACTCTAAAACTCAGCCAAACGATTTTCCATCGTCAAAAAGCTCCGAAGAAGAGGTTCATGGCTTTGGTGAATCCACGATTGGAGCCCGCAGACACGGGTATTCCTCTTTTCATCTCTTGATTATATTCATACCTACGCTCCTGCAGCATGACGTACCCGCACCGCGCGCCTGCTCACCCTCCTCCAAGTCTACCTCCTCATCCACATCCTAACCCACCACATCATGCTCCACCCAAGATTACTTCCGCGATTCCTCCGCCCCAAGGGCCTTCTCCGGTGTACCACCATCCCACCAATTTGAATCATACTCCCGCAATGCACGTACAAGCCCATCCTCCGAATGTGCACCCCACACCACCTCCAAACCCGCCACCCGGATATCTTATGCTTCCCATTCCGTTCCCCGTGAGACCGCTATTCAATAACATTCTCAATGCGCCGGACAATATCGGAGAGATGAGACGGCGATTTTTCCTTCTAGGGACACCAATAATCCAATCCCATTACGAACATGAGATATACTGGCCGTTCATGGACAACTTCTGGGTGCGGAACAAAGTCAAAGACTCTGCAGATTGTAGGACAGAGTATTACTGGTGCCGATTGTTCAGGAAGCAGGATCAAAAGTTGGTTTATCTGCTAATTGCTTTTAACGGCTACTGGACAACGATGCTGATTACGCGCTATTTTCTAGATCCGCCGTTCCCCCCGAACTACGAAAGCGAAAATGCTCCATTCGCAGCGCTGTGGGATGCGAGATGAAGCTCCGGAAACGCTTCTGGAGGGATGGCACCGTCGAGATCTCAAATCACGGAACATGCAATCAGCACTGCCATTCAATGGACGAGATGGACCAGATCAAACGCAACTCCGCCGTTAGGCTTGCGATTGGCAACGAAATCGGCAAAGGATACAGACCCACCGAGGTGAAAAGGGTGCTGCTACAGAATCGGGAAATTTTAACCGCTGCTGGCGGACAGTGTATCACGATAAAAGACTGCCATAACGCCGCGCTAGTACATAATAAGGAGCAGAAAGAGAATCAAACATCAGCAAAGGGGGACGATCAGCCGGAAGTACAGGAGAATATTCAGGATGACGATGAACCTATGCTGGGGTCTGTGCTTGAAGACAACAGCCGTGTGGGGCCAGAAGCCACAAAAGAGCAGAGCAGCAGACTGCCAATGGAGGGTCAGCTGCAAGTGGCGGGGCAAGACCAGCAAGAGCCGGGTGGATCTGGAGCTCATTTGGCTGTGTCCACAGCCCTAGAGCTGACGAGAGATATAAACGGCGAACCCGATGGGCAAACTAATCAGGGCTAGGTAGAGATATTATAGTGTATTGTTCGAAGCCCAATCTACACAGAACCCTCCCCCCCAAAACGCCATCCCGGGACTCCTGAAGACACAAGAAGAAATCACAAACAAGGGAAAGACGTATCCATCGTCACCCATCAATCTATCCCAGCGGAGTGGAGCTGGGCGGGCGCAGGAGCATGCAGCGAAATTCCAAGAAAGAAGAAGACCAAAAAGGGAGCCACAATCTATGACCTCAGCGCTCTCAGCCTGCCCGCCAACCCATCCTCGAAATCCGGTTCCTTCTGCTTCCCCGCCTTGACGCCAATCTCATCGCTCGGCGCGGCATTCTCCTCCAAATTCTGCCTCAAATCCACTCCAGCATTATCCGCCAACCTCTCCATCAACTTATCAACCTCATCTTCGGCGCCCTCCGCCCCGTACTCCGCCATCTGCACGTCCCTCGACACCCCCTCCAGCGCAGAGCCCGCCAGCTTAAAATCCTCCGACCTCGACACGAAGGCGTTAGCGATCGCCAGCGTTCTCTCAAGATTGATGCTCCTGCTCGCCGAATCCAGCGCCTTGGACGCTTTCATCAGCGACCGCGTCGAGTCCCGCGTCGATTTGGCCGCCGCGAGATCGGAATATATCACGTCCGCCTCGGCGGCCTTGGAGAGCAACGTGACGGAGCGGCGCTTTTCGCGGATCGCGGAGCCAGCGTGGATGCGCGAGATTTGGAACTGGCCCTTTTTCATGGCCTTGGTGGCCTTGTCTTCTTGGGCACGCGACATGGATTCGGCCTTGGTAGCTTGTTTGCGGAGTTGGTTGGCATTGACCTTAAAATCCGATTTGAGCGGTTAGATTAGGTCCCGGGCGGGGGGGGTGGGGGGGGAGGGGAAAGGAGAAAGAAAATGATGGACCAGAATGAAACAGGGTTTTCTTCACAAGAGAGCTGCGCTAACGTATTCAAGAGAACAACGGAGCGACAGCTCATCGAAATGAATCTTGAACTTGAGGAACGGGTTTGTACGTCGAGGAGCACATACCTTAACTTCGGCCATAGCCTCGAGGAGGGGATCTCGAGGGCCCATTTTAAGTTTGGCGCTTAAAGAGGAGATGCGGATGAACTCAGTGTCGGGGTGAAAGTGTACGTGAGGCTTGACGACTATCTCGCAATACAGCAATGTGGAAGAAAAGAACGACTTGGAAATGCTCGCACAGCGGGTGGTGAAGTTTAGAAAGGCGCCTGATTCCGCCCAGTGCGTCATGATGCGTTTCTTGGCATCACGTGGTTGGGTATATGGCACACAGTGCTTGGCGGGAGAACAGACGGAGTTCAGATGCATGGACCGAGTAACTACGAAGAGCACAGCTTACAGACAAGAGAATAAATAGGGTCTCAGACGTAAAACTTGAATTCAAATGAATCTAAAAATTACATGTACATTGAATGGCACAAAAGGGTAGACATCAAGAAGGCAACCAATCCTCCGAAAAAAAGGGGCTCAATGATACAAAAAACGCTAGGAATGGCTATACCCATCGTAGTCCACCGTACTCCTGGAACTCCGCGAACGACGTAGAGATAATTGTTTCGCCCTGGCATGATGTGCCGATCGAGCTGCTCCGTGCAATGCTCGGGACGGTTTAGAATAGTGGTAGCCATGCGATCTTCCGATTCGATCAATTGCCCAGACCGTAGTCATCAACAACTCCCAATCCTGGCTAGGCCGGCCACCTTGGACCATTGATCGATTGCTAGCGGATCGTGGCAAATCACGCACTGCCAGCTGCAATGCCCTGCTCGTCGCATCTCTTAGTGGACGCGCCAAAGCTGGGCTGCACGCTAGGAGTCGGGTGAGAAGCTGGATCCGGAAGACCGATCGCTGGATCGAGGTGTTCGACTTTGACAGGGTCGGGGTCGAAATCAACCATAGAATCAAAGGCAAGTGTTGACAGATCTCCTCCTGGGAAAAGGTCAAAGGAGAACCCTTCTTCAAGGAATGAAAGATCTGGCTTAGTGGAAGAATCACCGTCGAATAGGCGGCGGAAGTCATCATCAGAAAGAGGTGCTGCATGATGACCTGGAGCATCAGAGCAAAGGTCGGATGCGGAGTCGAATACTGATTGAGAGAGGCCGTCAGATTCTTCGATTCCTCCGATTGACACTGCAGGTCGCACAACATCGCTGCAGGATGTTGTGTCAGATCGGAGGCATCTATCGAATCGATGACGGCCGCGCTGGGGGAGTAGATGGTGGTGGGCGGGGAGGCGATTGGGACTTTTTCAAGGGGTAGCTCGTCGTCTTCCTGTTTGAAGAGGACGGGAGCGAGGGTGGGGGAAGGTGCCGATACGGACTGTGGGGAAGCACCGCGGGAGCTGCGGATTTCGGTCGATAGTTTGGCGACCTGTTGGCTCAGGCGGTTGTTCTCCGCTTCCATCTGCGCCAGGCGTTGGAGGAGGAATCGATTCTGCTGTTCCATCTTGGCCTTCTCGGTTTCCAGCTTCTCGATCTCCAGTCTCTTGCGTTCCCTTGAGATCTGGGCGGCGGCGCGGTTGCGGAGAACGCGCTCGATTCTGCGCTGCTCCTTCTCATCTTCGGTCTTGGCCCGTTTCCTGTCGCCTGTTAGTTAGCACAGATTCACCATCTCGCCGGTCATACGTAGATCACGGCATACCTTGGTGGCAGATTGGTCTTGGGGATGGGCAGCTCTTGACCCCATGACTTTCTCTTTTTGACAGGCTTCTTTTCCTCTGGCTTGGGAGGCTGCTCCTTGGGCTCCGGCGCTAAATCGTCGAGCTTCAAGGTAGTTTCGGCCGGAGAGATTGTGAGCTGAGGAACATCGGCCCCAGAGGCGAAAGATATCGAGTCGAAGGTGGTAGAAAACGTAGAATCCATGACTGTGGGGTATTGCTTGCCACGAAAAGAGGGAATATACCTTCGATCGTGGAATACTGTGTATGTGTGCGTGTGCGTGTGTGAGTGTGAGACTGTCACACTCGCAGTGGGAGGGAGAGCGAAGTCGAATGCTCGAGAACAACAGAGAGGGCAGAGTGATCGAAGTCAGGCGGTGGTGTCAAGGACACGGTGGCACTACGGGGGCGGGCAGGGCATGGCGGGCTGGCGGGGGGATCGCCGGCAGTGAGAGCGAGAGGCAGCAATCGGGTTGCCGGAAGGGCGACAAAAGAGGCCAGCTTGTTCTTTCCCCGGTTGCTTGTGCGAAAAAAGACGCTCGCTGGGCTGGGAAGGGGGGGGGCGCGCCTTCCCTTTTAAAGGACACGCTGGCCTAATTCAGCCTCTCCAGTCACGTGCGAGTGAAGCATCGCCCCTTCCCTCCCAGGAGAAGTCTTGGCGTGTTTCCAAAATTAAATGTAACCTGACTAGTCCCGAAGCAGCCTAGCGCAGAGTCACCCCCCAGCCCCCGTGGCTGGCGTTCGCGTGCGTTGAGTGGCTGCAACCCGCTCCTTGTCTGAGGTCTGCCGGTTCGTCCGGTTGGGCCCCTGAACCTTGGGTTGAAGCTTTGGATTTTGCGCCTGCAAGACAACACTCTGCAAGTCCTCCGTGGCGGCGACGGAAGACTGGGCAAAACAGGGCGCCGGCTGCGTCGCTGATCCCTCCTTTCTCCGTCCCTTGCTCCGCGTTTGGCTACGTAACTTCTGGCCCCAGGGCCCGGATGTCCTCCCTGCTTTGTCCTTTGGCCGCATCCCTTTCATGTCCAGGGACGGGGTAAAATATACATCCTGTTCGGAGTAGGTTATGGGGCCGGCTGTCTTCGTGAACCCAACGGTGCTACTCGTAAAAGTGAACTCTCAGCGTCTCACAGAGGCGCCATAATTTGCACATCGGGTACTCCGGAGTTACTCGGATTTCTACCGCCAAGGCAGGTCTCACGCGTGCTACAACCTCATCTATCTTCATCCTGCGATAACGGGTGGGCCCAACTTCAAAACCTCCACCGCATTCGACTTGACATCCCTCCCTGTTGGGAAGAAAGGGAGCCTGCAGCATGCTTTTGGCGCTAAAGCAACCCGATATGTTGAATTGTACTCCGTACTCGCTATTCCGTAGAGGGAATCAGGAAACACAAAATATACACATGTTGATATCACATTTGATAGCTTCAGGCGGCGCAGTTCATTGGCCGACTCCCGGTTCCTACCTTAAGCCACTGTCCCACGGAAAAAGAAAAGGATATAGTCATATCCGGGAGTCGCTGCGGAGTAGCATATCCGCAAACGAGCAATTATTCGCTGGCTCAATCTTTATTTTTTTTTCCTTTTCATTTTTTTTTTTTTTTTTTTAATCAATCATGCAGAATGCCTTTCCTCTGGTGTTGCACTCGAGTCTCACCAGGACTGACGGTCAGATGGATGCTTGGAGTATCGTACCTCGCCTATTCGACCAGCGTTTCAAGGGCCCAAAGCGCGCTCCCATCCCGCGAACCAGCGCCTTCGATTCACACATCGGCAGGAGACCATGTCCCTACCCAAGGACTCGAAATTTGTAGGCTCCACGTGGGTACCCTGGGGTAAGGGCGAGGTTAGCCGCTCTGTGGGGTCAAGGTCAATCTTCAAAAGGCATGTTGCAGACATGCGCTCAATATCGCTCGCTCGCATTGTTCGGTTAGCGAGGCGGGAGACCTGGGCACGGCATGCAACTTTTCCCTTTGTTCCTGGCTTTTGACACCAGTGAAACTTAATATGACACACATTCGACAATGTGGAGACCTAAGTCGCAATGACCAGGGAAGCGACCAAGCTCTGACACGGACATCCATGAGTACCTTTTGCGTCTTTGGTATGAAAAAATCGGCACCGGTTTCAGTTGGAGTTTTCGAAGCATCATCACTGGGACACACTTGTCGCTACTGAAGAAAGTTGTGCCGCGCCATTTCATTTTTGTTGATCGGTTAATGGTCGAGCCCACTCGAACAAAAGCTCGGTACAGTGGCATCCTCCCAACAATGACCATGTCTATATCGCGCATTGTGACGCCATCTGCGAGCCAAATGCAACTCCATTGTTGAATAAAAGCCAAGCATTCTGGAAAGGCACGGGATCTCAAGGTTCTCCACGTATTTCATATCTGATTTTCACGGGTGCGCATCCTTCAACGGGGATGAGACTCAGACCCTTGATAGAACCTTGATTGGCCCTGAAGAACCAAGAAAACGGCTCAGAGATTCGGGTTGAATTGTAGTAAATGTTGTCGTCTTTTCTCGCATCTGCAGAGGTTTTCTAGCCGAGTCTTTGTTCCGTGGACATGCACACATGTCTTGCGTACATACAGAGTACAGAGTACATAACAGCGCCCCCCATTATTCAGGAGATGGGAGAGTCGACACAAGCGATCTACCGATCGTCAATCCTTGATTGTCGCGGGTCTGGGCCGGCTGGCGATCATCCAAAGCTTGATTCCCTACCCGTCTGGCTCGAATGAAATTGCATAGCGCCCTTCATCAATAAGCTGCTGCTTGTTCATGTACCCTTGACGATATTTTCCTCCCAGCTCTGGATTGAATCAAAGCTGCAAAGCAACTTTTGGCAATTATCACAAGAATGCGGGTCGAACTGACAAGTCATGCAGTAACGTCGATTCAACACATCAAGTGGCACCAAAGAGTCTAAGCCAAATCTTCGTTTGGGCTAGGGATTCAATTAATTTCCTTTTTCAATTTTTATTTTTTTGTATTTTTTTTTTTATTTTTTTCCTCTCTTTTATTTTCCCCCGAGAAGTTCGATCTGCATCGGGAGCTATACGTGCTTTGTGTACGGAGTGTACTCCGTATATCCTGCATACAGATATGAGGCGTACATTTACATCCAATCACAGAAGCCAAATCCCGTCAACTCCAGCCTCCATATGGAGTACGGAGTACACGACCCAAAAAAGGAAAAAAAAAAAAAAAAAGTTCACACGGCCAAATCGGGCTAGAAGAAAGAGAAGCCAGGACCCCCAAAAGCATCTCGGGACTTCTAGCTCAATTTTTCAGAGTCTCGACCCCATTGGTCTTCTTTCCCGCGAGAGTCTCCTCTGTTGTCTTCGCAATGATATCGAACGCCCTCCGCACATACTTCTCTTCCGACAACCACGACCCGCTCACGACGCGAATCACATATATCCCTCCAACCACCGAAGACGTGATGAATATCTCACCGCCCGCGTTGATCTTTTCATAGACCTCACGCGTAATCGCCGCACTGGTACTTCCACACGCCGCCGCCGCCGCTTCATCCGTGACGCGGAAGACAGTCAGCCCGAACGCTGGTGGCGTGACTATTGTGAACAAATCCTTCCTGCCGCGGCACAGCTCCACAAAGACATCGCCGTGATGTAAGCCCTTGTAGATAAACGCCCTCATCCCGGACAGCCCATATGCGCGCATGACGAACCAGATCTTCAGGGCGCGGAACCGTCGGCCCAGCGGGATCTGCCAGTTTCGAAAATCGACGGTGTCCGGGAGCTCGGAGTAAGGGTTGCGTAGGTACGCGGGCGTGATGTCCATGGCGGAAGTGACGTCGGTCCTGTTGCGGACGAATAGGCAGCTGGCGTCAAAATTGACGAGGAGCCATTTGTGCATGTTGAAGTTGAAGCTGTCGATGCCGGAATCCCATTCACGTGCGATTGGCTGGTATTCTGGCGTCACGAGCGCGGCTCCGGCGTAGGCTGCGTCGATGTGTACCCATATCTTTTGCCAGGAAGGTTTGGACGCGAGAACGGCTTTGATCTCGGCGAAACGGTCAGTGGCACATGTGCTGGTCGTTCCGAGGGTGGTGGTGAGATAATAGGGGACTAGCCCGGCAGCTTCACATTCTTCGAGGACCCTGCGGAGCGAGGCTCCAGTCACTTCAAAGTTGTCGGAAAGCGCCGTGGGGACGGAACGGTAGCGGGTGCCGACGATACGAGCGCCTTTTGCGGTGCAGCTATGTGCCTGGTCGCTACCAAGCGCGACGAGGTTGCCGCGGATAGACATAACTTTATCCTCCCATTCGGGCGTGTCTTCCTTCAGTCCCTCGGCTGCAGCGAGATCGCGAAGCATCCGCTCCCTCGCGGCGACCATGACTGTGACAACAGCCTCGCTCGCGCTACCCTGAATGACACCACCGCCCTTGGTTGGGCCAGTGCTGTGGAAGCATTCTGGCAGTCCAATGGCCTGCGCGACCCAATCCAACACCACGATCTCCAGCTCTGTGCAGGCGGGAGAGCACAGCCAGTTGAAAGCGGGGGCGCTGAACGCTGCGGAATACATTTCGCCCAGGATACTAGGGTAAGTCACCAGCGCCGGAAAGAAGGCCATGAAGTGCGGGGACTGCCAGTGCGTCAGGCCAGGCTTAATTTTGGATTCGATATCCAGCTGTATCTGTTCCCATGATTCAGGTTCTTTCGGGGGGGACTGCGGAAGAAGTGGGCGGAGGTATCCCGGTTCAATGTTTGGAAGAACCCGGCGGGAGGGGAGGGTATTGAAATGTTCGATTACTGAATGACAACTACCGGGTCAGCGGCCTTTTTTCCACCTTGTCCGTTCAACTTTGCGGGAGATACTACTCACTTTCTTCAATGGCTGACTGGGCAGCCTGCCGGAACTGTTCTGCGTCCATGTTGAACACACAGCGCGTGCTGCTAAATAAACGGTAAGGAGACGAGTGTCTAAAAAGCCGATGACGGATGCTCCGGGGCAGGATGTTTGGACGAAGCATGCAAAATATTTATTGTAACCCGTAAAGAAGCATTATCATTTGAATCAAAAAAAATAAAAATAAAAAAAAAAAAAGAATAGATCAAATCTTTTTGAACAGAAGGCAAACACGAAACGGTTTTTTTTTTTCTATCCACGACAAAAATCGCTCCGGATGAAGCTTGCAAGATCTTGATTCAAAAGGGCGCTTCGTCCACCTGCCCTGCTTCTTTTCCCCCGCCTTCAGCCGGACGGCCCGATTATCGGAGGCCCTGGAGCGAACCAACAGGACCGCAGGATCGGCACTTTGAGTTTGTTCCAGAAGCCCGGTCGTCGGATCAATAAATGCCCGCTGCGATTTCCGCACTTTGCTGACAGACGGCTTGTCGAGACTCGAGAACGCGGAATTGAAAATAGTTAAAATAGAATGAAAATCAGAAAAAGGAAAGGAAACTGAACTGAACGACTTTCCTGGCGACTCTTGCGCGTTGGCAATCCGACCGATGATGCGTCGAGCAATTTGGCTAGATCGGTTTGCACTGCAATTCAGCCGTCGCCGCATGACAGTGCTCGATGCCGTAAATGTGGTCGAAGATCAATCCATAGTCTTAAAAAGGTATTCAAAATTATGCGAATTTAGTGGACGGAGGTGGCTGGTATACTAAGGTCTGGAACATTTCTGTTAGTTTGCACATGAATGTTCCACTCTTCTTTTTTTTTCTTTTTTCTTTTTCCTTTTTTTTTTTTTTTTTTTGGCCATCAAGGTTGAATGGGTGGCTTTCCCATTTTACTTCACTCGCAGCTCTCAAGCACATAAAATTCACCACCACATACGGAGTACTCCGTACCCAGTTTTCAATTGGACAGGGCTTATTTTCGATCGTCGTAAACTCTACTCCGTATTCTCTATGCACTTGCAACGATCATGATATGGATACGCAAGGGAGACACCTGTATGCACACAGGTCAGAGGACCTCACTGGGGATTCTGCACAGACCTCGGCTCTGGCGGACACTAGGCCGAATAACTTTGTGGCATTTGGTGTGCCAGTTCCATCATTCATATATTTCCCCCCCCCCCCCCCCCCCCCCCCCCCCCAACACCCCAAACAACCAAAAAAAAAAAAAAAAAAAAAAAAAAAAAAATTAAGTGCCGAAACCTTGGGAGCTATGTGTTGAAAGACACATGTCTCAGGGGCGCTTGCTGTCCCCTTCAGCACTTGCAGCATTGGGCAAGGCCATGCTTCTCCTGACATCTTCCAGTTGCGCGAAAGTAGCTCGCGATGTCCTGTCCTTTGGTATGAAATACGAGTGCCTTGGGAGACGAGCTGTCACATCGAAAAGCAAAAGACGCGGACTAGACATAGTCTTGTAGTACAGGAGGTGAGAGGAGGATCAACATGTGGCAATGACTGAGCAGAGACAGGTTTAGGCCTCTGGCATTTCGAACACGTTGCCCTGAAAGTTCCCCGTTGAAAGTTCCCCCCGGGTTGTACTCCGTACTCCGTAAAATATGTCGACAAGTTTTGTATAGTGTACTTAGAAACAACTCAGGTGACGAGCAGCTTCAGTTGGGCCACCTTTTCTGTAGCAAAGTCCGGGGGACGGGGGATTTGGAGAAATGCTGGCATCTTAAAGCACCGCAATTCTGTAGCAAGACATGTCTTTGGAGTCTTGTTTGGCACCGGGGAGCCAGCGGGCGGAACGTCGCCCAACCGGAGTTTGAGTTGCCCGTCGGAGAACGACAAAATCTTCTCATCGGATGACATAACCAAGACCGGCCATGATCTAGCCTCTATTGGGTTTAGCCTGTCGAACACGGTTGCTCCAAAATCCCCCCGTTCCAGCCAATCAGCAATCCCTAATCTTGCTTATGTAATATCCACTTTTGGGCCGCCATTATCGCACGTGACCAGCCGCTTGTCGGCCGAGGCGTGCCTGTGCCGCGCAGCCAATGGGAGGCCGTGCTGCGCTCCGCTTTCGCCGCAGGCTTTCGCTGGGCGGACGAACTTTTTTGGCAGCAATTTATTTTTGGGTAACTTAACGCCAGCGGTCGAGTTGCACACGCTCCTCGCAGACTCCCCGCTCCCTCTGGCCCCCCTGCAACCTCATTCTTCTTCTTCTTCCTCTTCCCGGCCTCTTTTCTTTTTTTCCTTTTTTTCTTTTTCTTTTTCTTGTTTTTTCTGTGGCACTGCTCTTCGCTGTCGTCCTGTCGCCGCTTCAATTGTCTTTCTTTTTGACCCGTCGCACTTTGCATTCGTTATTCAATTGCTGTTCGGGGCGAATCTGACTGTGTCGAGACGACGAGTCTCGGTCACTGGCCTCTCTCTCTCTCTCCGCAGTAGACTCGCACGCAAATTCTCCGACCTGCAACAATGGTGGCACCGTTCTCAGTTGTCCGACTTGGGGCCCGCCAGCTGGTCTCCAGCTCGCTGCGCAATGCTTCCCTCAGGCCCTCCCGTGTGTCGCCGCTCACCGCCTGCAGGCAATGCCTGCAGCTGGTGCGTTACCAGCAGACCCAATCCCACCGCCGAGCCGTCCACCTGAGCTCCAGCGGAGACACCGAAAACCTCCTGCCCCGCGACCTTCACTCCCCCCTTGATACCTTCCCACGTCGTCACATTGGCCCCGGTGCGGATGCCACCGAGCAGATGCTCGCCGTGCTGGACCCTCCGGCGAAGAATCTGGACGAGTTCGTGAAACAGGTGCTCCCGGCGGATATCTTGACCGCCAAGAATCTTTCAGTCTCAGAACCGCAGGCCGCCGCGGAACTTCGCAAGGATGGTGTCCTGGGTGGTCTAGGAGAGAAGGATATGGTCAAGCTGCTGGAGTCATACAAGAACAAAATCGATGCCACGGGGAAATCGTTCATCGGATGCGGATACTACTCAACCGTCGTCCCGCCTGTCATCCAGCGCAATGTCCTCGAGAACCCCGCCTGGTACACCAGCTATACCCCTTACCAGGCCGAGATCAGTCAGGGTCGCCTCGAATCCCTCCTGAACTTCCAGACCCTGACCGCCGATCTGACCGGTCTTCCCGTCGGCAATGCGTCCGTCCTCGACGAAGGAACCGCCGCCGCCGAAGCAATGACCATGTCCTGGGCCACACTCCCCATGAATAAACAGAAGCAAGATGGGAAGGTCTTCGTTGTGTCGCACCTGTGCCATCCTCAAACCATTGCCGTCATGAGATCCCGCGCCGAGGGATTCGGAATCAGACTTGAGATCGGAGACATCATGGCTGACAACTTCAAGCTGGTCAAGGACCAAGGAGATCGATTGATCGGTGTCCTAGCTCAGTATCCTGACACCGAAGGAGGAGTCTTTGACTTCCAGAGCCTGAGCGACAGCATCCACGCACAGGGCGGAAGCTTCTGTGTTGCCACTGACCTTTTGGCTTTGACCGTCCTGAAGGCCCCCGGGGAATTTGGCGCTGATATTGCATTCGGAAACGCCCAGCGGTTGGGTGTGCCTATGGGTTTCGGTGGCCCGCACGCCGCTTTCTTCGCTTGCACCGATAAGTATAAGCGTAAGATCCCTGGCCGCATCGTTGGTGTTTCCAAAGATCGCCTTGGAAACCGTGCCCTGCGGCTGGCTCTTCAGACTCGTGAGCAGCACATTCGCCGAGAAAAAGCCACCAGCAATATTTGCACGGCACAGGCGCTCCTGGCCAACATGACCGCGATGTATGCGGTGTACCATGGCCCTCAGGGCTTAAAGGCCATCGCTGAACGTATCATGGCATTGACTGCTCTTCTCCGTACTAAGTTGCAGCTCCTTGGCTTCAACGTGCCTGTGAGGGGAAATGCCAGCTTTGATACCCTGGTTGTGGAGACAAAGAGCAGCGCTGAGGCGGATGCAATCGTCGGATCAGCCCTTAGCGCCGGCCTGTACCTTCGACGTGTGAGCCCTACGAAGGTTGGCATCTCGCTTGATGAGGCTGTCGGCGTAGACGAACTGAAAGAGCTTCTTGCCGTATTCGCAAACCTTTCAGACAAGAAGGGAGCTGAGACTCTGGATCTTAGCAAAGACATTCCCTCAGTCGACGTGCCCGTCGACATTAGGAGAACCTCTTCATACCTCACCCATCCCGTGTTCAACACACACCATTCAGAAACGGAAATGTTGCGATACATGCAGCACCTCGTTTCAAAGGATCTTTCCCTCGCCCATTCGATGATCCCTCTTGGCTCTTGTACCATGAAATTGAACGCCACTACTGAGATGGTCCCCGTCACATGGCCCGAATTTTCGACAATGCATCCGTTTACTCCTGCTCAGAAGGTCGAGGGCTATGTCAACATGGTCGAAGACTTGGAGAAGCAGCTGGCCGACATCACCGGTATGGCTGAAGTTACAATTCAACCCAACTCCGGAGCCCAGGGCGAGTTTGCAGGCTTGCGCGTAATTAAAATGTACCAGGATAGCCTTGGCGAGCCGGGAAAGAGGAACATCTGCTTGATTCCTGTTTCTGCCCACGGTACCAACCCTGCCAGCGCCGCAATGGCTGGAATGAAGGTCGTCCCGGTGAAGTGCGATACCGGTACCGGAAACCTCGACGTTGCGGACCTTCGAGCCAAGTGCCAGAAGCATAAAGACGAGCTAGGAGCGATCATGATCACCTATCCAAGCACGTTTGGTGTTTATGAGCCCACCATCAAAGAAGTTTGCGACATTGTCCACGAATACGGCGGTCAGGTGTATATGGATGGTGCCAACATGAACGCCCAGATCGGTCTTTGCTCACCCGGAGAGATTGGAGCCGACGTCTGCCACCTTAACCTTCACAAGACCTTCTGCATTCCCCATGGAGGCGGTGGACCAGGCGTTGGTCCCATCGGTGTTGCTGAACATCTCCGACCTTTCCTTCCATCCCATCCTTTGAGCGAGCCTCTCCTGGCGAAGCGCCCGGCATCTGTTGACTCCCCTCCGATCTCGGCCGCCCCATACGGAAGTGCAAGCATCTTACCCATCACGTTCTCTTATATCAATATGATGGGATCTAAGGGCCTCACGCACGCCACCAAGATCACCCTCCTCAACGCCAATTATCTCCTTTCCCGCCTAAAGCAACATTATCCGATTCTTTACACCAACGAGAACGGCCGATGTGCCCACGAATTCATTTTGGATGTCCGTAAGTTCAAGGCGACCGCGGGCATTGAAGCGATCGACATCGCCAAGCGTCTTCAAGACTATGGTTTCCATGCACCGACCATGTCCTGGCCCGTTGCCAACACTCTGATGATCGAGCCAACTGAATCAGAACCCAAGGGCGAGTTAGATCGGTTCTGTGATGCCCTCGTCTCCATCCGGGAGGAAATCGCTGCCATTGAGCGTGGAGAGCAGCCGAAAGATAAGAACGTGTTGAAGATGGCACCTCACACACAGCGCGATTTGCTCACTGGGGATTGGGACCGTCCATACACGCGAGAGAAGGCGGCATACCCATTGCCGTGGCTCCTGGAGAAGAAATTTTGGCCCACCGTGACGAGAGTTGACGATGGTAAGCCCCCCCAAAACCTTTCTCAAGATTTTTGACCCTTTTTTGAAGCCCTGGCTAACTAATTTGCCTAATTAGCTTTTGGTGACCAAAACCTCTTCTGCACATGTGGTCCTGTTGAAGACACCTCTGAGTGATTTCTGACCCCTTTCTCACGATTCTGCATGCGTACCTCGATTCCTTTGATACTCCTGGGATACCTCCGCACATAATGACATCAACTGCATCCACAAGCACCTCTTGGACTCCATCTTTTCCTTCTTATCCCTTCTGTCACGTGTACAAATAAACAACATCCCACCAAAAGAAAAAAAATGACCCTGTAATGTCTGGAAGTACAAAATGTTTCAACACATGATGATTGCTGTGTGAAAAAATATGATATTAATACCCTGGTTGTGTTGTGTTTCCTTGTTCATGATAGAGTGACTTTTGTGACCCAAAAAGGAAATTGATACTGACTTTTTAAGAATTTTTTCATGTGCTCATCATTGTATCTTCGCGGATATGTATTCCTTGTCTTCATATTATGAGACGCATATCCACTCCCAATTCTTGTGAATATCATTTGACTCTGGGCATGATTTATTTCCCACCCACTCTCGGTGAAGAGTCGACTCTAGGTTGTCAGGGAGTATTTTGAATTTCGTTGCCATATTTCGGGGTCAAGTTTTGATGTCGTCGAAGACGCCGGCGTCCCTGAGAGTTGAAGTCTGTCCTTATTTTTCCTCAATTTTTTTCTTTTTCTTTTTCTTTTTTTTTTTTCCTTGCCTCGTCCACTCCCTTTTCCTTCAGGCAATTCCGGCTCCTGAAATCACCAATGCCAAGAGTCTTGGCAGGGGTTATTCCGCCCAGCCAGCCTTTCTGCGAGAAACACGATGCGTGTCGGTTCGGTGCTAAAGTCGAGGGGTTCCGGGGGTAAGAGGGGGGAAAGGATAGGTCTATATAAGACCTCGAAGATTGCGGAATTTCTCAGCCGGACTCGGCGACTGCGCATCTTCGCGGTGGCTTGCGCGACCGACGCAGTTGTCACATTTTAATCAGAACTGGCACTCTTTCATAGCCGTGCCGGGTGACGCAGACCACAGTTTCCGGCGATTGATGCATGTATGTTTCCAGGCTCATTTCAAAACGTCGGGAAAATATTTTTTCTTTTTTCGGGTTCTCGCAACTACGTTTCTTGCATAATGGCGAGAAATGGACTCTGTTGTACGACCGAGCAGAAGCAAAGGCTGGGATTCGAAAATGTTTCCCACAGAAAGCCAGGTATTCTCGGAGCAAACCATGCAGATGGATAATAATGGTTTACGTATGTCTCTGGCGATGAAGAATGAGACTGGTTGATGGACGTACGCCTAAGTGTCCCCCCCACAGACGTTTGAATGTCTGGGCTTGTCGTTTCTTGCCGAAATCGCTTACAGCGTCAAGCATAGGGTGCGCTGTGGACGCAAGACCTTTTAGTTTACGCAACTTGATTTGTTCGGGAATTAGTTGACACATATATATGGCTATAGTCAATTACATGAAGGAGTTATTGTGCTCTATATAGCCACTATTATCTAATAGCATACTCATGTATGGTGCAGTCTATTCGCAATGACAGAGTATCCGAAAATAATTATCAAATCAACCAGAAATCCTCTACTCCATGTGTCAGGGATGGTTTCCAAGCAAATAACCCGAAAAAGCTGGGTCTTATGGGGTACATCTGTCGGATATATTCCCATGGACCAGCTGTCCTCCCACCCACACGGCCTTGACATTTCTATCGTCACCAGACCACATCCACTTCGCAAGCTTCTCTTCCCAATTCTCCCATCCAAAAAGATCCACGCTGCCTTTACCTTCATCACCATCATCGTCCTCTCCCACGATCGCACCCAACTCGATCATCTGCGCATCCCACAACATGCCCACCTCAAACCCACCAATATCGTCCTCCATCCTAACTGCTTTAGCCCCACCACGCGTCGCCAAATAGAGCACCTCTTCAACACTCAATTTCTCCCGCCCACTGGTATTTGATGTTTTCTCTCCAGAATTTCCGTTTTGGAATGAAAGCAGCCTTGACACCAGGCATGCCTGTCTCGCCGCCTCAAGTATACTCGGGCTATAACCTCCACTTACATCCGTTCCCAGACCCACAGGTATGCCGTCGTCCAGTAGCGTCCGGACAGGGCATAATCCAGAGCCAATGGCCGAGTTTGACGCAGGACAGTGGGATATTGACGAACCGCGGGAACGAATTAAATCCCGCTCAGCCTTGGTTAGATGGATACCGTGCGCGAGAATGGTGTGCGGGGTGAGCAATGCGGCTTTGTCGTATACCTCTGCGTAGCTGCTGCAGTCCGGGAATTGGGATAGGACGCGTTGGATCTCGTCCTTGTTTTCAGAGATGTGGGTTTGGATATAGGTTGGCGGCGAAGTTGACGCAGCGAGTGCACCGAGTTCGGAGAGGGCTTGGGCAGTGCAGGAGAGCGCAAAACGAGGTGTGATGACTGGCCGGACGAGGTGACCATCTGGATCTATAGAACGGATATGGGCGATTGAGGCCTTCGTGGCAGTGATGGATTGCTCGGAACATTCGTCCCGGTAGTAATCACGACATGTTTCGGTGTTGTCCATGCAAACACGGCCTATAAATGCTCTTTGGCCGCGAGAACGGCATATGTCCGCTAGCAGGTTGGTAGCGGGGACATGGATTGTAGCGAAGTAGGCGGCACAGGTGGTGCCATGGGACAAGGTGCGGGATACTACACGGTTATATGCGGTGTGTGCACTTTGAGGAGCAAGCTCGGGGGTTTCTTTGTTTCCAAACGATGATTCCAGCGGAAACGTATAGGTTTCTAACCAGTCCAGGAGCGTTGACGAGCCAAAAATGCCAGAGTTTGGGTATTGCGGTGCATGGATATGAGTGTCTATCTCAGATGTCAGCCCAATTCATAACGGTTGCATGACTGGCCGCAGGTTCAAAATCTCCCTATCAGATACTGATGCTTATACAGATGGAAAACTTGGTGGAAGCCATAACTTTTCTTCGTTCATTTAGATTATCTACGGAATGAAGAGCCAACATACCCACAAACCCGGGGAAAAAGAACCCGTTCTTCTCGTGTCTCTGCCTCACTATCCGCACAGACTCTGTTGGATGACCCTTTCCATCTGATTTCCAACCATTTCTCTCAATAAAGTCGTACAATCCACTTTCGTTTTCCAAATTCCAGTTGAATCCCTCGATTCTCCCAGTCGCATCATTTACCCACAAAGCACCATGATTGACAATCAATCGATACTTTGGTGGTGAGTTTGGCGTTGCCGAAATATCAGGTACGCGCGGAAGATGGAGGAATGTCCCATAATAGATGGTCCGTGAGTAGTTACTCTTCGAACCGTTGGATCCATTCGTCATGACGTTTGGTGCCATGTCCCGCCCTTAGAGAAGAGCGCTCCGCATCAAGAAAATATCCAAAGCTATCCAAATATAGATAAAAGGGCTGTAAATTCAATACGGAGTTCTCTGATATATTTTGAAAAATGAGGGCGAATAAGTGACAATATAGGTAATCAAATCTCTCGACATGAAACGACTGGGAGTTTCTCCTTAAAACCAGATCGGCCGCCAACAGCGCCCAAACCCTGAGGAGATCTGGCGTAAGTTGATGGATTCCACGGGTGAACGACTCCTTATATACGGACGGTGTCGTCGGCCACTCTGAGCTGAGCCGACCCGACGGATGTCGGCGGGGTCCGAAGGCCTTGCTTACCTAAGGGTGTCGAATCGGGAATTACCGTCGATGGCGGCGCTGGCTCTCCGTGTCGCGTCGAAGCGAGTGTGATAATACTTTGAGGATCCTGGTAATGCCGGAGGAGTGATGGTTAGTTAGTCGATATATCGGTTGCTCCATGGTTGACCGGCCTTCCTTCGAATGTCCAACACACCTTCTCAGCGCTAAACGGTCCTGATTCCACACAGTTAAAACTGGCATCCCCAGGCAAGCTAATCAAGCAAACTGATTGTAGGCGGTCTTTGCAAGCATAATGGCTTCTGGTGTAACAAGAATGAGTCCATTGCCGCCCTACCAACTGGGTCCCGACCATCTGCTAGATACCTTGGTTAGCACAGCCTGTCGATGCACCAGAATTTGGTTTTTAATATTCTTTAGCCCCAGATCTCATGCGGCGTAGCTGGTTGATTGGGGATAGAAGTCCCTGATCTTAGCGCCAACAGACGTGATAACAACGCGGTGTGCCCGGGAGGACCAGAGCCCCTTTCTCGAAGATATCGAGCGCATCTGAGAGTTTAACGGTGGTTTTCTTCTTTGAAGCATGGCTAGAGGACGAGAATATCTCTTCTTTTTCTTGCGCTAGTCTGCATCAGACCTCGCAAGTACACCCAAGAATTGTATCTGAGCTGTTGCCATATGAGCAATCCTGTCTGCTCCCAGGGTCCCTAGCGTCACGAGTATTCCCCTAAATCGATGTGCAGGATCAATACCTCCAGCGAAGATCCCGTTTGCTTCTCAGATGCATTGCGCAGACACCTACCCTGCGTGTGAGGCTGCGTATGATGGTCAAAACATCGATGGCAACTGCTCCGTACGTTCCGAAGAAACTTTCGATGCTCCCGATTCTGGCTTTTCGAGTGAGGTCGAGCAGCTGGTCGGGTGGTATGACCACTTTGATGAACCCGTACTATGATCTCGGTTCCCGCGATTACTCTCGAATCCTAGTTCTGGAAAGTTAGCCAAAGACATTGAGCAGATGAGAACACGACTATCGTCACGTAAAATCACTGGTTTCTATCCAGACTAAAAGCATGACCTGAACCGCATACGCTTCCCAGTATTGAGCTCAAGGTTGCCTTTTCAATCTGAGATAACTGTAAATTACCAGAAGCACGGCGCTCAGATCTCGGAACGTAACGTACTGTAGTAATAGTAGCCAATCCCACGACGATATCCATGCCTCTACGGGGGTAGCAAGCTACATGTGGACTGAAATGGGGATTTTGAACTGTTGGTCAATATCACACGCTCTTCTCTACGGTAATGCCAGCCCACAGCGTTGTTTGACGCCCCATCTTTACGTATATCAATATGTTGAAGTGAGATGAACGGAAATGTAAGGGGGGAAGAGGCTCTAAATAACAATCTTCTTCATTTCATCCAACTAATCATAGTGCTTTAGATGACAGGACTAGAGGATATAGAGCAACCTCGCCAGACACCATCACCTCTCTGCGCTTCTAGAAACCCAGGACGAGATGAGAGATGGAGGATGACCCTTTTGAGTGTATTAATTGATAGTATTTTTTCCCATTTTTTTGTGCAACCTTGTTGTTTTCCCCGATCTCTCGAGGGCTTTTTCCTCCTCAAATTGCGTGTTGAATCATTTTCTTAAGTTTTCCGTGTTTTTTTGATGGTTTGAAATATTTTTTGATGCGCCCGTTACTCGCCATCCTAAACTCCTCCCAGTATTCGCCTTGGACAAAATCGGCCCGTCGTCATTCCAGTTGCCGTACCCGTAGTCATTTGTAGAAAAGCAAGCGGGTTTTAGCTTGTTTTCCTTTGTATGCAGTCTTTATGGACGATACTGCACCTCCCTGCCCACTCTGGGCCAGCGGTTCAAATACTCAACATTGCCCAGGGCACTCTGTCCAACATTGCGGATATACATCTGACTTCCATCCGACATAGGCGTATAATCCCAAGCTGTGATCTTACCTTTGATCAAAGCCGAGTAGACTAGTCGACGGCGGCGCTGAGAATGCAAGACTTCTACCTGGAGACGCTTAAAGTCCCAACGGGCATGGACTTCTTTGATGAATGACGCCAGGAGGCTCGTTATATCGACGGACGTTTTAGCGCCGTTAATAACGGTAGTGGCCTTATTGGGGCTTGGGCTGCGGGGTGGTGTGAAGACGGATGGGTTTGAAGTGTTTGCTTGAGAGAAAAATGGGACCGGGAGTGCTTCAGGGCTGGGAGAGGTGACTGGTGTTGGAAGAGGAACCGGGCCAGTGGGGTTCGAAACTGCTGCTTGGGGGCTTTCTTTGGCGACCACATGATGTGATGGCAGTGGGATTCCTTCGGCGAGGTTAATGGACTCGGTGGGGTCTGCTTCCACATTGAAAAGCATCGGGGGATCGATGGGTGAGTAGATGAATTTCCATGGGCCGCGGCGGATCATGACTACCGGAGCCAGTGTACCTTCTGCCATGTACTCTCCCAATACTGTGTCGGTCTTCTCACCACTAGAGCGCTCATCGAGATAAGGCATCAAAGAGACACCATCAAGGGGCAAAGAAGGGTCAACAGAGCTACCACTCATTGCAACGAATGTGGGTAGTAGATCCATAGTAGATACATTCTCCTTGACCCGTTTCGGCTGGTATTTCGCAGGTGCATGTACAATCATTGGCACTCTTGCAGACATTTCATACCACACCATCTTATACCACAGCCCCTTCTCCCCCAGCATGTCACCATGGTCGCCAGTAAATACAACAATTGTATCATCCGCCAATCCGCAATTCTTCAAAACGTTCATAAGCTTGCCTATTTGCGTATCCACATAGGTACAAGCAGCAAAATAAGCACGACGAGCAGCCTTGACACGCTCCTCCGGGATCTCCTTGCCCCATAAATCAATAATCTTCAGCACGCGCTGTGAATGAGGATCAAGCTTGTCCTGGGAAACCGCAGAGGTCTTGGGAAGAGGGATCTCAACGTCCTCGTACATATCCCAATAATCCCTGGTCATGGTGTAAGGATCATGGGGATGCGTCATGGAGACAGTAAGGCAGAAGGGCTGACCCGTACGATATCGGACATGGTCATACAAGTATTGCGAAGCCCGATGAACAACCTCATCGTCGAAATCGAGTTGGTTGCTCCGGACGCACGGCCCTGCCTCCATCACGGACGACATGTCATGATACCAATCTTTGCGAAGTTCCTACTCACATTACCTTTAGTATGATGTTCCAACCACAAATTTTCACAGGCATAATAAAAAATTACAAGAAAGGAAACGAAGGATTACATCGGAGTTTTTCATATTACTTCACTGCCTTTTGTATTCTCACTCACCGGCTGATCCCAATCCACAGTCCACCCGTAATCACCCGGGTAGATGTCGCTGGTTAGGCGTTCTTCATAGCCATGCAGTTGGTCTGGACCCGCAAAGTGCATCTTTCCAGAGAGTGCCGTATGGTAGCCTTGAGCACGCAGATAGTGTGCGTATGTAGGCGTATCAGCAGGAAGGTCACTAGCATTATCATAGCCGCCAATGCGCGAAGGCAGCTGCCCGCTGACCATAGTGAAGCGTGAGGGGGCACAGAGTGGAGAGTTGCAATATGCAGATTCAAAGACAACTCCAGACTCTGCAAGTTTCTCAATATTAGGGGTCTTAATTGGGGAGGAACGGTCGTAAATGGAAAGGAGCGGAGCAGCCATCTGGTCTGCCATAATGTAGAGGATGTTAGGCTTTTTTGTGGTGGCCATCGTGATTGCTTTCTTCTTCCTCTTGGGTTAGTTGAGTATGATATTCAGGTGGCGATGCTTCGAAAGAGGCACAACAGGCGTTCGAACCGGCGGTACAGAATAAGAAAAAAAATATATCAGAATCGCTAAAGCTTCAAGAAGAGACAAAGGCAGAGGCCAGGCTGTCAAACAAGGTGTCTCAGGGCTTGGATGAACGATAGTGGAGAGATAGCGCAGGATGCTGACAGAGGAGAGAAACAAAAGACGGGGAAGAATGCGGGAGATGGGAGGGGATTATATGCGAATCGAGGAGAACCAGAGCCAAGCATCTGAGCTTGCTCTCCCATTCCCAAGCTAGTAACAGTTGATCCATGCAATTCAATCCTTGGAAACTTCGGCAAGTGGCAAAGGAGGGACGGCGGGAGCAGTTGATTTCTCCGCCCAATTGCGTGATGGGTCGATCCAACATAGTCAGATCGCCGACGTCGGAACCCCGTATCTCATGATAAGCAGCAAGGAAGCCATTCTCCTGGCTTTTCGCTCCTCATCTGGGTAATTTTGGCCAGCATACGGAGTATTCTTTGCTGCTTTAAACATCACCGCTGGCTGTTGCTGGGAGAGTTGGGATGGAAGCGAAGGGAGCAAAAACAAAACTTACTTTACAATACGGAGTACGAGCGCATGACCAAATACCGGTTCTGGTTGGCCCCACTCGTCTTAGTAGGAGTGGAGCAAAACCATGAAAACGGGGCTTCGAGAACCGTTGGAAACCATCGTCACACTTGTCAGTTTACATGTCTGAACATGTACAATACTTGCGCATACGATGCCTGGCTCATAGCGAGTGCCTAGAGGCAAGGCTGGCATGTCGGTGTGGAAATGGTGATGGAGTATGATTCTAATCTCAATTCTGCGGGGTCTTATCGGTCAAAGACGCGGGCACCTCCTGGCTACTTTGCTGCTTGGAATAAGCCAAACAGCAAGCTAAATTGCGCAGGGGCTAAGGACTCTTAGGGTTTAGGGCCGGCTTTAAGCCAATATAAGCTTCGACTTTGCAAAGGGGAAAAAGAAGAAAACCAATAAAAATTACAAGTCTAGAACTGCCTTTCCGTTCGTTACAGTACATTACCGGAGCACCTGTTCATGTGATGAGTGTCCTCGAACTGCCAATTTGATTTGAAGTCAAACCAAGAAGTCTGCCGCAAGCCATGAATCGTTATTGGCCCCCAAAGGCGTCCCTATGTCTGGTGATGAAGATGCAAGACGCCTCGCCTTGGGGATTTCTCGCTTGGCTTCAGCTCAGGGTCGGAGAAGGAGGAAGAGCAGATCCGAGACGGAAACAACACCCAGCCCGAAACAGGAAATGATATCCCTTGTAGCCGTAAAGGCTTGCTTTAGTTCTTTCGTTATACGTGTGCTGCTCCCGTTCGCTCTTCATGAAACTTTCTTCCCGTTGCGCCGTGATTCAGGATTGTCGCATCAAACTGGGATGCTAAATCCGAAGTGAAAAATTTATGAGGGTTCCTGAGCACGTGGGTACCTCAAGACAATGCTAGTCCCAAGAGGGCTAGAGCGGCTCTTGAGCCCAAAAGCTTGGCGCTTAATCGGCTCCTTTCCCATTGGCCAGAAAACCCGCGCGTCTAAATGGACCCGACATTCCGATTGGCGTCGCCCGCGTCTCCACCGTCTCCTCTGATACCCGGGGCCGTGATCGCTGAGCCTGAATCGCGGAACGTGCGCCGGTGGGTCTAGCATCATGTTGCGGCTTCACCGCCAGGTCATTGCTATTATTTCAATGCTAGAGGATCTAGACCCTCGAGTGTCGTTACACCCCAAGGATCTCTGTTCTGTCGTGAAGACAGAATGCCCAACCTTCAAGCATGCACGCATATATCCTCCAAAATATGTCGAAACAAACCGAGCGTTCTTAAGTTTTTGCGCTGCCAGTGAGCCTTTTGCCACTGAAACAGGGTGTTACAGCAGTGACACATCCACCACTGTCTCCATCACCTCAATCTGCAGATCACCGTCGCTTGCGCATCACTGCATTAGATCCCCACACTCTTCGCCTCCTCGCAAAACCCGTGTGTATATGTTCCGTATACATCATTATTATTATACCTAACTTTAGCCTAAATACGCGCATATCTCTCTCTGCCCTTGGATTTCGCCTGACTCATTAGTTTATATTAACGTTGCCGTGGGAGTGTTCTGAGATCGGTATCGGCCGTTGCGATATGCAGCCTAGCTCAAGAGTATTGGAATATCGACTAGGGTCTGGCATATGATCTCCCTTCTCATACCACTTCGTTTTCTTATCACCCTAGGCTAACCGGCCATGAAACATAAAATCTGTGTCTCTCAATATGCCAAGGGAATTAAAGTGTTTTCCACACGTGCGAATCCCTGGGGGTCGTGACTACATAACGACACATTTTACGTTGCAAATCGCGCTGGATACTTGAGGATTGTGGGAATCTGCAGAAAACGGAAAGAGTCCGTGGTTACATGTACGAGGTGGGTGTCTATCCAAGTCTGGGTTTTTTCTTGCTGACTCGTGCGTTTACATGTTGTAGGGTTTGTATGAGCGTAAAGCTAAGAAGCAGAAACAGCGGGTTAGTAAGATTCCCCGTGGTTTGATACAGAGATCGAATGACGATGACTGACACTACGATGATCAGTGGGGTGCACATCAGGAGAGACTCTCGCTCGGTACAAGATAGTTGCGATCGATCAGCAGAATATCAAATGATCTTCAGCATAAGACGTCATTCATCGCCATCAAGAATTCTTCTGAAATGTACGGAGTACGCAAGGATTTCGAAGAAAGGTGAAAAACATTTTTGAAGATTCTAGTTCTGCCTCGTCACACATGACTTGGCCCTAGCCAATTTTCTTTTAAGTTCTGAAGATCTTGATATCTGTATCTTTTATCTTTCCGTCTCCGACCAATCTCGCTGCCTCCTCGGCATACACCGCCTTGACCGCAGCGGCATCCTTGCCGGCTTTGCCAAGCTTTCCAGCAAGCGCAGCAAGCTCCTCATTATTAATTTGGCTCATAATCTGTTCCACATCCCCAAGCACACTATCAATCTGTGCCACAGACGCGTCACCAGACTCGACAAAGTAATTGACGTCCTTCACACTTCCTTTCAGCACACGCTTGTTCTTCTTCGCAGCATTCTTGGCAGCTTCCTTGGCTTTCTTCCCTTCAGCCTTTTCGGCCTTGGCGGCTTCTTCACGTTCTTTCTTCAGCCGCTCCTCTTCCAGCCTAGCTTTCTCCTTCTCCTCAGCAAGACGTTTGGCCTCAGCTTCCCTTTCTAGTCTGCGCTTGTTCTTGTTTGCATGCTCTTCTCGACGGAATTTCTTGATACGAGCATCGGCTGCAAGAGCATCGTCTACTGTTTTTCGTAGACGGGCAGTATCTTCCGTCTTCTTCTTCCGCCTAGCGTTAGCATTCTTGCGTTCAATGTGGCGTTTATGATCACGGTTTTCATTATCATCGGGGACATCTTCGTCTTCATATTCAAATGATCTCCAGCTGTCGAAGTTGTACCAGAAATTATAAAACTCCTCAACTTCTTCCTTTGTACTATTCTCGTCGCCCAGCATAGGAACTGGTGTGATCTTGGAAAATCGGGCTTCAGATTCGAAATAAGGGGACCAGAGTTTGAAGAAATCGCCCTTCTTCTTAGGGCCTGGTGGTGAAACATTGGCCAACTCATCGACCGAATCCCATTGTCGACGGCGCACTGGGTCAAGGAGGATCTCTGTAGCCTTCTGGATACATTTGAAGAAGTTGTCATTCTCATCTGAGTCACCTGAAGCAGCCTTCTTGTCAGGATGATGACGGAGGACCTTCTTGCGGTGGGCACGCTTGATTTGCTCATTGGTGGCCTTGTAGCGGTATTTACTTAAGCCGAGGACTGCGTAGTGATCTTGTCCCTGTTAGGCTGTAAGTATATCACCGGAAATTTTGAGAAGTGTGATCGAAGAGTCCATACCTTCCAGTCCTTTGCATCCCTCTGGAGCATGATAGGGTCTTCGGGCTCGGAGATCTCGCCATCGTCTTCATCCTCAACCTTCTTCACATTTTCCTGCGCGAGGATGCGGTCATCTTCGGAGAAAGTGCGATTATGGCGTTTCTAGTGATCCAGAATGTTAGTTTGTCCTCAGAACATTATCGCAAGACATAAAGGCTCGGGTCGAAGAACGCACTCTCCGAGCATGAGCTAAAAAATGTGGCCCAACGGGCTCAACGGTCCGTTGGTTTGCAGCAGACAAACTTCCCAAGACTTTGAACCCCTTCTCACCACCATCCCAGCCATCAGGCAAGTGAGGCAATGGGAGATGCACAATTTCGGGAGTCGCCATGTCGATAACTATTTCGACAACCGTACTTATGAAGATTTGGTTGGGCGTCGCGCTGAGTTTCAACAAACAATTTTTGCGGAATATTTTTTTTTTCAAGGGAGCTCGGCTTGACGGCACTAGACTATTTTGGGACAAGCTTCATTCGAGCCTGTCTGGGACGGCTCCGCCGGATTTTGCGATTCGAATCGTCAAGTCCTGATACTATTCTGAAGAGAAAATCCACAGTGCTATTCGCCGAATAAGGACTTGCTGCTTCTTATATTGAATTTATATTTACCACTCAACTTTTACCACCGTGCCACAATCTCCCTTCCCCTGCAAACGAATCGTTTCTTCCAAAATGGCATCTTCAGTGAACGGGATGAATGCTTACCGCCAGCTTCTTCGCGCAATGCGCATCGCATTCGAAGGTACCATAAAGCTCAAACCCTCTCGCCTGGGCTCTTAAACTCACAATGATCCCATATAGGTGACTTCCGAACGTACCACGCCGCTCGCACCGAGGCTCGGAGGCAATTCGACATGAACCGCCAATTGGGAGAGGGCACACCCGCGCTGATCCAAAATGCGCTGGAAGTAGCGCATATTTTGAAAACAAACATAGTTCAGGGAGAAAAAGTTGAAACAACGAATGAGAAGGGGGAGACCGTAGATCGTTACTGTGGGTTTGCTCTCCTCGCCGGAACAAATTTAGTTCCGGAATATGGTAGGCGTTGGCGCTGATTTGACAATAGCTTTGAGGATACATGAGCATATTGAGCGTGGGGATAACGATACTGTCAAGACGGCTGGAAAAGAGAAGGTGAAGGTGAAGCCTTGCTCGAAGTAGTAGAAAACATTTAAAAACAAGTGCAATTGCGCAACGAAAATAGAGATCAAAATATGATTGCAGGGGCATTGGAACGGCGTTCTAGCATGGGACTTCTGGCAAATGTTATATACTGCGGGCTTTGTCTTTTTTTGTTTGATACCATAAATACCGGGGATGTGGATAATCCCCCCTTTGGTTAATTATATAATAAATATAGAAAAGAAAGCCGCCTGGTGTAATCTACATGCATTTCAAACCATAACGCCAAGTCGTATGAGAACTAAACTCAGCCATATCATCAGTCGCCTGCCATACTGGCATACTGAACCTCTTCTTTTCCGGGAGGAGGAGCCACGGCGTAGGTAGGTCTATCTCCTGATCCCGCAGCATCTTGCAAATCACCGCTGACTGGCGCACCTTCGACAGCCCTCTGCCCACCACCAGCAGCTTTGACGGCAGCCGCCGTCTGTCTACCTTCCCGCGCATATTGCATCCTCTCTTCCCGTTCCATACTATCTAGAGGTCGTGGTTTGCCCCACTTCACTCTTAACGGGCATCCTTGGATGACTGCTTTTCCTTGGCAATGAGCGGCTGCAGCTTCTGCAGCTTCTCGTGTGGCATAGTTAACGAAGGCGCAGTGAGATCGATGTGAGCAAATAAGGGAGCGAATGGTGCCAAAAGGGGTGAAGAAACTTCGGATCGCATGTTCTGGCAGATCATCTTCGACACCGCTAAGGAAAAGGGATGTGATGTTCGGGTCTGCTGGGGGGAGTATATCTTGTGGTCCAGGTGGTAGCTGAGCGGCGCTTGGGAACACTCGGCCACCACGCCCGCGACCCGCATTTCCTCTTCCACGTCCGGGTGGGTGGCCTCCTTGACGAGTGTCGCTTGTTCTAATAGGCCCAGGGCCCGATCCATATCCTATTTGCTTTTGTCCTGTTTGTCCGCCTCCGGAGCCCGGGTCCTCCGTGGCCCCGCTCGCCTCCAGCCGACGTTGTCTCTTGTAATATGGTTCACTCCTTGCCAATCTCCGTAACAGTTCGCGGGCCTTTTCATCGGTTTTCTCGTATTCTTCTACCGCACCACGGCCTTCTTCAAGCTCTTTTTCGTGCTCCTGCGCATAATATTCTCTGTTTATCGAACTCTGCGGGCCAGGCGCAACCATCTTTAACGCCGCATCACGTACCACGATCGGAAGACCGAACGACAGATCGAGCATGCAGCACTGGCAGCAGTTCTTAAGTCGCGCGCATGTCAAACAGATATTTGTAGCCTTTGTTCGTGCGGTTCGATCGGCCTTCCATCGAAACACTGTCATGGGGCGCGTACATATCTTGCATTCCGCGGCATAGTCTTCTTTGAGCATCTGGACGTAAGGATTATCGGGTAAACATTGTTCGCAAACGGAGGGGAAATCCGTTGTTTCCCAGCCAGACCGATTGATATCTTGCTTTATTTGTGGAGGCATCTTCACCGCGGTTCTGGGGTGAATGTTGGAGCTTCCGACCACCTCGAGAGGCTGCGTTTTGTTGCCGTCATGATGAAAATACCCATCTGCCAAGAACCAGAGCTCGATTATGTAACACAGACCTTTGGAACGAGTAACTTACGTAACCGCTGCACGTGAATGTGGCGTGATCTGGTTTAGTCGATGGAAATTCGAAATTCCGTCCCGTAATATTTGTATTAACCTTTCTCAATTAGGAATGGTGGTATTGCGTTGGGTGGGATTCCGCCACAACAGCGCGTGATTGGTGCAAAGCCGCAACTTAATTTGGGAGCTGGGCGGAGAGCTTCGAGCCAAGCCACAGTTTACCCCTGGAGTCCGCTATCGCCAGCCCAGCACTCGCCACAAAGATTCTTCGCCCCCCTGTGCTGAAACTTCCAACTTTTTTTTTCGAGACTCTTCATAAGTACTCCATAATCATCCTCACCTTACGAATACCCAGACACAGGAACCTTTGTTTTTGAACCGATTGCCGCCTTTTCGTCTCAATTGAGCGGGCATTTTATCTCCCATTCCAATCTTCTTTTCTCCCAATTTACGTTTTTCGAAACAACACATTAGATTTATTTTATTCCATTAAAACCCCGATTCTCTCTCACAAACCTGCCGAAATGGCCTCAACAAAGCTCGAACGAGAAGATCACGCTCGTGATGCAGCGTTTAACAAGGCTCTTCATGGCGACTCGGCCAAGGCCCGAGGTGGCTTGCGAGCAATGATGAGCAAGGATAAGGCGGCGCAAGAAGCTGCTTTGGATGAATATTTCAAGCATTGGGACAAGAAACCCTCTGCAGACGAGACAGAAGAGATCAGAGAAGTAAGCTCCGTTCCTACGACCCCCTATCTCCAGGGGACGTTTCTAACTTCCGTAATTGGTAGGCCAGAAGAGCGGAATATGCCACCTTAACAAGACAGTAAGTTGATGCCTAGAACACCTAGCTCCCGAGCTTGAACTCCCTTTCTGTTCCATCGCCGCCAAGGAGTGATAGGTTGGTACGTTGGCTAACTGATTGCTGCTTCAAGTTACTACAATCTGGCGACGGATATGTACGAATATGGATGGGGCGGTTCTTTCCACTTCTGTCGTTTCGCGTATGGCGAACCTTTCCGTCAGGCTATTGCTCGACACGAACATTATCTCGCACACTCCATCGGCCTCCAGGAGGGCCAGACGGTTCTTGATGTCGGCTGCGGCGTTGGTGGCCCCGCAAGAGAAATTGCCAAATTTGCCGGTGTCAATATTGTTGGTTTAAATAACAACGACTATCAAATTGAACGCGCAACTCGATATGCGGCGAAGGAAGGCTTGTCAAAGCAGCTCCGCTTCACAAAGGGTGACTTTATGCAAATGTCCTTTGAACCAAACACATTTGATGCTGCATATGCCATTGAGGCTACAGTTCACGCTCCTTCGCTTGAGGGCGTCTACAGACAGATTTACAACTCATTAAAACCCGGCGGTGTTTTTGGTGTATACGAATGGGTCATGACCGACGCTTATGATAACGACAACCCCGTCCACCGTGAGATCAGACTTGGTATCGAACAAGGAGATGGAATTTCGAACATGGTCAGGGCAACCGAAGCCCTTGAAGCCTTTAAGGCCGCCGGTTTCGAACTCATCAAAGCTGAGGATCTAGCAGACCGTGGAGATGATATTCCATGGTACTATCCTCTAGCAGGTTCTTGGAAGCATATGTCCTCCCTTTGGGATGTACTCACCATTGCCCGTATGACATGGTGGGGACGTGGTTTGGTTCATAAGTTTATGGGTGGTATGGAGACGATTGGTTTGTTCCCAAAGGGTTCACAGAAGACAGCAGACAGCTTAGCATATGCTGCCGACTGCTTGGTCAAGGGTGGTGAGATGAAGCTCTTCACTCCCATGTACTTGATGGTGGGAAGGAAACCAGAGTGATCCGATTATGAGATTCATGACGAGATAGTGGATGATTCTGAGCTGACCCTTTTAGAGAGTTTCCTTCAAGATGACTTTTCTCTTTAACTTTCCTGTTTTCTTTCTCTTTCCAAGCCCAATGGGTTGAGGACATGTGCTTCATATATATCACATCCCTGGCTTGCATGTCTTAGATCCTCATTTAATACTAATATTTCCTTTTACTGTACAGGCGTATACTATGTATGTATAGGCCTTGAATGGTACCTTCGCATTTTGATTCTTATGTCCCGTTAACTTTTACCGGGATTAAAGGCTTTCTGACAAACTCCTTCAACTGTGATATGTTGAGGGCGTATAACTAGGCTGTAATAAGTTACACCTGCATGGCCTTCCGCCCAATCAATTTTGCGTGGACGAAGAACAACAAAAGAGGCATCATAGCTCTCTTATCCTGAACTCATTGATCTTATTCCGAGGCATGCTCATTGACAAACACGCTTTCTCAGCCACTTGGTCGATGCGCATTGGGCTGCTAGGAAATATGACATGCCACAGTCCTCCGTACACATGAGTATTGCCTCTTTGTATGTCCACTCCCCTTGGTCGTATATGCTTGCCGCTCATCCAGAATTTCATTCGAATATGATGAAGCCCAGAAAAGTTACTGGTAAAAAAAGAAAAGAAAAAGCAACAAAAGCATCCAGATATACTAAGGTCGTGCTCACCCGTGCCCTGAGTCTCGTCGTGCCACCTTTTTTTGGTCCACTTCAGGTCGATTCGCCCGCCTTCATCCCAGCTTCAGTCACATTAAGGGCAGCTCACATATACCGTGTGCGACCGGCGCTTTCCCGTCACAAGAAAATTTGGCGAGTCTGCACTGGACTGGAAATCGAATGGAAATGGCGATGCACGAAGAGGGCTTTGTTCCTTTCCTCTGGCCGCTGACCTACAGCCAGTGAGCCATCTGACCCTTCAGCCAGCAAGGCCTGTAGTCCCAAGACATTTTGCGGGCTGCTTAAATTCCTAGCCTGGAAATCCTGTGGTTTGTGTGAGTGATGGAATACAAAGAGGGCGGGGAATATCGAGTATCCCAACGGGTTGCTGTCTCAACATGAAAACGAATGGCCTGCCAATCTATATGAGATTTCTGATGCTCGATACACACGGATAAGTCAGGCTACGACAGGATTCCCACACATTCTGTTCCGTCTTGCTCTCGATCCCGGCAGAGATAGCTCAGTTGGTGAATCAAGACGTGTCCAATTTCTATCCACGCAGTAAGAAATGGTTTCAGAAATCGGACAACGCATGAATTCATCCGACTCTCAGCGGTTGCGTTGCATCAAAAGTACATTCGCGGCCCATTTATTGACGTGTTGGGATACGGCGAGGTCGTCCTCTCTAATTTTCGTTGGTCGAATTGCGATTCTATATCAATCGCTGGAAAAGAGATCCACCACGGACTTTGGACTGTCCATGCGCTGGAGGTTGTCCCTGTCACCTACTCGAATGACAATAACATAATGAATGACATTAGCGGCAAAGTTGCACGAGAGATGGCAGAAATTTGGCACAGGCGAAAGTGATCCATCTATTGTCTCAAGCTAGTCAACTTTACAACAGCTTGCGAGTGTAAATCAAGAGAGATGTGCTTGACATTCTGGCTACAATTTGTTTTCTGATCCTCTGTTTGTTCTTTTCAACGTGGTTGAGCACGCAAGGTCTTGACTCTTGTATCCATTTGAAGCAATTATACTTGACTGGTGACTGATGCTAGAAAAATTAGCAACCTCACAACTATTTATAGCTTTATGATATCCTTATATTACACCACAAGTTTCCATTCACCACCAATTCCTGCAGGGGATTTCGCTCGGGCATCATTACCATACGCTTAATATATCATCAGTATGATCTGGTCAACTGAAAGGAGATGCGGCAAAACACTAAGACATCAACAAACTCCTTGAACTGATAGCCAGTGCTTATGTCAAACCGCCTTCTTGTTCCGTTGTTATACTTGACAATGCACTGATTAGATCTGCCTTTCAAGATCTTAACTGCACCTGTAGGTATTTCCACCGGAGTTCTCTCGATGAAATAAACTGTGATACTTTTCACATCAGGGCTGAGGTCATTTTTGACATGGTTTTGCCTGGAGAAGAAGATTGGGCCTTTACTAATTTTGAGGTCGGCGCGCAGCCGGTTACCTTCAGTCACAGAGAATGAGTTTAATAACCAGTGCCATCACTGATGGTCGCCTTGCACTTAAGGGATTGATCCCAAAGCTGTTGCGCTCCGCCCCCAGTATAGCATCTCGGATGAAAATCTTTGGCGGTCGCATCATCTTCAAGATCGACAACAAAATTGCACCACCTCTTGTAGCTGTGAATACCCATAGCTAATAAGAATGTCTCTCCAGTCGACGACTCGAATTGTAGCATTCCAGAAGTACCGCTACCTCCCATATATAGGATATAGCCGGCTCTAGATTTCTTCCATTGTGCGCGGTTCCCATAATGCCAGCCTGATTCCTCGACAACGTTGAATTCGTCACCGGTGCTATCGACGATGCTTAAACTGATACTGTACGACTTTCTGGAGGTAGAGAACGATGAGCTTTATGCACCAAATGTTATGTCGAGTAAACCACCAAAATTTTTTGGTTTCCGTCATCAAGGTCAATGCACGAGGGGGGAAAGACGAAATTATATAGCAACGGGGTGTCCAAGCCCAACAGTTCACTGTCAAAATTTCCAATCACATGCAGACAGTTGGTCACGGACGCGCAGCCAATGCGCAATTCCGTATTCACGGGGCTCCGGGGTCACACATAGCGACATCCTACATGTATGAAAAGCATGGTTATGGGCATTAGCGATTCTCTCCAGGAAGCATGGACTAAGCTTTCTGGGACGACTTAAAGTATGGAGACAACTTATACATATCCTGGCTACTATCCTCTATACTGATCGAGCTACGAGGATCATTTATAAGTCTACCAGTCGAAGGTCACAAGGGATGTTTTCAACATTGAGATAACATAGGGTAAATTAGCGAACATCAAGAGGAAATTGAAGCAAAGTCCCGGACATGACTCTTGACATTCTGGCACAAGTTGTGTTCAAATCCTCCGTTATTTTCAGCGTGGTTGAGCACGCAAGATTTGGTAACTTTTTGAAGTGACTTTTTTATGCCTGACAGTTGTCCTTGACTGATGTTGAAAAAATTAGCAACCTCATATTATATGTAGCTCATTATACACTTACATGCCTATTTACACCACAAGCTTCCATTCACCAGCAACTCCCGACGGGAATTTTGCTCGGATATCGTTACCATACTCTTCATACGATATCAGTCAGATCCAGTCAACTGAGAAAAGGTGAGATACTGACGAGTAATAGTAACGTCAACTAGTTCCTTGAACTGATAACCAGTTTTTGCATCAAACCGCTTTCTGGTTTAATCATTGTATGTGACAATGCATCACTCAGATCTGCCTTTTAAGATCCTCTTTTCACCTGTAGGGATCTCTACTGGGCTTTCTTCAATGAAATAAATTGTGATGCTTTTCACCTCAGGGCCGAGGTCATTTTTGACATTGTTATCGCCAGTGAAATAAATATCGAGAGACATGGCTGGATGTTGGAGAAAGTTGAATAGAGTATGGACAGGGTCTGTCCTGAAATAGGTATGGTAATAGTCTGTTGTGATAAAAGTATCAATTCTGAATGGAAACAGAAAAATAATTCGGGGTCCTTCCCTCTTTTCAACATTGTAAGAAGCCTGTCTGTATTCCACACTCTGCCAGATTCTGAGATTCTCCCCTCCTGATATGGTTCCACTGGCACCCTCGGTAAAATGGATCAGGTTGACTTGCAGGCCACAGGCCATCTCATCGACCAACTGGTCAGCGAGCACCCAGAGAAGGGGCTGAGGAAGTCTTTTTGCGGAGATAATGCAGGCTTAGGTCCCACCGGAAACACAGCCCGAGGTCCAAGAAATTTCGACCTAATGAACAAAGAGTCTTTTGTATTGGTCGTTGAGCGAGCCAATCAATTGGCTTTCGTATAAAGGACTGAAAGAGACCGACAGTATGTTTCCTCTTGCTCCAAAATGAGAACGTGAAGATGCATAAAAAGCCTAATGTCTAACACGAGGGCAGCCTTGCCTAGCATTTTGAACAGGAAAATTGATTTCTATCATATGCCAAGGAGAACTTGAACAGTTCAGTAACTTCAGTTTTAAGTTTTAAGGTTGCCCCACAACGGGAGCCTAAAAGTCTAAATTTTGGTTGGGAGATGCGCATGCTTCTGCGATTGAATCAGAGATACTGTGTAAATTATAGCTGCTTGACTGAATCTAGGGTACGGATTTCTTTCAATAGATATATGGGAAATTTACCAAGAAAAGCTCGGGGTTGAAACTGACTTAAGGAGCTGGTAGCGGTTCTCTCCCTGCAGCATCCTTAGCAGTGTCCCTAGTATTTCGGCCACATAGTCTATGGCGATCAGGGTAAAATATCTCTCCTCTGCCTGCAACCCAGCATGATGATTTGCTATCACATCCTGCAGAACACTATCCCTCGTCAAAAGAATTTTATTGGTCATTCTGAGGAGGCAGAAATATTAATCCTTACTATGCAACTGCAACGCCAATTGAATTCCACACCTGTTGAGCTCCCTGTACCGATGGCGCGACTCAAGACTTTGGCATGATATTTTCACTCCAACAGTCATCCATGTTCTGGCGACACTGAAGAAACACATTGATACCCGAACATATCATGCAGTAGTTTGTTGGAGTTAATAGCTGAGCAACACTCCCAAGCCTCATCACAATGAGCTAATTTCATCCAATTGGCCATATCAAACCTACCACCACACCTGGTGGTTTCTTGAAGTGGATGATTTCAAGAATATTAATAGGCCATTTATTGTGGTGTCAAACAATCTGAGATATATCCCTGCAGAAAGTGTTGATCGTTGTTCACATCCCAAAATGTGTGAGAATTTCATTGTATCAACTCACAATAGAGATCCTTGGTCTCATTTTCATAACCCTTACGAGCCTTGAGGGCTCAGACCTTGATAGTTGTCATCTGATGCATGTCTGTGTTTGATGTGTGTCTACTGAATCTCCACTGCCAGGTTGACATTGTGCCTTGGAAAGTGAAGCTTTACCCTACAACTTTTGGGGTCCACTGACTTGCTACCCAGCCTCTGTTCATATTCTTGCGCATCCTTGTCCGTCTAGCTCACGCTGAAAGTAAGCAGCCCTGACCCAGGTTCAGACAATGCACTGATGATGTGAAAAAATAAATATTCATCGCCAATGGTCAAGAGGGAGTCCCGGCAGTTATGTTTACAGCAAAAATGAAAAAGGAAAATATAGGAGCTGATGAGGGTTGAAAGAGGATATCAGCTGAATAACTCAAGCTACACAGAAAAACCCCTCCGGGAGAGCGGGGCTGCAGGAGGGGAAAAGGGGGAGGGCATATTTTTAGGGCTGCCGCGATTAAATTGAATGGATGAGTACAGTCAAGATTGACCTGTAAGAGATCTAGATGGGCGGTCAGAAGTGGGCATCAAGTTCAACGTGCATTTGATCTACAGATGGAGAATTCGAAGAAATTAATGGCGCGGGAGTTATAATAGAGTCTCAAGTTTCAACAAGTTATATTCGCTACGAGTCCAAAGCTGAAAAGTCTACTTCGTACAGGATGGGTAAGTCAACTTGATATCATTTTCTAGAGGCGGTAAGTCATGAGGAAGAAGTTGCCAAAAGGTGGAAAACAACAGGCTTGATATTAAGCTTGACATTGAAGATGCATTGGCTGGTAACCCGGCCGTATAAATGTGAATGCACCTAGGTCAATGGGAGCGTCCATCGTTTCCCACATCCTCATGAAATGATTGAAACTTGTGGGTCTCGACGGGTGGAAAAATGGAGTTTTCAAGTAATTTGCAACATTGAGCTGCTGTTGCTGTTATATTCAACAAACAGACGTGGATTTTTGAATAGGCTAGCTAGAGCCAAAGTGTGGCGGAAGCAGGTTAACTCTCAAATGAGAAAGTGATGCTAAAAAGTTACTTGTACTCTCCATATTAGCTTCAGCTATGGGTGACCTACTTAATTATCTTTGTTGTGATCTTTGATTTATCGCGACAGGGTCTTCGTCTCCTTGGGCTTGGCATGGTTGGGCCAGTTTTTTTCAAATCAGGTTAGCGCAAAATCCTGGTTTTCAATCTCCAGATGTGCATTTGGCTCATAGTCAACACATTCTCCCAGTAAACAAATTGATTAAGACATGAGTGAGTAATCTTTGCAGCTAGACAGCTGAGGATGATAATCTGAAGTCTTCTCTTAACTAATTATGTGAGGATTGTGGTTCGCGGCAGTGTGACAATGACACCCACATATGGAATTTGTGGAAGCTAAAAGTGACCTTATTGTTGTTCTGACAGGCTTTATGAGTGCGCACAACTTACAAGATTGCTACTGGGGCTCTCTTAAGAGATTCACACGGTGGCCATCTTTTTATGCGTTGCTTGCAAGCATGTGACAGTGTGTCTTTCGAGCACACACTCATTCGGTGAATAAGAAAGATGAGGCTTGCTTGTGGAGTACTGGTCTTATTCTCAGGAATAAGTCTGGACTACTCCGTATTAGCCACTGGAAACTTCCTTGGGGAGAGCGATTCCGGTAGATATTGCAATGCCCGCCACTGCCTAGGGTGATCATAAAATTCCCCGAGTGGAATTCGAGATAAGCCTAAGTATGGCTGAGCGGACCGGAAGCCCTGTTGTCTGCTTCCTATAGTCGTATGTGCTTGATGTCCGGCTCCAACTGAAGTCCACTGCGCCTGTCCAAAAAGCTACCAACGACGAGCTCAAAAAAAAACATACAACAGCTGGGATTCGCTGGTGGTCACCCACCCAACTACTAGCCAGCCGGCAAGTAGCTTGAGTACGGCTGAGCGGACGGGAAGCCCTATTTTCTACTTCCTATGGTCGTATGTGGTTGTCATATATCCAAATCTTTACCTAAGGCCCGCCACAATCCACTGTCCAAAAAGCTACTAATAAAGTAGTCAAAAAAACATACAACAGCCGGACTGTGGTGGTGGTCACCCCCAGAGGTCGCAATGGTGTTAGCGCCTATCCGCCCTTATTCCAGCGTCTTCACCCATCTTCACCCATCTTCACCCGTCTTCACCCGTCTTCCCGGGGCCTCACGGAATCATCCAGCACCTCACGCGAATCATGCAGATGAATATTCGACCAGTATACAACTGGCAACTTCTAACGAGCGGCTATGGCGTACTCAAAGCCCTTCTTTTCCTTTCAAAATTCTCATCAATGCCCCCTAGAAGTTTTGGCACAGATACCCCGTGTCAATTCTCAGAGAGCCCTCCTCTCTTTTCACAATTATGGAGGATAGACTGCGGGCACAGTTCACTCAGAGTGTCTGCTTTGACGACTTCAATAATACCAAAACCAAAAGACATGTCCTTCGCGGCACAGAGCTGAAATACACGAAGACATTGAAGGTCTTTGATCTGTCAGTATCATAACCACAACCAACAGGAGGCTTTGCCACAACTGACTCCAATGGCTGAGTGACAGATTCCACAAGATGCACCCTGGGGCACCTTCACCTCCAGATGTGCAGACTTTCAAAGCATTCATGAAATTTGTTGCTACAAATACCACCAGTTGAGTTCATGAAACAGTGTTGCCAGAGAGCTTGGACAGATGGCAAAGGGATTTTGAAACAGCATTTCAGCAGAATCAGAATTACAAGTTCCCCCAGAGTGTATCTCGCACTATAAAAGAGGTATGTGTCTACATTTGATATGAAGTCTCTCCATGATGCTGTGAGGCTAACACCTGATACACTAGTTCATTCATAAAGGGCTGGGCTTAAAGGAGGGAGAGATGGAGAGAGCAAACACATCACCTAATAACATTGTGACCCTTCTTCTGCAACTATGGTGCAAGGACTTCAAGAAATACAGAGGCACAACCAGAGACTGGAGCAGAGTCCAAATGGCTGCTGCAATTCTTATGTATTGTTTTACATCTGCACAAACAGGCAAAATTCATGAATCAACAGTGTGAAGAGGCACTGCTCAACACAAGATAGATGGCAGTAATGTTGATGATGAGGAACAGGCTGCACAAGTCCTTGCAGCATGTTATAAGGTTAGCCATCCACTACAACACTGCAATAGTAGCTGACATGACAATAGCATTTCATTCTGACTGTGGAAAGAGTTGATGGGAAGGCAATGCTGGTTCTCATGTACCAAAGAGAATTTGTGAAAAACTACTGGCAGAAAAAGTCATGGGAGCTCTCAGTCCATGCTTTTTACAAGATCTACATGGAAAGCACGGCTTTACTATTCAATCCCATCCTCTACTTCTTATCAATGACACCTGGGGACAATGCTTTTCGAGATTTTGCAGCTGTTGATGAGCTCATGGATGCTGTTGAACAGCTGGCTGCCAAGCCCAAACAAGAAGATACTTTATTCACCATTCACTTCAAGGAGCATATCAAGGGAACACCAGTATTTCGGCAATATGGAGACCTGACCCTTAGCAAAGTGCCAGCAAAGTCAAGGGGGGCTGATGCATTTGGTAAAGAATTTGTGGATCTCAGTTGCTGAAGTAACTATACTTGCAACCTGACGCCCCGGGGTTGCAGGAGGTGGCTACTGATGGAAGCAGGTATGGAGCTTGACTGCAATAACCCTAATCTGCCTTTCTAACCTCTTCAATAGATACTTGTTATTCTGAGTCAGCAAAAATGAAGCTTGCATCTCATACTGATTGTGACTGGTTTCAGAAATCCTACATGCATCTGCTCTGTGAAGTTGATGGGCAAGCCACCTTCCTCAGCATCAAACAACACTGTAACAAGCACATTAAAACCTGGTGATCAGTGGCAATTTACAAGCAGCTGGTGTTGTGGCACTCCCTCCCAGCCAAAGAGGAGATTGAATTCTACCACTGAGCAGATATTATCGCACTGGGTAGGGATATAGAAGAACTTGATGATAGGATAGCTGAGACAAAAGAGGAGGACAATGGGCACAGCCTCCACAAGAAGAAATGTTGGCTGCTTAACAAGAGGCAGGTGTTGTATACTGCTGTGCTTCAAGAGTTCCAAAAGGATCAGCCCCAGAAGTTTGGCCATGAGAAAGTTGACTCACTAGGCACATTGGAATACACATTCTTCAGCTATGCATGATGAGTCATGCCAGAATGTGACTTACTGGCTCAGATACTACCAATGAAAGTTGAATTACAAAGCCCTGAAGGATGCCAGGCTCTCCGCGCGATGGAGGCTCTCTGCAAGCAAGAATGTGAGATTGCTTATTGCACCAGCCTTAAACCCATTGATGGGCACTGCATATGCAGCCAAGCAATGAATAAGTATGATGTTCCTAGAGGCAAGCTGTAAATTAGTCCTCACTAACACTTATTTTCAAAATAGACTATACCCACACTGGCATTGGCTACACCTGTACTGTTGCTACAAGAAGTGTGTTCAAAAAATGGGTCCCAGCAACTTTGCTGAGCTGTGTTTTGAGTGCGACTCATGGTACCAAACTGAAGAAGACTGGAACCAATATTGCAAGCAGCATCTGGAGACACTGAAGGACCTGCTTTGATGTGACCCAATTGTGTTTTGCAATGCTCTGGTAAAGGCAGGATTTTGCCCTTTTTGCCTGGGAAACTCAATGCTCAGCCCGGCACAATGCATGCATCAATATGTTCCTGAGAAAAGCTGCTTGGAGTGGTTTAATCATATTGAAAATCATCTTCACAAGCTTGAGCTGGAAAGTACTCCCTTTTGCTCCCATCTGGCATGCACTTTTGAGGCCAACACTATTGATGGCCTCTGACACCATCTGAGAGATGTGCATTGTTACTGTTCTCTCTGGCAGCAAAAGTGAAAATGCCTAAATTCATTGTCTACTGAGACAAAGAATGACCAAGCTTTGCCTCTACCTCTGGAATGGCTGTGTAAACTTCCACGAACCCACTCTGCTACTGAGACAGCTTGTATTGATTCTCAACTTTGGTTAGTGAACTGATGAAGCGTGTCACAGCCCCTGATCAGAGCTTGACCAGAAACAGCCACAACAATCAGGCACCAAGGGATCAGTGAAATTCAACAGGATACAGTATGAGGGGTGAGTTCTAAGAGCAATCTTGGAAAGCTCTTCAAGATGAGGACATATCTTTCTTCCTCATCTCTTCTTCTCCCCTCAGTTCAGTAGCTTCAATTAGTGTTGTACTCCTATCACATGTCATATCATATATTGCTAACTGTCACGCGGCGCGGCGCTTAATTAAACTTCATCTATCTTATCATTATCAGCTTCTGGGGTTATAAAGTGCATAATTTTTACAGCTGGGGACACAATAATTTCATTTTTAACTTCAAATCTATTTTGAAAGTATTCTCTGAAGTATCCACTAATTGCCTCAAAGGAGACAAGAGTGGGTGGGAAAATCTCATCTTCAAGGCAAATCTGTCAAAATGCTGAAGTGCAAGCACCCATATAAGAATATCTAAGTAATCTTAGGAGTGAGTACTGGTTGTTTTCACTATCTATGTTCCTCCAAAGCTCTTTCAAGGTATGCAATGCTTCCATTTAATCCATTGTGATATTGATCAAAGTAAGGTGCAGAGGCTGTTTTATGTCCTAGAGAGACACTGTTGGGGAAGAAATCCCAATCACATGTCTTGACCATCTGGTCCAACAGTGTGGAGGGACAACATCCAACCTTGAGCGACTGCCAGGAGCACTGAAACTGTCAAAACAGCTGTCCCCACCAAGTAAGGAACAGATCCTCCGCGAGCTCGGATGGCTCTGTGTGGAGGCCAATTCTTGTGAAGTGCTTTGATGAATGTGTTATAGGCTGTTGGACGGGTGCAAAACAGCAGTCTATCTCTGCAAGGAGGGCTGCAACAGAACAATCATCCAGCACAGCCAGATCAGATTCTAGTGAGCCTTTATGTGGAATGGCTGCTATGAGACCTTCTATCTGATTCCGCCAGCCAAAACAGAACTTTTGAGCAGGATACTCTTGCTTTTTTTGAAATATGAGCAGCACATACGGATGGGGACTATAAGGAGCTTTAGCATTCACATAAATGGGATGGTTCCTCTTCAACATGTGTTTCAAGTGGGGCTTGAGGGAGTGTTATATCCTCTGTCTTCCCCCTGAGCTACTCTGCAAAATTATGGACCATCTCTCCCTGGTTGACATAGTACAACTTGGAGCCACCTGCCAGACACTCCATCTGAGTGTCATTCAAAGAGACCATCTTTGGAAAAATGTGTTGGACTCTCTTCTCACACAACCTTTGGCAGACCCTCAACCTTTTGGTTCTTTTCACAACATGGTTGTTAAAGGATTTCTACACTGGTGACTTTTTGTTGATCCTCCTCAGTCAATTAAACTCTGTACAGATGCCCTTGTTGCTTCTTTTCATACACTAAAACACTCTATGTGATTGGCTGACAATGATCCCCTTTGTTATGTGTCTCTGAAAACCCATCACATTTGAGTTTTGCACGGGCTGCTTACTCTAGACCATCTCATTCAAGATGGAGTGTTCTGGGGTTTGGTGGCTTATCAGCCTTGCCATCATTGGCAGTGAAAGCTGTACCAAGATAGATATGGTTTTGGTTCCCTAGATATTGAGGCAGGGTGGAACTCGGAAGGCCATATGCATACAGCTCTTTATTTGGGAAAACAGACATATCACATGTGGCCTGACAAGTTCTGTTGGAGTTGTAGTTCCGACCGCGGTTGGACAAGGTGAAACCTCAAAAAAATCACTGCTATCATCCTCCGCTGACCTTGATTTTGCATGTTTCCTTGAATGTGAAAATAGACAGTTAGACAGAAATGCAGAAATGCAGTTCCCAATCTTGTATCATTAGGTATTTAATGATGACAGATGTTCATAGATCTCTCACCAAGGCCACCATGGAGAAGTGATGTACCACTTTCCCTGGCAGTGATAGCTCCAGCGACACTGGCACCTCACAGGCGCCGGATTTCAGTGGGGGGAGTGACAAAACTGCACCAAATGACAAGTCCACACAGCTTCAGAAATGGACTCTTTGAAAGCCCCCACCACTCCCTCTTTCAGTCAAGTGCTCACACTGTGATGACAGCCTAAGGCCTAACCCACCTCTGGTTTGATTCTGCCAGAGAGGAATGCTGTGGCAAAAATATCAGTGCTTCATACATGAAGGCTCCTCAACAAGCTATCTGGCTTATGAGCACTTGCTGGCATTTCCCATTGTATTAATAAAGAAGCAGCATGGAGTAGAAGCCTACTCAAGCAAGAATCTCCTTAGAACATCTCATACAAATCTTGTTAATTTAAGAGATGCTTTTATCAAGGGAAGACAAGTGTTTCTTGTCTATGAATACATGCAGCTGTCACTTGAGCAAGTTCATTTGAGTACATCTTTAAATGAGTTCCATATTGCAACTGTTTGCAAAGAGGTAGTTATCTTCATAGCTTACTGGCTCTATAAGTACTGACTCTATGGAGATTCTTCAAGGGATTGCATACATTCACTGCAAGCTACAGATAACACATGGCAGTATAAACTGCCAAAATGTTTTCGTCTCTTTCACTGGCTGTATCAAGATTGGTAAGCATCTTGGCTTGTTCTTGGAGAGCAGCTAGCTGACTGTTTAACTAGGAGATATTGGAGGAAGTATGCTATCTGGCTCCAAAGACAATCCAGAGATTGATACTCAGTCTGTTGGGTTTGTTATGAGGGAGATAATGGAGCCCGGGCATAGTTACCTCAATCCAAAAACATTCACCCTTGACAAACCAGAGAAATGGAGCTTAGAATTACTTGAATTTTTCGAGAAAACCAAAAATTCAACAGGAACAGACCTATTGAATGTATTTGAAACCATGAGCAGCAGTCCAAAGGCTACTTTACTAATATCCCTAGCATGTCTTTCTTGCCTACTCTCCGGGGCCTGGCTGCCTCAGCCCTCCTGCAGTGTCCGCAGGGTGCCTCTCAAAGAGAGAATGGAAGCCCTTTGGGTAGTGATATTCTTGGGACACAGTCTCAGAAGGACCTACGAGGCTACTAACCATATGCAGAAGCTATAGGAACCACAGAACATGAACTCCATAGATATGTGTCCCCTCTCTCCTCTCATCCAAAGGATTGTGGGATGAGAAGTGAGACAAAAACTCTGCATTGGATCAAAGAAGATCCGAGCCACTAAGCTGGAGACTAACTACATAGAGACTAGTGTCTTGACACCACCCCCTAGGCTCCAGTGAGTACTGGGAGAAGACAAATTTCTAAATACATAAATCCAACAAATCCAGGATCCAAGCTGATTCAATAACCAAATGAGTGGAATATTTCTTAGTAAATGGTAAGCAGAAGTCCAAATTGGAGGTTGAGCTCCAAATCTGTTGCTGGTGTAATGTTGTTGTGGGTTATGCCACTTCTGCCAGTGTTTGTGTCATTCTAATCAAGTGAGTGTGAATATAGGATCCATGTTGTTGAGATTCAACATCTGTAAGAATTCTTTAAATTTTTGTTTTTCAAGTGGCTTCATCAAGCCATCTGCTGGATTCTCCATTCCTGGTATATGGTAGAGTTTCACCCTTTTCTCTTTGAGAAGCTCCTTCACAAAGAACCAATGTGTATCCATCCATCTGGTGGCTGGTGTGTATGTTGGCTTGTGAGCTAGTGCTATAGTGTTCGCACTATCCATATATATAGGAATCAGAGCTTTTGCTGGAAGATTGAGATCTTGTAAGAGCTTCTGAATCCAGAGTGCTTCCTTCACAGCAGAATCAAGAGCACAAAATTCTGCTACTGTGCTTGACAGCACAACAATCTTTTGGCATTTTGAGCTCCATGCAATGGGAGTTCCCATATAAAATAATACATATGCTTCTGTTGAGTGTCCTTCCTTGCAGTCTTGGTGACTAGCATCCACATAGACTTGTAATTCTGGGATTTCAGGCTTCAGGGTGCCTTCAAGGGTTAGGTCTAGCATGGAAGATCCTTTCAAATAATGCAGTATTCATTTGCTATATTCTAGGTGCTCTAGTATTGGCTTCATAGCAAATTGTTGGAGTTTGTTGACAGCCAATGTAATATCAGGGCAGCTCTTTATCAAGAGCCAATTGAGAGCTTCAAGAAGCTGTTGCAGCCAGTTCACAATGCTTTCAGTAACTACTGAACTAGGCTCAGACTCCTGTGTAAGCTGTACTCCTTCTGCTATAGAGGTGGTCTGGATTGTTGAGCCACTCATGTAGAATTTGACAAGAAACTTTTGAACATATGATTCTTGGGAGAGGTAGATTATTTGCTTTGTACAATCTTATTCAATTTTGCAATCTAGGAATCTCAACAGTTCACCTAGAGATTTTATAGGGAAACAGTTGGACAGCTTGTTTTTGAAATCAGTGACAGTTTCTTTTGTAGAAGCAGCAATAAGAGTGTCATCAATATAGATTATTAGTAGCAGGCCAGACTCTTCATCTATGAATACACATGGATCTGTATCCTTTAGTGGCTTTAAACCAATCTTCATGAGAGCTTTTGTGAAGGTCTCCTGCCAAAGATGTCCTGCTTGCTTCAGTTCATACAGAGCTTGCCAGAGTCTGCAGACAAAGCCTTTTCTTTCTGTTCCAGTTGGAAGACTCATGTAGATCTTATGGCATTTAAGTATGGCATGCAAGTAGGCTGTAACTATATCAACTTGTTTGCAGTGCATATCTTCAACCACTATTTTTATAAGCATGAGCTTGATAGCTGATTCAGTGACTACAGATGCAGCAGTCTCATCAAAATCAAGGCCAGGGCATTGAAAATTACCGCATATGACCCATCTAGCATGGAAGGAGGTAACATAGCTGTCAGCATTCACTTTCAAGTCAAAAACCCATTTGCCAGGTAGAATCTTAGCTGTAGAATCTATTGAATCCATCTCAACTAGCTCCCAAGTATTGGCAGCTTCTAGCTTCTCAATTTGTTTTTCTATAGCACTCTTCCATTTGCTGGTGTATTCACTAGTTATAGCTTCTTTGTAGTTGCATGGAACCTTAACTTTGTAAGCTAGCAGGTCAGCTGTAAGATAGGAAGCATAATTTCCATATAGTCTTGGTGATTTGCCTTTAGTTGTACAGCTCAATATGCATCTTGCAGGCTGAGGGTTCAGCTTCATTGAAGCTGTAGGTTCTGGTTCACATGTAGGTGTGGATTCAGTGCTCTGTCCCAGTTCTTCCAATGCATCTCTGAACATCTTATTGTGGATTTAGCTCTTGATCAAGTCATTGTCACTATCTCCATTATATGGAGGCTTTGGCATTTCTTCAATAATCTCATGGACAGGCTCTTGGAATCTCACCATGCATTCAGGTGCCAAAGAAGTCTTCTGAGGTGACAGTATTATTGTTTGAAGCCATGGGCTGTGCATTTGCTCCTGCATCCAGAAAGGTATTGGGATCTCAGGGTTCTCAATCAGGTTAGCTTCTTGAGCATGTGCCTCCATAGGCTCTTGTGTTGAAGCTGGTAGAAGCCTAGTAGCAGCTTGCTTTACTGCCCCCATAGCTTCTTGCTTTGGGAAGCTTGAAATCACAAAGAGTTCTGTAAATCTATCCTTCAGCTTAGGATCTTTCTTTTTTGAGAGGTCTGGAATGGCATCAACATTCTTGTTGAACTTGGCATCACATGTACATATAATTTTGCCAGTCTCCAGGATCCAGATCTTATAAATATGTCCATTCTTGCCTTCATATCTGACTAGGCAACTGAGTTGAGCCCTGGGTTTCATTTTATATGTCTTATTGTAGTTTGCTCTATCCTCTGGCAAAATATGTGTGTAGGCTATACATTCATAAGCTTGTAGGTGCTGTAGATTTGGCTTCTTTTTCCAAAAGAGCTTGTATGATGATTCTCTGCCTCCAGCCAGAGAGATTCTATTTGTAATGTAGCAAGCAGTTTGCAAGGCCAGATTCCAGACTTCTTGTGGAAGCTTCACTTCTAAAATCATGACACAACTTATTTCTACTAAATAGCCACTGATTTGTTCTGCTACACCATTTTGCTCAGGTGTGTATGGAGCAGTCACTTCACATTTGATTCCACAGGCCAGGGCAAATTCCTTCTTAAATAGTGAAAATTCAGTGCCTCCATCCATTTGTATAGTATCCATGTAGAAGTCTAGTAGATTCCTGAGCCTCTCAACATGCTTCTGGAGGCTACATGAAGCTTCAGCTTTATTCTTGAGTAGTATAACCCATTTAAAACATGTGCAGTCATCCACAATTATTAGAGTATATTTGAAGGCTTGAAAACTTGTTAGCTTTATGATTTGAAGATCAATGTGGATCTTCTGCCCAGAAACTGTAGACTGGATCTGTGGTGTTTGGGATATCTGCCATTTTGATCTTTCTAGTGCACATGCTTCACAATGGAAAGTATCTTGGCCTTCTATTTTGATTTCCTGGTCTTTTGCTGCTTTTTGTGTGGTAGAGAATGTGCAGTGTCCCAGCTGTCTATGGAGAAGCTCCAGTGTGAGCTTTATAGTAGCATATGTCTGTTGAATGGCTTTCTCTTGCTGATGAAGTGGCTCTGTCTTGAGGATTGTAACATCATCACTTTTCTTAGCATATCCCACTAGTTTGTGGTCTCTTTGTGTTTGCAGTGTGTGGTCTACTTCTGTAAAGTAGAGATTCAACTTTTCAGTCAACTGGTTTATGGAAAGCAAATTTGTGTCTAACTTCAGGTTATACCATGCACATATATGGATCTTGTTGACAATGCCATCCTGGATAATGCATCTAACATGTACTGTGCCACTACCCTTTATGGAAATGATTTCTCCATTTGAAGCCCTGTACCAATGGTCTGTAGTAGGATCAAAGCTAGTAAAGTAGGCTTTATTGCAACAAATTGAGTGGCTGCAGCATGTGTCAACAAGCCAGGTTTCTGGACCAACAGCTCTTTTAGATATGAATGCCACCAAGCCAGGTCTGAATGCCATGCTGGTGAAGCTATTTTCAAATTCCATTATGAGATGATTTTCTCCTGTATTATTCTTAGCATCTTCACTGGAATTTGGTTGCTGAGATTTGAATTGGCTCTGGTTTTTCTGTTCAGAATTTGTGTGCCATCTTCCTTTGGGCCTTGGTCTCATTCATAAATGTGGCTTTGGCTTCCATCCTTGATATCTCTTGTTGGTAAAAAGGTGAGGGCATTGTCATATGACATGACCTGGAGTCTCACAATATTCACAGTTGTCATCTATTTTGCTAGGTATTTTTTCACATAAGGATTTAACATGATTATTCCACAAGACTCCCTTCTGTGGAGCATATTTCTGTACAATTTGCTTGTTGAGGGCAGTCTCTTTGGATTTGATTTGTCCAGCCATATATATTCTGCTTGGAGCTTCCACATATTTCTTTGCCTCCTGCACAAGATTCCTCATATTCTCATATGTTATGTCACTTGGGTTTGTATTTCAAACTATTAATAGCATACTATCTGTGTAGTTCTCATTAATTGCTTGTACACCCTCAATTATCTTGTTAATCACTAGGGAAGAATGTAATGGATGAGGAGCTCACAATGCCCCCTGGTATCATTCAAGCAGTACATCAAGGTATTGTGTAACTGATTCATAGTCATGTTGATGTGTGTAGAAATAATTCTCTGCTGCATGGATGCATGTATTTTTATCAGGCTTTAGAAAGAGCTGCTTTGTGTAGAATATTATGAGAGCAGGGTCATTAATGTTGCCTCTATAGTGCTTGCTGATCCAATCTCAAGCATCATCTTCCATGCTTAAGCTGAGCCATGTAGCAAAGAATGTCATGGCACTTCACCATTTGATTTATATATCTTCAGAAGCCTCTGTAGGCTCTGGCACCACTGCATCATATAGAATTCTCCAGCCATAGTGGTTTAGCTGCAACCTGACAATGTTTAACCAAGTATTCACATTTTTCTTGCCTTGTAGCATGAGGATTAACCAAATTGTTGTTCCAGTGATGTCTGTAACCATTTTGTCTGCTATATTGAAATTCCTTTCAATTCAGGGAGTTGTTTCTCTGAACTGGTGGCCTGCAATGTCACTCTGTAGAAAGCCAACCCACCATGTGATGCCTGCTGGCTGTGAATGTGCACCTGTGTTGGTGCTAGCATCCTCCATATGTCCTGCTGGACTCATATTTCTGGAGGTTGGATTGGGAGTTGGAGCTGAGAAGCTCTTCAGATCAATGTCCATCATTCTGTCAAGAGTTTTTTCTCTTTTGGCAACTCCAAAGGCTTCAAAGATTTCTAAAGAAGGGCTCAGAATCTCTTGGAAGGACCTACAAGACTACTAACCATATGCAGAAGCTATAGGAACCACAGAACATGAACTCCATAGATATATGTCCCCTCTCTCCTCTCATCCAAAGGATTGTGGGATGAGAAGTGAGACAAAAACTCTGCATTGGATCAAAGAAGATCCGAGCCGCTAAGCTGGAGACTAACTACATAGAGACTAGTGTCTTGACACACAGCAACCAGAGCTCTTTGTCACCTAGTCCCACAAAGGAGAAGATTTAGCGGAGCGGATAAATATTCAATTTGCTGGGATCTGCAAATGGTGGCTGTACGTGAAAGGTTGGCCTTTCTGTAAGACTTCTGATGATTCATTTGCTAGGACCATTGTTGACCTGTGATTGATGGGGTCACCTTTCTACTGTCATTGACACCATTTCTGATTCTGGTGATCTGGTTCTTAGTCTTGGATGACACTCTCTACACATGCAATATCCCTGCTGCATCTCTTTTCCATCATGTGATTTTAGTGTCATTTTTGGCTTGTGGGTGTGCCTTAGTTTAAGGTGGCTCACCACTCAACAAGCCAAATTCCTTCCAATGCTCCACGCTATAAATTTATTAATTATCTCAACAATGAATTATTATTATTAAACTAGCTATTAAATATTAAATGAGTGTGTTCTTTGAAGCATAGAAATTAGTGTGGCTATGAAAATAAATGTGTGGATGGCCTGATATTGTGGCCAGAGCAAGAGATATGGGGGGTGGATAGGAAAGATTGTAAAGAAATGTCAGCAGTAGATTTCTCAGCTAGAGAGCCTAAAGACTTGTTAGAGAGGCTTGTAGAGCTCTTACTACTGCTTTAGGAAGATTATATAGACTTGCTGCAATGAGGTTCTTTTATAGAGAGGCCCTGCTGACAGCACTTTGAAGCTAGTGCTTGAAGCTCTGACTGTCAGCATTTACTAGCACATTCAACAGTCTGTCTCTTCTTCTCTGCTTGTTGTAAAGTCTTTTTCTTCTTACAGGTAATACACTGGGCCTTTCATTATATAGTACATTCAAGCTTTTCAGTCTCTTATTACTTGCAGATCTTTATACAGACAGTCTCTCATTTAATTCATTTTTCTTCAGCCTCTCTAGCTGCCTGCTCTCTTTAAAGCTTTCATTGAAGCTTTGCCTCTTGTGTTTAAGTAATTTTGTGAGCTTTCTCAGCCTCTATTTCATTCTGGCATTCCCAAGCCTGCAGGACTTTTGTAGAACTTCAGAACTAGGTCTGGCTCAGCTTATCATAATCAAGTAGATCTAGGGGCTTGTCTTACTTGCAGTGCTGTTTCTCTGTCATGATAGTTGATTTTAGAGCTCAATTTTCATGCTCTAGCAGTTCATTTCATATTGCAAATTGCTTGCTAGCTTTAATAACCCATTTAATACTCTGCAAATTTAAGCTGTGCTAAAGATAAATACTCTTAATCTCTTAACAAAGCTCCTGTATATTTGTAGAGATGAAAGGCTTAACTAGTGATGCAGAGCCTTATTAATCAGCAGTTTTAAATCAGCTTAGTTGATACTGGAGATTCAGAGGATAAATTCCAGTCTTTGCAAAGCCAGCATATATATTATCACCTGTCAAAGCCTTCTTCCATGCTGCATTGAATAGTCTTCAGAAATCCCTTTTTGTTATTCAAATATAGCCCAGTTCACAGCATAGTAGAAATTCCAGCTCACTGGAATATGTCTTGTCCAGCAGCTCAAAAACACCAATATCAAGAGGCTGCAAACAGTGAATAGAGTATAGTGGAAGAATCAACAGCAGAATTCTTTCACAGTTTGCATATTTAATAAATTTCATATTTATATGGGAAGAATGCCCATCTAGTAGAAGCAGACATCTTGCTCTACCTGCTTTTGCCTTTGTATGTGAATTAAAAACCCATTGCAACCACTTCAGGCCATATTTATTATTACTCCAGCCATTTACTAAGACTGTAAAGTAGATATATTTGCTTCTGTCAAAATCATCCAGTCATATATTCTGAAGATCTCTAGATTCATTCTGATAAACAAGAGCTGAAGACAATGCAATCTCATCTGCAGAGACTAAACAGAGTAGTAAGAGAAATTTCTGACTTCCATTCTGAGTTGCAACACTTTTACCAGCTTGTAGAGCTTTAATAGAGACAAGACACTTCAAGACATGACAGAAGTCTAGAAGGAATTCTTTTTCATTAAAGTTGTATGTGTTTTCTGGTGTAATATTATACTGACTGATTTTCTCACTCAACTAAATGCAGTAGTACAAAAAGTTAGCCAAATTCAATAACTGTACTTGCAAAGAAGCAAAAAAAGCATTCAAGTACAAGACTATAGAAGTGCTGAAAGCAGTGGTAATTATCTGCTACCTGTCTATTCTTGTCAAGTAGCTTGAGATAAACAGACTTGATCTTGTTCTTGTGATGCTCACAAAACTATATCATCCAGTTGATTTCCATGTTCTCTCCTGTCATCTCTTGCACAACATTTTGAAGAATTTAAGATGTAGAAGCAAGACTGTGGTTGCAGAGCTTGTTTATATACTCTAGAAGCTCATCCTCCTGTATATTGATGAGCTTCTTCTTATGTCTGGAGGTTGCTTCATGAAAATCAACTTGTAGGCCTTGATGCTGCTGGCACAGGGTCTCTCAGCTGACTGAATATTTTTTTGCAGTTGCACTGTAATTTGGAGTCTCTTGCAATTCAAGATCTTCAATTGCAAGCTTAATTGCTTTGTTGTTGACCATGCTATTACATATTGAAGTTGAGCGTTGAAGAAATTTGATGGTGCGAAAATTTGGCTCGTTGAGTGGTTTGGCTCGTTGAGTGGTGAGCCACCTTACGTGTCACGTGCTAGAATGTCAGCCATGATGGATCAACCTTGCCAGCCGCCACCTCTTCTCATTTCTACCATTCGTTTACAACTGCGTCGTGGCTATCACTGACGGAGATGGAAGACGCTGTTCGACCCAGTAAGGAGGCTATTGAACGCATGCGAAAAACAAGCCAACTTGTCTGGTCTCAGCATGCCCTGACAACAAGTTCTGAGCTGCCGCTTCAGTGTATTCAACCTCAGAAAATGCTGGGGAGGGTTCCTGCTTACCTTGGCCGCGACTTCGAATCTCGAAAAGATAGTTTATCCCTTCACCATACATCGTCATTAGATGGAGTATCAACTCTCTTCATTAGTGGGAAATCTATATGGCAGACGACGTCCGAGGGAGAGTGTGACCTGGAACAGAAGGTCCTCCCGCACCGACTTCTTTTAGGCGTTCAGCGCTCCACGACATGTGTTTTCGCAGATGATTCACGTTTCAGACACTGGCCTGGAGTATGCAATACTCCGGATAACGCTGAGCAGGGTAATTATCTAGCGGTTTTGTTTTATGCTTGGTCCTATATTTTGTCAAGCACTTGGCTGGAGAGACAACCTTCAACTTTGGCGCAGACTAGACGTATGAGATATTTGCATTGCCGGGCCAATGAATCTGATATTGATGATACCCAACAGCACTGCGGTGGCTTTGAGATTGATTTGTGTTCCATGGATGATGATGCCGCAAGATGGTGGGCAGCAGTACTGTCGCCGGCGGGGTGGCAGGCTACTGTATTTCACAATGGCCATATCTACAAATCGCCATGGTCCGTTCGCAACATCGATACCCGTCCGTTCATTTTGCGCAGAAATTATGACCAGCATTGTCCCGGGAGCACTCCACCTTCCTCAAGGCAGGCCTTGAAATATCTCGCTGACTTTTGTGCCACTCACAACCTTAGCGGTCAATGTTGTACTGCGTTAATGGCGACTCTCTTTATACCTTTTAACAGCGGTAGAACTATTACTCTTCCTCTACCTGTGCCATATACCCCTACCGCGGTTTTTACTCGGCCATCGTCATCGAAGCTAAATATAGCACCGTTGCCCTTTTCGCGCGATAACATTTATGAACAAAGAGAACTGCTACCATACTACATGACCCTAAGCTGCAATGGGTGGGCGCTACGGTCTCTACTGCACAGCACTTTCTTCAATCCTGACGTGTACTGCAACCTTGTCGGCTCATGGTTAGAGCCGGCCTTCGAGGCTCTTGAACCTATCCTGGATGCCGAGGACTATACCGGACTTACCATTCTTCTGACTCGGAGACAGCCGGTACTTGGGCCACTATGGCTAGGCGCAATTCTTACAGGAACAGCAACGACAATTCTCCATGCTATCCGATCCGGTCAATGGGCGGTTGACCTTCATGCGGCTGCATGGACTGGGACTGAGCAATCATTTCTTACTACGAAACTCTCAGGGCCACGTGCTGCCAAACAATCTAGAATAAATCGCGATGACGAATGCCGCTTACTATTTCTTACAGGCTGCGATGGCTTCTCAAGCGTTCCAGTGTGTCCTTGGAAGCCATTTGGCAGCAGCGCGCTTAGCGATACAGAGATCGCAGTTCGACTTCACGCACGATGTCGAGGGCACGACCTCCGGTACACTACTTGGAAATGGGATTTGGACAATGGTATGGAGCTTGAGGATAGTGGGTTGAAGACAAATTCAGCCTGTTCGAAACAAATTGTATCCCCATCCAACAACACTCCGGTGGTGTCTGGGAAATCTTGGAGACTCAATCTTCAATCAGTGTCGGAGGTCGCAACGCGAAGCATATTTGGCTGGTTACGGATGACAGGGTATCCGCCAAGCGAGAAGGACATCCGCACGCACCCTTGGTTCGACGTGGGAGACTCGGATGAAGAATCTTGTGACGAAGTTAGCTCTGCCTGAACACCAAGCTTACATTCCGGAGTCGAAATCTGTCTGGGATTGGCTTGGAGGATTGTATACTGCTCAAAAGGGTAAACATACCACAGTTTTCATCAACTTGTTAGATCTATATAACTTTCAAAACCATCAGGTCCCCCGGCAGGGTGATCTTTACATTTTGAGCAGATAGCATAAGTTCCACTGGACACTGTTTGATGAAGGCCAGTCTGACAAATTTTCCATTGCTTTCGACAGCCATATTCTTTACACTTAAACTTGTTGTGTGCAGCGTTGAAGTGTTTGCACACTCTACATTCCCCCGTTAACCCCGAGCTTGCAGTCATGGCGCTTAACGTGTCTCCGGTGGCTGGTCTTTGCGTTCATCAGCTAAAACGGCAGCTTGATATGTAGATTGTCATGATTCGCACCTGTCTCTCAGACAATTCCAGCTCGCTATCCAAATGTTTCAGGTTCTGCTGTACCTAAAAAGTCAACAGTAGATTCGGCTGCAGTCAAATCCATGAACTTACTCGCAAAGCCCAAAACTAAACACGTTAAAAGCCTTGTTGTTGGCCGGAGGTAGTCTGCGCAACACTAGACGCTGACCTCCAAAATTGGCGGGATGGCAGATGGCAATGGGGGGCTCAGCGGCTCAGGTCAAAGGTCTCGAGGCAACAACTCATCGTCTGACTCGAGATGCATGCGGGGATTAATCAGCCAATCACTGTCGAACGATGAAAGTGGACAGGAACATCACTCATTGGACGCGAGAATTTGATGGTGAGAGTCGGGCCACCACCGCTTGACCCAATCAACAAGCCACTTCCGGATCTCGAGATTTCTGGGCGAACATTGCGGGGAGAAGACGACAGTGAGAACATCTCCTCCAAAAATGGCGAGGGAGATTCAATGTAACAAACCCTCCACTCTCATAAAAGGAAATATACACTGGTGACGTTCACGTTTCATTGAGCCTAACTGATGGACTGATATCTCATTTTGATGTCATGGATGTCCTGAGCGAATCGAGGCATTGTTGCGCCGTTCTGAGACCATCATTTGAAGGCGTTGCTGACACTGCCCGAAACAAAGGGCCAATCAGACGTAAACTTCGTTGGCAGACGGAGCAGCGCGGAACGGGCCGTAATGGCTGGGACTGTGATGATCATTGCCAAGACAGACTAAAATGCTCTGTCCATTCACTTCCCTGACGGAATGCAACACCTTTCCTCCACGTCCATCTCGTCCTCGTCCAATACCGCTTCCACATGTATCCACAAGGTTTTTTTTTTTCTTTTTTTTTTTAAAGAAAAAGAGACCTCTTCTAAACATGGCCAAAGTGACAAACCCAGGACAGGTCCAGCGAAAGGGTACTATTGAACCATTTGAAATTATGTACAACAAGCGAGTAAGGGCCATACCGGAAAAATGAGCTTTTCGGGCAACCGTCGGAAAACGTTTATCCGACGCGACCCGTTGAACCACAGGTCGCAAGCTTGAAACTGTAGATCAACCATATATTTACAATGCACGTATAAAGGGTCCGAAACATATAGAATTCAGAACATATGATGCACCAATTGAGGGTTTTGAACCCAATTCAGAAGCTTTTCAATTACTAGGAACTAACTAAGTATTACACAACCACCCGCACAACCCAAATCATAATGAAGTTTTTTTTTTTTTTAAATTTCAGGAGCCTCCTCACTGGTTGGAGTCTCTGGTTCAGGGACAGGGCATAAGACCAGCACAGAAGAATCATCAGGGCAAGCCCATTCAGGCCACCTCATACTTTCAAGCAAATCAGCTCCACTGCCTCCAGTTGGAGACAGGCCTGACACAGATATATTTGGCTGCAACTGAACAAAGGGAGAAGGTGTGATTGGAGTGGGGGAGGGGGGGAGAGGAGTGGATGCAGCAGAGAGCAGGGCAGCAGCAAATCAGCCTATCTTGATTGCTGATTTGCAGACAGTTTCTTCTGTCTTTCACTTTTTCTGTCATCAAATATCAAAGTCAGTTCAATTCATCCCAACATTGCATCAAGTATACTGACTGCAGAAGATAAACAATTGAACTTTAAGTTCTGGCAGATGTCAGCCAAGATCCTTTCAATATTCTATATATATAACTATATTAGCATGAGTTAAATGTATGATCTTCAATCAGTTCAACCTATCTTGACAGAGCAGAATGTATGCTCCACAAGCTCTTTTTGTTCAGCTTGAATGGACACAAGCTTTTCTAACACTATCAAAGTAACAGCACCAACTTCAGCATTGAAGAGGGGAAGAGAGGGGAATTTGTCAGTTCAGACTGACAGAAGTGTTATTTTGGCAAGCAATTCACTGAGACCAGCAGTCTGTTCCATCATACTGGCTTTCAATTCCTCTCAGAGCATCACATTCTTAAGTCTGAGAAAATTATCATGGTCAGACAGTAATGCTGCCACTTCCTTCTGCAGCTCTGAAGAGACAGAAGTACAGACTTTTTTATCTTCTGCACAATTGGTGCAGGCCTTTACAGTTTCTTGCTTGCAGGAACAAGACTTTTTAATATGTGCTGTATACACAAATGTCAAACAGCAGCCACAGAGTGTATCATCCATCATAGTGGGCTCTTCTTTAACAGCCAAGAGCTTTCACCCTGACTTCTTCTTTATGAACATCAGGGAGTGCTTATTCTGAGCTGCTGCCAATTTATGTGTTTGCAGAGCCATTTTTTGCTATTTCTGTATATATTGTCCTTCAGTTTGCTGCAGTTCCTTATTTCATTCTGAAATCCATCACTTACCTCAATATTGAAATAAGAGAAGAGAGGCAACAAGAAATATAATGAGCTCAAGAGAAGAAAAAAAAGAAAAGAAGAGAAGAAGAGAGAGATTTTGTGTGAAAAGAGATTATTATATCTAGCATGTCTGCTTGATTGTTTTGGATTTCCTAATCAGGACATGTCTATTTATACATTACTAAGTGCTAACTTATTTTGCTTAGAGCTCCTACAGCTGATTACAGTGAATGATAAAGAGATATATATTGAATATAGCAAAATTCAGCTCTTGCAAGTATTGATATAACAGAGCATTGCATTGAAGTCTAGATATCAAACTCTGAAATCTATTTTGAAGCACAAACTAACAGCCAATTTTGACTCAAGAAGGCATCTTTTCATGTATTCAACTAGAATCTGTGTCTCTTTCAGGGCATGCAACCAGTTGCAGCTGGCATGGGTCTCTTTGAACAGGCAGGCTGATTTATCACAGTCTCAAAATAATTCTCCATAATGTTCTGCAAAGAATTCCAATTCTTCTTGTCTGAATTGTCATTCTCTGACTCCTGCAGAGCTTGCACTGTCTGAGCTGGACATGAATTGGGTTCCCTGGGCAGCATACTAGATGTTAACTGAACTGCATCCAGAATTCCTGGCAAAGTCTCAACATGAACAGCCTTTGGCTTCCTTGGTTGGATCTTCTGTTGGACAAAGTCATCTAAATTGATATCTCTCAGTCCTGGTTTCTGTGTCAAGCAGTCCCAGAGCTTGAGTACAGAATTCCAGGTGTAGATTAACAGAGTGAATGCATCCCATTTCAGACTGTTGTCATCAAGATACAGCTTCACATATACTGCTAAATTTGCATACACCTCTATTGCCATAACTGTCAGAGCAGAAATCATGACAATTAAGATTTACCATTGACTTACATTCAAAATACCATTTCTCTTGTGGAGCTGACTTCTCAAAATCAATATACAGCTTGATCCAGTAAAAGACTTTACAGAATTGGTCCCACTTGAACAATCAGGCAAAATAGCTGATCAGCTTTTATTGATCAGTTATTTTATGGAGTCTGAAATCAGAATTCTCAGTCAAGCTGAGTTCAATACATTTCCTGACATGATTCTACAAATAAGATCAGTTTATATCATAACTAGGAGTTTAGAGATATTGTTCTGATCTTCAAGCTACTCAAGATCTTACATTTCCAACCTTTACAGAGATCTGACATGTGTCTGGAAAGTTCACAAAAATATGAGTCATTTCTGGCTTCCCAGTTCTCAAGACTCAGCACCTTCTGGATGGTATTGGGAATTGGGTCAGTATTTAATGTCAATATATAGGCCCATTGCACCTGATTTTGTATCTCATGCTCCACTACTTGAACCTGCTTTTCAATCTCTGTATGATCAGAGAATGCTTCAGTTCAGGTACTTGTATTCAAACTGAACAATGTCTCTTGAGCCTTTGGCATGTTGTGCAATTGGGCCCATGAGAAGATGCAAGCTGTTCTTTTTGACACTGGCATGCTCTGTGTCTCCAACATTTTGGCTATTGGATTGCTGTTGAGAATGAATGAGAGTGAATGCTTGAATTTCAGAGGGGTTCACTATCTATTATATAGTGGACTTGGAGCACATTCAACTGCTCAAGTTGCTATTCAGATCTGTATCCATATTCCCCTACATTCTAAAATTCAATGCTGCTAAGTGATTGATTTCTTTGAAATAGGCTGATCACTCAGGAGGATGCAGATCATTACTGATCTTGCATCTCTTAGAGCCAATTACAGGTCTAGATGATCAGAATATTACAGTTGGTCTGTAGCACAGTTGGCACATTTTGTGGCTGCTCTAACATTCAACTTTACTATAATATGTCCAATTCCCCAATTGAACAGCAATTTTCTTTCTAATTTCTACATACTTTGTTTCAAAGAAATTCTGCAGCAACCCTCACTGTTCCTGCAACTTGAAACTCAACCACTGCAGAAACCAGTGTATAAACCTCAAGCAAACATGCAAGGTTGAAGATACTTGAGGCACATAGAGAACTATATGTTTTGGAGAAGGCAACTTCATTTGCCATTTCCAGCCTCACAGTTTCAAAGATACAGACAGCCTGTCTATTTGTTGCAGAAATTGCAAGATTACAATTGTGTTTTATCTTCAGTGGAACCTGACATTCAGCCAAACAATCAAACTGAGAAGTCAGGATTGAGTGTAAGACCTTGAATTCTCTGTCAGCCTGCATCATTCTAATCACTGTGTACAGGATGCAGCAAGTCTTTCAGATATCTCTAATGCTTCATCCAACACTCTATCCAACACTCATTCTGAACCAGAAGACATCAGGGTGCAGAAGATTATACAAGAAGCAGTAGCAGCTCTACCCATGGAATCAGTTAATAACAATGAATCACAACAGTATGAAGAGCCTGAATCTGAACCCTGGTTACAGACTATGTTACATCCAGTGCACCCAGTTAGCAATGGAGATTCCAATTTTCATTCACAACTAGAGAATTCATTGGGCAACCAGCCAGCTGAGACCTACATCCTGACTATAATGAATGATCCATCAGAGATTCTAGTCCATGCACATGTGAAGCCTGATGAAATGCTGGACCACTTTACACTCACTTTAGAATTATGGTGTGAAAAATCAGAAATATCTCACCAACACTACAAGGCACTGCAGGAAGTCTTACAGATTCCCAAAGATATTGATGCACTGAGATCTCTACCATTGGGGCTGAGCACATTGAAGAAGAAATGCAGAGCTTAATTCCCTATACTTCCCATCCAACAGGCATCCATACCAGCTGTTTCATTGAAAATGCCAACTCTTTCACCTGTCAAGAAGCAACTAATACAGACATCTCTCACATCTAATTTATTCTTTCAGGATCCTGTGGCTCTTTTGTCATTACTGGCAAGGTCTCCTGTATTTTGCAAGAAGATACATATTGGTATGGCTGACCTAGTTGACAACCTGACCAAATTGTGACAATCATGGAGCTGAGGGAGCTCCATTAGATGTTTGTCAGGTGACTTTGCATGATATTCTGACAGAACACCAGTCTTTTCTTCTAATTTTGTTCATTTCAGGTGCAACAATGCTGCATGTAAGTGCACTTAAAATGAACAAGAAATTCATATCAGAAGAATTCAATTTGTGGGTCAGAACCAGAGACTGGCCTGCACAAAACCTGGTGAAATTGTTCTTATTGTCCAGTACACTATTACTGCCAACAGCTTTAATAAAAGAATTCATTTACTGAGACCTCTGCTTTGCCTGAACAAGCTGCTCTTACTGGAAGACCAGAAAACTCACATTATACATGAAGACAATATTCTAGCCCAACTGAATATCCATCTTGACTACACCTTTGACAGATCAGATAGCTACAAACCCTCAGAAACAAATGGGTTCTTTGTACAGCAAGTGATGAATACAATTTGCTACACATCATCTGTACAAGAGCTTCAACTTAGCACTTCACTCTGGGGTGAACTGGAAATCACAGCATACAGAAGGGATATGCTGATCAAGATGCTCTGCCCAGGCAATGCTATCAAGAGAACTATATCCATTCTCTTCCTGCTGTTCATTGACAGATTCAGTCTATATCAGAACATGTACTGAAATATAACTGGCTTCTATATGATTTCTGCAGGACTTAATGATTCCAAAAGAAGACAACAAAACAATGTATATACAATTACTCTTGGGCCTCATGCTACAAATTTTCCTGATGTTATGGGGGTGTTGGCTCCCAGTTTACAAGCAGTTGAAAGAGGATTTGACATTGTGGTAACTGGTGAAGGAACTGTCAGAGTCATTACTTCTTGTATTGCTTATCTTGATGACATGCCACAGTAAAATAACAATGCTGAAATCAAATACTCTACTGCAACAGTCTTCTGTTGAAGCTGTACTGTCTCCAATACAGAGAGGTTTAATATGAATTTTGACTTGGTGAAACACAGCTGATACCATTACCAGCTACTCAATTTGCAGGCCAAAATTGAGGTGAAGTGGACTGTTCACAAGCAAGAAGCACTGTAGAAGACCCATGAATTAGCCAAGAAAAGTCCTCCAGTTTTGAAGATCTGCCTGACACTAAATCTGATGACATTTTTCTTCTCTGACCCCTGTCATAGTGAATTTTCAGGCCTGTCCAAAATTGCACATACATTATTGATATCATATATATTGACACCTGAGAGGCAGAAGGAATACTGCCAAACCCTACAGAGGTTTCTATTTCAGAGATGCTGGGCCTGACTGCAGTTCTCAATTACCTATCTGGAGTTCTACTAAATCCAGGAACATGCTCAAGCTTCAATTATGATCCCAATTATACTCTGCTTTGCTCTAAAGCCTGACTGGATTCAGACTGTTGTTCAGCAGGCTCTCTATAACTTCTTTGGTGAACAGTTAATTGATCTCAACATTTCATGTTTGTTGCTTGCTAAAATCTTTGGTGCTATTGCAAGAAGCAATTCACTATTGACTTCTCAGACATCTGTCAGGTACAATGAACTTAAAAGTGTGGTTGCCAACACCCAAACTATGCTTCAGAAAGTGATAGATGCTACTGTCATGGCTGCCAAGGCACCATGGTCAGCTAGCTGGGCAGTATGGATGCTGAGATCACAGCAGAATTCACCAGTATTTAATCAGATTATAACACCTCTGATGGAGAACATTTCAATCAACACTGTCAGTATTGCCCCAAAAGCAGATAAGATGTTATATGCTTTGAAACATCAACTAAACATGCATATCAGGGTGCACTATGCTGATCAGGCAAAGAAGTATGCTGTGCCAAATAACTGTAATGTACTGATCAGAAAGGATAAACATCATGAATATAAAGCATTTGTGCAGCAAACTAACAAGCATGATATTGAAAAGGTTTTACTGATTCATGAGAGCTTCAAACACACTATATTCTTGGTTCTTGATGGAGCTCTTATGAAATCAGAACCCTATATCAGCAGCCAGATGAAGCAACTTCATTATGAATGTTCAATTCTCATGCAAGACCTTGTGTGATTGGAACACAATAAGCAACAAGATGATGATGAGAATGCCAATGAAGCTGATGATTCATATGCTACTACCCCCTTTCATATCTTAATCAATGCCTACTGCCAACTACCAGCTAGCTGCAAAGTCATGGAATTGCTTGATTTACAAAGCATACAGCTTTCTGAACTATCAATTATGCATTTCTTTTTGCAAAAGCTCCAACTTTCATACAGCAGTGATTGGGCATATCAACATATACTTGATGAAGGTTTGACCCCAATCCAATTGTTTCAAAAGCTGACCTTTACATTCAATGGAGATGCACATTGCACTACATTGAAACTCAATGATCTGGTTGAGTATACTTGTGTGTTGGGCATCAAGATCAGGCAAATAAGATGCATATTCACCCACAACCAGAGCAGCTGCTGGAGGGTTTTTTTTGCCATATTCTCTGCTCATGAAATTTGGTGCAAGAGGGTACTGGATTTGCCAATTTTGCAGGTGAATTAGGATGAGATTCATATAATCAGCCTACCTGCAATCCACAAACCAAGCCTTTACACAATATCTGTCAGTAAAGATTCTGAAAGGCTTGAACTGGATTCTGCTCTGCTGACTATCTTTCTCAACTGCACTTGGAGTGTTTCCTTTTTATAGATGGATTGGGCAGTTTGATGTATGTAGTATTGTGCATTAGTTGAAATCTCTCCAGTGTCTGCTGGAGTAACTATACTATAATGGTTTCTATACTATAATGGTTTCTATACTATAATGGTTTCTATACTATAAACATTTATAAACCCAAAAAGGTATCCTGAACGTTCCTAGATATATTCATTGATCAGGGGTTTGAACATTTCCCGATTTCTACATTGAGGATCAGAAGCTACATTTCCAAATTCAGAATGTATATATTTTTAAACTTCCAAACAACCATGGATTCAGATAAACGTATATTCCGACGTAAACGTATCGGGACTAGTGGATCTACGGTTTACAAATCCTCCCCATTTCTGCTATGGGGGTGTGAACAGATCACGTTGGGTCAGTTTTGGAGTCTAGGGGCTTTATCACTGGTTGTCTGGCTGGCCGCATCACCGGTTGTAGCAAGAGACTCACTCGCACGGATCCTTAGCCTGCCGACCTCTGCGTGATATTCTTCCCCACGTTCAACTGGGACCGCGAAACTCCACTGAGCATCTTGATAGTTACCTGGACCAGGCTACGTCATTCACTCATCCTGGCATTCCACTATTCCTAGCCATTCACTCGTGGTTGCCATTTGCTTGGCCTAGCATTCCACTATTCCTAGTTACTCACTCGTCCGATTATTAGCCATTTGCCCCCCAAGGCCTGTGTGGGCGTGTAGGACATCTGGGTGGCTCTGACTCGTGTATGAGTGCCAGACAGATGTCTAACTTGGTGAGTAGAAGGGTCTTCGATCGTGTCGTCCAATTTGTTAGTAGATCCCTAACTGGTTTGGTTCACAATTTTCACGCCAATCCTTCCGAGAAAATGAAAGAAGGAGGATCACCGGGAGCAGGAAATCCACTACATCTTCCCTGGGCGGGGGTTGCTTTATAGCGACATTCTGATACATTTCACTTCCTTGACAAGTCCCTCGCCCTCTTCACAAATCTGGTAGCACACGACGAAAGAAGAATTACTTAGTCATCCCACATACTTCTGATGAATACTCCGTAGTTAGACGTACATAGGAAATTTAGTTGTCTCTTGGTCTCGGGCGCATTCTTGGGGTCGTGATTGGTCTATCTAGGACTGGTCCGTCCATGACGTGGGAAGAAGGGTTTACCTGGGTTTTTAATTCTTCGCCTGAAGACTTGTCCCTGAAAATGAGATTTCTCCTTGCCTCATGGATATTCCGATATCAAGACAAGTGATATATTTGGTCAGAAAACTTCAACGCAGGTCAGACCCCGCTGGCTTACCGTGAACCCATTCCGACCCAAGAATGGCTTCGTTGGTGATTACCGGTCGACTACGGAATCGGTTTTTGGAGACCGCTATCTTGCTATACGCCTTAGACCCCGTCCGTGGAGAACCCACGACTCATGGTCTCGAAATTGATGGAGCTTTGCAAGAAAGAGAACGTTTTCTCAAACGGAAGTTTTTAGATTCTTTCGCTCTTCTATGCGCTGCTTCAAAAGGTGGCGACTATGTATCGGCGTCGGCCATTTTTTGCCACGACGGATATTAAGGTAGTTCACCACTAAACGAGCCACCCCACTAAACGAGCCAAATTTCGCCAAACGCTCTACGCAACGAATTTATTAAATATCTCAACAACCAGATCTTTATTATTAAATAGCTATTAAATATTAAATGAATGTGTTCTTTGAAGCATAGAAATTAGTGTAGTTAGGAAAATAAATGGGTGGACGGCCTAATATTGCGGCCAGAGCGAGAGATCCGGGGGGTAGACAGGAAAGAATTCAAAGGAATGTCAACAGTAGATTTCTCGGCTAGGGAGCCTAATGCCTTGCTAGGGAGGCTTGTAGAGCTCTTACTTCCCCTTTTAGAAGGTTGTATAGGCTCTCCACAATAAGGATCTTTAGTAGGGGAGTCCTTCCGACGGTGCTTTGAAGCCGGTGCTTGAAGCCCTGACTGCTGGTGTTTAGTAGCATGTTCAACCGCCTGTTTTTCCTTCTCTGCTAGTTGTAAAGCCTTCTTTTCCTCATGAGCAACATGTTGTGCCTCTCTTTCTCTAGCATGTTTGATTTTTTCGGCCTCTTGTTGCTCGCGGGCCTTTTTATGGGCATCCTCCCATTCAATCCACCTTTCTTCAGCATCCCTAGCAGCCTGCTTCTTTTGAAGCTCCTGTTGAAGCTTTGCCTGTTGTGTTTGAGCAATTTTATCAGCTTTTTCAGCCTCTATTTCATCCAGGCGCTCGCGTGCCTTACTTGTTGGGTGAATCCCTAGCCGGCAACATCAAATCTGGGGATGCGGCTGGGTTCGCACCCTGTCCTCTGTGCGGGCAACGCATTCGCGAAGCTCTCCTATCTCAGAATGGCACAAGGGGGCCATGGATGCCGGCACGTCAGCAGATCCTCCTGTGCGAAATGCACCGGTTAGAAGATGCTCATCGCATGTAGGCTGAACGCGGGTATCCAATGATTGACTGAGCTACACTGGACAAGCATCTTGAGCGACACCATGAACCCCTCAGACAGCGGCTAGATGTCAACCTCCAAACAACCCTCCAGGGAAACGCGCCAGAGACTACTGAAAAGCATTGCAACTGCTGGGGATGGGGGGGTCAGCCCTTGATGACTGGGTATTATGGACTTCATGGGTTTGATATTCTGTAAGACTCAACTTTCACTCCAAGATGTACAGTCTTTGTCCTAATCCTTCATAGGCTCGAGCACATTATGTGTGAATTTGGCCCTGAGGTCCAGCGCGTTGCTGCCGCGCGGCCGCCAAGACCATACAGTGGTATGGTATATGCACGGGAGGAGCTAGTTCCCATCTTGCTCCTCATGTTAATGCAGGAGGATCTTATGATTGGGAAGGAAAAAGCTTTCCAGGTTCTGGAAGAGAGCACAGAGATTGGTAGGTTGATGGATGGTGAAACAATCTCTATGCAGTAGATACACAAATAAGGAGAGCTATGCACATTGAAAGCTTCCTTAGTAGGTGCAAGTGATATGCCCCGGAAAAGGAGCAGAACAAAGTGACAATGTACTTTACCAAAGACTCTTCATCAAACCACACCTGCCTGTTCTCAATCCCTGCTCAGTTTCATCTGAATTTTTCAATCTTGCATCCTCTCTCTTCGTGGCCTGGTATAGGCACTCCGTACATGAGACTAATTCATGTCCACACTTGTTACATTCACCATTGTTTCATGTTTCTTCTTCACACCTGCAGCAATAGCCTCTGCGAACCTGCTGATGACGTCACTGAATGTAATTCACATCCTCTCTCTGCCGTGTTTTGTCCAGCACTTCCCTCACGTGAGCGAGGTGCTAGTTGGATTATCTGTCAGAAACCTGTGTCTTCGGAATATCATTATTCCCAAGCCGTGGCTCTCTTGGCGGTTCTTGGTTTCCCCACGAGGTCTTTTGAGCCACAAGAAGTTAGCCCATGGCAAGCCCTTTGCCAAGTGAAGGAAGGAGTGTACCACATGGAGCGTACATGCCACATACACCTTGATAATGCCATGAAAATAGCCAAAAACAACAGAAATTGGTATCAAGGCAATATTGGATGGATTTCGCCTGAAATATCCTAAGAATTTGATGATCTTGGTGAGAAACATCCAAAGAAGAACCAACTGCAATGACTGTTGGTGCACAACAGTGTTGTTTTCCATTGCCTTGTGGCAAAGCCATATTAATGCAGAGTCAACAAAGAATGCTGGTGGTGAAAGTGTGGTTAGATAAACAGTGTAGGTGCTGTAGGGGTGTCTTCTAATCCAAGCTAATTAGTTTACAAGCTATTTTATCTTATTCAGAACTGACCTCCAGATCAACTACTTACAGAACAAGCTGTGCAGGTTGCTTTGCCAATTGCTTTGAGACCAGTGGAGACATTGCTTCAGATACCCACAGTTATTCTCAAGAGTTGTCAATACCAACACTTCTGAATGATACTGAAAATACATATTCAAGAAGTGTGAATGTAGCCAGCATGTGATAAAATTGTCATCATCAGGCTGAAGACCACTACCCTGCCAGAATTCAGTGCAGAAAGCTCCAAGAAAATCAGGATTCTGCAGAATTCAAGTGCAATATGCTGCAGTTCATCTGGAAATACATGGCATCTCTCCATCCATATAGATTGTTGCTGTACAGTCAAAGTTCCTCCACTTAAGGTACAATGCCCCAAGAAAACTTCAAATTCACTGGCACAAGCTCTGCATTAGACAGTGCTGAAGACACTGGCATGTGCCAACTTCTTCCATACTTTTCTTCTTGAATGGTACAAGCATTCATTAAAGAAGATGAGGAGTTTTCCAGATAATATCATCATCTGCAAGCACAGTGATAACAGTGGAAACAAGCAGAATTCCTGCTGTCAACTGTCTTCTTTTACCAGGTGTTTGCACTGTAATAATCTGGAGTTCAGCCTGACAGAGTCAGATCATCTCAATCATCTCTTTGGCCACACTCTGCTCCTCTTCAACAGTTACCAAAATGAGTTTCTGTAGATCATTCTTGAGAATTGACTTGAGGGTCTCTGCCAGCTTCTCTCTGTGGATATTGATGCAGAAGATGACCACCATTACATCTGCAGAACCCAGTGAGCCAGAGGGGGGAATTGGTTTGAGCTGATGATATGCCCAGACATTAATGATAAGCCAGACATATCAATAGCAGCTTGGAGTCAAGCATTAGTTATGGTTGATGATTTTGACTGGTGCAGATTGTAACTTACAAAATTAATCAAAAAACACAACAAAATGGAAAGGACATTATCCTGACAAGATTTCAGGAGATATGTGTGGTGGAAGAGGGATATTTTACTATGGATGGACTGCAGGAAACACCTTGATATTTATCATCCCACTTTCTCACCAACAGTCCAGGTGATAGGCCTCCAGCCATTAACACCAATGACCACATGGCCTTGACCTAGTCCCATCATGGCATTCTATCTGGTTGTATTGGAAGTGGATCTGGGCAGTCAGTATGTACATGGTAATATACTTCATGCATATTTTAATGTATGAGAAAATACCAATGGTATCAACATGCAAGCCTCTTCTGGGCAGCCTGTGAACAGCTCAGGCTCACTCCACAAGTTTCATGAGTTTGAAAATGGGTTACTGGATAGATACCAGCTGGGGCATGCTAAGCAGAAGTGTTTGGGTAACAAATTGTTATGTACAAAAAATAGAAGAAAAGAAAAAAAAATACAGTGCTTTCTTTATTCCATCCCACCAATCAAAAACACAAAAGAGCTGAAAGATGAATATTAATCAGATTTCTCCTAGAAATTGCAAATGCTGTCTCCTTCCTGTGAGTATTTTAGCATCTGCTATTTCAAGTTGCTGAGGTTTAGGGAAATCATCACAGCTGGTTATGATCTTCATCTGAGCTGGCAACAAATTGCAATCATAGCATAGTACTAATCAATGATCTTCTTTAGGTTGAAAGAGGATAATGCAATCAAACTTGGTTTGTGCTTTCTCAGATGTAATCTTCATGCTCTTATACAGTGGTGACAAGTGAAGCTGAGCAGTGTGAGTCTTAAAGTTCATGTAGTGGTAGATGTCTTCATCTCCCTGTGGATCCATGGTGTAAACTCTAAGACAGGCACAAATTATCATGATGTTTGCAAAGGCAGTAAATTCATCACTCTTTGATAGAATAGATGCTGATTTGCCAGCAATCACTCTCAGCTCTGCTTTCAATACCTCATGCTGATTCTTCAACTTTCTGTCTGTTAATTTGATGCCATCAAACTGGCAGAAACTTGCTAGCACAGAGGTGACACCACCATATTCAGAATCAGAAAGATTATCAGATTAGGTCCATTTCTCTTCCTGGTCTATCTGCTCCCAGAAAATAACATTCTCACACTTTTTTCAAAGCCAGTTTACATCTGGAGGATCAAATGCAAGAAGGACCAAGCATAGATGGAGCAGACTCTGATGGAGAGCAAGACTTGAAGCCTATGAGAAAAGTAAGTCAAGAATCACATCAGGGAAAGAGATAATGTAATACCTACCAGAGTTCTCTCCATGTGGTTCAGTGCTTTGCTACCCATGTCCTGCAGTGCAATCACATAATCTTGCAATTTCTTTGGCAAAAATAGACCATAATTTATGATTTCCAGCTCTTCCTTTACTTTGTCTGCAGTGATCCACTTCAATTGGTATAGTGGTGATTTTCTGAGCTGGAAGGCATAATTCTTAGAGTCTATCAGCTTTAGATTGTAGAGCTTTGGACAAATTGCAAAGACACCAACACTTGCACAGAGTATTATAATGTTTGCAGCAGCATCAAACTTCAGAATTGAAAGATCAGGTATCTCTTCATTTGTGCTGGCAAGTGTTCTCACTCTCACCATCAAAGCTTTCTGCTGACTCTGAATGACTTTTGCATCTAATGGGGTATTGGTGAATTGCTTGTAGTAGCTAAGTGTAGTAGTGAGGGTTTCATAAGCATAGCTTGGAAGTGTATGGGATAAATCCAGTTTCCTTTCCTAATCCTCTTGTTTCTAAGACAGAATTTTCTTCTCTTGGCCCTCAAGATTGCAGATGACAGCAGGTTCAGATCTCAGGAGCATTAGACTTAGATGAAGCAGGCACCAAGAAGCTGATATCAAGGATATCATTATGTTATCTGAGCATACCTGTGAGCAGAGTGAACATTGATAAGGGTATTCATACCCACCAGTGGTGCAACATTTGATATTTAGAGCTATCCTTATACAGAAAATTCTTTTTGTGAAGAGATGAGAGAGCATGCTATCAGAAAACACACAAATCCCAACAACCTATCTGTTGGCAGGTTCCCGGGAAGAAAAGACAAATCAGGAGGATGAAACAAATGTCTCAAGAAAGAAGAGATTGCAGAAAAAGAACTACTTATACAGAAATTGTTGTACTTTTCATCCACAAGCTCAAATTAGTGTAAACTTGATAATATCCAGTGCTGCACTCACAGTTATGGATTGCCTGCAGCCCGCATGACTATCTTGCGCGGCAGGTGGCTGTCTGTGGGAGGGGGCCAAACAGTAATAACAGAGAGCAACATCCAAGCTCCAGTGAAACTGCCTGGCTGGCTGGAGGATTGAGCAATGTTTTCTGGTGTGGAGGCTCAGTCATATGCATGACACATATAGCACCTTTGCTGAAGTCCCTTCATTCCTTGTCTCTCAGAAATGCCAGGGGAGTACAGTTCCAGCTTGCATGTTCACACCAGGTGAGACTGTTGAGAGCAGGTCTTTGTGTTCTATCACCTGTGATCTCTCACATAGTTGCATAACAACAGAGATGGAGCCAATTCCCCTAATTAGAGTATCCTGGTTATTGCTTTCAGGCCTGCTTGCCCTTGCCCAGACAGCACCTGTGGGAATAGAGACTGAATTTGATTTCTAAGACCTATCAGACTAGGACATGTTCAACATTGATTAGTTGACAGGCTTCTGTGGGTTATATAAGATTCTGGATATGGATAGCATTCAGTAACATTCCAACAGGGAGGTTGGGCTTTGTGAAGGAACAGTAGTTAGAGTGCACAGGTTAGAAAGGCAGTCTAGATGATGCACTTGAACTAGAACTAGAAAATATCTTCCCTAAGAGAAGTTAGCCATGGGGGAATCAAACAAGAGCAATCAAGAATGAAATCTCAACATTAAGCTCTGTCAGTGGTTGAAAGCTAATGGAGCTTATAAGCAGTTTAAAATCTAATTGGTTTAAGCCAGCCCCACTTGGTGCAAGAATGTGACCAATACAAATACAGCACAGAGTACTCTGTGACCACAAGCACCTGCAAGCCTTGAATCATGAAGCTGGTAGGGCCAGGGGTAAAACATTGCAAGCTAATAAAAGCCCCTACCAACCCTTTCACATTTGAATGTGGCTTGTTTAGCACACCATGCGAGTGGCTGCCACCTGATATCACACTAGCTGAGAGAAGTCTCTTGCCTTGTCCCCCACTAATTCAACAATTATATCTCCCAAACCACAGAGTCTGACAGCAGAAATAATCAAAAATCAGGTTGAGAGAAACAGCCTCCTCTACAGTATCAAGAAAGTTCCAGACAGAAACACATTCTGGTGAACTGTTCCTGGCATTATTAACAGAATAGAATCTTTCCAGGTTATCCTGCCAGCAGATGATAACTCCCTTTGTCAAAATTCACAGAGTGTCCCACATAATACCCGCCACTTCTGGTTGTGCACAGAGAACTGGGAACTGGTTTTTCACATCATTCCATTTATAGAACAAGTCTGGAATCTCCTTTGCTTCTGTCATTCTAATCATGATAGCATGGTGTCCCTGTTCCTATATTTTATTAGTATGTATCAACAAAACCTTGCAGAGTGCATACTTTCAAAGCAGCTTGAAGCTTGTTCAAGTGTTGAATTGTCTGCAGATAGATACTCTCCACAAATTGAAAGATATCATGCACTAGAGTCCGGGAATCTTCTGTAAAAGAGGAGCAGAAAAGCAGTTTGAAATGCATATTGTAGAATGTGTTTGTTGATGCAATTTGGTAGACCAATGAGAGGCCAATTTGGTTGACTCACTACTTTATATACCATCACAAACAAACAAGGTAATGAAAATCCAAGCCAGACCGGGCTCTGTCAGCTTTGGGACAAAATGCCCATGCCAGAGGTAGAAGCAGAGATGGAAACTATAGTGTACATATGTGGACAGCTACCCGCATCCAAATAACCCACCTCCTAGAATCATATCTCTTGAGCCAATGGACTGCAGCTCTTGAGGGCGCAGGAGAGCAACAAATGAGTGCTGCCACATGCAGAATTCCATGGTCATTGACATCACCCCCATCAGATAATCAGATTGGCCCACCACAAATTGAAATATGGCGCAACCGAATTCCACCACCAACAATACCACATAGAAACCCTGGTCCCTTCTAAAGAGCTTGAGATATGTCTCCAAATTGGGGGCTTCAGGCATTGATTGACGCAAAAACCATTGTGACAGGATAAAGAACATCACCACATCTAGACTCTGCAAGACTGATATAGATGGAAAGACCTTTGTGCAGTAGAAAGAGGTAGTGGCACAGCAGGCTTTCAGCAGGTTTGAAAGCCAAATGCAGTACTTGAGAAAACAGTAAAGCTGGGTCAAGAAGAGGCCATCCACAATACAACCCATTCAGGAGATCTGCAAATTAAGGATTAGCATGGGTGTTGAGGGAAACAAGGTGTGTCTCACCTCATATTGTGCGGGGAAGATGCTCAACAAGCCCAGTAGCAGTAACCAGAACAAGGAGTGGCCTGGGGAGTTAGCCTTGTCAAAAGCTCAAGTACATCAGCCACTCACCATTACTGACAAATTTCAAGACAACATAGATAATTAGAGTCAGAGTATGGACAATTGCTGCAACAACCAAGACCCAATTGAAATGCCAATTGCTTTCATCATGCAGAAGCAAAATCACAATTAGCCACACACAGGCTGCATTGAAAAGCACCTCAATGGGGAGTTCCTCCAGCATAATAGGCAATCATTTGTAGAATAAGACAGTTGCCTTGTGATAGTAAGACCAATCATGCAGTAGCATGGCAGTGCAAGCAGAAGGCAACTAAAGAGCAGTAAGAGCCCTTTATAACCTGCCACAATCCTGCCATTGCAGGTGATCCCATGATCCATCATCACAGAATCTAGCACTTGACAGAGAAGAGTTAAGTGATCACAACCTCCAGACATGTTTCATTCCTCATGGTGGAATGATCACCTATTAGACAGTCATCTGCAGCTAATTAGTTAGGGATGAGTTCCAGCATCCAAAGCCTGCAAAACAAGATATATCCTCCTCTTCTCACTTTCCCATAGCCCTTCATTCACTATAATAGGGAAGAAACCAGCTTCCAACAGTTCTTCCCAGGCAGAGGGTCCAGAGGACACAAGTTGTATATTAGCCCAGAGTGCAACTTCATGCACATGGGGTGGTGGGATGTGTTAGAAAGACTATTATCAGGTAGTTTTGCAGCTACAACCTAGAAACTTAGGTCCAAACCATGGACTTCAAGCTGTGTCATGAAGCAGCAGAGGTGATTCCAGGGTAGCACAGCAAAGATTATCTTTAGAAACCTGAGATTGGATTGCAATGCTTTGTCAGGGCATCAGCTGGAATGCGGTATGAGTAAAGGGACATGATAATATTGTGCTGCCACTTTTGGGCTAGTGTAAAAATCCAGTTCGCAAGTCAAATGACCTTCTTGACCCACTGGCATTGGGCAATTTCCATAAAATTTACCTGTTCCATCCTCCCTCACTTTTTCACCACCTAACAAAGACACAATGAGAAGACAACGAATTTTCCCCTTTGAAGGCAGTGATGATGACTACATTACCTACCTTGAAACAAAGTTGCTAGAAGCCCAATATTCTAGCTCCCCCCCTGCAGCTCCTGTTCCCAATTCCCCACCACCTTCTCCAAACTTGAGGAACGACAATTCCGGCCCAGAGTTATGTGTCTTTTATTATGATCCTCTCAACAATAAAGATGTAGAATGGCCAGTATCCTCTTCTCTCCCTGTGAGTAACACACCACCCGGACCCTTCAAGCGGCAACATATCAGAAGGCCGCGGTGGGAGACAGATTTGGATCAATTTCTAGCAGAGATTGGACCTATGCACAAATGGGATGAGAAAAGAAATCACATTTGGATTCAATCTCCCAAGAAAAATGAGCAGACAATATGGATACTGCTGGGTCACCCAACAATGTGAAGCATTTCTGAAAGTCCTACTCTTCCAGATATACCACTGTCACCTGAAGACACCAAGAAATTAATTAAGAGAGGTTGCAAGTATGCCTCTGCAGCATGCAATCTTAAAACAGATGGAGAATTTGCAGTATTACTGGCAAAATTCCAAGACCTCATATTTGTGTCCTACTGTGTGGTGCTGATCTTTGTGGGAAATTCCAAGGATACTGTCAACTGAATGATGCATCAATATATTAGCCATTCAGATGAGAGGAATCTCAAACAACTTCAATCTGGGAGCATTTAGGTGAATTCCTGCATTGCACAACTGTTGCATAAGAGCTGGGGGCATGTAAGCTGGAAAATCTTTCTTCTATGTTTGTTCCCTGGAAATTCTCTTCTGCAGTCTTCTGGGTCTTACTGATAGTTATAGGTGCTTAACCTGTTCAGAAGTATGGACATCTCTCCCAGTCTAAATAAAGTCATGAAGCTTTTATAGATTATATTGGAGGAGCACAACTACCCATCTTTCAGGATGGGTTTATACCATACTGTATACCCTGTATTATCAAGATTTTGGCTGGGAAAGAAATCAAGTAAGCCTGACTCTGAATCTCCAGCTAAAGAAACAAACTTACTGAGCAGGCTGTTGGATATATGTTCTTGTCTTGGCTATGACTTTACTCTTGTCTCTACCATATACAAACACTATAAATATCTTGACAACAATGCAAAGCATTTCCGAAAGTCCTACTCTTCCAGATATACCACTGTTGCTTGAAGACACCAAGAAATTAATTAAGAGAGGTTGCAAGTATGCCTCTGCAGCATGCAACCTTAAAACAGATGGAGAATTTGCAGTGTTACTGGCAAAATTCCAAGATCTCATATTTGTGTCCTACTGCGCGGTGCTGATCTTTATGGGAAATTCCAAGAATACTGTCAACTGGATGATGCATCAATATATTAGTCATTCAGATAAGAGGAATCTCAAACAACTTCAATCCAGAAGCATTTGGATGAATTCCTGCATTGCACAACTGTTGCATAAGAGCTGAGAGCATGTAAGCTGGGAAATCTTTCTTCTATGTTTGTTTTCTGGAAATTCTCTTCTGCAGTCTTCTGGGTCTTACTGATAGTTATAGGTGCTCAACTCATTCAGAAGTATGGATGTCTCTCCCAGTCTAAATAAAGTCATGAAGCTTTTATAGACTGCATTGGAGGAGCACAACTACTCATCTTTCAGAATAGGTTTATACCATACTGTATACCCTGTATTATCAAGATTTTGGCCAGGAAAGAAATCAAGTAAGCCTGACTCCAAATCTCCAGCTAAAGAAACAAACTTACCAAGCAGGCTGTCAGATATATGTTCTTGTCTTGGCTACAACTTTACTCTTGTCTCTACCATATACAAACACTATAAATATCTCAACTCTTTGAATTTCAACCCCTTTTTTACATGCGCGGGTTGGCAGTGTAGCACAGAATTCCTTGAACTTCAACCCATTCTTACATGCGCAGGCCAGTGAAGTATCACATGCCAATGCACCTGTTTACCTTGATCCTTTTCCGCATACATGATGAATAAAGGTTATATTCTGATAGCTATAGTCTTGATACAGTGCTTAGGCATCATTTATCAGATTGCTCCCCAAATTTATCAGGAGGCACAGCAAAAACAGCCTCAAATCTTGGTTCAACAGATACAGGACCATCAATTGTTCTCACCATGCCATATGTCAACAAACCCCCCGGCTCACTGTGTGCAGCTGATGATAATAGCCAAATAGGAAAAAGCTTAACAGCACCAGGCAGAGTTTCCCAATGAAGATATGTCTGAAATCTCCAAACAGTAAATTTCCAGCCCTGTAGCCTCTGTTCAGCATAGTAAAGACACCAGGTGAAGAATATGCATACCTCAAGGCCAGCTGCTTTCAGTAGTGGCATGACATATGGCTCAACAGCTTCATGTTTGTATTTTCAATTACCCCTATCATCCTCTTCATATGCGGCTTCAAGGAGGCTATCTCATAAATTTTCCAAGAGTTTTCTGGCATCATCAGTCAGGGGGATGTCAGACATGTTGTCTGCTGTTCAAACAGGATTCAAAAGTGTGATGCTAGGGCAGACCATTTTCTGTCAGCAGAAGGCATTACCTTACAATTGCATGACTAGCAAATGAAAAGCAACAAGCAGTACTAACCAACTTTACAGTTTATTGCACTTATATATATCCAGTCCACATGTGTTAAATACTGGTGATAGGAATCTCAATGTTATTGGGATGATGAAAAACAAAAGACATGTATCTATGGCAGGGCAATGTGGGGCTTTGGATCAGGTCACTGTGCCCTGGAGAATATAGAGTGAAATGTGGAACAAGATGATTGTGGAATTTTGCATTGAAAGAATCATAATGAGACCCAACTGCACACCCCACTTCTCAGTGGTGTGTGGAATGACATCAACCACACAATAACTTACATAATTACATCACAACCAAATTCATCATCCAGGCCAATTGTGCTTGACATTCTCCTGCTCTCTCCCCTAGAAGCCCTTCTTCTCTGTCCTTTTGTCCCTTCATGTTTCATCTCCACACGCTCTCTTTCACTAAAGAATTGACCTGCTTCATCAAAAAGTGCCAGGCCTTGTGCATAATTTTCAAGCTCCAGAGCAAAATCTTTAACAATAAACTTCTTCTGTTATTCATTAAAAGAGATCCAGATATCAAGCTAAGGAAATAGTTAAAATCAATAGTCAGCATGGTGAGAATACTTAGAATACTAGTTCCCAACTCACAGATGCAAGACAATGGCCAATCCAGAGACATCTTTCAGTTCTTGGTGCTGTAATGCTGGGGGATTCTAAAGACCACTCCTTATCATCTTCCAACATGGAAAAATTAAAAAACCCAGAAGGATAATATAGTTGGCTTCAAATCAATTTATGCATAGAGAAATCTTCTGGAAGATAGCACTTTATTTTACTTTCTGGCATGGGAAAACTTTGACTTTTTAAACAAGATTCATTCAAGCTCTGTATGTTTAGTGTATTTAGGAATGTCACCAATGCCTGCCATGGTATTTCAGACTGAGCATATGACATAGTCTTAGAAACCAATGCCAAAGATTACAGAAATGCCAAAGAGACATGTACATGAGAGAGAACATTTTTATCACCAATATGTTTTAGCATTAATGCAAGAGTGTGGAATATAAAACAAGAGACATAAGAAATAACTTCAACAGAGGTTTGGAAATGACCAGAATGAGATACAGGGTGCAAGAATAGTTTAGAAGCAGAAGTACTATATTGAATGTAGTAGGAATCTTTAATTTCAGAGATGTTGACAGAGAAATTAGTGATCTTAATAAATGTCTTGCCAATAAAAGAGCCAAGATCATACTTAAAAAGAGAGACAAAATTTGCAGAAGCAAAATAGATTTTCTGTTCTCTTCATTTTGACTTTATACAGCTTATCTGTGTTTCCAGAAAGAATATGAATTCATACCCATACTCAAGAAATAAAAGTATTGACTGCTTGTTGAAAAGAACTCTGTAAGCTCTCACAAATAATAATATCAGAGAAGGATGGTGAAGTGGTTCCTTTTATTCTAGACAGAGGCTGAAAAGAAGAAGAATAGAATTCTTGGTGTTTGAGAATAGATGGACACAAATAAGAGATTTGAAGTAATAGAACAGCTGAAGAAGAATGTTAGGTCTGGCAAGAACAGCAAGATGATGCTGAATTCTACCAGTTATAGAAGACTTGTCAGCTGTCTTGTTGTACTAATATCTTGCCACTCTAGCTCAGACCTCTCTGTCATGAATATCTGACTCTTCTACAGCTATTTTATACCAGGCCAAATCTCCCAAACATTCAATCCATGTATTCTTAAAGCTTGGAACACTCTCAAGAAGCAGGGCTATTATAGAATAGGCAGTATATATGAAGGAAAGCATTTGGTCCAGCATTTCAGAAAGTCTGTAGTGCAAAAGTTCCAGAAATGAATGAATTGCATGTCTTCACATTCTTGCAGGCATAGCATAGTGACTGGCTGATCTCTGGAGGGCAGGACTTACTGACAGATGCTGGAATGCTAAAAAAAAAATTATAATGCTTATGTAGAAGAGTTCTATGCAAGGTCATGAGAGCCTGCTATTGCTCATTGGTCAGGGTTGAAGAATTATTAGCTTGTTGGCAGTCAATCTTAATACATTTTCTTTTCACAAGAATAATGCCAGTATAGATGGTGCAAACTTCATTTCTCAACTGCTCTTCTGTGATCTGATAGATCTTGGGCTGCAGGGTTAATGTGTTGACAGGTATCTTATTTGCAGGCTGTAATTTCTTCTCCAACACTGACATTACAGTAACAGGTAAGTCAAAGTCATAAGCTGTGTGCTTTTCAGCACCAGCAAAGACTCTGTGGGTTCCATCATCATAATTTAGAGTGAAGACATTGGGCTGGGGCTGTGAATGAATGGGAGTACTGATAGCAGCAGCAGATTTCTGGAGCAATTGGTGTTTGCATGACTTTCCTGGGGTGAGAGACCTGTTCTGAAGCTGGAGGTCTTCCAAGCAAGGGGTTTCAGGACAGCTTGCAGGGGAAGACAGCTCAGCTGTGTGGTTGACAACACTTTTATAATATGTCAGAACAGCCTGCAATTGTAATAGAGTAGCAGCAGAAAGAGGATTATTTCTTACTGTTGGGGCATGACTGCAGTAGTGGCTGGTAATGACATTTGGTGGGTGAGGCAAAGACACTAAGAAAAGAAGTGAACACTGAGCATGCTGTTGCTTTATGATCTTGTGAGCTAGTGCTATAGCATTCACACTATCTGTATATATAGGAATTGGAGCTTTTGCTGGAAGATCAAGATCTTGTAAGAGCTTCTGAATCCAGAGTGCTTTCTTCACAGCAGAATCAAGAGCACAAAATTCTGCTACTGTGCTTGACAGCACAACAATCTTTTGGCATTTTGAGCTCCATGCAATGGGAGTTCCCATATAAAATAATACATATGCTTCTGTTGAGTGTCCTTCCTTGCAGTCTTGGTGACTAGCATCCACATAGACTTGTAATTCTGGGATTCCAGGCTTTGGGGTGCCTCTGAGGGTTAGGCCTAGCATGGGAGATCCTTTCAAATAACACAGTATTTGTTTGCTATATTCTAGGTGCTCTAGTGTTGGCTTCATAGCAAATTGTTGGAGTTTGTTGACAGCCAATATAATATCAGGGCAGCTCTTTATCAAGAGCCAATTGAGAGCTCCAAGAAGCTGTTGCAGCCAGTTCACAATGCTTTCAGCAACTACTGAACTAGGCTCAGGCTCCTGTGTAAGTCATACTCCTTCTGCCATAGGGGTGGTCTGGATTATTGAGCCACTCATGTAGAATTTGGCAAGAACCTTTTGAACATATAATTCTTGAAAGAGATAGATTATTCACTTTGTATGATCTTGTTCAATTTTGCAATCTAGGAATCTTGACA